ATATACTAGCCAAACTAAGAGAAAAACACCCGGAAGGGCAGCCCTACCCCTTTGCCTCCTCCGCGAGCCCTAGACCAGGCCCTAGGCCACTCCCGGAAGACATCTTACAAGCCCTGGCCTCATTTGCCCCGGATACAGCCCCTGGCCTATCCGGCTGGTCAATCCCCTTACTAAGGGAAGCCTGTAAGCATAAACAGGTGGTAGACTTTCTTACCCACCTCTGCAAGCAGGTACAGAACGGCCTAGCACCAGGGAACCAGCTACTTACCGCATCGAGGCTTGTAGCCCTAGATAAGGAAGATAGCGGGGTCCGGCCAATTGCAGTAGGAGAGCTCATCTATAGGCTGGTAGCTAAGGTCCTCCTCCAAAAACAGTTCTCTAAGGACCAACTAGCCCCCTTCCAGCTAGGGGTACAGAGCCCCGGCGGGGTAGAGCCAATCATACACCTACTAGGACACGCGGTAGATGGAAACCTTAGAGGATACACCCACGTCTGCTCTATGGACTTTAAAAACGCCTTCAACTCAGTCTCCCGAGCAGCGGTAGCCCACGGGATCCTAAGCTATGCCCCAGAGTTCTACAAGGCAGCTAGATGGGCCTACAACGAGCCAGCAGCCCTAGTGATGTATGACGGCACGGTAATTACCTCCTCGGAAGGGGTTAGACAAGGAGACCCCCTCGGCCCCCTCTTCTTCTCCCTAGCCATTCGGACCACCCTCCAACAGCTACAACAACAGCTACAGAGGTCAACCGGCTATAACAGACCCCCTCCTATCGTCCTAGCATACCTAGACGACGTCTACATCATCTCAGGGCAACAGATCACCCTACAACAACTAGAAGGCTACCTAGAAGACGCCCCTATCGCCCTAAACATAGATAAGACAAAGACACACCCCCTATCGGCAATACAGACCACGGGAATGAAGATACTTGGCTCCTTTATAGGGCCAGAGCCACGGAAGGCCGAATTCCTGGCTACAAGGATAGAAGAACTCCAGACGGTGCTAGATAGGCTAAAAGACCTACCAAAACAACACGCACTCCTCCTACTTAGGGCTAGCACCTCTACACTACTCCGACACCTTCCTAGGACCATAGGATCACAAGGACTCCTGGCAAGATTCCAAGACATTGACACAAGACTCCTAGAAACCATAAAACACCTTCAAGGCTCAGAGGATAGAAGACCACTAGACCAGGACCTAGTAGCCCTCCCTACTAGGCTAGGAGGCCTAGGAATACCTCTCTACGCGGAAGTGGCCGAGCTAGCCTTCCAAAACTCACAGGCTATAGCAGACATCACCCTACAGAGGATCCTACCGCCAAAACTCTTCTGGCGCCTACCCCGAGCACCCTCGCCAGCCCCTAGCAACACTAGTATGGAAGGCCACCCCCAGACTAGCTATAGGCCTACACAAGGCCAAGAAGGCAACCTACAAGAGGACGGCCTAGAAGGGGACATAGACAAGGCCACAGAAGAGGACACACAAGGTCTAGACGAACAAACCACTCTAGGAAGCCAGGAGCAAGAACAGGTACAAGAACAGGAACAGGATCACTCCCAGGACCGCGGTAGAAGCAGGAATAGAGCAAACCAACAACCACAACCAAGCCTATCCTACCTCCTAGCCCAGGACACCCAACAACAGCCTAGCTTTCCCTAGAACACCAACAACTAGACCCCACTAGTACTGGCCCTGCTAGAACCATCTACCGAGCTGCAATAGACAAGCTCAACAGAGCTCGACTGGCTAGAGTACAGCAGAAGCTCTCTTTACAGCAAGAGAACGTACGGATCGAGAACTCAGCCTTCCTAGGCCGGAGATGGCTATCCGCAATGCCTACCTCACAGCCCCTTCTACTCTCGGACATGGACGTAGCCGCAGCACTTTCTATTCGGCTTCTTACATCCCCTGAAGAAGGCCAGGACATCTGTAGACACTGTGATAGGGCCTATACCTTCGCCCACGAAGACGCCTGCCGTGCTAGGACTAGACAGACAATTGTCAAACATAATAAGGTGTGCCAGGCGTTGACTACGGCCCTACAGACCGACCCACAAAACAAAGTCACCCTAGAGCCACAAGGAGACTACCGAGGAATCCGGACAGACATTAGAATCGACAACCCTAAGGGAACCACCTACCTAGATGTGTCCATCATTTCCCTAGGTAAGGAAACCGCTAGGAAGGACCCTAATAGCACCCTATCGGCCGCGGAAAGGGCTAAGAAGCTCAAATACCAAACCCTAGGCCGAGCTTTTAAGCCGTTTATCCTTAGCCAAGGAGGCCTTCTAGGAAAGGAGACCTCACAAACCTACAAAGAATTCCAAAAGTCCCTTGGTCCTAGCACCTCGGAGTGGCTAGATAAGTATATCTCTACCACTCTAGTAAGACTCCGGGCTAGGAACTGGCTAGGATATGGTATAGACTAGATAGATTTCTTTTTCTTTTCCTTTTTTCTTTTGTTTCCCTCTTCCTTTTTATCGTACCCTTTTTCTTTGTTTTTATATAGAAAAGTAGTTAGACGAGCAAGAATAGCTTATATAGAAGCGTATCGAAATGCTGCTAACCCTAACCCTAACCCCACCCAAACCCTACGTTAATTAACACTACCGTAACTATAAGGAACCACTTTAATTTTAGTACACCTAAAAGCTTACGACACATATAACAAGCCACTTAATTAATTCGTAAAGGATTAGGCGAGAAACAAGCACTATATTAAGCTCTACATAAGGCTGGCCGTGCGATTAATCATGTAAACGCGAAACAAGTCGCTCTACTTCAGCGCAACGCTTAACTTGAAACAATAGTTACAAAGAAGCCGAAGAAGGTCCCTACCAATCCGAACACTCAATTTGCAAGCATAGATAGCATTGTACTCGCGAAGGAGGCCCTCGCAATACAGGAGGCAGAGGAGGCAGCGAAACAGACGAGATACGACGCTTCTTCTGCTGCGCGTGAGCTTGCGGAGCAGAGATTTGAATCGCTCCAATCTGAGTGGCAGATAGACAACTTTGGATGTATATACCGTTGAATTCATCGAGGCCTCAGAGCCGCGCAGCTGCGCAGCTTGTTGCACGGTAGAGAGTTCTGGTAGATCCAGCGACGACGACGGCGAGGTCGGCATATAACAACAGCGATGATCAATATGAATAGGAAGCGACGGCGGGACTCCTCAGTAGTAGCTGGCATGGCTGCTATATACCATAGTAGTTAGCAATAGCGACGACGACGACGACGACGACGACGAGCTCGAGTACTCACGCTAGCAGTAGCGCGTAGAGCTACCAGAGCTAATTGAAGGGCTCGAATACCTCGGAAGTAGCGTGAACTAGTGGTAATCAGCAGTTGTAATCATGTTGAGCATGAACTGCTAATATGCTCTAGTGATTTTGGCATCGAACATATAGCCGCGCAAGTTTTGCTGCAAGCAAAATCTTGGCCTTTTCAGTTTCACAATTTACAGCCACGCATGCAGCTAGGATAACAGAAGCTCTAGCATACATCATCAGGGTTCCACGGCTCCTAGCACTTAGAAGTGGCAATCGCGCCACACAGACGCACTGGAGAAGTTCCCGCAGTGCACAGATCCGAAAGTGTATAAGTATTCGGACTAGCAACAGAGGTCACACACATGCTTTTCTATTACTCTACCATCTGCACATGTTAGTAGATAAGATCAACGGGAAGTGGGTAGAGTGACAGCTGAGAGAGTATAAGGGTTCAGCTATCGGCGGTAGCACTGTCAGATCTCAGGAGAACAACTCAGAATCTAGAAGCTCATACGGCCAAAGAGGCAGAGCTGACGGCGAAGTCCTCGATCAGTGTCTGCTCACAAAGAAAACGGGAGAGAAATGCAATGCTTGACTTGAGAACTTCCGGTTGGATCAGAAAGCGACCCATTGCAGAACAATTCAAACTTTCATATCGACGACCTACAAACCCACACGCCGCTCCCAGAATGGCTCTACAACATGTTGCCCCACTGGAATTACTTACGAAAGCCGTCTTCGACTGGAAGCCATCTAGGCACGGATCTCAATCGCTGACATTGTCAAGGTCCTTTTATGTGGCGTAGAACAATTTTGAGCTTCAGTGATCTAACAACACCGGGGTCTACATAACAATCGCTGGCGTTACGAGATGACGTTGGCTCCAAACTGTCAGTCTACGGATTCTTCGATCGTTGGCGGCGTTGGCCACCAGTGCGAAACATGCCCAACTTTCCCAATTCGATCATTGAGCATCTTCTGCTTAGGAACTATCAAAACCTCAACATCGAAATCCGGAGTCTGTGGATAGGAGCTTACAATGCTCCCTGGACTAATTCCCACATCCTGCAGCGGCTGGCAAGATTCAAAGCCCAGTCCGAACAGCGTGATTATTTGGTCGTCAATTACACACACTAGAACCCTAAGTCAAAAACCCCCTAAAAAGATGATCCAGTGTGACCTTCTTGCTTTCTACTAGGGAGGTGAAGCCCTGGTCGAACATCATCGAAGCCGGGGCTTGTGCGAGGGGCCTTGCGTCTGGACAGGTCTGCCACCATGTAGTCTATGATTCTGCTTGTATACGTTGTCGGCTCGTAGAACTACGGTCTGTGATGCTCCGACGTTACCGGTCTCGTAGAGGTGGTATGACGATTTTCGGCCGAAAACTATCTCTCAGGGCAGGCGCGAACTTTCGGCCGACGCGAGTCGCCTCCAACACTGTCAACAGATGCTTGTCACCGTCAGAGTATACGCAAACAATGTCTTGGTCTATGTCATGGATGTGGCAGTGTATGTAGCCCTGATCAATGTCTCATCATATAAGAACCTGTATAATCTGCTATGGGTGCTGAGCTCCAAACCATCTTGCAATTCACCATCGCCTGTTATGAGGATCACCACAAGCATTATCATCGCCATCGGCATGACTTTGTTTCCAACAGCTTTCGCCCAAAACATGTCACATGGCGCCAACAATTTCTAGCGCAGCAACAATGTGACAATGTGGCCTGTCGCTTTTCCGACCATATATCACACCAACATTGCCGGCAACCTTTTCCTCCCTGACAACCTGGACCGCAGCCAGAACTACTCTGCCGTGGTGGTTAGCCACCCCATGGGAGCAGCGAAAGAACAAAGCGCCAACCTGTACGCTACCAAGATGGCTGAGCAAGGTTTCATCGCTATTTCCATCGACCTTCCATCGTACGGCGGCAGTGAAGGGCAACCCCTCAATAATGTTAATCCGGATATGTATGCAGAGGGTGTTAGCGCCGCTGTGGACTATCTCGGCCTCCAATCCTATGTTGACCGCAGACGCATCGGTGCCATCGGTATCTGCGGATCTGGAGGCTTCGTTGTCAGTGCTGCAAAGATCGACNCCCGCATCGCAGCCGTAGCCACGGCCAGCATGTACGATATGGGCGCGGTCAACCGCGATGGACTCCAGCACTCCCAGAATGTCAAGCAACGCAAACAAGTCATAGCCCAGGGAGCCGAACAACGTTGGACCGAGGCCGCTGGCGGTGAGGTCGCCTACAGTCTGGGAACTNCTCTCCAGATCACCAACTCTTCTATCGCTCTTGATCGCGAATTCTACGACTTTCATCGCACCTCGCGCGGTGAATTTACACCACCAGGCTCAGCTCCAAATGTGACCACTGGACGCAGCATCACCAGCAACCTCAAGTTCATGAACTTCTACCCATTCAACGACATTGAGACAATTTCTCCAAGACCAATACTGTTCATCTCTGGTGACATCGCACACTCCCGCGAGTTCAGTGCTGATGCATACGCTCGTGCTGCAGAGCCCAAGGATATTATCTGGGTACCTGGTGCAGGACATGTTGATCTCTACGATCGCNGGATTCCATTCTCTAGGCTATTTGACTTCTTCCGCACCAATCTGGCGCCTCGATAAGTTCGATTGGTTTTGCAAGTAGATAGAGAGGCGTGGTCTCTGAATTCGGTATTGAGACTGAGCAAAGCTTAGATGAATCGGGTTTTCTATAGATCACTGAAAAGAGTCTTTGTGTCTCGCTAGCCATCGAATTGAGTGTATGGTCCATGTTCCTGCCAAGAAGCATAGTAATCTCGAGTGGCAGTATTTTGTGCAAGCATAGCACGTGGGATCAGGCGTTCGCAACCGCAGCTTGCACCAGATGTCGAAGGTGGCTTGAAACGGTAGGCGAATCTGGACCTCTCGAGAAGTCACTTGAGCCGTGATGAGATATTCTCGCGTGCAAAAGTCGATGTACGAGCAGCGCGCGGAGTTGAGCGTCATAGCGCTTTGGGGTTGTTTTGACAGCTAATTTACTCTACTTTACTACCACCACATCAAATTACCTCATTATAATCATCAATATGACAATTTCTAGTGCTGCTCATACACTTCTAAACGTACTAGAGCAATCCGACACCTCTATAGCGGCTAGTACACGCGCCTAAGCTCGATTAGCACCCGGAGCCGAATCTCCTCTCTTATTAGCACCACCCTCGGCGAATGCCACACTAAGGTCTACACGCGGTACTAAGCGCGTACAATGGAGAGATGAAGTTAATAATCATGCCGCGGAAGGCCACGTCGATCCAACCGTAGCGTGGCTCCGAGACGTCTTAGAGAGTCGCTAGAAGTCGAATCCTCGACTATAGCTTAGGCGCACCAAAAACGCAAATCCTCAACTTAACCACCACAACCACCTTTAAAAAGGGTATCCACTAGAGGGAAACCACTTTCGGATGCGACAAACACGTTAGGAAAAATCCCGAAGAAAAATAACAAGAAGGTGGTTACGAGAAAGACCACCACGCGCGCGAATCCACCCACGAAGCCGTCTATCGCGAAATCTCGAATTCAGCCCCCACCCCCTCTAAGTTAATAACCACCACTTCGATCGTTACCAAATCAAAGGACAGACGATACACAACCTCTGTCAAGCCTAAGGGAAAACAGTCTGCCCAAAAAGAGTTGTTAAGCCGGTCATATCGCTGCCGCCGCCGCCGATCCAGTTTAAGCTACGTTTCGCAACTAGATAGGAACATAAGACTGTCTCTAATGACAATACCCACGTGTTTAACACTAATACCACATGGGTAGAGGTATTCCAACTAATGGATAAGCCTATTAATGATTATTGTCGCTTGATTAGTAGACTTAACTAAGAACCCTACAACATTAGAGCTATCGTTACATTAGCTCGAGCTACTAAACCCAAGGAAACTAGCAGTATTACTCTTAAGCACGCGAACGCTAAGCCTTAGAGCAAGGTCATAGACCTTATACGTCTTAACTATAGCAATGGTCTTAAAGACATTAGCATTACTATCGACTCCGTATAGACTCTAGGAGGTTACGAGCTACTAGAGCTACCGCGAGTTCCTAAATAAGATACTTTATTATTAAGCTCTCGAAGTGGTAAGCGTACTAAACGTTCCCTTCTTGCTAGCTCTAAGTACTAAGAAGAAAGAGCCGTGTTTTAGAACGAGGTAGCAACCTTCTAGACTTGTCCTATACCTCTAATCTATAAGGTTAAAGCGCGCTAGGGTATTTCTTGTTAGGTTTATAAAGGACGGCATTACGAGATTACGTATAGCATGGCCGCGAAGTGGCATAAGGCCACTATTACCGAGGGGGCGATATACGCCATCTACCGATGTCTATTCGTCGCCTTATTAAGCGCAAAGATAAGAAACTTAAGGCCGAGCATGCTTAGAGGTAAGCGGATAAGTAGAAGGCTAAGTTAGCTAGAGGTACTTAGCTTTAGGCTTCGCCATCGGTCTCCTAAGTGTTTTACGTTAGATCTTAACAACCACCACCTTCTTAAGTAGTAGGGGACCCCTAACCACCTTGCTAAAAGTCTTACCGTCCTATACTAATTAAGCTTAACAACGGAGATGGCTAGGTAGCCTTTTAGGACTCTATTAAGGCCGCCGTTCGAAACATTCGCCCGGAGTCATAGCAGGTAGGCCTTAACCGAGCCATGGCATTACTTAATGCTGATTTCTAGACACTATCTATATTGTTTAAGGCCACTAACACTACTCTAAAAGAGGTTGTGCCCTAAACTAGTCTTCGGGTGCTAATCTATAAGCATCTCTTAAAAGTTCATCTTAAGTTATAGAGAAAATCGATAGGGCCTTTCCCGAGAGTTAAATCTTAGTGGTACCGCACTAAATTTTAACTCCCGGGTAGGATTAACATTTTAAGCGATAACACCGATAATGCAAAGTCGAGTTCTAATGATAAAGACCTTAATAGCGACCCTAATGACGAATAACAGACTTAGACTAGTAACGGCATGATCTAATAAGGTATTTTAGCATGTCTAAACATGCCACGGATGTCCTTATCCTCAAGCGCGGCGTATAAAGCCTCCTCTAGATGTACCTTCTACGCTAACTTATACTTCTCTCCTAGAACATTATAATCCGATTAACTCGGCGCGAGGCCCTCTAACGACGTAACCATTGCTTTTAGAGGTGGAATGACTGCTTAATTAGATTAAGATAAGGTAAGTAGGGTAGTAGATATAGCAGGTAGACACTAGCTTCCTAACATATAGTCCTAATCTTTGATTTTAGTTAGAATTGCTACCTAATAAATATTAACGGATACTTGCCTTTTCTAAGTAGTAAGTTAAGCAGTTATCCATAATAACTATCGACCTCTTACTAGGAAACGGCTCGTAGCAAGGTAAGATAGCTATCTCGAGCTAGTGTTTGAAAATCTGCTATGTTATAGCACCCTCTACTATAAGGGTTAAACCTAGCAAATGACTATTGATATTAAGGGCCGGTAACACTAAGCAACGTGTTTTAGACACTAGCTTAGACCTTATAAAGGCTAGATGGCCAATCTAGGACTAAGACCGTCGTCTAAATAGCACCTTCTCGCTTACTGCTAACTCGTCTAAATATAGGAGCATATCGACCGGATCTTTAATAGCACTACTCGCGGACACCCTCGCGCATAAGCTCTGCTAGGCGCTCTTAATAAACCCCTTACTAAACAGGGTCCCTTTTGCTTACTATCCGAGAGTTAACCTTGTTACTAAGACTAGCGTTTTTAAGAAGTCGAGATATGGTCGATCTATCGACTATTACATCGAATTAACACCACAATTCGAAGACTAGCTCCTCCTGCTAGAGGTTATTACGGAAGGAGAGCAGATTAATTAACCACTCGCGTATTAATGGTATGATCTTGCTAAGGCGACCCATCTGCTTTTTAGCGTTCTAAGGTTTCCATATAGTAACAAAGCAGTTAAAGTTGTGCTTTAATAGGTTAAGAGAAGACCTATAAGCTTATAGGTAGATCTTCTATATAGTAGGAACACTATAGTCGTCGATAAACATAGCCTCGATAAACTTCTTGTCGTGGTTTAATAGCTTTATCTTCGCAAGGTAGTTAAGAGCTATATACAACGTCAGAAATCGCTCGGGTTAAGGGTATGAAGCCTATAATCGATGACACGAACTGCTACGTCTAACCTAAGCTATATAGCTGATGAATAGCGCCTTAATTTGATGTATATATAGCTGATAATAAGGTGGAAATGCGCGAATTCAGTGGTAGGAGCGACCCCACGAACTCGCTCGTACATCGACATTTGCACACGAGAATATCATCATGCACAACATTTTCATAATTCTTCGAAGTCAGGCACGCTTTACATCATCGACCAAACTATACTCAAACTCCTCGGAGGATGAGAAGCATAAAATGATATGTACAAATACCAGCATCGCCGCTGTGCTCCTCTTCAACCTTTGATCAAACCATCACATACATTATCTCGAGACGATCCTACAACGCAACCGTCAAAATGCGTCAACAATTTTCATCCATCGCCCTGTGCTTGATCGTCCTCCTCTTCACGACCTTTGTCCTCGCCAACCCAATCTCCGAAGCTTCTTCTCCCAACCCTGCACTGAGACTGCCCAAGCGTTCAGCTTGCAGCAACGGCATAAAGACCAATTGTGGTTCTGCAAGTGTTGGGTGCTCCGGATCTCAATGCACTGTTTGCTGTGGCACTTGTTGCCAATGCTTCACTGGTAAATCGTATCGTTTCCCAGGGTATGCTCGAGACGCTAATCCTGACAGCTNNCCTCGCGACAATTCGTGTGGCAGTAGCACACCAATCGTCCAGCCCGACTGCAGCGGGAAATGTGGTGCGGGAGGCAGCTCATCCTCGACTGGAAGCAGTTCTTCCTCTACTGGAAGTTCAAAGTCGAGTGGAAAGAGTCTACTTTGCAGGTTGTTCAAATATGGATGCTAGAGCATGCGCAAGTCAGGTCTCATATCAACGTAGATGCTATGTAAACCCTCGTATTTGACTGTCTATTTGACTGTCTCATCCCCATCGTGATGGATGCAAATCATTTGACGAAAGGACTTGATTTGAAGATTTTCTCCAGGAAATCCGAATACCTATTCTTCCTTTCAAGATCGTCAGATCGTGGAACAACATGGCCGCCAGAATGGTATAGAACCTGCGGNTTGGCAAAATTATCGACTACTCTCCTGGTCATCGCTGGTTAGATGAAGTCGTCCTCCCTGCCAAGAATGTGTAGTGCCGGTGTCTCGATTTTCGGATTATAAAACGCATAATACTCAGGGATCTGAACTCCTCCAATCCCACTCATCGCAATGACAAATTTGAGTGGTTCTTGTATAGCAGTTCCCTTGGCAACGAAGGCTGAGGGGTACGGCATAGCTTCTGCTTTGTCGAATACAGTCTTGCGGTCATGCTCGAGAAGCGAAGTAATCATGACCGCAAGAGCAGCACCTTGACTGAACCCTATGATGCCATGGGAAGGACCTCCCTCGTGTATTGCTTGCGCGATAGAGGATAGAGTAACGTCCAGTCCATCGCAGCGCAAAGGTGGGGTTTTTGAAGTGAGGTGCCACCAAGTGTATGCATCAACATCCTCAGTCGTGTCTTGTCGCTTTGCATCATCGAGGTCGATTGGCGGCAAGGCATCGCGCTCAATCGCAAAGGGTGGGTTGACAAGGGTAATATAGACGTCACGAACTTCTGAGCCCACAATTTCTGAACTCTGAGCACACATGAAGACGTGGCGTAGCTCGTCCATCAGAGATTTAGTCTGTTGCTCGAATCTTTTGCCGCTCTGACTGAATTCATGTAGCATGAGAATCCGAAGGGTGCTCTTTCTAGAATCCTTGTAGAATCGTGTGATGGGTTGGGGCACAGCACGAGACTTGAGTAAAGGATGGTTTGAAAACATGGTCGCGGAAAGCAACAGACGAGTCCGCCAGACGACCAGAGGTGTATGTGTACAGAACGTAGTGGTCATACAGTTACAGAAATGTATCTTCAAGGATCCTCACTGCGTCCCACGTGCATATGCATATTAACAACCATGTTTGAGAAACACTTAGACGAGTAACATCACCTGACACTATCATGAACCATGGCAAAACCATGACCATTTGCCTGTATCATTTTGCAAGTCTGGACTATGCCAATGACCGGCCAGAAGCTAGAATGGACCTGTGTGCGTTTGAAACTCCTAACTTTTCAATCACGAGTATATCCGTTTGCCAAAATACTAGTGTTGGGCAAGAAGAAGGTCGCAAGATAAGTTTTTTCTCCGTACGTTTTAACAGTTTGCTCTCCCGTATATGTGTTTCGGTCGCACCCATCCGCTCACGGTCTGCTTACACGTCTCATGCAGCGGATAGCATGTGGTGTTTATCATCTCTACATGCAATATATATATGGCCATGATAGAAACGCATGCAATGTATAGACATGCGAGGGAGCGGCACACTCGAAAGAACTACCAAACCGCAAACAGCAATAATGGGAATCGCGGCCAGTAGATGAAAGGTTCTGGCGAACCCGACTGGGGAGTACAGAACATAAGGCAAGAGTGCCAAGAGATAAGTGAAAGTGTGGTCGACGTTCGGGCGTTGGGGAGCAGCTTCCTTCCTAGATCGCTCGGAGGTCGACAGTACAGAAGCTCAGGTTATTCCACGTGTGTACTGACAATCGTAACGGTTCAATGACATCCAGCAGCTTTCTGCACTACGATACGAGGATGAAAGTTTTCAATGATACAACATACAGAAATCGACTTGAGGACTAGCTATAGGCTTCTGTGGTGAAAGGACGAAGCATGGAGATAGGACTATCACCTTGGATACATCAAACCACCAGACAAGTACCACGATCAACACTGCCGAGATCAGAGCCCAGATCACTGTCTGGTTGGCTAGTCTTGCAAGTCTATATGTTGCCAGGCGCGGGCAACGGGTTTGAGCTTGCAGCAACCTTGCTCGGCGAGTTAAGACAGAAGGGTACGCTCTTCGAGTTGAACCTGTCGTAGGTGTTGGTATCAGGCGAACACTGATCAAGGCCATTCTCCATTCTGTTCAAGGTGCACGGACTGGGCTTGGGATATCCAGGGGCGGTAGTGTCTGCTTGAGCTGCAGGAGCACCACTGGGAACAGGGCATCCATAGTTTCCGAAGATTGAAGTTACAGTACCCAAGGCACCGACAGCTGTGGACAGGACGCTGTTGAACTCGTTGACAAAGTTGGCATAGAGTGTTTCTTCCAGCGCGCAGATGGTTCCATTAACAGTGGTTCCACCATAGTTGCCACTGCCACCGTAGGACGAGAGACTCATCTGGCCGTTGAAGTCACCTGCCGTACCAGTGTTGAAACCAAACAGCTCTGGCTCTCCAAGGATTTCGGCGATGCCAGAGTACATAGTAATGATTCCATCAACGCCTTCAGATAGGAACATGGGAAAGCCTCTCCTGTACCATCCTTGGGGAGGAATCTGCTCGGGTTGGTAGGACACAGTACCATTGTCATTGAAGAAAGCACCGTCGAAAGATGCGATGGAAGCTTCATTGGCCACACCGCCAAAGCCAATAGTGCCGTTTGAGAAGAAGCCGGCTTGAAAGTAGGTGGCACCGATAGTCAGTGCAGCGGAAGGCGGCAGGAAATAGAAGTTTGGGTTCTTGCTGCGGGAGTTCTGGTACTGAGCAGCGGAGTGATGGATTAACGCTTTCACATTGTATTGACCACCTCCGTAAGTCTTGGCCTTGTCTTGTAGATCGAGGAAGACACTGCCATTCAAGTTGTGGTTGTCGCCATTGCAGAGGTAGAAGTCGCAGCGGGTTCCAGACGCGTCTCCTTCCTTGAATCGTAGATGACCAGAGAGTCCAGTCTCGGTACCCAGAGCACTCCCCAGAACTCCAGCAGAATTTGTGCGAGAGTCCGCACCACCAATTGAGTATCGCATTGATGGAATATCGCCAGCAAACAGAACAGAGCCACCTGCTAGGAAAGTTGACAGGTCNGCTTGAATCACCACGTTAGCTCGTTTGGAGATTGAAGACGCCTGCAAGATTACTTACGCTCCCATGTTGAACACCCGTGCTGCTGCGATGACAGTCTGAGCTACCGTGGTGATGCCGTTGCGAGGAATGTAGCCATGGTTTGCGAGAGTGTTCATTCCCGGACACGGCCCTCTTTGGTCCGAAGGTTTAGGATCCTGATATGGATACGCTGCCTCAGGAAACTTCTTGAGGCCAGTAATGTTCGAAGGCAGGAAGTCGGGAAGTGTGTGAGGCAAGCAATTTGTTGAGGCACGCTTCTCCAGCGTCGAGTCGGAATCATCCTCGGAAACTTCGGTGTAGCTGACCATAGTAGCAAAGAAATCATCTCGTTCCTGTAGTTGATCCTGGTAAAGTGATTGAAGAAGCGAGACCAGCTCCGGATCTTTCTTCACGACTTCCAGTCCACGCTTGGCGTTGTCCGCAAAGTCTGCATGGAGCCATGGGAATGCGACAGCTCCAGAGGCAAGGGTCAGCAAGACGACAGTAGATGGCTTCATGCTGTGATGAGGTTCGAGGATTGGTCTCGGTCTGATTGCTGATGGTGCGAAGAACTTGAGGCCTTTTGTAACATGGCAGGGGAATCTGACACGGCTCGTGTGCTCAACTATGCTACTCAAGTTTTGAGTCGGCTGTGACAAGGTGTTGTCATTTGGACGTAACGTCGATTCCAGTCAGACCTATATCAGAGAAGTACTATTCCAATCGGTGAAGTTTGCCTGGTGGCTGATTGGACAAAGTTCTCTCGCGATTGACTCAAGCTCGCTTCGAAGGCTATTCTGGCCCATTACTCGGAGCGCTGCAGCAGAGATGCATACAAAAAGAGTAGAATGTGAGCTGATATACACCTGTGACGCCATAATTTTGATGTTTGTGCCTGAATCGCTGCCGTAGCTGCATGAAGCCACATGAAGCTATGGCCACTCTAGGTTCCGAGGGGCTGAGAAGACGGCTCGATGTGCTATGACATGTCGTGGGTGAGTCGCCAAACCTGGTCATCTCAGTCGAAATGCTTGCCTTACAAAGAAGCAAACTTACGCTTGCGGCAATCGTGCAGTCAGCCTTGACGTTGCGCACTTTGTGGTTTCCCCATCTGTCAGCTGCGGGCAAGCAGCTACGTGCCGACCAATATCTCATCACAATCACCAAGTTCGCTTATATTCTTTGACCATAAGCATGTGTCGTCAATCGATAGGTCCAGAAGCATCTGTTTCTTGACCATGAAATTTGAGACAGCTTCTTTCGTAGTAGCGTCAAATCCATCGATAACTCCTTCCAGAGGTTGGCAAGTGTGATATTCTGAGAGCTCACATCGCTGGAGACACATGCCATCTATTGATCCACGGTTGGTGTCTTCGGCGCGCATAGCAGCCTGCCGGAATGTGGCGACGATCGAGCTGAAGCCAGCAGGCAGACCAACCTGCCGGCACCCTTTCTCAAGAGCGTTGATGCCTGAGCACAACAACTCTGAATCAGCCTTTGACCACCCTTTTGGCTGCTTCAACATGCAGACAGTAAGCACGTACACTGCCAGTAATGGCTGATCAAAGGTGATCAAGGGCGAAAATGCACCATTCTTGACAAAATGCAGATATGTTGTGAGGATGTTCCTAGCTGAATCAACACAGATACCTTTACTTCGTTGTAGATGGCGTGCCTGGTGGTATTCCTTCCCAGATAGCTTGCTGATTAAGCTGTCGCTCGGGCGATCTTCAACAAAAGCCGTACGATGTAATGTAATGAGCGCATGATGGAAATGGAAGCTCAGAAGTGTCTTGAGGGCGAGTTGACTAGGTGGACAATGCACTGGCCCTGGGCGTGGCTTCAACGGGTCGCATAGAGAGTCTGACCAACATTTCAATGCCTTAGCTAGCTCGTCTTGCATCCTTAGCATTGGGTCGAGATTCGAAGAACACCTCCAAGTTGTTTGATCAAAAACTCTTCGGAGACCCGGCTTTGGATTTTTGCAACTTCTACGAAAGCCTTCCAGATGCTCGAGTGGTTGGGGACATCTTGATCAAAACTGCAATCGTGCGTGCTCGATGGACGACCAGCCTCGAGAGCCATTGTCTTCTCCAGAGCGTATGCTGTCCACCATACTCGTCTGTCTGTCTGCTGATCCGTTACCGTAATATGATCATTGCCATATGAAGGGGTCCTGTGTAAGCCCATAGAGTTGAGTATACTGATGGCTTGTCTGACAGCATTGAAAGCAGCTCCGCTCTTACTCCTTCCTCGATGTTCTATAGCCATGAGCAAAAGAGCTTGCGCAGACTCCAGATACGGAAAGCTCGAAAGATAGCCAGTGAGAGAGCAGGCCGGTTCGATGTAAATCTGCGCAACTTCTTGTTGACCCTTTGCGCGAGCGCCCAGAGCCATGCAAGCATACACTTTCGCCATCGCAGGCCTCTCGGAGACTGGATTCCACTCTAAAGTATCGAATCTGCTCAGATATGTTGCAGCTCTGATGATGGTTTCTCTGCCCACAATAGGGAACAGTGGAGCGACTTCCTGGAAATACGCGTCCACATAGTCAGCCCACTCGGGACATAAGATTGGCATACTGAGAGATGCTGGCATATCCAGCTCTTCGCAGTGTTGGGACGCTTGGCGGAAATGCTCAGAAAGATCCTTGTCGAGGATGTGAGAGTCCAGGTGGAGCCATTGAGCAAAAGCTTGGAGGCTGCTTGGTCCATTATATCTGCGTTGAGAACTGCTGGCCGAGGTGTATATCAGAGTCGGTGAGATTATCACTGTTGGCAGTCTCGAGCTGAATGACAGTAAATCCGGTATGAATCAGTGAACCGTCAAAAACTTCATCTTGTGTTGTGTTCTCGTCAGAATCAGTCAGACCAGGTGAAGGACTAGCAGATTCGGTGATGGATGTGCTTTCGAAAAACAGTTTCTTGACTGGACGCCGCAGCGCTTCCGTTTCGTCCTAATGCCTTCGCTTTCGACTTTCTTTCTGATGGTCGAATTGCATACCTATTGCCATGCCTCTAGTCGATGGTGCAGATCCTCAGAACGCCTCATGATCAAGAGATGATTGACGATGGAGCGCGTGTCAGTTGTTTGCGAGTGGCGTGTGCACGACGATAGGGGTATAGACGTCGGCATAGTTCCAGAATCTACGCCCTTCCATTCGAGGCGGATATCAGTCTGTAGCGGCGGATGTCAGGCCCGTGTATGATGGTCACCGACGTTCGGCGAGGCAGAGAAAGAGGGGAAGAAATTGGCCGCCGGGGGTCCAAGCGTCGGGTGGCTGAGAGCGGCCGAGATGAGCCCACCGAACCGACCGAGCCGAGCTCCTTCCCCTTCCTCCACACCACACCGCATCCTGCAACAAGACACAGGTCATGCGACAACGACAAGCTCATCGTTGGTCACAATGTACCAACGTCGATATAAGTCTCAGAGCCCGAGGTCAAGGCAAGCTCCACTCGACACAGATAACTCGACCTGAATCCACAGATATTAACCCCTCATGTCTTGCACCTCAATCTCCTTTAGACTCATTGTCCAGGACTATCACAAATGGCGATCGGGTCAGAAGTAGAACACTGGGATGTAGTGATCGTTGGCGCCGGGATTGCTGGGCTCGCTGCTGTATGCACACTGAACCTTCCAATACTCGTCGACAATAAACTAATGTCATGTCCAGNNGCAATTACTCTCCGTCAAGATGGCCGCAGCATCCTGATCCTCGAAAAGTCGAGCATGAACAAAGAAGTGGGCGCATTAATCTCTTTGCAACCCAACGCTTCAAAGATTGTTAATGGCTGGAACATGCAACCATTTCTGGCAGAAAAGAAACCAATGGTCGACGAAGCCTTCCGCCTTCTCAATGTAGAGGGCAAGTTGCAGGTCGAGATGAAACTCAACACCTCGCAGTTTGGTGCCGATAGAATGCTATACCATCGCCAGGATCTTCATGATGCTCTTCGCCAAGCAGCTGTGTCGGAGGATGTGCCCGGCTCCCCTGCAGTCATTCGTACATCCTCTGGTGTAACTGGCTGCGATTGTGGATCTGGAACTGTTTTCCTTAGTAACGGAACCTCAGTCCAGGGCGATATCATTGTCGGGGCAGATGGCATCCGCAGTGCAATCAGAGACGAAGTCATCAAAGGCTCTGCAAGCGAAGGATCAAAAGCCATCCCCACTGGCCTCTCCGCCTACCGCATCCTCGTTGACACAGACAAACTGCCAAAACTGGACGTCGCAGAAAACATATTCGACCTCAAGCGCTCAGCAACAACCATGATAGTCGGTCACGACAGACGAGTCATCATGGGTCCCGGTAGAGGAGGCGAGATGTTCGGCCTTGTCTGCCTTGTCCCAGATCCCAACCCCAACGAAGAAGGCACATCATGGAACAATGCCGCACCCCTACAAGAAGTGCTCGACGCGTTCAAAGCGTTCCCTGCTTGGATACGTGAGATCATGTCTCATGCCCCTGACGTGGCGCTCTGGCAACTCCGAGACATCGACCCATTGACTACATGGACAAAGGGCCGCGCCATCCTCATTGGCGATGCAGCTCACGCAATGTTACCCACTCAAGGTCAAGGCGCGAGTCAAAGTATCGAAGACGCCGAAGCATTGCAAGCCTTCCTGGCAGACAACACCTCGAAGTCATCTGGCGATGAGATTCACGAACAGCTTCTGGCAATCGTGAATGCGAGATACGAGCGTGCATCGTTGATCCAGGCATACAGCAGACTGCAAGCAAAGCCCGCTGCATCACAGGACAACAAGACGGTTCAGCTTAATCCGCAGGAGTTTATGCAGTACAATTGCAATTACTCAGGCGCGAAGGACTGGGTCAAGAGACAGCGCGAGGCTGAGGAGGTGGCGTACAAGCAGACTGCAGCTAGAGCTTGAAAATGATACTCATGGATCAATTGATTCGTCATGCTATTTCACTATTGAACACTTCATCCCGACATCACTTTGCCGCACGAAGTCTATATGGAAGTTGTTCCTCATCCACTCATACATAGCTACTCACACCACCTCTGAACTTCTCAAACACACCGAGATCGAACTTGTTAGCAACGAGCTGATATCCAGCCTCATTCGGGTGCAANAAGTCTCCGCTGTCGTACAGTGGGTTCAGATAGTTTGGCGCATCTGGGTCTGCCAGCCAAGCATTGAAATCGAACACTGCATCAAAGGTCTTCGAGTTGCGGATAAAATCGTTTACGCGGTTGACTGTTGCCACTCGCTGTGGTTGAGTGTAGGTTCCGGCGGTTGCGTTTGCTGCGCCGACNTGTACATATGATTAGCGAAATGTCTGCAGAGTGAGAATCCGTGACATACTGGGTGTAATTGTTGCTCCGAAGACGGGAATGCCAAAAGTGTGCATTCGGGTGACCATTTGCTTGTATGCTTGGATCAGACGCTGTNNTGCAGGTAAGCCGATGAACATCGAGATGCGCAGTCGCAAAACTCTTACCTGATACACCATCTCCTGACTAGCATCATCCAACCCAGCAGTACCGATATCATTGACACCCTCAAAGATCATCGCATACTTGGCCCCAGGTTGAGCGATGACATCTCTCNNCACTCTACCCATCGCGTTTGGTCCATTGCCATCAGCCAAAACACGATTACCTCCAGCACCTTGATTGCCGACTGCAATATTTGCCGTTGCGGGATTCTTCTGCATACGCGCAATGAGATTGTCAGTCCACTTGTTGTTGCCATTGTTCCAGGATCCGCGTCCGTCGGTGATAGAATCTCCAATAACGTAGAAAGCGCTGGTGGCAGGAGGACTCCACACTTCGAGGCCAGAAATGAAGAACCAGTGTTGTTGTGTCATGGCGTTATCGCCGGTGATGTTGTAGTTGTTTATTTGGTTGCCCATACCATAGTAGGAGTTTGTGCGAGAGCCAGGGTGGGAAGTGATGATGCTAGAGTTTTGACCGTCTTTGAGATAGATCGAGATAGACAGCTCTGACTGTGCGGCAATAGGGAAGTCGATGGGATCTGAGACTGCGATAGAGCCATCAGGGATGATGATGGAGCTGTTGCCACTGAATGTGAGTTGTTTGATGGTGCTGGTGTCGACGATACGGGAGCCGGTGCCTGCGGGATATGGTGCACCAAGAACAGTGCCATTGAGAGTGGTTTGTAGTGCATTGGGATCCTGGAGCGGCAGTCTGTTTTGGTCAGTTGTTTTGAAATGTAGCTCAGGTCAAGGGCGCACTCACGCAATTGAAACAGCTGTGATGGGCAAATTCACAACTCCATTTTGATTGCTGATAGTCAATCTTATCTGCTGTCCGCCAATCGAGGTATGAATGGTTTGACGAATTGTGCTGTTGGGGAACACGAGATTCGATTGATTGTAGTAGCCGGGACCAGGTAGGTTAGTGTACTCGGCTACTTGTTGCATGGAAACCCAAGAGTTGACCCAATGGTAATTTTCGGTGCCATGTTGAGGACCTGGATGAGCAGGAGGACCTGCATTTGGAAGGCACGACACAACACCAGTGTATGTTGCAAGCAACGAGATGACCGATCGGTAAAACATGTTCGGGATGGATATCAATCTTGAGGTCCGAATTTTGGGGAAGCTGCCATCTTTATATGTATTGCATCCCGCAAATAGGCTGATGAATCAGAACTTCGTATCGGAAGAGCAAAGCGGAAGAGCTTCAATCAGTCGGAGCTCCGCATTTGCCATAACCAGATGCAGGCACTCTGTGAACCGTGAGTTCACACAAGTCTTTGTGGAGATGGTGATAGCCGATGCAAGCCTGGTAGAGATCCGTTTGGCGCGATTATTCTGCTCGTGATGGGGAAGAAGGTGCGGGGGATAAACTGGGGGATAAGTCTGGTTAAATTGTCCTGATGAGCGGGGTCCGGGCCGGCAGACGGCAACTCGAGGACGAGAACTTTGGTTAAATTGCAGCAAGGGACCAGAGTTGTTTCCATCAGAGCCTACGCACCTCGTCCCAACTACACGACTTACGAAGTAGAGTGGATCGAATTGATGCTCTCGTATGTTGAGGGAAGCTTCTTTGTGATCATCACTTTTCATTGATATCCACGTTCGCGAAGCTGACAAGCAGGTCCGCCTGTTCCTCGTACGTGGCGCGGCCGGAAAGAGAGTAGTCGTCCAGTGAGAAGAGACCATGTAGGGCTGACTATACCTTTTCCGGCCGCCTCACGTAACTCTATGTCAATCTCTGCGAAAAGCGCCTGCGAACATCATTGCAAGCAATAGTCGCCAATGCACCCTGGTCTTGTCGGATCTTAACGTTGGAATAACATGAGTCCTGACGTCTGTAATAGCCCGGACACAGAGTTGACACCTGTGTGAGTATGGTACGAAATTGGGTCCAGGGTCGTACACACAACATCTCCAGACGAGACCACAACTTGAATGCACCGATATGTGAGTGCGTAGAACTATACGGTCTCTGCTGGACCGTTCTCTGAAGCCTCTTCCGCAGTCGTTTCAGAAGACCCGGCCCTCATATATGTCTTTGCAAGCCCATTGTCGCGAAACGTGCCCGACACTATAATATCGGAAGTGTCCGCGTCGTGGACGACAAACCGAATCATGTTGTCCACCAAGTCGTAACCAATGAAGGTGTCGCTATGAACTTGTTCGATGAACCAATCAAATTTGTCGAGATCTTATGTGCAGATGGTATCCCGCGTAGCAAGGGGGCCATGACTAAGTGAAGGCAGGCTTTGGACCGCTTGGAGTATGGTGAACAAAAACTGGAGGTCGACGACTGTACACAACAATTGCAAGGTGGCAGAAGGGCAGTCATATAGGAGAATTCAGCAACCAATGATTGCATCCAGTAAGATTTCTTTGTACTGGTCCATCATAATTGCGATAAGAAAAGGCATCGAAGGATAAAGCGCTGGTATGGTGGAGTTTAAGGTTCTCAAAACACGAAAAATATCCTACGGGGGAATGGAAAGACGCAACGATGATAGCAGCAAAGATGCATGTTCACCACGCCTTCCGGCATCCGTCTTTTTAAGCAGAGTATAGATCAATCGCACTTTGTAGCGCATCATCAATCACAGCAACAGCAGCATACCCGTGATCCTTGTCTGCTGTCATCTTCGACACCAGAGCAGCCGAAAAGGTATCATGATCGTTCTTCAATAGCTTCAGCCCAGTAAGGATGACAACTTTNTGACCTGCAAACACGTCGTACTTGGCTTTGAGGACATTGACAGAAGCTGGAATATCCACGCCGACGCTGGAAGCAGTGTACTCGACAATTGCAGTTGAATCCTCGGCGTTAAAGGGTGTTGCTCGAAGGCTCGCATCGACAAAGCCTTTGCGGTTGGCGACATGGATAGCGGCAATATCTGCACCGATGGGCAGCTCAGCAATGAGACCGCCATTGTATGCCTCGATCGATGCGGTCAGGGCATTGACACCGTCGTCGATGCCTTTAATGTCGGAGATCAGTGTTTGGGCGGTGATGATATCGCGAGACTGGAGGGGTGCTGCGAGGGCAGTCCATGCCAGGAGAGAGGAGACGAGAAGTTGGAGACGCATCTTGTTGATGAAGAAGGACGTTCGGATCGGATGGAGATGTGAGATAGGGAGGAAATGGGCAGGACCTAACTACATGTTATGTTTGTCGACCTGAAGAGAAATCCTGGATNNATGGGGCGTCATTGCTCGTCCAAAGCGCCGAGGGGAATCGTTGCTTGTTCCTGTTGAAGGCTGATCTGCAATGATCGCCGGTGCTGTCAACGTNCGACTTCGCACGTATTTTCACGCCATACCGAGGCATGTATTTTGCGTCTTACGTACGTTCGAACACAGTGCTCAAATTGTAGTTCGAGATGCAGCATGTCGCATAACATTTTGCACGTATCGTCTTCGGTGCGAGCAAGTCAAAGACCTCGTGCCTGGCCGTTGCAAAACTTACACGCGACGCGAGCTATATTGATCGCCATACCAAGTGTGGCGTTGCTGATCGCTTGCAACTTGAGATCGTCTCGGCCGAGTGGACACCTTCGTGGTCGCTTCGTCGGTCAGAATTGCCAGATCATGTCTATCGAGTTCGACAACGATCTTTCTAGCGGCATAAAAGGTACTGACCGCGCGAGCCCAGTCTGTTTGCTCTATTGCACCTCTTCGCGCCTCAAAACACCGTACCACAATGCGCTTTCTTTCGACATTCAGCGCTCTGCTGATCTCCGCTTCGACCGTCATCTCAGCATCGGTTGACGACGTCTACAACGATATCATCTCGCTTGACCAAGATGTCCAGACATTGACCGACATGGTCCGCGGCTACCAGGGCGGCCTGATTGCTCAGGGCCCACTCCTCCTACAATTAACGAAGGTCCATATCGCAACACGCAAAGGTGGATACGCTGCATCGACTCTACCTACCACGCTCCTTTCAGAGAGCGACGCCCTGCGACTCATCGAGCATGTCAACACGACTCTTTCAGTTGACAACCCGATCGCTGTCAATGTGCTCAAGTCGAAAAAGCCCTTGTTCGATGCGAGCGGTACGGATCCATTCATCAAGGCAGGACTGCAAATCCTGCTAGATGATCACTTGTACTTCAGCAACGAAGTGTTGGAGAGGACCCCTCATGATCTGATCGTAGAGGCCAACCAAGTTGTGGATGTGATCAGCAATGCGTTGCAGGGAGGCATTGCCGTTTTTTCATAAACGTGTTGTCCTGAGGTTTCGGTTGTCTCAGCTGCTCCCTGATTGTATTGCCATCTCTTCCATTATGTGTCCAATGATAACCTAGTGATATCTCCAAAATCGAATAGCAGAACGAGGTCCCGGAACTAGTGAGGCATGCTCGAGTATCGCGTCGAGATGGTCTCTCATCATTGCCATTCGGAGAGGCAGCGTTCAGAGTGCAGTCGCGTCAGGAGTATGATCATGGACCCTGAGTGAGCATTCGAGGTATTACGTGTAGCGCCGGACAATTGAAGGAATCGAGAGACAAGGCCAGAAACGGACAAGATAGATTGGATGTCGTTGCGATGAAGCGGACTGTACAAGGCAGGGAGCATGACTGTCGGCAGAGTCGAGGAGAGGCCTGTTGGTGAGTCACTTCAGCGGCGACTGCCGTCTCCAAGTCTTCAAAAGACCGGTACTCCAGTCGTTCAGAGATACACCGTCAGGTGTTGCGGATGGACTGGAGCAGACACACACAATGGTCAGGTAGACAAGGCACAAGCAACAGCTTCCAGGAGGAAAGAGCGAGGGGGAAACGGTCTGCTTGGCGTTGTGGAGAGCGCCCGAGGTTTCCAGTAACCCGCCCGAGGGGTTCCTCGTCTTCGGGGCCATCTTCCCCGTCTGCCGCTGAACCGTATACCTCGTTGGTCTGGGACAGTCGTACTGAGTATAGTATCAGGGAATGAGCATTGGATTGACGACAACTTGCTTCTCACGCTGCCTTGTCGCGATCTGAACGCTCCCGAGATGCAACACGACGCGTTTCGCCGCCGCCGGACGCTCACCAAACATCAACACAGGACGTGATAGGAAAGAAGGACATCAAATCTAATATATCCTGGACCTTGACCTCGACTTCCCATCAGGATGAATCCGCCTCCAGCANAANAGGCTCGCCTGACGACAGCATGTAATGAATGCCGACGGCGGAAGGTCAAATGCGACGCCAACTATCCAAAGTGTTCGAATTGTTGCACTAGGAACTCTGAGTGCTTTACGAGTGACCCCAAACGACCAGATGTCCCAGTCATCCGCGAGTGGGTCGAAGTACCAGAGAAGCCGACTACTCAGACTCAGCCCTTACTCGCAGCGCAAAGTCAACTTACGACAATACCTTCGGAACCGGATGGATCTAGTCGCGACATTCTTGGGCCGAACCACCTTCAATCTAACATTACGCAACATCCTGCAACCTCTCCCCCAATACATAACAATCACACGCCAACCGTCAATGGCAATTTGGGAACCCCTGTCGTCACAGAGACGACCAATGTCTCGCCAGTACAACAGCCACATGACATGACTTTCAACCTTGACTTTGTGAACAACAGATTCAAAATGCTAGGGGCCAGTAGCGGTCAATGCTTGACCAAGTCACTAGATGTCTATCTCAAATCTTACAACGTAGAACCAGTTTCTGCCTTGTTTCGGCACGGAATGCAGCACGCCGAAGAGATGGACTTGCCTCTATCACTCGACCTGACACCTTTCCCGGACTACAATACAAGACAGACTTTCATGGATGCCTACTTTACTCGTATACATGTATACTACCCCATCACCGATGTTGATGAGACCAAAGCCATGGTCCACCGAATTGCGCCGCTACCAGATCTCAAGTCTGTCTCATATACCAAGGTTCCATTTCTCGCGATAGCTTATCTCCTGATGAGTCTAGGCGCGGATGAGGCCAATGGTGGTCCATCAGATCTTGGCACGAGATATCTCAAGGTTGGCGCGGTACTCGCTGGTCATGCCGTGAATTATCCCTACTTGACCACAGTGCAATCTCTTCTCCTTCTTGCTATATGTTACCGAGGCCGCAATAAAGATGGTCTAGGCTGGGCAGCTACTGGATCAGCAGTCAGAATAGCGCAATCTATGGGACTGCACCGACATTCTGCTGCGAAACCATCGGATCAGCATGGCATTCAACGTCGAGATCAACAGCTCTTTCACGCCCGAATATGGGCCATCTGCTGCTGCCTAGAGAAGACCGCCCAACTCGAATGTGGAAGACCATCCGCCATCAACGTGGTGAACACTGATTCGATGATGATGTCCGCACAGAAAGCACCGGGGCACAACTATCTAGCATTCAACATGGCTCTGGCAGAAGTGCAGCATGATATATCCACACATCTGTATGAACATCAGCCTGGTGAAAGAACGGCAAAACAAATCTTGCTGGACACCGCTCGCTTGGACAAGAAACTCCTACTGTGGCCCAACATGGTGCCTGCCGAACTCCGCCCCGGCAATGATATCCTCTGTGGAGATGATCAATACCATCTCGCCGCGATTTTGTCTTTCCAATACCATCAAGCTGTCATTGCTGTACATCGAGCCGCATTGATACAGCCCCTGGCAGCTCTGCAGCGTGAGATTGACAAGGTTTTGCCAGACAATGACGCTCGATACAGACTCAAGGGCGGTGAAGCGATTTGTGTTAGCAGCGCCAGAGCTGTCGCCAGGCTTACAATCGAGCTGCTGGAAAGAAAGATCGACTCACGCCTTATCAGCGCTGGGCCTGCATTGTTGGCATGTGTGGTGCTTGCTACATATATCGTCAAGAATCCAGGAGGCAGAATGCAGCTTTCAGATATGGAGGTATGTTCAACGAACTGTAGACTATTCCCAATTCAAGGAAGCTAACGTTTGCTGCAGCTACTCAAAGCGGTCGCCGAATGGATGTCTGGTCAATTCCGGAAGACCGGCATGGACGAGAATTTCTCCAACAGTGAGTTTGCCCTTGGCGACACGCTGAGAACACCACTACTGGGACCTGCATCTACAAAGTCTCGGGCCATACTGACAATTTTTANNGGCGCAGCCAACATATGCAGAAGAGTTATGGAATGTCTGTCACGATGGAAGTCAGCACAAGCCAAATGGACATCGCAAAATCAACAACCGAACGAGTTGCGCAGTATTCTGGGAAACTCAAGCAGCACAACAAGTCTCAGCAACCACACCAACAACACCAATAGTAACAATCACAACATGATGCAACCCTCACCAATCAATCACCACACCTCGAGCAGCAGCGGACAAAGCCATCAAGCAGGAATCTCTGGCGCTTCGAACTTGTCACCCGCATCCAACATAGTGAATCGCGAACATTCTACCATGCAAATTGCTAACATCTTGCTCGACAATGCAAGTCATACCACTGTAATGGGCAGTATTGACGAAAATCCCGATATAAGTGCCTTGCCGTTTGAAGGCTACAATCTTGAGGAGTTGTGGGACTGGATGGACTCGGGCGGTGACATTGGAGAATTTGAGAATATTGACTGGACGAACGGTACTGGATTTGAGGATCATTAAATATGAAGAGTGTATAATCTTTGGTATCTATTCGCTGCTATACTGTATCGGTAACTGTTTATCTTACACCTGTTCAAACCTTGACATCCACGAATGGCAGGATAATCTTGCTAGGGTAGTCAGGACCAGAGTGAATAATGTGATCACCCCTGTTCAACTCATGCTCCGGCCTCGGCCCAGAGAAACTCGTAAACTCGGCAATGGAAGGCTGCTGTCCACCAATCCTGACCGAAATACTTTCGCCAGCATCGTAATGCACACCCATAGCCCAGATACCAATCTCCAACTTGACAATCTCGTTTGGAGAAATCTTTTGCTGGCGCTTGTGAGGGTGGAAAGGGAATTGCGGGTGTATGCTCTTGGACTCGTCGATTTCGCGCTGAGAGGCGCGGAGGATGCCTGTTGCACCGGAGAAGAGGTTCAAAGAGGCCATTTCCTTTTCGGGGATCTCGTCGATGGAGTTCACTGGTGTGGCTTCGATGGGGAAGTTGAGATGATACAGGGTCTTGCCGTCCTTGTCTAGCTTTCGCAGGATGATGAAGACGGTAAAGTCGTCGCGGGAGGTATCTGCACAGGAAATGTAAACGATTGCTTTGGGAAGACCGAGCAGGCTTGTTGGTTTATCGAAAGTGTAGATGAACTCTGAGAAGCCGAGGTGCTTTTCCGAGTCGTAGGAGAACTTTTGGAGGGTTGAAGGAGGTGCGTCGACGAGCTTCTTGTCTTGGCCGAGGTAGAATTCTTTGTAGTCTGTGTTTGGGACGGGGAAGTCTTCGATGAGGACGTTTTCGATGGCTTTGCGGTCGCCGAACTGGAGGAGCGACCAGTTGAGTCTTGGAGTCTTCTCCCAGTCATTCTGCTTGCCCTTCAAGAAGCGGTCGAAGTATTTCTGCAACTCGTGGTTTGACTCGGGTTGACCGTACAGCTCGTACCACTCTTGGGTACTGCCCCAGTGGATCCACTTTTGATCGTGCTCGATCTCCAGCCATCCTCTGATGGAACCCATGGTGTGCAAAGCACTGACTTCTGAACCTCTGATGTAGACAGGACACTTGATCTTCTTCATGTCGATTCTCTTGTCCTCCCAGAATTTGCTGTCCACAGGCTTCCTTCGGTACATCTCGTCCAGATCTTCCAAGCCAGAGTTTGGGTTGCCGCGGACGATGGCTTTTGCGATCAGATCGAAGTTGCTCATTGAGAACCAGCCTCCTCTGCAGAATTGCTCGCGGTAGATGTCGTCCATGCCCTCCCATGGTGCGATAGCTTTGAGTGATGGAGGTTGTAATGAAGCAATGTTCCACTGTGAGATGGCGAGAGCCGAGTTGCCAGCCATACCGATGCTGCCGTTGCACNNCTGGAGATTATCAGCCGAATGTCATCGTACGTCTCATGCATTGACTTACCAGTCCATCTTTGCAATCGCTTCTACCACGTCGTAGCCGTCTTCGGCATCTTGGGTTCCCATGACGGAGATCTGACCATCACTATTCCCNTCTACATACGAGTGTGTATTAGTCCAACTTTTCAGAGATGTGAGGTGTGTTTCATGCACTTACGCTCCTCTCGAGTCGACACTGATGATCGCGTAACCGCGAGGACACCAACGTGCAGGGTCAAGTCCCTCGAATTTCTCCAAACCACTGAGCATATCCTTGGTAACACAGCAGTTCCACACACAAATGGGCAACATATCGAGGGCGCTGTACTTCTTGCCATAGAACGACCAACTCAAGATTGCGGGAATCTTCTCGTCCGAGTCGGCTGGGCGGTAGATATCTACATACAGACGAGCGCCGTCACGGACAACTATCTCGACATCGTGTTCGACGAGTATGTCNGGAGTCCAGAGCTTTGCGTTCCCTGGCCTCGAACCAGCTTTGTGGACCTCAGTCTTGCCTTTGAGGAAGCCTAGGTAGCCGTTTTGACCGACCACGGGCTCGCCGATGCGCTTGAATGCGACCTGGACAGGTGGTGGCATCTTGTCAGAATGAGATGTATTGTTTGGGTGGTAAAGAATGGGCAGAGAAGCTTGGATCCTGGTACAAAGCTGCTCAGAACGGTGATGCGACACTACCTTGATGGGGCGCGTCGCTCATTTTATTATCTTCAAACTGCACCGCTCTCGCGCTGCAATGTTCCGAGTCCGTGTTTGTCCACAACGCGATCCACCTCGCTGTGGACTCTCCGAACGAAGCCCCGGTCGCGTTCCGTGGTAGATGGTCAAGGTGAGTGGCAAGAGGGTCAGCGACGGTGAGGGAAGCTGAGAAGACTGCTCGGCCGAGTTTGTCTTATCATCCTCGGTGCCTTCGGTCGCGTCCCTGATGAACCCTGCAGAGTCGATGCCTTCGGGCGCTAGGGTGAAACTGTCAACGGTCATCTCCTGGCTCCACTTTATCCTCGTATCCCTGCCATGCACCGTTCGGCGTCCGACAGCTGTCTTGTCGGAAAGGAATCTTTCAACATGCAGTCTGTTGATTGAGCCATTGTTCAATATAGTCCTCGAGCAACCTCTCTGCAGAGTGGACTGCTGATGGCTCCTCTCCTCATGCTGAGAAGTATCATGCCCAGGATGTCGAAGGACGTGGTCTGGTCGACGCTCAAATCACTTGCTGAGGGTTAGAAATTAATCTCACGCTCAAGCGCAAGCACGACTTGTGAGTGTTGGATACTGAGTTTCCTCGATGACCACTCTCATGGTGCATAGTACAGTATGCAAGTCTCTTGGAGCTGTATCTTGTCCTATACCGATCGCAGAGTCGCAAACACAGGTCCATCTCTACCCCGCACTTGCTGCTCTGCTGTCCTCTCCTTCCCATCACCCGACCACATCATCGACGGCTTGATGTCATTTTCGAGGTGCTGTTGACCTCATACAAGATGCCTGATGCGACATTCTGGAAGTTTATCCACGCCTCTGACTTTATGCTGCCTGGCGAGCTCAAGATCCGCCCGGAAGAGACGGTAGTTTTAGCGACTTTTAGGAAGTTACCCATGAACGAGTCGCACACATAAAGCTTGAGGCATACCCAGGACTATCTTCGAGAAGAACCTGAGTTTTGACACTCGAGACACCATGCTTTTCAATCTCGTCGCCGTACTTGGTCTACCATTAGTATTCAATCGTGTACACGCATCTGCCATTGCTTCTGGTGGTGCTGTCACACAGATTCGCGACGGTCAACTCCAGGCCCCTACCTCGACCAGAGTGGTCACTCAGATTTCCGATGGTCAAATTCAAGCTCCTACTGCTGCCGCCCCCTTGCGCCGATCTCCGGCGGTCAAAGCCAGGCCTCGAATGGCCCATGCTTCGCGCCAGATCAAAATGCTTCTCTGACGATTGATGTCGGATACACCAAATACCAGGGTACGCTCTTGTCATTCCACATCATCGAAACCTCAGTCTGACAGTTATTACGGGCTACTTGAATGGGACAACCAACATGTACTCATGGGAGGGCATGCAATATGGCCATGTGGAGCGTTTTCAGCAACCCACGACCCCTACCAATCTACCACCCGTCCAAAACGCATTCGCTCAGGGCACTTTCTGCTCCCAGTTCACCGCGAATGGCATCGATCCTAGCGGGATTTATCCAGGTGCAGAGCAGTGTCTCTTCCTGAATGTCTATGTGCCACAGCAACTTCGCTGTTCTAACGAGCCTGCGCCTGTGGTCGTCTGGATCCATGGCGGTGGCTATGGCTACGGCTATCCCGATGCGTTCGGAACTGCCACCAACGCCATGGATCTTGACGAAGGTAAGACCATACTAGTCACCATCCAGTATCGCCTGGGTGTCTTTGGCTTCCTGGCTGGCAGAGAGATACACAACGACGGCGATTCCAACCTTGGCGTACGTGCTTACCCATTCTAGACATCCTTCCGAGTCCTCAAGCTTACATCGCTACAGATCTTCGACCAGGTCTTTGCTCTGAAGTGGGTAAGCCAGAATATTGCAGCATTCGGCGGAGATCCCGCCCACGTCACAGTCTGGGGCGAAAGTGCCGGCGCAGGATCCGTCATGTTGATGACTCAAGCTTTTGGAGGCACTCTCGGAAACTCCTACTGGCAGGGCACAATCGCCAACAGTCCATATCTGCCTGTCCAGTACAAATACAATGATCCAGTTCCGCAGACATATTACGACAAGATGGTCGAACTCACTGGTTGCACAGGCTCTGACAACTTCACATGTCTTAGCAATGCACCTTACGAGACTCTCTTCTACGCTGGCAGCAATCTCTCTCAAACGCTTTCGCCATATGGGACCTGGAGTGCCAATCCTGTGACCGACGGACGGATTCTTCTGGCGCCTCCTTCCAAGGCTCTGTACCCAGGCAAAGTCAATGGTGCGCACATGTATGCTGGTCATCTGACACATGAAGGTCATAACTTCGTCCCTATGAACATCTCGACTATGGCAGATCTGAACGCCTGGTTTGGCTCAGAATTCCCACTCGTCAGCACAGAGTTGAGAAACCTAGTTTGGGAAATATATCCAGAGCCGGAGTACAGCGATGGCGCCTATGATAGCCAGTATGAGCGTGGCGTAGCATTATATGGCGACTGGACCTTCTTATGCCCCGCGTACTGGCTCGCAAGTTCCTATCCCGGTGGCAACGGGTACAAATACATTGACAACGTAGGCACCGCATACCACGGCTCCGATCTAGATATCTTCTTCAAAGTTACAGGTGTTTCTTTCGATGAGATGTCTGACAGGAGATACGTCCTGGGCTCCATGACGGCGTTCTGGCAGACCTGGGATCCAGCAAACAATCCTACTGTTGCGAATCTGGGCTGGATGCCGTTCGACAAGAACTCTAGCTACAGCGAGATTACATATCAGCTGGTTAATAATTCGACAAGTGCTGCAACTTTTGCATATGTGAGTACTCTTGGGATGGCGGAGCCTATGCAGTGTACCTTCCTTCGAGCAATTGGGCCGCAGATTCCCGAGTAGACACACACCAGACATGCTATGCAGAGGCTATGTAGTGAGGAATGGTGACTATTAGCCTCCATAGATGTATTCAAACGATCAGTTTCACCCATTCCAACTTTTTCCACCTGTTCGGTGATTCCTGATCGACTCAGGGTCTCGCTCGAGGGTATACCGTTGTTACAGAACCAACGCCAAAGACACCGCAGATTCTAACGACCATAATTTTTCGACTTCGAGAGGACGATACCAAACAGCTCCCACACCACTGTTCTTCTTTCCATTCACCAGGACCCCTGAACATCCCTTGCCTCTGGGAACGTTGATCGATCATCGTACGGTGAACAAAAGTTACCCCTCTGATCGGGAGCACCCTCCACTTCGCCATGTCTACTCTTTCGAGTCTTGTTTGCTGGTCCACACAACCGATGATGGTGTATTATCTTCTCGAAGTCGGAACAGTCGCCGTGGCATCCATGTTAAACCCCTCATTCTGCTCCGAGCCCCAGGTTGGTGATCGCCGAGACCCCAGACAGTCCCCCACATCCTTGAGATTCGGCTGTGGGGGTAGGTTCACTAGCGGTCTTCGGTCGGCGAGTCCAACGAATCGGAGGGGCTGCATTGGCTCCTGAGGCGTATACAAGCTGACAATTTTCCATTCTCCGCAGCTGGCAAACCACATCTACCGTCCAGACTTCGCAATGACTTGCGTGTCGTCTCGCTCCTCCACACTTGGCCCAGCAAGATAACGCGCACAATGCAGACTCGGTCGTGTTAAGCGAAGTGTATAAGTCACGCCTTCGGATCGACAATCCTTCTTGTCTTTTTCATCACATCTCATCCACCAAATCACAACACCAGATTCGAACAGAACTCGCCCTTTCCATTGACTCATCCATCTGGCTGAGCGGTCTAGCATCATGGGAGATACGAAGGAACACAATGTCGAGTTCGTTGAGGAGCTCGAGCACTCGAAGACGCTCGATCACACGCAGACGCTCGAGCAGGTCACGACGATGGGAACAGTCAAGTTGACTGATGGAGCAGTCGTCTACATCCCATCACCCACTACGGACCCCCAAGACCCTCGTACGTGTTCTGATATCTAGTCATCCACGTATCGAAACCTTCAAGAATGCGCGTCGTCGTCTGAGCAGATTTACTGACCCATTGGTTTTTGCANNGTCAACTGTCCAGTGTGGCAAAAGTGGGTGATTCTGGTTATTATCTCATGTNTGTAAGACATAAATATTCGTCTTGATGAGTTCAATCGACTAATATGGGTAGTCTCGGCCGTCGGCCTCGCACTTGTCAGTGGTTTCGGAGGCTTGCTCGGTTTCTACATCCCAGGATATGTCAAGATTGGCAAGGACTACGCCGACATCACTCATCTAATGACCTATCCTACTCTTTTCATGTAAGTTTCGAAAGTGGTGGGGTCCGTCGCCAGGACTGACATGTGTCTAGGGNGTATTGGTAACATCATCGGTATGCCTTTTGCCCTCGGTGTCGGCCGTCGCATCATCATCCTTATCTCCACTTTGATTCTGGTCGCTGGAGCTGTCCTCTGTGCGACAGCCAAGAGTTACGAATGGCATCTCGCTGCTCGCTGCATGGTCGGTCTTGCAGCAGGCCAGAGCGAGGCGCTTGTTCCTATGATCACCCAGGTAAGACATTTCAACACTAGCTGCCATTATCATACCCTAACTTTCGTAGNNGAAATGTACTTCCTTCACGAACGCAGCAAGTACCTCATGACCCAACAAGCCATCCAAGTCATCATCACGACCATCTACACTGTTTTTGCTAGCCCCATCGCTGGCAAGATCACACCTGAAGGCTGGTATGGTCTTGGTGCTGGTCTTTCAGGTCTTCTGTTCGTTTTCGCTCTTCTCTTCTTGCCCGAGACCAAGTACGACCGCCCTCTTTCGTCATACCAGGAGGCCACGGAGCACCATTTCGATGTCGAAGAGACTGTAAGCAAGGCTTCGCCTTCAGTTCATCTCTGCACCACCAAACCCGAGCTTGACTTCGTCCGCTATGCTCCTCGTACTTTCCGCTCGGACTTGAGGTTGTGGGTTGGCAAGCCTGATATGAAGCATGTTCTTGACGTGTACAAGGTGAGCATGCGTTCTCTATGCCTGGTAGCCACTTGACTAATATCTGCCTCCAGCNAAATGTTCGGCTTGCTTCTATTCCCCAACGTTTTATGGGCTCTCTGTCTCAACGGCTTGACACTCGGTGGCAACATCGCCATCGGCACGACGTATGGTGGCATTGTCACTGCCGCACCCTACAACTGGAAGCAAGACGTTGCTAGTTACGTCAACATTGGCCAGATTGTTGTGGCCATCATCGCTCTCCCTCTGCTTGGACACGGGTCCGACAGACTTGTCAAGTGGCGTGCTCAGCGCAATGGAGGCATCCACGAGCCCGAGAACCGTATCCTTCCTCTCATCTTGCCTCTGATTGTCGGTGTCTTCAGTTGTGTGCTGTACGGTCTTGCTGCTCAGAACCCAACCCACTACCATTGGTTCACATATGTCTGGGTCGTTGCAGGTAAGCATATCATTCTACCATTGGCGTTCGTGGCAGCAGCTAATACTTTCTCCANNGCATACTACTTTGCTTTTGTCGGCGCCAACATCGTCGCCATCACTTATCTTCTCGACAGCTATCCCGCTCGCGCTGGTCCTCTCTTGGTCATCGTTTGTGCCATGAGAGGTGTCATGAGCTTTGGCGTCAGCTATGGCATTCAGCCTATGATCCTAGCCAAGGGATACGATGGCGCATTCGGTATTTTCGCCGCTTTGACTGCAGCTTTCGGCCTTTTGGGTGTTCCAGTCTTTATCTGGGGCAAGAACATCAGAGCCTTTACTGGCAAGTGGACCAAGGACAAGGAGGCGTGAGATGGTTAACTCTGTTGTGTATATACGAGGATGGATGGAGTTTCGAGATTTGTATATAGTTTACGATTTGTTGTACGTTTGATGATCAATATGTTATTATGTTACTATTGTCGCCTGTGTTCCCTCTGTTGTTCGTCAACTCCAGCGATCAAAAGTAGGAAATGAGCGCTCTGTCCCAAACAAGAATACAAGCAAGTGTCGCGTCTCGACGGAGTCATCCCAAAAAAGACTTCTTCCAAGTAATCCACATGATAAGCGCTCATACAGCATGCATGACCGTCCACTCACGCGCCTCCTTCTCGAACCTCTGCTTATCTTTCAACAACAATGCTGCAACCTTTTCGTTAAGTATACAGCCTTCCAGTAGATTTGGATCCGAAAGCATCGCTTGAATCGAGAGCAAAAACATGCGGATAGTGATTGCAGGACACCATTGATCCCACACAAACTCGGCTAACCGTATATCTCCCTGCGCGGAGACATTTGGGTGGAAAACAGGAGTCAAGAAGGTCATATGAGGAGGTATTCGCGGATAGTCTTCTAGGAATTGGATGTCGATGGCGAAGACACCATTTGCATATGGACTGTTTGGAGGGCCGTTCAATCTTGTGACCCAGTGGCGCGGGTCATCGTCGCTGGCGGGGCTCACGGGGCCAGTCGAGAAAGGATCACGTTGGAGATCTGAGAGTTCTCGAGCGATGCGTATCAGACTCATTCCAGATCTTGTGAAATGTGATGGGATGAATCTTTGTCCTGTGGTCATTGTTGGGAGAGTGTGCGTAGGAGAAACTCGAGAATGTGTCGCCGGGCGCATGCGTGAGTCACAAATACATCCGCACATATGACAAGTGCTGGAACACGATTTGCGTATTCTCCATTTTGCACGTTCGAACAAGACATAACAAGACACAACAAGGGATACATAGATGTAGTTTGATACCAGCTTCCATATACACATTTAGACACATTGGTATGACAACCCTGTCATGCGTGATTACCAAAGATGACACGAAAACAGGTGCAAAAATCTTGTTGAGTGGGTAACCCGGCATTTCGTGTCCAGACAAGGTGGCAGTAGTTATCAATCTTGCCCAAAAGATGACTTTTAACGTCTCTTTACATGCACCTCAGGCACGTAAGAACAATTGTCCTTGAGATCACAAACTTGTCGCCCAGATCCGACGACCATCACAAGTCGCTGACCATACTTGCTTCGGTCAAGAGTGACGCCCGAATAGCGGGGATCCCAGATATGCTCGGAATGTGGGCCCGAAAGGTGTGTGGATCTCGGTCGAGTACGGACTTCTTGGACCCTCGAAGTCCTGGATAGAGTCGTTTTCGCTTCCCTTCCCTGCACATCCTTTGCTATCGCGTGTCGGACACAATCATACCGACGCGGCGGTTCGTACCAGCCGTGCCGTTGTCTAGACTTGTGTAACAATGGTGACCTTGTTGTCGTTGCCCTCGTTGTTCGTCCACTCTCTCCTCAGCAAACGCCATGAAGTCGGATAGCCAAGCAACAACGATGGAGGATCAACGAGGAGACCAGCAGGATCTGGAATTACACCGGATCCAAACCAACGCGTCGGAGAACGTCTTCAACACTATGGGAACAACACGGAGAAGACTTGTTATGCTCTCGCTCTGCCTGTCGCAATTCCTCGCCGCGATAGACATCACGATCGTCGCGACGGCGCTTCCAACTATCGCCAGCAGTCTGCACGCCAACTCTGCACAATACACATGGGTTGGATCGGCGTACAACCTGGCAAGCACAGCATCAACACCACTCTGGGCCAAGTTGTCCGATGTGATTGGAAGAAAGTCTGCGCTTCTGGCAGCCAACGCGATATTCCTTGCAGGCAGTTTGTTAGCAGCTCTTGCTCACTCGATTCTGGTTCTCATTGGAGGCCGCTGTCTGCAGGGTATCGGAGGAGGCGGCATGATGATTCTGAACACCATCATCATCAGCGATATTTTCCCACTTGAGGACCGAGCAAAGTACTATGGTCTATCTGCAATTGTGTGGGCCATCGCAAGCGCATTGGGTCCAATGCTCGGAGGTGTTTTCACTTCGACGATTGGCTGGAGATGGTGCNTGTAAGTGGCAACAATATCGGTTGAAGGTTTTGAGCTGACAACACGACCCACAGTCTACATCAATCTGCCGCTCGATGGTATCTCGCTTGTCCTGGCAGTCCTTTGCCTCAAACTCAATATCAAAAGAGCCCCTGCCAAAGAAACGCTCACCAGCTTGGATTACGTTGGCTGCATCACCATCGCAGGAGGAGCCATACTCTTCCTCCTGGGTCTAGAAAGCGGAGCCAGTCACCAGCACTCTTGGACCTCGGCCTACACTCTTGGTATGCTGATTGGCGGCATCATCCTCCTAGCAGCATTCATGGTATGGGAGTCGAAGTTTGCCAAAGTTCCGCTTATTCCAATCCAAGTCTTCGCCTCACGAACGAGTAGAGCTGCTCTCGCTGTGGCTTGCTGTCACAGCTTCGTATTCATCGGATTCGACTTCTACCTTGCACTATATTTCCAAGCAGTGCTTGGGCGTTCCCCAATCATATCTGGTGTCCTTCTCTTTGCTTTGATCTTGCCACTTTCGGTCTGCACCTTCCTTACTGGAATAGTGATCCGCAAGACTGGAAGAGTTAGATCGGTCATCTGGTTCGGGTCTTTCTTCATGACGCTCGGCACCGGTCTCTTCATTGACTTTGGTCCGAAGATGGTCCTTTGGAAACTCATCTCGTTTCAAATTATCGCCGGTATCGGTGTCGGACCACTGTTCCAAGCTCCGATGATTGCACTCCAGAGTGTCGTGAAGCAGAGAGATGTTGCAGCTGCCAATTCTGCCTTCACCTTCCTGCGCAGCTTAGTCACTTCTCTATCAGTTGTGATTGGAGGTGTCGTGCTTCAGCGAGGCCTTGGCTCGAGTTCATTGACGGGTGATGGACACGTTTCCACCGGTGGTGGCGAGAACGCCGAGAGATATGCAAGCGCATTGAGCAACATGTGGATATTCTACACAGCGTTCTGTGCAGTCATGCTTCTCTCAACTGTTTGGATTGGCAAGATCGATTTGAACGCCAAGTCTCGAAGGAGCGAGGATAATGAGACAGTGGTACAAGAAGTTGTAACGGTGCAGAAGGGTGCAGAGATGGGCACAGAGATGACTGAGGGAAGGCTTAAATGTAGTCCTATAATGTATTGCTCTAGGCACAGGGACAACAGAACGGTTCACTACGAGTAAATTCGATGATTCCAATCGCTCCATGTGTGCCGTGTCAGGCTATTCGTTGTTCACGTGAATCTCGTCAGGGATTCGTGTGAGATACATTACAGTCCGCCAATGTACTTCGTGCAATACTGAGATTCAGAACACGGAAGTCAAGCCTCTTCGTTGACTTGAAATCCCTAAAGCTGAGGAGATGGTACCTTGTTCATGTCCTTGCGATGAACCACACGTCTCACACGGAAGCCTACTCGTCAGTGTTAGCTTGTGTTACCTGCAAGATCGGTGTCTCGGGCAAGTTTCGGAAGACCCATGCTTTGCTGGCATCTGAGGATCAAGAGTCAGGACCTATGAAGATCGACCACAAACCAACATCCTCCACATTTCTGCTGGAGGAGAGGCCGGCTCGGTCGCTTCGGTCGCTTTCGCCATCGGTTCGGCGAGCGTCGAACGCCCAGAACCTCAACCCCGCACCACTCCACAATTCCTCCAGCAAGTCCGAGCCTCTCACTCCTACAGCACCGATCAAGTGAGCTAGTGTATTTCCGCTCCGTTGCTTCAATCAGGCGCAAGATTCGTCAGCCGCCTGTGAACCCCAGGAAAGCTAGATATAATAGGACTTTCTTCTGACTAGAACATCTGCTCTTCTTTTCCATCACAACATCACGTTCTCAAACACATCACAATGGGTTTCTCAGAAGTCTACACCGAAGTTCCCAAGACTGCCATTCACCTTGTCGGCACCAATGACTGGCAGACTGACTTGGCCAAGAATGGCTATGCTGTTGTGAAGGGAGCTGTCCCCAAGGAACGTGCCGAGGACTACGCAAACCGTATGCACCAGTACTTGGAAGACTTGTATGTGCTATTGATTTGTCAATTTCGAGTAAGAGACATTTGCTAACGCCAATAAAGTGGTCTTGGATACGACCGCAACGACCGTAGCACCTGGAAGTCAGAGCACCTCCCCGAAATCAACAACAAGGGCATGTGCCTCGATTACGCCGTCACGCACGAAGACTTTGTCTGGGAGATCCGCTCTGAGCCTGGTGTTCTGGATGTCTTCGAGACCGTTCTCAACACTCAGGATTTGATTGTGTCATTCGACGCAGTGAACTTTGGTCTTGCCGGCCGAACGGATTTGCCTGCGAACAACCCTTGGCCTCATCAAGATCAGGACCCTACAAAGAATGGATTCAGATGTCTTCAAGGCTTGGTCAACCTCTTGCCCAACGGCGCAGATGATGGTGGCTTGATCGTTTGCTCAGGAGCACATCTGTTGAGCGAGAAGTTTCACAAAGAGATGCGATGGTATGTCTATTGTATCAATCATCTGCTTTTGTACCTATACTGACATATCAAACTAGGGNAGACCGAGCAGGGAAAGAACATTCCAGCATGGAACCCAGAGTGGTATGGCTTCACAAACGAAGGCATGAAGTGGCTAGAGAAGGAGGGTTGCACTTGGACAAAGGTCTGCGCCGAACCCGGTGACCTTCTTCTCTGGGATTCACGTACCNCCCACTACAACCTATCATCGACCACCGAGCAGAGTAGATTCTGCGTCTACACTTGCTACATGCCTGTCACAGATGCCACTGAGGAGGAGTTGCAAAGGAAGAAGGTCGCCTTCGAGGGCTGGTTTGGTACCACCCATTGTAAGTTATATCTTTGGGCACCTCCCAATGACACCACAACTAACAGAAGCTCCAGGGNNCCCAATTGTAAAGTGATGGGAAGAAACAAGGCAACAAGGAATGGTGAGCTAGATCCTCACAACCGGACTGAGCCGGTCAAAAAGCCACAGCTGTCGGAGCGTGTCTACAAGTTGACGGGTATTCCCTACATCAAAGCAGAGGCCTAAGAAATATTTCAAAAGAGAGGAACGATGTTATCAAGCTGCCAGAACATGGGCAGCGTGTCGCAAGTCTGTATGGTCATTGATAATAACCAAATTTATACCCAAACTTCCATATCACTATCCACTTGATGAGCATCATGGCGGAAGACGGCGTAGAGGTTAGGCGACGCAAGAATGGCGGCGTAGAGAGCTCTCAGGTCAGGTAGTTGCAGAAGGATGAGCAGCGTCAATGGCGCCGGTAGGTCGGACAGTATGTCCCGCATCACTTAGGCGTGACTGAAGGTGAATCAATCATGGTCTGGTAAGATGCGATGGTTTTATGTCGTGGATCCAGAACCATTTTGCTATTGCTATGCAATCTTGCAGCCGGATGGGAACCCCTGTGCACTTGATCCATTGTGGCGTGAGCGCCGTGCTGCGCGTCTAAGCCAGATACATAAGCAAGGGATGCCACCGCGATCAGGCGCACACAGACAGGACGCGAATCAAAGACGGCTGCTCTAACGGGTAGCTATCTTGTACCAAATGCATCTCCTGGAAGGTACTACACAAATGAGTTGTGCTGATCAATCAAAATCGTCGCTCATAGACTTGATCCTCGCAAGATTCTCTCAATTCCAGTAAGCTATCAATGTCCGGACTGCCAGCGCTTAGGGCTAGCATTGTAGAGTCGTAGATCTCATGGCCGACCTTGACCTTGATGACACTGATGGAATCTTTCTCCTGCTCCGCATTTTCAGCAGATGCTATCCATGTCCAGTTTTTGTCGATGCACTCCTCATCCAGGACCATGAATTGGACATAGTTGAGGTTAGAATCGTGTTCCAAGCGAAGATTTCTGACAGCTTTTGCGACATCTTCAAAGTTTTTGTCAACAAAAGGCGCATGAAACGTGCCATTGCCATCGCGATGGACTGTCGCTGCTTTCTATGATTTCGAAGAATGGTCGATCACCACAAAGTAAGGTTTCCAGTAAGCATTATGATCATCTCTATGCTTGTAAACAGCTGCCAGAACGTTGTTCACAGACTGTAGCTTGGGTCAATCTCGAGACATCTCAGATGGACTTGTGATTCCTACCTCCACAGGAAACTCAGCTGTGCAGCGCACTGCATAGAGCTTTCTAGTATCCGACGGCATGTTCATAAAAGTGTTGGCGTTCGGTCGGGAATGTCGGGTCGCGAACGCAGGATTCTCAACGAAGAGCGGCGACACTATCTAAGTAATCGCGGTGTAAAGCTACTGGCTCGTTAGTTGGTGAGGTCAAGGATGATATTTTGTGCTTGGAGAAGGCATTTCTGTTTTGTAGGATCGAAGCATTTTGCAGATCTTTCAATGTTCTTCGTTTTTTTCTTCTCTCTCGGCCGTAGGCTCCTGTCTGTTTTTCTCAGCCCTAGGTTTCCTTTCACGAGATGCATATTCACTAAACGTGAAATCCCACGCTGATAGTGGATTTCAGAAGAAGAAGACAGGCAGGATTTGCTCACTTCCATCCAGCCCTAAGCAAAGTCGCGGTCATCTGTTTTCCACCTTGATGGGCAAAGTCCCAAACGGTGGACTAGCCGACCAATGAGACAGACGTGAGGACGAACCTGTTGGGGACATCTACGCAAAGTCTAAGTTACATCTGGACAAGCATGCTAAGCATTGATTGATTGTCTGCACATGACAATCTGAGTCCTTATGTCATGCAGATACTCGCAACGAAGCAAGGGAGTCGATAGCGGAGCAAGTTGCGATGTATGGCTACTATTGATTCTCTGCTTGGAATGTCGCTTAGATAACCAGGGCACGGTTCGTGAAGTCATCGAGAGCTGACGCCAGATTGACAACTCCCACCCAATTTCGTGTTGCGCCACAGACAGCCACCGAATCTGTACCCTTGCGCTCTATGGCTCTCATGTTTCTGCTATCAAAAGTCATAGACCCTTTATCAGAATCTGGTGATGGAACATTCTTCCAGTGATGCCCATCCGGACAGCCCGCTTTGTGTGATTGAAATGGACGCTGAATGCCTTCGCTTGGAACTGAACAATGGTTGTCTCGAAAACCAAACCACTAAGAGTATAAGTTCAGAGCATGTAGGTTCGAGCGGCATGTTGTTCCGTATTGAAGCCGCGTGGCCGGCAGAGTTTTGCTGCATGCCCATCAAGGTGGGAATCCTCTAGATAGCACTCCGAATATTTAAGCACATGCAACTGTCACAACACAACATGGACGATCACACAAGTACGGCAACTATCTACCATTGGTGTACATCATGGCATCCAACACTTTCGATCCCGAACATGTCAATCTCTCGACTGCCGATCAGGCTCAAGTTGTTTGTGCGTTGAATGCATCCGGTAACGAGTATGACGGCAAACTCGGTGCCAGAGTCTCGTCGATTTTCGTCATCTGGATCATCTCGACTCTCGTCACAATATTTCCCGTTGCCGCAAAGCGCGTTAAGCGACTCANNAGGTTGATTGTGCTGGAGCTACAAATCACGACCACGCTGACTTGCAGCTGCTAGATTCCCCTTCATGTGTATCTGTTTGCACGATTTNTTGGCGCTGGTGTCATTGTCGCAACTGCTTTCATCCATCTCCTCGATCCTGCCTACGGAGAAATTGGGTATGTTCTATGTCAAGTCATCGAAGATCATAACGGTCTGCTGATGACTGAACCAGGCNCCAACACATGCGTTGGTATGACTGGTGGTTGGGCCCAATACTCCTGGGTGCCAGCCATAGCTCTGACGGCAGTCGCTGTCATCTTCCTGATAGATCTCGTTGCAGAGCGATATGTCGAGATCAAGTACGGTATTCAGCACCAGCATGTTTCATTGCAAGATGAGGTCACAGGTCGCACTAATTCTCGGGTGCCGCATCCAGAAGAAGGTAAATTTCTTTCTTACCTACGCTCAACAAAGAACACCAACTGACACTGTGTTCGTAGTCNNTATCATGAGAAAGATGTCGAACAAAGCACAATGGACATCACAAATATCGAGAAACACCAATTCCGTACACAATTTGCCGCTTTCCTGATCCTTGAATTCGGTGTCATCTTCCACTCCGTGAGTTCGCAGAAGATTGTCCACATCACACTGCCTATGCTAACATCGTTACAGGTCGTGATTGGCCTCAATCTGGGCGTGGCCGGAGAAGAGTTCTCGACGCTCTATGTCGTCCTCGTGTTCCATCAATCGTTCGAGGGTTTAGGTATTGGTGCCAGACTCTCCGACATACCCTTCCCAGCACGCCTGCGCGGATGGCTTCCTTGGCTCTTGTGCATCGCATACGGTCTTGCTACCCCCATCTGTATTGCCATTGGTCTTGATTTGCGCACAACTTACAACCCCAACTCGTTCACAGCCAACGTTGTCAGCGGTATACTTGACTCGATTAGTGCAGGCATCCTGATCTACACTGGTCTTGTTGAGCTGCTAGCCAGGGACTTCATTTTCGACCCCAACAGAACCAAGGACAACAAGCGTCTCACCTTCATGGTTGTTTCGTTCCTGCTCGGTGCTGGTATCATGGCTTTGCTTGGTAAGTGGGCGTAGAAGTGGAGGACTGGGCGATGTGATAGATGGTTGAAGAAGTTTAAAAGCATGATATTCCGCATCGGAGCTGTGGGCGCCGCGAAGAGGCAAAAAGTTGCTTGATAGAGGGACGCTGATAGATTGCGCTACTTGAGACATGTCTATACCCAAGACCCCAAGCACATAGTCAACAAATCGATCTCCGACGATCACAACTGACGTCTATGCCAACCTCTCACTTGCTCTCTCATTTGGATTTACCCTCAAAAACCACAACGATAAACCAATCGACCATATGCTGGATCCAAATGTTATCAAAACGTGTCCCAAACGCCACGCCCCAGGGGTGAGACGCCACCAATTCTCTCCTCTTGGTATGATTTGACGGACCACAATCAGCCAAAGAAAGAACATATTGATTTAGAAACAAGCTATCCAAATGCCGGTGTTTCTGTAATGTCTCCGAGAAGCTTCTTGTAGTGGGTCAAAAAGACAAAGAGGAAGGGTGACTGTCAATGATACAATTGCGGTCTTCATAGCAGCCTGAACGGGCCAGTCCATAACTCCGAACAGAGGTTTCCGGCACATTGGGCATGCTGGTTGATAGTGCTTCCCCATAAGTTGCAAACAGGGCTTGCATATCTCATGCTCGCAGGGAAGCTGCACGAGAGTGAGCTTGTCCCAGCATACCATGCACTCTGCCATCTGGCCTTGCATCTTCATACTCCGCATGAAGGTAGAATGACTTGGTAGGTTCAAGAATGAGAAGAAGCCAGGGAGGATATTCCTTGCTAGATAGGCCAGAGCGAGGCAAGATGCCCAGACCTCACGAGCTCGGGTTGGTGATGAAGCAGAGATTGGCAGATAGAACAGGCCATGACATGTCCTGCGAGTTGACCTCGCCAGGTCGATTTGCATCGCCATGAGGTAAGGACGACAAAAATCCCAAGAATGCTGTATGTTATGGCTGGCATATAAGGCACCAGGCTGACTGGACTGCGGCGTATTTTCTTCATCATTTCCATGGACTATAGCAAAGCTAGAAGGTGATGCTTAGTGCTACTGATAGCGATCAAGCATGGATGCGAAGAGTTTTATCGCCCTTCGGCGCGTTTCTTCACGCGTTCATCTAAGATCGGTGTCTAGTATGATTGTCGGTGTCAACTAGATCCTTGTTGGATTTATGTCCTGATTTCTGAAAGCGAAAATGGTTGTTTGTTGATGATCAGTAGGATGCGTCGAGAATACTGTAGACAGCGCAAGCCACGTTCTCATATCTCGGAGCAACCCAGCTAACGATGACATTGTGGCTAATCATGGATATCCCATCTGTATACTGATTCAGTCAAGGCTCCCTTCCTGGAAGTCTGGGTCTCTTGATGCGTCGTTGTCGCGTACTGGAAGGTCTTGATTAAGGTCCAGATGTATCATTGTGGAAGCAGACACTCGCAGTTGCCACAACATAGGTGATGAGATGGTGAAAGGGAACGGAGGTAGTTGTGAGGTCGTCTGGACAAGCGGCTCGGGTGCTTTGACTGTCAAACGTTTGCTGTCACTCACGAACCCTATGAAGCCTTCGAGACTTGCGGTTTACTCTCAAGCTCTCTTCTCTTCCCAGCCTTCTTGTCCTTGGAGTAGTCCGTATATCAAAGAGTCTCTAATCCCGATATGCGTTTCCCACTCTGCGCGCAGGTGTCCCTCCAGCTTGAAGCCGAGCGCTGTGAGTAAGGCGATGGATGGCTTATTGTCAGGATCAACATCGGCAACGATACGTCGTTGTCCTTCCGCAAAGAATCTCTCGATCAGGAGGCCAACAGCTTCACGCCCATAGCCATGACCCTGAGCTTCGCGAGCAACAAGGTAGCCGATCTCGGACACGCCTTTGCGTTTCTCACATGCAGCCACGAACCCGATGGCTTCATCCTTGCCGGCCTTGACAATTGCCCAGCATTTCCAGCCTGAGGTGTCTTCAGGGGCGAAGTACTTGCGCAATTCTCCAACATCGGTCCAAGGAGCGCGAGACGAAAACCGCATCGAGTCTGCATGGGACATTGTCGGGAACAAGGCATCAGCGTCGGATTCCCTGCGCGGTCGCAGGTCAACACGCTTCTCCTTAGACATGGTAACCATGTCTACCAGTTGGTGGCAGGCGCGTTCTTTTGACAACGCTGAGAGGATTCAAAGATCATTCACAGCAGATAGTACTGCGTTGGTCGCCAGACACTGTATCTGCTCTAGAGACAGGAATAGGTATCTGTGTTTTGAAGAGAAACAGGCAGCAATTCTGCCTGCAATCGAGGCTTGGGAGCTTGGCACGCTTGAAACTCGGCACAACAAACCCAGCCAAGCTCTGCTGACAGACGCCATCACGACCAGGGGCAGTACGGAACGTGGACATATCTATCTTCGCCTGCAATGCAGTCCAACGACCTTTTTCAAGGCATATGCGATGGGTTAGTGCCTACGCATGACAGATGGTCGAGCAAACACAGTTCCAAGAGCAACCTACCATGCTCTAGGCTCCAGCTTTGAGAAGGCAAGTCGCAACGTCTCATCTCGTATACCGACTTGTGGCTGCGGCTGTGTACAGTAGTCGATCACGAATACCATGCAATACACCAACTGGTTGGTACGCGAGACGACTCCTGGAGTTGATTCTTTCTCTGGCTATGTTCATCTGCTATTTACACTCTTGACAGAAATGCAAGATGCTTCCGATCCTTATAACACCTCGACCTTCTTCTGGTACTTTGAGGTCAGTATTGATCGTTCGAACAAGTAGCAGACAGTCCTAATGTTCGACAGTNCTCGCAACGATCCCAAAGCTGCCCCACTCACCATCTGGCTTGCGGGTGGTCCAGGAAATGCATCTTCCTTCACTGCTATGACTGAAAACGGTCCCTGCTATGGTAACGAGTTCTCCAATGGCACGATCCTGAACCCATATTCTCTTAACGAGCATTCGAATGTCTTGTTCATTGACCAGCCTGTCCAAGTCAGTTTCTCATACTCGACATTCTTGAACAGCACTTTCAACTTCAACAATCTTGATCCATTTGCTTCTGCAATCACCCCCATCAACTCTTACAATGGCAGTGTTCCAGCAGAGAATTCGACCTTCAAGTATGGTGTTTGAGCCGATCAAGATCCTAATCGCACTGCCAACACTACGGAANACGCGATGAAGCCATTGTGGCATTTCCTCCAAGACTGGTTCGAGAGGGACAAAAGTTCACTTTTCGATTTTCGTCTGAAAGACGCTAACTCTTATCCTAGCTTTCCAGAATACAAAACTCGAGACAAGCGAGTCAATATCTGGGGCAATTCTGTACGTACCAATACCTCTTAGTATTATTATGCACCACTGACTATGCATGTACAGTATGGCGGCTTCTGGACCACCGGCTTGACAAGCTACATCTTGGATCAGAATAAACGCATCAGCAATGGTACCTCACCAGGCAAAATCATCAAGGTCAACACCAAGGGTGTCACCAATGGTTGCGTGGATGCATACAACACGGCGACTTCTATCGCCGCGATCCTCTACAACAATACATAAAACACTTCCTTCTTGTCCAGCGACATCTACGCCGAAGTCCAGAACAACCTCACCAAGAGCGGCGGCTGCTATGATCAGAGCAACCAATGTCGTGCGCTCGTCGCTGAACATGATCCAGAAGACAATGGCACAAACGACACTGTCAACGCTGCCTGCACGGTGGCTACTGCATATTGCTTTGCCTATGGAGGGAGTGGCGCGTATACCGCAATTTCTGGCCGCAGCGTCTTCGATATGGCACAACCTGCTCTAGCTCCATATCCACCATTCTACGGAATTGGGTATCCAAACCGCGATGATGTGCACAAAGAGCTCGGTGTACCCGTCATGTTTGCTCAAAATTCTGCAGGTGTGCAGGCCAACTTTTTCGCTACCACGGGCGACACCGCGCGCTTTGATGGTATGCAGCGCTTGAATCAGATCTTGACTGCTGGCGTCAAAGTGTCTTTTGTGTTTGGCAATCGTGATACGAGGTGTAACTGGTTAAATGGAGAAGCAGTTGCCAATGCAGCCATCTGGTCCGGTCAAAAGTCTNTTGCATCTGCTGGCTGCGAAGAGACAAATATCAATGCAACATACATCGGTGGTCTAACCAAACAACACCGAAACCTAAGTTTTACCAGGGTCTTCCAGGCAGGTTATGCAGCTGGATACTTCCAGCCCTAGACTGTGCTGGAGATTNTTGAACGCAGCAGTGTATGGGATCATGATGTTGCGACTGAAACCCGTTATTTGGCTTTCAATGGCGAGTATCAGACCAATGGCCCTACCAGTGCGTGGAGTCACTTTGAAATCTTGCTAGATGAACTCGCTCCGGTTTGCAACATTTGGGCTGCGGCTGTTGCTTGCACGGATGAGCAGTTGGCTGCGTTGGCGGATGGGAGTGCTGTGACTGAGCATGACATTGTTGTGAGCCCGGCTGCTTGAAGAACGGTTTCCACCGGGCGTCAAGACTAGCTGTTGCCTTAGTACCAATAGTGAACTTTCACTACCATCCAATTGAGCTACCGGGGCTGGAATGCTACAGCTAAATCACAACGACAGTTTGAGTGTTCTTTACACGCTCCGCTCCACATCATCAACTCCACTGCGCCTTCATCAAATCTGCAGCCTTCTCAGCCTTGCCATATGTCGTACTTGTGGGATGCGCATTGACATGTGGAGAAAGCGAATAGCTCCTCTGACATCTGTATACATGACCCTTGCCCGCTCCATCCGGCCGTCTTGCAATAGTGATCGCGTGGTAGTAAAACTCAAATTGTGAATGACTGTGATGTAAGTGACAAGATCTGACAAGATGACGAGGATTGCTGAGCTCCACCATCACCCAATACTTGGCGCCTCTCAGCATGATATATGCCTGTCTGCTAGACTGCCAGAGCTTCGTCTCACAACCCAAGTCCTCATCATGATAAGAAATACATTATCGTGCTACAGAAGTCCAGGGATCGATGGAAATTGCGATATCGAAGATCAGAGATATGTGACAGTAAAACATCTACCTATATCAAGGCCATAAGCCAAACGCCCATCGAGAACGCAACGAACGCCCAGCTATCACGCCTGATTGAGCTGGCATTCCCTTCCTGGTTTGCAGTACCGGTCCCATTTGTCTCTGTACTCGCGCTGAAGTTGTCGGAATCCACGATCTTCATGCACGCCAGATTCACTTCAATATCCCTGTCCGGGTTGTTGTCTAAAGGTGCAAAAACGGTGATCAATGGCGTGTATCCCAGCCAAGGTACCGTCTCATTGAGTTGAGCGACATGATCGTATTCAAATACTTTCGTCAAGTCATTAGTTTTGGGAAGAGTGGGCCAACAATTTGAGGTGGTGTTCTCGGCCGAGCTGATGGTCTTTGGAGCAGTGGATCCTGTCAGCGCGACTGCTTCTATGCGAGGCTTCTGACTGAGAATATAGCAGCTCGAAGACGAATTCTCCTGGAGCCCATCCGCAATAGTCCTACAGAAGGTATCGGCATCTGAACTCGAACTGGACCGAGCCAGCTGTTCAGCTCTGGCAGTCAAGTCGCCGACGCAATTATCGCCCATTGATCCAACACAGGAGGCAGTATTGACGTATCGCGAAGCCCCNTGGTCATAGACCTGGTATGCTCCGGTCTCTGGTGATACGACGAAGATTGCGCATCCTCTGAACGAAAGGTCAGATGAAGTCAGATCGAGTCCTTTCGGTGTCCCCAGGTAAAAAGACCGTGTGACTGTTCTTTCGTTGCCTTTGATCGTGCTCTGTAGTCTAGAGTCACCAATCGTCCATGTCAAATCGGTTTGGGCAAGTTGCGATTCGGTGGACAACAAGCCGACAAGTCTCATATCCGTTGACTCGACCTGACATGTTGGCGAGAGCATATTCTCATAGCGGTTGGGGCAGTCGACTGCTGCACAACCCTGCAAAGATTGTGCATAGATGTGTTGCGGAGAATTGAGGAAAAGAAACGAGCAAAGGGTAGCCGAAACCATTGATGTGTAAGTCATAGTTAAGTAGTATGTGGAACATATTGCTCAAATGATAGAGGCGTGAATGGCATTTGTATCTGCATCATTGCCTTTCGGGAATAAGTCTCGAGTGTTTACTTCCGAGGAGCACTGACGTCGTGGTATTCTCGGTTTCAAAATTCATTAAAATTTGCCACCCTCAACTTTAAACTTAATGCTCAGAGCAGCTAATTACTTGCTATTTCCTTAATTATATAGCTATATACACCTCTTCTAGCTCTATTAGCAATAGTAATAGCTATAGGTAGTGCTTCTATATATATGGCTTAGTTTTAAAGCCTCTTAGAGCTTAAACTAATGCGTAGTATAGTCTTTAGACTAGCTTAGCTTAATGCCTCTTACTAAGCACGACAAAACACTAGTTAAGGCTATGTTCCGCGACGACTATAATGTTAATATAGTACTTAAAGTACTACCTTATGCTTCTTAAAACACGCTCTATTAGATATAGCGTAACTTTAAGGCTCTCGGCTACGTAAGGAAACCTTCTAATACCGTTAAGTAGTAAGGCCGTCGTCGTAAGATAACACTAATAATACGCTAATACGCTATAGAGCTACTTACGCATAGGAACGACCTCTAGTAGAAGGAGCTAGCCTTTAAGTTATAGTGTAAATTCGATATAGAGGTGTTAAAATCGACCGTATGCCGTATACTTAAGGAAGAGAGGCTATTAAGTAAGGTTAATACTCGTATTACTAGTCGTCGCTCTACTATTAAATAAGGCGTATACGAGAAGACGCTTACTTAGCTTATAGCTCGAGGCTTTAAAGCTAATATTAAGGCTTTAGAGATGCTACTATATCTTAATAAATCCGTAGCTTCTAAGAAAGTGATGTTCCGACGGCGCTTATAGTCTATAATCAGCCTACCTGCTTATATAAGGTTAGAGCTAGTATTAAAAGTTCGATGCTCTATGTTACTAGCTCTAGATATCTATAGGTACCTCCCTGGCGCTACCCTTATTATTAAGGGAGTAGTAACGTAAGCTATATACGAGCACTAGCTAGAGGTAGTAGTGTTGCCTTAGAGTAAGCCTTATCTAGAAAGGAGGTCGATAATTATTATAGATAATTGCTCGACGCACTACTTAGATAAGGTAATTATCTATATCTATAGTAGTTGCTAATATTTACTAACGGTAATAGATTATAGAGNNCTCTACGGCTAATTTAGCGTGCAACTCCTATATCTACCGCCGTATTTACTATATCTAAATCTAATTAAATAGACTTTCTACCTCCTAAAGTACTAGCTACGTAAACATAGGGATCTAGCGCCGCGAATTAACGAGTACGTAGAGGTAGATGTTATGGCCAACTATTCTGGGGAGAATAACTAGTCACGGGGTTGGACTCGTGAAGAGGAGTGTCAAGCGTAGTGAAGCAGGTGTAAGTAGTAGTGTATACCAAAGGGACTGTTGGAATAACTAATTGAGTTGAACGTAGGACCTCCTAGTGAGTTCCTGCCTACCTATATACCTAATAGATGATGAGTGTATGCATGTTGCTCTGTATGCTCTGTTGTGCTCTGTAGAGCAGAGCAGCAGAGCAGAGCAGAGCAGATGGCGTGTTTATGCAGAGTGCTCTGTTGCGCCAAGATGCGGAGAACAACAGAGCAGGCTGTGCGACCCTGTCATTGGCAGGATCGTAACAGTAGAGGCGTATAAAGCGGCATAGATTAAGCACCTTAAGAAGGCGACTACGTAGGCTCTAGATAATGTTAGTATAAGCAATTTATTTGTTAGAAGCCGAGTACTAACTATCTAGTCGCTAGTCGCTAGCGCTTAATGCGCTATACGGCGAATTTAATGAAGCTAAGGGTATTAAGGTAATAGAGGGAGCGCTAATTCTTCGTCATTGCTTATATAGGTCGATAAATTTACTTAGTTCCTTAAGGATGACTATACGTAAGCTACCTTACTTAACAACTCGAGCTAGCTGCCTCTCGTTACTATTAAATAATAGACGGAGGTCCTAATAGTTAGTTTTAAGAGCTATACGAGCTCTATCGAGCTAAATTAACTAGTTAGTATAGGCTAGCTTTATATAGTCCTAGAAGCTCTCCTAGCTCGTAGTAGTATTAAGTTTAGGAGGCACTAGCGATAGCTACCGAGTAGTAGCCGTAGCTAGCTAAGTTAGCTAAATTAGCTAAGTTAGCTAAGTAGCTACTAGCTCTAAAGGCTAAGTTTGACCGACATAGAAGTGGTTAATAGTTAACTAGTTTAAGGGGGAGGACTAAGGCTTCGATAAATTTAATAAATTAGCTAGAGATGCTCGTTTAGTAAGCTCTTACTTATGCCTCTTATAGCTACGTATAATAAGCTCTTATATATAACGAGAGGGCGCCTCTAGAGTGCCCTTATAGAGCCGAACTGCCTCTCGCTAGTACTATACGACGTAGAAGATAACCTCGTAGTAGCGGCTATAGCTAATAAAGTAAGCGAGGCTATAGCGCGCTTTAATATAGTACCTTAGAGGGTCCTTATAGCTCTAGTAGTCTTAAATACTACTCTAAAACAGAGCTCGGTCATCTATATAGCGGTTAGTCTAAGCTACTAAGCGCTCTAAGCGGCGATAACGGTTTTAACTAGATTGCTAAGACTAAGGCTAAGGCTAAGGCACTAAAGCCTCGTACGCTAGCGGTTGCTTAATTGCTAGTTCTAAGCCATTAGGAGTCTATATTAACTTAATAGTAATAGAGAGTTCCTTTATGCCGCTCTAGCTATTAAAGCGGACTAGATCTATAGCCTTCTTCTAGTGCTTAACACCCTCCTTAGCTCTAAGTAGAGTAACGACCTTAGTCTAGCAAAGACCGCGAGCGCTAGTATAAGCTATAATAGCTCTAACCTTCTATATATAAAACAGAGCTATCTAACGACCCTCTAATATTGGAATAGTAGTGTTTAGCTCTCGAAGAACATCTAACTATAGCTTATTAGTACTAGTAAGGGCGGTATTAACATTAGATAGCTTCTCGTAGTTCTAGCGATTATCGAATAATAGCTTAAATGGCACTATAGGCGAAGTAGTAGTAGTAGGAGCTAAATTTGATAATACTCTACGTACGTAGAGGGTCCCTCTAGCCTTCTAAGCGACCTTACTAACTTTAGTAACTTTATTAGTGTTTATAGTTAAACGGCGGGTTATTAGCGCTAAATTAGTAGAAGGCTTTATAGGCTAAACTTATAGCGTAAGGGCCTATATCTTAGTCTTCTTTAAGGTATTTAACGTACGCTTTTTCCTAGCGTGTTTATAGTATTAGATAGAGGCTTCTAAGCGGCGGATACCTTACTAGAAGGTAGTTATAGTAGTTATTTAGACTATTAGCGCTTTATTATAGCCTAGCGCGAATTAGCTCGAGGGAGCGTCTATTATTCTATAAGGCGAACTAGCGCCTTACTACGCGTAGATCGAGGTGCTATAGTTATAGGGCATTATAAGCCTTTTCTAGATTGTCTTTAAAGTGTATATATCGTCTTAGACGTAGATAGTTTAGTTATTAAGCTAGCGAGGGTAGTGGCTCTAAGAGGCTTAAGTCGCGAGTTCTACTTTACGAGCGCGTATATACGCTAGTTTAAGAGGCTACTACCTCTAGTAGAGCATTAGTAGCACTAGATTAATCTATTATAGCGCGTATAACAAGGTAATTAATTATGGTTATATAGTAATCTAGCTAATAGTCATCTAACTAGCTGCTCTAAGCATTAAGTTTAAAGTTAGGGGTGGCGAATTTTAATGAATTTTGAAACCGAGAATAGATCTTAGATTGCCAACTCTCTTGGCGTCTTGGCCCCTCCTCGGAGCATAACATCCTTTTGCTATACCACGAATCGTTTTATCTTTCGGTCTGAAATTTGTACCGTGGCGGCCAAGCGCGCGGACTGCTGATCTTCAGCAAGTTCTCCTGCTAAAGCGGATCAAGCCCTACACCACAACATCTCTATGCTTCTTCAAGCTTGTGAAGGATTCCTTGGGACATTCTTCGCCTTAGAAGGCGTGAGCGTGGGTAAATATCGTAATCAGGTGGACTTGAAGCTGTATGATCTATCGAAGTCAAACAATCCTTCGAAAACTTCTGGCAGCAGTCTGACTTCACTGTGCATTCGCTTCTGGCTTGGTGGAGCACACTTTGCTCAAGATTAGGATACATGCTGTTCAGTAGGTGCGAAGGATTCACTGCGAGCCGTGATGACAAGAGACTCGATATGAGGGTTTGTCGCATATAAAGGGAGTTGTCACACTGGTTCAAAACATGCTCAACCTACCTCAGCCATCTCTTGCACACTTTTCAAAGCTATCATCCGCCGAACAAAACCCGTCATGGCTGCTACCGTTCTCGGAGTCATTTCTTCTGCCATCAGCATCTTCAACTTCGGCGAAGATCTTTTCAAAGCTGCGGATCAATCCGTTTCCTGCAACCTCCGCGTCTATGCTGGCTTCAATGGATCCCCTTATGTGCCTCCAGGCCAGAACGAAGATGGGCCCTACAAGTACAACGGCAACAACGGAGACTCCAACCCCGCCATGAATCTTGATGGANGATGCCCCGACGTGCGTGTCTGGAATGATGCAGTCACTTTCCTGGGTATCAATGCTGATCCTGGATACATCGGACCCGGCAACTTCAAAGATATCAAGGTCAATCAGGGAAGTGACAACTCTGGAGCAGCCTATGCACTTATGACGGCAAACAACAATGCTATCTGTATCGCTTACACCATGATGACATGGGCCGACAACCAAAAATACGGCTGGACAGGTGGCTGGGGTCGTCAGTGCGGTATGAATTGGTATATATCATTACTCCAATCTCTTACCATAACTTCTGACACCTGATAATTAGGTNATCCCTCCGGCGTCGCTATCGATGGCCAATATTCAGACTGTGTGTGGATCGACGGTGACGGCAACCTTCCAGTCACAGCCATCCAAGTCCACCTTACCCGCTTCAACGACAAAGGGCAATACCAAGCAAGCCGCGACATCAACTCGTACTGCAACACAGGTTCCCTTCGATTCCAGTATGACAATGACCCTANNACTCCAGGCCTCATTGATGATGTCGTCGATGGTGTTGGTGGCTTGGTGCGCAACATCACCGGCAACGTCTTCAATGACTCCCGCCTAGTCAAGAGCATGGTTCCCGCACACAGTGCCGTTGATGTTTGCGAGAGTGAGACCAGCGTGGGTCCGGACTTTGTCTCCATGGCTGATGGGATGTATTGTGACATGGGCAAGAAGGAGTTGTTGCCGTTGTGCGTACCTAGACTGTTAGGAAGATGCTTCTCACTCGAGACGACTAGTGTGGTGCTTGACAATGTTCTTGGGCTTGTCGAGTCTGTGTTCAGGTACAGCTCTATCGAAGAGTGGCAGGGCTAAGGCTCCATATATGTTACTGCGCTATGGTTGCCCATTAGCTATACACTCTGATCTCATTGTCTAGATATGAAGATCCGTACAGGATGCTGATATCTCGAAATTCATGGTACTCGATACACGACACTTTTGTGTATGACTATCCACTCGATGACAGCCTGGGTGTTGAGGATAGTGCGATGACCTTCCAAGATAACTGTTCCATTGTGATATCTTCAAGTGCTTCTCTGTACACTACTGACGTACAAATACCTGCATCGATTCCAGTGGGCAATCGACTTCCACTCTCCTGCCTCCCTTAAACGTCTACTCTGTGTCTAAAGTTTTCCATGTCTCACTAGCGGGCAAGTACACTAAGCGCTTCCTCTGAGAGGCACACAGCACGGGAGCGACCAGGTACTTTTGACCGTACATGAATTGATCTTCAAAATCAGCGCCCCAACACTTCTCATCCTGGGGGAAATCGTAGAACACAGGTTGCATGACTGGAGATACTCGTTCATAAGCATCACGCATGAGTTCGCGAGTATGGTTTCGAAGCATGTCTCGAATGCGCATGTACATTTTGCAAATCTTATACACGGCTGGTCCATACGACAATACCTCATTCGGCGCGCCGGATCTGCATGTAGCTCCTCCAGTCGTTCCATGCTGGGGTTGCCTTGGCTCTCGATCACTGTGCAGGCGGAAAACGGACAGAAATGCGCCCCATTGAAAACCAGCGAACGAAGAGCTCGCGGAAGCCCTCGTCGTCGAGGTCTCCTCCGTGGAATCCACAGATATCTGTTGTCCACCAGGGTGTTCCTCCGTACTCATGTTCAAACCAGCGGCTGATTGATTGCGGAAACTGTCCCGTGACGATGCGATATCGCCGCTCCAAACAAGGGCTCTATACTTTTGACTTCCTGCCCATGCACAGCGGAGAAGGTTGACGATATTCTTCTGCCCTTCTTTCTCTTGTCTTTCGTAGAAGGTGCGGGCATAGTCTCTAGGGTAGGCATTACCTACGCTTTAATTATTGCCAAGCCAGTATCGGTAGTTGTTAAAGTCGTAAGCGGTATACTCTAGCTCGGCCCCATTCAGCTAAAAGGCCTTTATGCCGTACTTAGTATAATTAGCTCTAGCCTTCTACATAAAAGCATAAGCTTTAGGGTTAGTAGCGTCGTAGAAAAGACCTTATCCTTCCTAGTCTATTTTAATACGGATACTACGGTCGGAACGTACGAGAAACCCCTACCGGAGTATCTTACCGTAATTCTCGCTTCTATAATCGACTATTAGCTAGATAGAAACTATAAGTTTAATACCTAGAGATTTAAGTTCTTTTACTATAGCTTAAGGATCTAGCTAGTAGGTCTAAATAAATTTCTAGTCTCCTTATAGAGACTAGTAGAAATAGTTAATAACGTTTAGAGTTAATAAAGACTAGAAGAGGTAAATAAGATAACGTTAAATAGTATATGTCTAAAGTAACTAACATTATTACTAATAGTAAGGCTATTAGCTATTAGCTATAGGCATCTTACAAAAATTCTTACCGGACAAAATATAGATAAACACTATAAATAAGTACGGAGGTCTTAAGTCTAGTACTTATTATTCTCTATATATAAGATATAAGTACTTTTAAAATCTAGAGAAAGGTCTATTAATGTATTATGTTTGTTTACTTAGAGTTTAATCGCGTTATAGAAAGTCGATAGTGTTTTATTATACTTTAATGGATTACGGTCATTAAAAAGCGTTTATGCGATCCGGAACTTAGTAAACAGAAATTAACTATGTTAGTAGTTAAGACATAAGCATAAAGGTGACACGTCTAGAGAGATCGATTTTATCTATAAGTGATGGAACTCGACGATGGGCTTGTATTCGGTATGCAAAATAAACCTTATAGGAGGGCGGAAGTTGTTTCCCGGTTGCCAAAAGTCTCGGCCCAGCGAGTTTCTCGTCGATATTGATTGTCTTTCCGCTTTTCCGGCACTTGTTTTCCTAGTCAACACATCCCTTCTGATCACAAGTGTTCATGCCTTTGAAGGTCGCTCATCATAGGAAGACGCATTCTAAAGATAAGATGTGGCTCTTGCGTGCAGAGACAGCTTTGACGTCATCATCAACATGAACTTCTGTACGTTATGCAGGCCGATGCGGTGGAGATCAATGGGTTCAGACGCTTGACTCTTTGCGGAAGTAGGAGCGCAAACTGCTGCGCAGGGTCGCCGAACACATCACGGCAGGCCCCGGTTGCCATTCGCAGATAACCTTGTTCAAATCACTCGACCTTGACTCGCCGAAACATTTTTGACGTTACTGATAGATCATGCCTTGAGCTTGTACATAGCGTTAACGGACAAACATGGTCGGAGGTCATGTAGCAGGCTCCAGTCGTCGCTGCGAATAGTGCAAGCGTCGACGGAAAAAAGGCATTTCGCAGGCACTCGATACTATGACAGGTTATGCTGACAACTGAATAGTCTGATTTGCAAGAGCCGCAGTGTCTTCGATGCAGACGAAGTGGAATTAGATGCAGTGGCCCGAAGAGCTCGACCATATTCGTACACTCTCAGGCTGACACAATCGCTCAAGATACTCCGAGATCAAGGTTGATTGAAGCGCACTGAAATCGTTCGACCAACATTGAACGCTCGCAGCGCTTCTTTCGGCTCTCTGTCGATCAGCTACAACAAATACGAGCGACTCTGGTGTGCAATCAGTATGCATCTTCACTACCAGGTGACGTGACCCTCCTATCTGGTCGATCGACTCTATGGGAACCACTCTATCACGCCATCATCAAAGAGATCACGAACACTTCTGAGACTGGCATTTTCAGTGGTGACCGCAATACACGGCCTGGCACTAATCACTACTCCGTCATGGCTCAGACAATCAGAGCTCTACTTCCCTTTGCAGCCAGATATATTCCTGCTCTCGATATCGCAATCTTCAGCTTGTTGGCCATGTACTACGGTCTTCTCCACGCTGATACTGGCCTAGTGAGCCTCGCCCGTACCAGCTACACCGCAACGCTATCGGAGTTCGCTCAACACCTTTCCAAGGCAAAGACTGCATCACCAAAATCACCCCAGTCGTTCTACGCTCTCTGCTGTACCTCCATAGCTTTAAGCTGTTTTGAAAATCTTGACGAAGTTGACACTATCGGCTCCGGCTACACGGCACACCTCAATGGTGCGCTTGAACTTCTGCAGACCTGCGGACCAGTCATGGTACGAAACCTGCCAAGTCTCAAGCTCTTATTGAAGGGATTTCGAACCATCACGCTTCACAGCTCGATCCAGTGCCGACGGCCAAATTTTCTCTCTGATGAAAACTGGAACCATGGCATCTTTGGTGAGCGCGATTCCACGATTCAGGACCATCTTATCAGTATGGGCTTGGAAGTACCTGGCTTGCTGCAATCAGTGGACGAGATCCAGTCGAGCACCCGCGACTCTACTATGAACTCTGGCGACTCCATCGCCCTCTTACAGCAGATCCGTTCTCTGCGGTGCAGACTTCAGTCATGGTTAGATGATTTCGGCTCAACAGTCGAAGGAGAGCTTTTCTGGCCTTTGAGTCAACCCATGACTGGTAGTCTGCGATATGTCGATCCAGAATGCATATCAGTGTGTTGGACCAGCTTCCAGCAGCTGACCTTCGCCAGTGGAACAATCGCAGGTATGCTCTGCCATTACTGGTGCTTCGAACTCAATCTACTGCAAGCGCAGGCTGTTGTTCAGAGGCGTCTCAAAGACAATGACCAAGGCTGCCGCACCAGCGACTTGGTTCCCGAGCAGACAATACAGCCCAGCTTATTCTAGAAGCACAGCCGTACCTCATTAGTTGCCTCGAGGGCACCATGTGTATACAAATGGTCATGGATTCCGTGAAGAGTTATTTCGAGCAGCTGTGTTGAACAGCAGCACTCCGTCAATTCCGGGAGCCTCCGACTTTCATCCCTTCTTGTTTGCTTTGTCTGCCTCGATCTCTGAACGCCCCTCAGGGAACAGAGGGGTAGCAGCTCCGTTGGATAGCGTGCACATGCTCCGGTCTGAGTCTACAAGGATTGCAGCGTATCGGAGGTCTTACCAAGGTCGAAATAAGCAATTTGCAAGTCACGCACTATTTAACAAAAGTCATACCCCCTGAACATGCTGGAAGTTTTCGGACAATAAAAGCAGGGTCAGTTTGTTCCCTGCATCTTGTTAGTGATCACGATGCAAGCGACTTTCTGATCCCATCTGGCCTCGCCACCCCTTCTGCGAGCACCGGGGTTACCCCGGTGACTTCACCTTCCTCCTCGATTGATGCATCACGAAAAGTTATCGTAAGAATTACGATTGTTTCTCGATCAGTGACAGCGGAACCAGCACCAAGATGTTGAAAAGGAGCCTGCTCGCTTCGAGCTTCTCGACGATCATTTGCCTGAGACGCGGTGATTTTCTAGCTGCTACCAAAACACGATTTTTACCACTACACGAGGGCGTTTCCCGAGCTCCGTTCCAGAAACACGATGCTTCTGCGCTCGTACTGCGAAATCTGGTTAGCGTCGCCACTTTGATGGTAGGTGCGTAAACCTGGGTGCCCACCTAAAAATGGTTTCCTTGCGCTCTTACTGCCAAAATTAGTTGGCGTTTGGCACGAGTCTTTCTGCAGTGTAACGATGACTGATACAGCACGCAAAGGCTCAGGTCCTGTACGTCTTTCTCTTTGCTAGCGTTTCAGTAGACCCCACCTTGATGGTTACATGAGCAAGGAGCATCCAACGGTTTTCCTCCCTGGATAGCTTCGTCGAACGATGGGCTCTACTGCCCGTTCCCTGTTGAGTTTCTACCTCGCGTTGTCTTTGTTAGCAATCGAGACGAGACTCCCTGACTCGACTGGCTTCTATGTCTTCATCACGCGCTCCTACTGCTCAGAAAGGTTAGCACTCAAAGTCCCTATCCCAAGTGGCCGCTTTTCCGCTCATTAGTGCAATCGGATAAAGAATTGGTTCTAGAGTGCAATTTGCAGACTTGCAATATGTCTCAAGGGGTCGACATGATATAAAGCCATGCCATAGACCCGCTGTTCAGCAGCCCATCTCTTTGTGACAGCCGCAATCTTCATCATGGCCGGGAAAACAGCAATTCTCCTTATCGATCCTTACAACGACTTCCTCCATCCACAAGGAAAAGCACACGCTGCTCTCCAAGACAGTCTCGAAAAGTCAGCGACCATATCGAATCTACAAACCCTCCTCAAGGCAGCCAGATCGAAGGGCGTCCCCGTGTTCTATTGCTTGCACCAGCAGACCGACGAGCACTTTGCGCGAGAATGGACCAAGATGAACAATTATCTCCAAACCATCAAAGCTGGCATGTTGTTCGAAGCTGGAAGTCAAGGTGCACAATACTTTGACGGCATGGAGCCTGATTTTGACAATGGAGATGTGGTTGTGTCGAAGCATTGGAACAGTAGGCAAGTCACCCTTGGACGCTACAGGTTTCCTCATCGCAGCACACTACTACAATGGGCAAGGCTGACAGCTGCAACAGCTCTTTCCACAATACTGATCTACATTATCAACTGCAGCAGCACAAGATCGACCATGTCGTTGTGTCGGGTCTGGTGGCCAACAGTTGCACGGAATCGACTGCCCGCGACACTTACGAGAAGTGAGTAATCCTGTCGAATTGTTGAAGACAGAGACTGACACTTCGATTTGCGATAGTGGCTACACGCTTACTATGCTGTGAGTGTTGATCCACGAATCTGTACTGCAGGACCACTCTAATTATTACCAGCTCCGATTGTACAGCTGGCTTCTCACACGAAGCAAAAGAGGCGGCGGTCAACATGATCTGGCCAATGTTCGCCACAAAGGTCTATACTATTGACCAGTGGCTGGACACAATCTACATCGGTCATGGAAGCGACCTTCTGGGTATGCAGCGAAACGTGGAAGGATATGTAAATCACACTTTGGATAGAGCCACCATGTTCAAAAACTTGGTCATAATCGAGCGTCATTGTACCGATTAGATGTCGCTCCTACTGCCGCTTTCGGAAGCTGCAATGTATTTCTCCCTATCGTATGGTGATGATCCAGACGAACTTTATTGCAGTCGCAGTCCAACATTAGAGCATTGGCGACCGGCTCGTACCGCAATGTTTCTACACGCGTATGTCGAGTTTGTCGTATTGAGTATAGTCAGTGCTATCTTTGCTCACTTCGATAGCATCTGCTTCGATGGAAACTCACAAGCATATCGTGTATGCTTTCGGAAAGCATGATCAAAGAGGTGGAATATATGACAAGGACGACTGAATACTGTGATTGATTGTAGACCACAAGAACCAAACAAATGCACATCAGTGCCTCAACTCACCTACTCAAGCGAGATTGGATTCGCCTGCAGGAAACGCTCGAATGAGATAGGCTGTCCAACTGTGCTCTCGGCAGAATTATTGACCATCTTTTCAGTCTCAGCACCGTAATATCCAAACTTTTCTTGGTACAAAAGCATCTCAGTGAGTTCATCCGCAGAATTAGGTGGCAGGAACGATCAATATACGTTCTCTGGAACTTGCTGGTATGTGACAAGTTTCCCAGGTGCCTTGCTGATAATTTCGGCCTGTTCATCCATACTGTACAACGCGGTGGCGCCACAGATGGTCTTGCCTCCGTACTTCTCAGGGTTCTCGAGCAGTGCCGCAACGAATTTGCCTGTATCTCCAGCAATGTCAAGCAAAGGTAGCTTGGCGGAAGGAGCAACTGGTCGGGCGATAATCTAAGAGCCATCGTTGTTCAGGCTGGGAGTCGGCTTCATGATGGTGGAGAAGTTTTGCATGAATCAACCGGGAGCGAAGAAGGCGCGACGGATTGGCTTCGAGCGGATGTATGCTTCATGTGCAGCTTTAGCCTCGAAACTGGCGACGCTTGTGTATTGACCTCCGCTGATGGCTGCAGGCGAGAGCAGGGTGCTCTAGATAAGATATCGTGCCTTGGCTTGAATAGCTGCATCGACCAGATGCTTGCCCTGTTGGATCTCGTCATGATCGTGAGCACCGGCGTAGTTGGTAGTAGTCATGCCGAAGACGGTGTGAGCACCGTACAAGTTCTCAGCCAGATCACTGGGGTTGTTGAGATTGCCCGCAACCACGTCAACCTTCGGATTAGCCAACCCCTTTGCCTTCTGTGAAGTAGAGTCGCGTGTGATGNNACGGACGCGGTATTCCTTGGCGAGGTTGGAATTGGCCATGACATGCTTGATGACTGATGAACCCTGGTTACCAATAGCCCCGAAGACGATGAGAAGTTTGGACATGATGGGCAAAGTTTATTTTAGATCTTTTCCTTGACTGAGTGTTGAGATGGATGGAGGATGGATGAAAAAGGGCCGTCATGAAGCTGGTATTTATACTTGCGCAGCTAAGGCGTAGTATGACTCGGGCTCTCTTATACAGCCGCTTAGGGAGTGTACCGGACTCGGACGTGGTCTTCTCTGCTCCAGTGCGCGGTCAGATCGGACGCGACTTGTGCAGCGATTTTTGCGTGTAATTCGGCGTTGCTTCTGCCAAGTTCGGGTTTTGCGTATGGACATAACAGTCACACTCCAAGCCATGATCATCTAGCTTTCTGTGTGGACATGATACATGTATCAATCGGGCGGCCATGAACGTTGAGAGGGGTTCGATGTTCAGCATTAAGTCCGGCGCCGGACGGAATCCAGTGGGAATCACGACGGATATAAGGATTTCCTGATCTGGCAAGATCGTAACCTTGACCCGGGTTCATGATCAGGCCAAGGGGAATTGAATAGAATGATTCATGTCTAGACATTGTCAGCAGCAAACACGGTACTTACTGTAGCTAGACCCGACATACTGATGTGTCCTGTTGAAGACTTCTCCGTACTTCGATTCGACCCTTATTAATTTCAGTCCCCTCTTGCTTGCTATTGCCAGTCCTCGTGGGATAGAAATTGGACTCTTCTCCTTCTCCACTCAGATGGCCTGAACCCTCCTCCAGGCTGATCCAAACTTTGATATTGATATTGTGCATGTTCATATCACCATCGATATCAAAGCCGACGACAGGCTTGAAGAGGCTTGTAAGAGGGGCGAAAGTTGTTTCCCGATTGTCAAAAGTCGTAGTCTAGCGAGTTCGGCGCCATCAGCTCATGCACTACATCCTCCACCCACAGAGCGACTTCATGCATGTCAAAATTGCTGAAGACGCCAGAGACAATCAGTTTGACGGGAGATCACTTGTGCCTATCATGACGTAGAGCACTGCATCAACACACTGGATGTCCTCTCGCCCTCATGAATGTCGAGAGAGGACTAAGAACGACCCCGCTTCAAGATGATCGCGCCGTCGTCATCTCTTGACAGATAGTTCTACAAAAGCAAGGACACAATACTGGACGTATAATAGATACAGCATTTTGATAGGCTGTGCGTAGCTGCAGGTAGGGTTATAATCCATGCTATACTCGCCAGATTGAGCAGGTACGCATCCACGATTGGCTTTCTCCATACCGCAGGTGCATGTGTAGCGCGTACGGTCAGCTCCCCCCAGTGCGATCTGCCAGGACACTGATACTTAAAGTGCCCCCTCAACCATAGTTCAGTAGGCAGCTTGTCCCTTTCAACAAATCGCAACTATGTTGTTGATGTCCTGTTTAGTTTTCGCCTTCTGTCTCCTCTTCTTGGACGGTGCTATAGCTGCACCAACCTTAGCTGGCAGCTCATACGCAATCAAAGAAAGCCACAATGCACCTCGAGGATGGGGTAGGGGAGGTTCTGTTCCAGATTCTCATTCGATCAACCTGCACATCGGGCTCAAACAAGGCAACCAAGATGAGCTCGAACAACACGTTCTCGAAATTTCGAACCCATCGCATCAGCGCTACGGCCAGCATCTTTCTGCCGCAGAAGTACAANAACTCATTGCACCCTCAGATGAGAGTGTCCAACTGGTGAATGACTGGCTTTTGAACCATGGTGTCAAGACCGCAGTGCTCAGCCCTCGCAAAGATTGGATTACCGTCAGTCTACCTGTCCGAAAGGTGGAAGCTCTTTTGAACACTACATACTCCGTTTATCGTCATACGGATGGCTCGACATTGATTCGTGCGCCCGAATGGTCATTGCCGCTGTACCTTCATGACGCGATTGACCTCATTCAACCTACCACTTCGTTCTTCCGGACCTCGAGACACGCATCCGGTGCGAAGCCAGAGCGGGGACCTATAAAATGGCATGAGTCGCTGAACAAAGAGTGGTGGAAGCCGAGACCCAGCAGTGTAAGTTCACAATCCCCAGACTCTTGGATTAAGATGCTAAGATCGAAGACTCAGCTTCTTTCCACTTGTGATGTTAGCAAGTTGTGTAATATCACGGGCACTAATTTGGCTGGTGATATCGTCACTGCTACTAGTCTTGATTGTCTGCGTTGTCTGTACGGCACATCAAACTACGTAGTCAAAGCACCAGAGAAAAATATGATTGGCGTTACAAACTACTTGAACGAGGTCAGTGATAAACTGTTTCTGTCGAACTCGCTAAAAGAACACCACTGCTTACTGTGCGCCAGANCTCAAAAGCGTTCTGACATCAAGTTGTATCTTCAAACATTCCGTCCAGAGGCTGCAGGAGTAGCCGACACCTTCCCACACATCAACATCGCAGGAGCACAAGACAATCAAGGAACACTGACCGCAGATCAGATCGAAGATGAATTGAACGTGGAAGGCGACCTCGACGGGGAACTAGCTCTCGGCATCAGCTGGCCTACATCGTTTTTGTCTTGGTCAACTGGTGGCTCACCACCTNTCACCCCTGATCTCGCCACTCCGACAGACACAAACGAGCCTTATCTCGAATGGCTAACATATGTATTAGCACAAGACACTCTACCACAGGTAATCAGCACCTCGTACGGTGATGACGAACAAAGCGTGCCATACCCATATGCCAAGAGAGTCTGCGATGGTTTCAAGCAGTTGGGAGCCCGAGGAATTTCTGTGCTGTTCTCCAGCGGCGATAGTGGTGTGGGTGCAGATGGGACTTGCTTTTCCAACACCAACACCTCTCAGCCTATGTTTCTCCCTGCATTCCCTGCCTCTTGTCCTTGGGTCACCACGGTGGGAGGAACAGCAGGCTTTGAGCCCGAAGTCGCAGTATCTCGATTCGGCAGTGGTGCTGGGTTTTCAAATTACTTCCCTATGCCAACATACCAAACGAATGCTGTGAAAGGCTACTTTGGCAAGATAGGGAATCTCTATCATGGGCTTTACAACCGCTCTGGACGTGGATACCCAGATGTTGCGGCTCAAGGCAACCACGATATCATTGTTTGGGAAGGCAACATCACAACAATCGGAGGCACAAGTGCATCGTCACCGACTTTCGCGGCAGTGATTGCTTTGGTAAACGATGCGCTCATTGCCGCTGGGAAGCCGCCTCTTGGTTTCCTCAATCCGTGGATTTATGGTGGAGCTTTTGCTGCTCTGTCCGATATTACGAGTGGATCTTCGATTGGCTGTAACACCAGTGGCTTTCCGCCAGAAGTGNGATGGGACGCAGTCACTGGGTTTGGGACACCAGTGAGTACATCATTTTCGTTCTCTGACTGCGACTTACTGATCTGTATGACAGAACCTTGGAAAACTCATTGCTCAAGCGTTCCACGCACACAAGAAATAGAGTTGAGATGATGTGTAGGACAATTTGCAATGATGACCAAGCGTAGGTCAAGGCAATGATGGGATAGTATTGTTCATGAGCAACAAGGACTCGTACTGTTGCAATTGGAGTTGGAGACCGCGTTCTGAATATGAATTTCTGCGATTGACAGCCGTTAATCTCTCTGTTACCAGTGAATGACGGCCGTACTGACCGTACTCGTTTCCGAGTTGTAACCATTGTTATACATAGTGGTACTGAGTTGTATATGGTTCGATGCCTGCAACAGATCATGTTGAAGCTGCAAAAAATAAAGCCTAAGGACCGTGGTAGATGGGAAATCAAGAAACTGAGTTGCGACTGTGTAAGCCAAAAGTATGAGGTCGTAGGCATACAGACCAACTTGGAACTGATCTCAGGGAAGACCATTTCAACCATCACTCTAAGAGTTATGAACGACTGACAAGTCCTCCGTCTTGGTCTTGGAAATGAACAACCTTTCCACACGTTCTTCCGCAGTGATACAGTAAGCCAGGGCATCGTGAGAACACATTTCAATCATGACCCTCGCGCGCCCGAGGGACACTTGATTCCTGCGGTCGAAGTTGCTCCACGCTTCAACAATAGCGCGCCACCCGCTTTCGGCCAAAGCTCGCTCAGCCTCGTTCATCGCTAACATGATAATTTCGATGCCGAAGATAGAGACATTTGCCGATGCAGAAGATTTTACGGTGATAGTCGTGACCTTGGTCTTTGCAATATCCATCGAGGATCTGAGATCTTGCTTGTGTTGTTCTCTCTGCACTTTGAGTTGTTTCATCATAGCAAATAATTCATTCTCGTTAAGGGGATTCTTCTTCATGTCGGACTCCAGATCGGCGATTTCTTGCTTGATCCTTCGGGTCAGATCTTGTGCTGCTTCGGTGACTATGGCTTCGAGCTGGTCAAGATTATTGCTGCTGTTTGGTGGTTCTGCGGCAGTGGCTGACATTGTCGATTGGATAGGGAAAGCTCCAAGGTCTGATGGGTGACCGCGCCAGGAAAGAAGGAGTGAAAACTGGCAATGCAGAGAAGGGTTATGTATACTTTTGGAAGAGGGCAATGGGCGTAAGGCTTTACTTATACCTCCAAAACAACGCAGATTTCCTCACCAAGCAACGACAATCGCGCTAGTATTTGGAGCCCATCAATCTGATAAGGGCTGAACATGTTCTCGCTAGGTTGCGTTGTTGTATAGCAACTTTCTAGTCTCGCTTCAGCTGGAATAGAAGCGTTGTTGCATGATAGAAGCCGAGAATATCCAGTATGTAGACAGGGGTCAAAAAGGGGGTTTCCTCGAAGTCGCAAAGCTCAAATGTACGATTGCTGATGGCTAGCCGAAAACGTCAACTCAGCTTCAACGTTTGGCCAACGGTTGAAGTTCGAGCTGAAGCGTTCTGCCCTGCAAATGAGAGCTGAAAACTTCCATCTAGATTTGCATTTGCTCCGTAGAACACCATCTGCAGCACGCATGCTTGTAATCACAGCGGTTTCCAGGCCCGAGTGAGAATTTATCAACCACTACTCATCTTCCTTTTCGTTGTCTCATTTGTACTTCATGACGGCATTAGGTAAATCTGGAGACTGGTCCGCTCGATTTCAAACGAGCAACAATAATAGCCAAGATGCTGGCGAATCAAAAACCACTGGAATTGCTCAAGTCCACTCCATCTCAAGAACATCCCCGCGCTCGGGACTCGTATGTCAGAGGGATGTTAATCACGCACCACTTCAACTTGAAATTGCCGCGCAGAAATGAGATGCCGCAGATGTCGGGGTTACCTTCGAATGGGTACCGCTCACCAAAGATGCCATGTTCGTTCTTTGCCATGGCGGAAATCAAATGGGAGTCCTCGCCGAAGCATTTTTTCCCAACTCCAATGACCTAGATTACCTCAAAGTCTAGGAGCTCGTTTTTAATCGGGAGTGGAAGGATCAGATGTGGAAAGTCTTCCTCCGCGGATCGGCTCATGTCATTGAAATGAAGCACGAATTTTCACTGAATGAGAACTTCGCGTTATCTGATGGTGGTGCAGAGCAACTTGGTTTGCGCGATCTGACGTCTGTCTTGGATTACAAGCACTGGCCGCTAGAAATACAGCAGTCCGACGTTGATCTGACCAGAGCCTTCTACTCACTGAAGAGCGATTTGAGAGGGGAAGGACCAAAGATTGGCAGCACAACCGTGAGAGATTACATGCCCACGTGATAGATCAGGCAACAGCTGCACTGCAGCATGCAATAACCGAATGCAAGATCATGTAGCATCGACCAATCTAGTGATCACAGATATCAGCTCTGGTATCCGGAACGGCTTCACGATAAAGTTATCCACTCCCGCATCATAGGCTTGTTTCATCTGTTCCTCACGAGCATTGGCCGAGACCGCGATGATGGGTATATGGCTGACGATGTCTCCCGCAGCCTGCATGTCCCGGATACGCCTGGAGCAGGTCAACCCACCCATAACAGGCATCTCGATGTCCATGAGAACCACGTCAACATTTTGCAACGCCTTGAGGGGATCTTGATTATCATGTTTCCAGGCGCTTGTGGTCACAAGATAATCCAGCGCTTCTTGTCCGTGATTTGCCACCTGGACTTCGTATCCAAGTTTAGTGAGCTGCTTCTGGAGGACTTTTTGATTGACAAGATTGTCCTCGACCACTAGGATGGANAAGGATCGCAGGGGCTGACCATCACTTGCTCCGTTGATCTTTGGAGACACTAGACGAGGATCCAGGGAATCTGTGTAATCCGGTACATCAGGCATTGGTGAGTCTGGGATTTCCATGGCCTCTTTCGCAGGGACGTAGAAAGCGAATGTGGAGCCGATGTCGACTTGAGAAGCGAGACCAATCTGTCCACCTTGGAGTTCCACGAGCCTCTTGCTGATGAACAATCCCAGTCCAGAGCCACCATATTGAGTGTATGTTCGAGGAGAGGCCTGAGAGAAACGATTGAACATGCGCTTTTGCTCCTCCTCACTCATGCCACAACCGCTATCGGTGACTGAGAACCAAAGGTAGAACGTGGCGTCAGCCGTGAGCTCAGTTTGCGCTCGAGCTTCGGGACTGTCCGTCGTGGCGTAAGTGACTGACAGATCTTGGGGCCGCTCTCTCGATGCTCCAAGACGTACGACAACTGACCGCTCGTTCTTGGAAGCCTTTGTAAACTTGATGGCGTTCGTTAGTAGGTTTACTAGCACTTGGTTTATGCGGCTTGAGTCGGCCACGACCCAATCAATGCCAAGGTCGCTCAATGATTTGTCCCGTTCGATATGAAGATTGACCCCTACACGGTCGGCTTCAACGGTGAAGATTTTACAAGCATCCAGCATTTCTGTCGCGCGAACCGTGGTTGGGGCTACCTGAAGAAGGTTTGAATCGAGCTTCGATAGAGAGAGAATGTCATCGGTTACGCGTTTCTGATGCATAGAGCAGGAAAGGATGGTGTCAACTACCTCGATGTCACTCTTGAGATGCTCTTCCAGTCGTGCTTTTGTGCTCTGGCACGCTTTGTTGTCCTGATTGCCCTCCACGAGCGTATTGATAAGCTGCCTCATCTCCACAAGCGATTCTCTCAGCATATCAGCACAATGCACTGTTGCTCCAAGCGGATTCCGTATCTCATGGCTGGTGATGTCGATGAAAGCTTCGGCACTTCTTTTCGCTTCTATGGCTTCCTGTAATTTTTGGCGTTGTAGGTGCTCGTTGAATTGCGAATGCGAGATGTCCGTCCAAGTCGACATAGCCCTGATAAGCTTACCGTCCTCACTGAACTCCGGAAAGCATATGACGGAAACCCATGCCTGCCCTTGAAATGAGCCGTCATCGCTGGTCCATAGTTTGCTTAGTCGAGCTCGGAACTCAACGGCTTTGTTATGCTCTATACAATCTCTGAGGCTCGCCCGGGCTATCCAGACATCGTCGGAATAATAAACAGACGCTACGTCCACCTCTGAAAAGGGNCTTTTCGGATGACCAGTCATCTTGAACCAGCTGTTATTGACGTACAGAGTCTCATCTGGATACTCCCTTATCATAACACCGGCAGGCGTATTCTCTGTAAATTGAAGCAGCCTTGCTTGACCCTTTCTTACTTGTTCAAGAGCCTCGGTTCTTTGTGAGGCATGCAGGGCGGCTAGTTTCTGAGCCTGAATGTCCGTCAGACAGCCGGAGATGCTGATGATGTTGCCTGCCTCGTCGAAAACTGGCGTGCAAGCGGCTTGTACCCACTGACCATGTGGCGTGTTGTTCTTCCAGCGCATCTCGAATGTCGTTTGTTTGCCTGACAGGAGCCACTTCCATTTCTCCACAGCCAACTCAACGTCTTCTGGCATGCAGTAGTCCAGGAAAGTGAGTCGTTCGTTCAGAGCTGGATCTCTGGGGTATCCGGTCAGTTCGTGATAGGCTTTGTTGCCGTGCATGAGTTCCCCTGCTGGTGTGAAGTCAAAGATTCCCACGTCAATAGTCTCTGCCATTGCCAAGACACATTTTGTTTTTTCTTTGACTATCATGGCCTCTCTTTGTCGAAGTTGGAGCTCTCTCTGGTTGATTTCGGCTTCTTCCCGCGCTCGATCAGCTGTTTTTCGCTTCTCGACCTCCTTCGCTTCCGTGCACGCTATTGCGAAAGCGTAGTCTGCGATACGTTTCTGCATCTCTCGGATCCATGCTTGGTATATCTCGTCATAGGGTCTGCGAGGTGCTATGCCGATCACCACAAGAGCGTTGACACCATGAAAGGAGTTACAGCTTGTTGGAAAGATGATTGCTTGCCTGCACGTGTCTCCATAGCCGCGGTTCTTCGACGCGCGGCAGAATTCAGACAACATGGCATCATCTGTGGCTCTGATCTGAACAGGCTCTCGGGAAGTGATCGCTTTGCGCATGCGCTGTATCAGAATATCCTGGTTTACACTGAGATCAAGAAGTTGCGGCAAAAAGTCGAAGTCTCCCACGCTTCCTGTCAAGCACAAAATGACATCGCCTTCGTCGCTGCGGGGTCTTTTGAACACAACGTCGTTGTTTTGTTGGTCTTCGATCTCATAGATGACTGCGAACGGGATATCGAGTTCTGATGAGTCAAGGCTTTGAAGAATAGACTGTAAAAGTGCCGGCAGATCGTGTACTCGATCACAAGCGCTCTTTAGCGTTGCAAGAAACTGGTTTCGACGTTCGCTAACGACCCTCAGGGTGGTGTCATTTGTTGTTCCATGGAACCCGGACAACTGGGGCGGTAGCTGTACCATATTCCCTGTCATAAACACTTCCTCAATGTCATTGCCGTTGTCGAAGTGAAAGAGTCTATCCATTGTCGAGCCAGATTGTTTGGCCGCGGTCGCATGTTGCATCAAGCGATCGACTAATTCCGTATGAGGTCGCAGACGTTCCAACGTATGAAAAGGTTTTGCAAAGTATGCAGGGTGGTGATCTCGGAGTAAATGACCATAGGCGGTGTTGTACAAGAAGATGCGCTCGGGTCCCAGAAAGAAAAGTTGTGGTTGAGGGGCGAGCATTGTCATATAGATAAGTGTCAACAGATCCTGAGGCCATGAGGACATGGGGCCCAGCGACGTGGACGACCAGTCCATGCCGCATAACAATCGCAAGTCTCTATTAATTTTCGCGTCTGCTGTTTCGAGGGTCTGCAACAACGACAGTATGTCGGGAGACTGATTTTGAGCCATGGCGAGATAACACCGATAGAGCAGGGCGTCTTCTCCGATCGAGTTGCTGAACGTTGCAACTGGCCGACGTATGTATAGCAATCTTACTCTGTATCCAAGGCAAATTAGTGAGCGCTTGGAGAGGCTCTTGCGATGGGGACAGGGAACGGAGAAGGAAAAATTGGCTCGCGCGGCTCCTTGCGAGTCGTGACATTCGAAGGGGCCGCGAATTTGTGGGGGGTTGTTCTAGACCACGCCGTAGCGGAGGTGAAACTGAGGGTTCAGGGAAACGTCATGGGAATAGGCTTCCATCGTATGGATATCTCCTCATGGCAAACAGAACACCATCACTCATGATCTGCCTCATCATGTTGTGACGCGTCCTGGGTGAACCTTGAGCAGGTAATAAAGACCTTGGCCGCATATTTTTCTAGTCGGCATCTTGGACTGTTGGACATCACCACACGAATTTTTATCTTGCACACCTGCTCAGGCTTGTCGCGATGGAACCGTGTCGCTTTTCGCGAACGCGAAAACATGCATCATACCGCTGGGCTTAGAGTGTCACCTGTTTCCTGACTCTGTGGTTTGACACAATATTCGGCCTTCTCCCCGCACACGGTTCCGTTCATCAATATTCTTGGCGGCCAGTACTTGTCGCCAATAAACGACAGGGAGTTCTTTCATTGATTTAGCATCCGCAGATCGATACTAGCTGTCATCAGGATTAATTGACACGGATGCAGAGTCTGACATCGCTTGGCTGCACAACTTCGTGAATCGTAACGATGCAACGATGCCTGCCTGACACCCACGTGGTCTCGAAATTTTGAACACGCGTGCCACGCGACCTCGTTAGACAAGTATGAATCAAGCAAAGCCTTGACAGTGTCTTGCCCTTCTCAACTGGTACACAAGACTGTCAAGAAAGCCGTTGCCAGAAAACCATCACCTGCGCCAAGTGATTGGCAGACAACAGGAAGGATTTTCAGCTCGATGACTCCTACCAGAGTCTCTGGTATGGGTCATGGAGAACGCCAATAAAGTCACTAACCGTTAATCCTTGCTGATGTTCATCCGAAAGACTGCTTGCAGATCTATCAAAGTCTCCCCATGGGGTAAGGAACTCTCCATGTTTTCGTTCCAGGCCAAGACGAGCATTGCTATAGTGGACTTGGCAAGCGCATGGCGCATGGAACTATACCATCATTTGACAATAAACTTGCGGGGTCAAGTCGACTGTCAGTGCCTTTTCGGTCGTATCGTCCATGGATGTAACCTTGGCTGGACGGAATGGAGGTGCGGGAAGATTGACCGCTGGCAGAGTTGTCGGGATAGAATGGGGAGTGGCTGGCTATAAGTATTGAAGCATCCTGCACGATTGCTTACCGACACTGTATCGTTCCTCTCAAGTCTCGTTTGATCCTCTCTTCAACTCCGTCCAGCATGTCGACCACGAACGAACCAGCCGACCCAATCGCCCAAGGCGTTTTGCCAACAGCCAAACAGTCTTGGTCCGACCTCTTCAAATGGAAACAGAGAGTAGTCGTCTACAGCGACAGTGGAGAAACCACAGTCGAATGGCAAGCGCCTCAGAAGTTCATCAATCCCTTCAGCTTGATGGCCCAGCTCACCGCCATGAACTGGGTGTTCTTCATCGTCGGTCTCGCCGCTTGGACTGCCGATGCTTTCGACTTTCACGCTCTGTCCATCCAGACAGTCAAGCTTTCAAAGTACTACAAAGTCACCAAGACTGACATTTCCGAAGCAATCACCCTTACTCTACTGTTGCGATCTGTGGGGGCTGCCATGTTTGGTTTTGCTGGCGACAAGTGGGGTCGTAAGTGGCCGATGGTTGCAAACATGATCATTCTGGGTCTTTTGCAGATTGCCACTATCTACTCAAAGACCTTCAACCAGTTCCTGACTGTTCGCAGTTTGTTTGGTCTGTTCATGGGTGGAGTGTGAGTTCTTTTTTTTTTTTTTTTTTTTTGACTGCAGCTTATTGACCATGTTTTCTAATCTCATCGTTCTGTCAAGAAGCTGACTTTGCTCCAGCNNTATGGAAACAGTATTGCGATGGCCCTTGAAAACTGCCCGACTGACGCTCGTGGTCTCATGTCTGGAATCTTGCAACAAGGCTATTCCATGGGCTACGTCTTTGCCGCATGCGCCAATCTCGGCGTTGGAGGCGCCGTCGAGACTTGGAAGACTGTCTTCTGGATTGCAGCAGGCTTGTCCATCGGTGTTGGCTTAATTCGCTGCTGCTTCCCCGAATCCAAGCAGTTCCTTGAGTCCAGGAAGAATGGCAATAAACGTGCCCCGGGTGCTTTCTGGCAAGAAACCAAGCTTATGCTTGCTCAGCAGTGGAAGATGTGTATTTATTGCATCATCTTGATGACTTGGTTCAATNTGTGAGTCTAGGAAATGATTCATCCATGCTTGGTCGCTGATATCATCGCAGACTATAGTCATACCTCTCAGGACAGCTACACCACTTTCATGCTCACTCAGAAGGGTCTCAACAATGATGGCGCTAGTCGTGCTTCCATCTTGATGAAGACTGGTGCCTGTATTGGTGGAACAAGTATGTGCCTCCCTCTTCCCAGCCGAACGAAAGTCGCCCGATCAGCAAGAATAGCGCACCTGGGAAACCGAAAGACAGAATACCACCATCTGATCCGAATCCGTACTGATTGTGTTCTCCAGNTCATTGGCTACCTCTCACAATTTGTTGGCCGCCGTCGAGCCATCATCGTCGCTGCCCGTAAGCAAAGCAGAGTACATTGTCTAAGCATCAACACTGACATTCACCCCTGATAGNTAATCAGCATGTGTCTCATTCCCGCCTGGATCCTGCCCACTGGCGAAGGCTCTCTTTCCGCCTCAGGCTTCATGATGCAATTTTTCGTCCAAGGCGCCTGGGGCGTCATTCCCATCCACCTCAACGAACTCGCTCCACCAGCCTTCCGCTCCACCTTCCCCGGCCTCACTTACCAGTTAGGCAACATGATCAGCTCACCTTCAGCCCAAATCGTCAACGCAATCGCCGAATCGAATTTTGTGCAAGGTGCCAAGGGTAAGAGGGTCGAGGCTTATGGGCCGGTGATGGGTATTGCGACTGCGATTATTGCGGCAGGGATCGCAGTGACTACGGCATTTGGACCTGAGAAGAGGGGAAGGAGTTTTGAGGTCCCGGTTGTGGTTGATATGATGCAGACGAAGGATGTTGAAGAAGGACGGGATAGTATGGATAAGCATGCTACTCATGAGGAGCGCATCGAGAGGACCGAGACTAGATGATGAGTGTGATCGGACGTGTCGAAAGGAGTTTCTTGGTCTGTCATAAAGGCACCTCGAGCCCAGACACCGTTTCGGAGATGGAATCGAATCCGACAAATTCCCAAGATACTAAAGTTCCGAATCAATGCTGAAACGACATTGTTGACATCGAAGTCTAGTAGTTGAATATTTCAAGCTTAAGCTTTTCACAATGAGTGATGTTACAACTCGATATCAAGTATTTCCTAGCGTTCGATTAGAGGACCGAGCTCTGCATGGTATTGCTCCAGGCATAGGTATGACAAGTATGATCATACATGGTAAGATTACCGCCCGTGATAAACTTCATCTTCTTCTTGTGCGGCACTTTCAACATCCTCTTCGATACCCCTATGCCCCGTAGGATACAGCACAATCGCTTGAGCAGACGCCCCGAAACTGGCCCGAACAGTATATACTGGCTCATCTATCCCCGCAGTCACAAGCAATACAGTATCATCCTGTAGTGATCTCTGGTCCATGATCATGAAGTAGTGAGGAATGATATTGGACTTGGTGTCTTCGCGAAGCTTCAAGAGCAATTGGCTACACTCATAGGGTGTCTTGGAGACGAATGGCGATTCTGGGTTGCTGTGAGTTTTCACTGGCACTGCTGACGGTTGATCGTAACAGTGGTTGATGTTGTCGACGAACACGAAATCCCAAGTTTCTTCCTCGTTGATGTCACTATCTATCAGAAGACGATTCATGATCTGCACTATCAGTTAGGGCGTTCGAGGCGGCAGCAGCAGCATCAGCAGCATCAGCAGCAGCAGCAGCGGGATCGGTGGTACAAACATCTTTACTCAGTGATGCCGCACACACAATTGGAAGCCCCATGTTGGATTCCTGAGAGCCGTGGCACGGATTGGAAGGTGTTTAGTCAAGACCGTTACTTGTAGGGGTGCAGGGGTTCTGCGGCTTCGATATCTATGGAAAGTCTGGAGCGCACATATTGGCGGCGCGATGTATGTCAATTGTTCATGGTCGCGCTCAGCGCCGCGGAGAGGCCGATCGCTTAATTGATTAGTCATTACTTTTATGCAATTCATTGGAATACCGCTAAGACATCATTCTCCCATCCTTCTTATTCCACCCTACCCACTCCCAGTCACATTCAACGTCATATACATATTCGACCGATCGGGTCCACCACAATACTCAGTACTGTTACCTTGACACACCACATTACACCCCGTATCCTTTGGCGTCGCTCCTGTCGCCAACACACGCCCTTGATGTATAGCATTACCACAGAAGCATTGACTCGCATACTCGAGGCCAAAGTAGCGATACTTCGAACAAGCAGCCCTACAAGTCTCCACAGTGACATCATGCTATACCATGTCGAGATCATTGTTAAAGATGCCCAGTCAATGCGAGATAGAAACAAGAATGTCAGAAGAAGCACAGAAGAAACGAGACTCGGTGTGATCCTCTTGGAACCAGGATGCCACGACTTTTGGCAAGAGGGTCTGTGGTGTCAGGGTGATACCAATTGCAACCAATAACATCGACATCAACAACCACAGGCGATCAATAACTAGTAGAACTTGCTGTGATGATGTTGTTGAGCGTTTGAGAGTTGCTCTTCCTGTGGTGATGCTCTCAAGACATGAGGTAGCGGACCTGGCAATCTCGTCGTCAGACTTTGGTGATTTGACCAGGGATCTCAGCTCAGATACGATCCAAAGAGCGCCACCACGTGTGAGAAAAGACATAAAGTTTCGTGTCATTTGTCGCCTCCAATCGGGTAGGGCAGCCGTTATGCTCATTGACCCTGATCATTCTCTTCTGGGACCGAAGGCGGCCACTCTTCATAGTCCAACATCCACGGATAGTCCCTGCTAGGTGGATACCTCCAGACCTCTGGCATAGATGCAAACACCTCGACCTCCTCAGCTTTACAATTAGATCCCTCCATAATCCCAGCCTGACCTTCACCAAAGTACGGCGAACAACGCATAGGCAAAGACGCCGAAACTTCCTTCAATTGCCGAACCTGACATCTTTTCCAAGTCATAGGATCCTCGGATAACTTGTCATCTCCGCCGAGCTGTTCGATCCTTTGTTCCATGAGGTCCCCAAATTCGCCCGCTGCTTGTCTCGCATGAGCCGCAACTCCTGTGTGAGGGACTGTCTGAGCGAGGCTTGCCGAAAAGGTGGTCATGTAATTTCCTTCGATGCAAGCACGCATGATCTGTGGTGCCATGGAAGGGCGAAGGTCGTAGAGTTTGCGATAGGTAGACTCATTCGCGATGCATGGATACCAGATCGAATAAGTATCACTGTGTTCCCTTTGCGTAGCCATCATGCGATCGAGGCAGTTGTTCATGATCTTGCGAGCAGAGATGGCCCGACTGATCTCGGATGGGACGTATGCACCTGGTCCAGCTTGTTTCGTAGTTTCTTCCTCGCGAGCCCACCATAGTGCAAACATGGTGTTGTGAAGAGAACCACGAACGCAGCACTCAACCTCTTCGTAAACAAACCTTGGTCGACGCAGACGAGCATATCTGTCAATATCACCGTTGTATGCAGCCATGAGGATCAGGATGTCTTCGTCCACAACAGGCAGATCGCGAGGTAGAGGCGATGTCAACAACTCAAGGACCTCGAGAGTCATGACTCTATGAGGGTACGGGCAGTGTACTGTTTCAAGGTCGATACCCTCATCTTCAGTGATGTCGAATACACGACGATCGTATCCAGACGTCAGAGTAAAGTCGTTGTCTTCGTCGTCAGAATCATCTTGCCAGGGACCAAATCTATTCAGTTCTTGTGTGCCACTGAGCGAGGCATAAAGTGCAGTGTCGCCATTGAGGTAAGCTCCTGGTGTGGGGTTCAAGGTGACGGTGCGAGTGTAGTCGTTCATAATGTCATAGCGGACCGGCTCGGACATGATCATGTCGTATATCGCCATGTTTCCACACTCGCGAGCTTCCTCTGCATTATGCACTTCAGACAAAATGTCAAGTTCCTTGTACAAGCCCGTATGACCAGCAATGACACAGGCGCGAGCAACTTGACACGCCATGTGCGGATGGGCTTGGAAAAGTTTGCGGGATGTGTCCTCTAAAGCGATTTGAGGGTACCAGATGCAATAAGGGGTTTCTTCTTCAGCAATGATCTCTGATATGCGCCCACACATGATGCTGCGTGCATTGAGAGCACGAGTAAATATGGGTAGAACACCATGCAGTTCCGTGCCAAATCCATCATGAAGTCGAATACCGCGAACAACGCAACACCTCGTGATCGGGAGACCAAGTGCTTCAGGGACCTCTTTACCACGTACAGCATCCTCGCAGGCATCGGCGTTTCACATGAAAATGCGAAGTCGTTTCGCAAAGTCCTGAGACGGTTACACGTGCTCATTGTGGGATGGAGCCATGACCGGGGAACAGATAGTCTTCGTGGGCCAGCCTACAGAAAAGAGTAAAGTTAGCGTATTCTTCTATGTTACCACAAGGTTGTGAGACGCCGATGTCTGGGTTTGTCGCAATGCAGAGTGCCATCCAAAATCAAGCAAAAGTGCATAGAGATGCTGTCAGCTTTCAGGAGGAAAAAGTCTCTCGACTGAAACCCCAATCCTTCAGAATATACGCTGCAACGTGATAGCCGAGATTCGAATCTTTGAGACGGAGGTCGAATCACTACCTGATGACTGTAGACTTGTGGTAGCGGTGTCTTCGCCTACGCACCTTGCAAATGTATCGAAGAGTGAGACAAGCTTCACAACTAGAGTATGAGCAACTGATATGGCAGAAAGAGATCAACTCGATTGTTTGAAGCGCTCAGGGTGTTAACAGTCCGGTTACCAAATTAGTCGTGGTTACGAGATTAAGCCGCTAAAATTTAGATGAAAGTCGCGTCATAAGTCATGTCATACTATACCGATTTGTAGCCCTTTCAAGTGCCAAAGACTGTCATAGTGGACTGTTAGAATGCACATTACCTTTCATAAGGCAGTGTTGTCCATGAAGAGACGTTATTCTGGCTGTTTCTGCGACCACGACCCCGGTTTATGAAAGCAAACGTGTGGTTTTCACGATTGTATCATCACTTAATGTCGTTGATCGTGAGACTGTGACAGTCCTTTGCACGCTGAGGGGAGGGAGCGAAGATATTACAATGGAAAGCTCGGGTTCGAAAGAGACAACAACGTACTTGATGTGACATGTGTATCATTTCGTCTGATTGATCAAAAACAATCAAGAGAGCAGGGAGGCTAAAATACAGGAAAGCTGGATGCTCACAATCCAGATAGTACAAAGAATGAACGACGGAGAAAAGTGCTCAGTTGTTGGAAAAGAGAGGAGAAGGATTACTTTCTTCTGTTCTGTTGCATGGCCAAGATCTGGACCATGCGAACGAAGATGTTGATGAAATCAAGCTCAAGGCTGATGGCCTCGTTGACGGGGTCGCGCTTGATCAGACCGCGCTCGCTGAGACGGGCGTGGTGGAGGATCTTCTGGATGTCGTAGAGGGTGAAGCCACCGAAGACGACAAGACCACCGTAAAGCCAGAGGTTCTCAGTGAACATGAGAGCGCGAGTGGCGGTGGCGGGAAGAACCAAAGGAGCGAGACCGGAGAGAGCGACAACAGCGACACCAGCGAGAAGAGGGCCACCGATGTAGAGATACTTGTCAGTCTTGGCAGTGGCACCAACAAAGGCGATGCTGCCCATCAGACCGACAGTGTAGAGACCGGCACGGGCGAGGATGGCGGGGTTGTAGAACATGAGAGGAGACAGAAGGGCGGCCTGGGTCAGGTTGAAGGCGGTCCAGAGGGCGTACTTGGCGACGTAGCTGCAGGCAGGTGTTAGTACTTTGAGGCTTGGGTGTGTCAGTGTCAAGGCAACTCACTTCTCAGGAGGGCACATGCGAGTGCCCATCATGGTACCGATGGAGCCAACAAGACCAACACCAAGGATCAACCAGGGGTTGGCAGCCATGAGACGATAGCTCCATCCGTTTGCGTGGAGGGCGCGAGCAGCGATACCGATGATTCCAATGCCGAGACCAGTGTGCAGGAAGGTGTCGTTCAAGTAAGCGCGTTCAAACGGAGGCATACCGCCATCTTCTCTAGTTTCGCGGTTGAAGACGAGGCTNGTCGCGGGGTCAGCATTGCGCTTGAAAGGTGGTTGCTTGAAGGGCACTCACTTGATGGCAAGAAGAGTACCACCAAAGATGGCACCGCCATAGAGAAGACGCTGGGTGAGGTTTCCAGAAGCGGCAGGGTTGGGGAACGCCGCTGGCTGTTGATAGTTCCGACGGAACGAGTTTTGGAAGGCGCTGCGGAAAGTTGCTCGTGACGAGGCAAACTTGGTGCTGAAGCTGGATGGTGCGGGTGCCTTTTTGATCGGTCCTTGGTGGAAGGCGCGGACGGTGGAAGCGATGGGCGTCTGCTTGAGTGCAGCCGTCACGGCGAACGGTCGGCGCATGAGGAACGCCATCGTGTTGTGTTGTGTTGTGTATGTGTGTTGACTTGGGAAGGTGCAAGAGGCAAGAGGCAGCAGATTATGAGAGCCGCAGCTTCCCTCGCAAGTCCTCTCCACACGCCCTCGGCATGACGAAATGCCGACCGCATCGTCCACATTTGGAAAGCACGACCAAGCACTCGGAAGCTTCCAGACCCCTCCATCCTGATTCTGCCTGCGGTGCGCCGTCTTGTTTCTTGCATGAACCTGCCCAGCATTTTGTACTGCTTGCTACAATGTACAAATCACCAGTGCCACGTTCCTTGCAGACTTCACCACCTCGATCACCACCTCACGACTGGTCAGGAACATCGCGATAGCATGCCGCTGCTGAAACATGGCTCCTCGGCTTTCCACACTTGGGCAATCGCGATAACGGTAGGTTCGCTCCGTCCCAAACGTCACCATTCGACGACGCTGTCTTTAAACATGCCCATCTTTCCCTGTTCCTGTTCCTATTTTCCCGTTTCTCTTTTGATCCCCCTGCTCAGCAACCTACCGCATCCTGGTCGTTATTCGTATCTGCACCTACGCCACCTTTATTGATCCATCATGTGTGGCATATCTTGTATTCTTGCCCTGCAGCATTCCCATCATAAGCTTCCGGACCTTGCCAATCTCNAAAAGCCTATCCCCGGCGTCCAAACAAACGGTGATACAGATCACACAAAGCTCGCCGTAGAGCTTGATGCTTCTCTTGACCAGATCAAACACCGTGGACCCGACTCTCGCGGCCAGTGGATCAGCAATGACAAGCGCGTTGGTCCTCTGATCTCATGCCCCCTGTTTCTGCTTTCCCCAACTCCCTACTAACACCATCCTCTCTGCANNGCTTTTGGTCACGTCCGTCTAGCCATCAATGACCTCTCGCCTGATGGCATCCAACCTTTCCATGACAATGAACGCACCGTCCACGCTGTGGTTAATGGTGAGTTCTATGACTACGATAATATTCGCAAAGATCTCGAAGCCAAGACCGACTACAAGTTCCGTGGTCGTTCAGATTCTGAACTTGCCATTGCCCTTTACAAGTACTACGGTCTCAACTTCCTGCAGCATCTAAGAGGAGAGTTTGCCTGTGTTCTCTTCGACGAGTCACAGCAGCTCTTGGTCGCAGCCAGGGACCGCTACGGCATCAAGCCGCTGTTTTGGACTGTCCAAGATGAACGACTGTTGATCGCTGCCGAGATCAAAGCCTTCTTGCCTCTGGGTTGGAAGCCCGAGTGGGATGTCAAGAGTCTGCTCGACGCTGGCTGGAACCACGACGAGAGGACCCTGTTCAAAGGCATTGCCAAGGTATGATGAATGGGAGCGAGGCGGAATGGTGTCCTCTAACACAAACTCAGGNTCCGTCCTGGCCACTACCTCACCTGCCAGTCTTTCGACCACGTCGAACAACGCCCATATTGGGACATAAGCTACCCCGACAAGCATGCTGTCGATGTCCGAACTCCCGAAGACATGATTGATGGGGTCCGCCAACGTATGCTCGACGCCATCAAGCTACGACTTCGAGCCGATGTTCCCGTCGGCATCTACCTCAGTGGTGGTATCGACTCGTCAGTCATTGCTGGAATGGTCACACATCTTGTCAAAGAGCAGGGGATAGCAATGGGCAGCGCCAACGCTACAGACCGCGTCTCGTGTTTCAGTATCGCATTCGACGAAGAGTCTGGCTTCGACGAATCTGCCATCGCCAATCGCACAGCCGAGTGGCTTGGAGTGCGCTACATCAAGAAGCACATGAACGAGGTAGAGCTTGCCAAACGTTTCGAGGACGCTACCTGGCACTGCGAGCACCATAACCCTGACTTCAACTTTGTTGGCAAGTATGCGCTTTCTGAAGCCCCTCAAGAAGTCGAATTCAAGGTTGTCTTGACTGGTGAGGGAGCTGATGAGAACTTTGCTGGCTATCCTCTGTATCTGCCAGACTACCTTCGTGAGCCTGACTCGAGCTGGGACAAGTACAACACCCTACCAGAAAGTGAGAGAGAGCATCAACTTCATCTTGCAGAAACGGCAGCCATCGACTACTACACATCTGTCGGTGCTGACGTGTCCAATCGAGGGCCATCTGTCGCGCGCCGCATGCTCAACGACATTACTACTGTCAGTAGTATGGCAGCTTTCCAGCTTGACATTTTTGCTCCTTGGACGAACTGCTATGGTAAATGCGATCCTCAAGTCACGATCGCCAACAATGCCGATGGACGTGTTCGTAACCTGATCACCGAGTCCTGGCACCCTCTTCATTCGGCGCAATATGTCTGGTCCAAAGGACATTTGGCCAACATCTTCCTAACATGTCTTGGTGACCGTACAGAGATGGCACACAGTATTGAAGCGCGTACTCCCTTCCTTGATCATCCACTAACAGAGTATGTCAACCATCTGCCACCATCAGCCAAACTCAGGTGGGACCCCGAAGCAAAGAGATTCACCGAGAAGTGGGTACTTCGAGAGGCATCAAAACCTTTTATCACAAAGGAGCTGTATGAACGTAAAAAGCACCCGTATTCGGCACCGACAACCTGGCCCAAGGGTGGTCCCCTGAACAAGTTGCTGGACAAGCTGATCAGTGAAGACAACATCAAGCAACTGGGCTTTGTTGATTGGGATAGATGCAAGGGACTGACAGCCAAGGCATTCGGCGAGAGCGGCGACCCGATGGCCATGAGATATGCCATTGTCGTGGCAGAATGGGTTGTGCTAGGACAGCGATTCGGCGTCGCAACGGCCGAGAAGCCTGAGGGATATTGATGCCGTGCCATGCAATGCATGTATTGAGTGGCTTAACAGGAGTTGCGACTCCTTGACTGGCTTGCCTGTGGACGATGCATTATCCTGCAAATCAAACTCTTATCAATGACGTCCGAATCTCATAATGCATGCAAGTCATCTCCACAGAAGTGGCCACAGCGAATGAAGCTCTTTCTTCCAGAAGCAAAAAGGAAGGCTAGAGGTGAGGTGGGTGTTTCATGTGTATGCAGCGTCATGATGTGCGTGGCAAGGCTGAGATGAAGGTATGAGCACCTCGGCATGATCCTCAAAATGCCCTAGACGATGAGGATGTTCATGAGAGATCGAGGACGTTCTTAAGGGCTAGAAAGCACCCCCGAAATGATGTGGGTGCGGTATCCCTAAGCGGGAATAATTAAGATGGTCAGCGGGAATAGGTAGATCTTGGTCTCGGCAGACGGAGCGTGCCGGCCGACGGGTCGGGGAGCGGAGGTCGAAACTATGACATGGGGACGGTAGACTGGGCCATGTTTCTCCTTTAATACTTGCATGTGTTTCTGATGGTCTGATGTATCTTGTCTCTGCTACTGTCATTTATCGTGCAGTTTAGCGTGCATCTTGTTGATGTTTAGAGGACTTGTTTATATTCAAGGCGAACACGCACCCTGCGATACATCTGCCGTCAGACTGCACGACCAGCGCAACCATCGCTTCAAACGACTGAAGCTCGACAGGAACAAGACCATGATAAGCTGAGACATTTGTACATGACCGACATGTCCAGATCATGGCCAACGACGATGCATACACTTACGATGCTCACGATATACGACCCGATGACAGCATCAGCCGCCGAGGAGACCAGGCCAGCGTCAGAAGCGCCGGTATGAAGTCGACGGCCTCTTCGTTTGACGACGGCCCAGCAGACTCGCACATATCCCATTCGACCTACAAGAATGAGCGACCCACGACTCCTCCCTCCCGGCCGACTTCGATACTCTCGTCGCAATCACAGACGCCAGCCACCGTCTCTGGCAACAAGGAAAGAGTGAGGTACAGCTGGCAGTCGATACACGAGGATGAGCCCAACAGGCCAAGGATACACATTGTCAAGATTGTCTCGAATACCGCAACGGCATCGGCAGCCTCTCCTCAAGGAGAAGCCTTGGCCTTTTCGCTGTCGCCTGCTGGAAAGAGGATTGCTGCATACAACTCGGCCAGGCTGTTCATCTTCCAGACCGCTGCCTTGCCCGTCAACGTCTCGCATGAATATGCTTTACGAAGACGACCGCTGGCTGTCGAGATCTGCGACGAGGCCAATGTTCTTGCTGTTCTTGTTGACGAGCACACAGTCAACGTCTACGACTTGTCGCGCAATAACGCTCGTCGCGTGAGGACTGTTCGCACTGACCTGCCGACATCTACCATCGCTTTGTCTTCCACTGGTGGCCTCCTCGCTGCAGCGTACGAAGGTGGCGTCGAGGTCTTTTCCCTGGCTCCAAATGCTCTCATCACTGATCGACGTGCCGCGAGAGCGCCAAAGATGGATAAATTGGTCTTTTCCCAGGACGACTCGACTCTGCTTGGTACAACCACTCGCATCTTTGTCTCATCCACACTTGTCATTTCTGTACCGATATTTCCTCACGACTCTTCGACTGAATCTTCACACCAAGAACTGCAAGAAGCCTGGTGCACGGGTATGCTGGAACCGCAAAACATCAAGAACAGCAGCCATGCTACTTTCATGCGCGAACAAGGAGCCATGGCCAACGACAAGCTCTTTGCCTGGAACGGCCTTGAAGACACATTTGGTGTTCTTCATGCTCATGATATGGTATATGGTCAGGTCGACTTTCCGGTAGCCATATCTCCTCCATTGTCTACTTGTGGAGGATTGGGAGCTGCCATTCACCACTGCCCGTCTATCGACGAACATGGAAAGATTGTGGCCATGATTGTCAACGATCGCACAATTCGCTTATATCTAGTCCCCCAAGAGGCTGAAGATGGTATTACGAAGACGGAAGCACACAGTATCGACCACGAGTTGGATGAAGAGTATGGTTGTCCATTCACTGATCTTCGGTGGGTCCATTCCCGTCTCAACTTGCCGGCTTCTGCGCAGTCGCCTCATCAAATCAGAGGCAGGTTGGTAGTCACAAGTCCTGGATCGTTGGTTGATGCAGAACAAGCGGAGATGAATGTGCAAGATATTGAGGGCGGTCGGATCATCCTGTTTGACTTTGACCCGCAATTTGCTGGTCAGCCTGGCCAGACTTTTGTGTTTCATGTTGGCAAAGCTCCACCCGTGACGCTCGAGGAAGAGAAGATGGATGTTGTCGACGAAATTGCGTTGGTGCGACGGCGGACTGTAACCTCGACTCGTAGCAATACGCTTGGGAAGAAAACTCCTTCGCTTGGGAGAGCTGCCACAACAGTGTCGCGACGCCAGGATATCTCTCCTTATCGGAATGGAAGCCCGGCTGGGTCTATACAGCAGCTATCCTTGAATACTTCGCCATGGAGGAATCGTCGGGTCAGCTCTTCTGTGGTCTCTTTGTCTGCTGATGCAACGCGATCATTACCCGACCTACTCGAAGCAAGCGAATTGGCCGCCGAGTCGCTTGAACAGCCATATACCCAGGGAGCACCTCGCTCATACATGTCAATCGAGCGCGCAGCCACTGCTGCAAACGCACATCGTTTCCAAGCACTTGAAGAAGACGAAGCAGAATCGGAGCATCCAGGAGATCTTCCGTTGCCTGCCTATACTGAGCATCCAAATCAACCACTGCCGGGCAAATATCGCGCGCTTGCAGGCTTGGATATACCAACGCATGGACGCTTTGCACAGCAGAATAGTGCGCCTCCGTCTACAATCCACACTGCACCTCCGACAGTCCCCGAGCATCGATTCCCTACTCCAACTTCAACTTTGTCACCTGCATATGCCGTTCCCCAATCCACGCCCTCATACACCGCTTCTACGAGTCCCAGTAGACCTATTGCCACTTCAGCTGCCAGAAGTGACTATAGTCTCAGTCCAGTCACGACTAGATCTGCAACCCTGCGCACCCAACCATCCTGGGAAACCATCAGTACATCTGCACACATCACACCTCATGGGCCTTCGACATNNTACGCTCGCAACCAAGTTGGGAAAGCGGACGCACGATGAGCTACTTTTCGCCTGACATTTCGTCAACGACTGGCAACANGAACCGTGCCCACAAGCCCAGAACACATGCGTCCAGGCCTCATGATGCAAGGACTCGGTCTCCAAGATTTCGCCGAGCAAGAGAGACCAAGAACAATGGTTGAGCAAACGGTAACGCTTCAACATCGACCTCCGCATGTGGCTGCAATCCAAGCGGTCAATCTCGCTGCTGCGAATACGCCGTTGCCTGCAAATGACAGTGCACAGAGGACCAGCGCCGTAAGCGCTGTTTCTGCCATCTCTGATACGGGAACTTTACCTCGTCGTCCTGCTACTTCCGCTGGTGCAGTGGGCTATCAAGTCACCGCTTGGTTCNCCNCCGTTCCACCCACACCTAACGACGAGCGCCCAACTCTTGCCTCGAGATCCAGGACTGTGGGTGGTAGAGCTGTTTCTTCGGGTATTCTTGGAAGAGACGAAGCAGAAGAAGAATCAGGTGGTGGTGTCAAANGAAGCAAAAGCGTAGGCACAGGCCGCCGCGCTTGGTTTGCGAAGAAGAAACAATTGGAAGATAGGATTGGGGGTGAGGTGTTGCCGACCATTGGCAGAGGTGTCAGAGAGGATTTGAGGAACTATGAGGCACAGGGGAAGAAGTGTGTTGTTATGTAGTTCTTTCGCGTTGGGCAGAAAGCATTTCTTAGGAGTTATATCGATTTCGATGGAGCGGAGGTGAAAAGGGGTTTTGATAGTGCATATAGAATAGGATATACGATACCATGGCATAGTGTTTCCTCTTGAAATTGATCGTGCGTGGAGAGTGTGATGTTTGATGTTGATCTAGTATTGCTAGACAATGTTTATTTTCTCTCCATCAAAGGTTAGAGGATGTGAGTTCTGCTTAGTATTAATGCTTTGCAAGGGTATTGCCATTGGCGAAAAGTTTGGCAGGCAAGTCTCAAAGTTGTCTTGTGTAGTCTACGTGGTGGGAGTGCAGCTAGGGTGTTATGGTGATGGTGTGTAGGTGGTGGATGGAGGAGGAGGAGGAGGAGGAGGAGGAGGAGGTTTGGATGTCTATTGCTAGCCCACTTTCTTATTGCCTTGTTGCTTAGGGGTGGGTGTGAGCACTGGAGTTGTTGTGGTTGACCCATGCTACGAATGGTGAGCGCTTGCGTATATGTTAGTTATATAGCATAGCATGTAATGTTTGTTTGCTAGAAAATCCTACAAGCAACAAGTCAATTAACACTGTGCAAGACATGGATTTCTCTACAAATAGCCTTTCGATAGATGCATATAAACGCTTTGTAGACCAAAGCTCATGTTGCGCGTATATATGATACCTAGTGTTTGTCGATACCTCCTTCTTACTTATAGCTTTACACGTTTACGTTATATCCTACCTTTACCATGCCTTTCTTATGTGTGTATATACCTTATAAGATTTGCAGTGTCACATCTCTTTTCGATTATCTATAAGAGGATATCAAGAAGTAAATGGCAGATGATGGCTTTCTATATTGCTTGAAAACATTCACTATGATATAAAGTCATGCAACGACAGTATCAAGCCGGGTCTCTAGCTACAACCCATTGCAACTGTAAAAGACTATGGGATTAGAGAAGTGCCAGATAGACACATTGCTAGAAGGGGTTCGTGTCGGTGAGACAGAGGGTAGTACTATGGCTATATAACGTGTATAGCAAGAAACAAACCCGTAACCAGGAAAACATAGGATACTGGTCATCATACGAGGAAGAAGATCAGTGGTGTAGACGATAAATGGTAAGTTGATGTCATGCTTCTCTACAGCAAAAGAGATAAAGCAATTCTTCCAGAAGATCAGAAGAGGCAGAAGCATTGGCCTTTTTCCGCTGCTGCAAACCTGCTCCATATACTATCATTGAGACAAAACCTTTATTACAACAAGCTTTGCCGAACCTTATCGCTCCATTTCTCATCCTTTTGCATCCCAGCTTATCGGCAATATCCAGCAGCCACTTTTGCATTCTTCAACAATCCCAAATCAATAAAATTCTCATAACTCCAGTAATCGCTTCTGCTTCCTTGCCCATCAAACGGCTTGAATGCACTCGGAGCCGCCACCTTGGCAGTCCAATAAGCACTTCCCGAAGTCTTCTTGCCGAATGCATACAAACCAGCGGCCAGATTACCCTGTCGTAAAGCAAAAGTGTTGTTGTATTGAGCCTCAATCGCCCACTCGCCAACAAAGACGGGGAATTTGCCATCGCCCACTGCGGCTTTGGCATCGGTGCAGATGTAGGAAGATACGTTTGCGGCACACGCGTTTCTGCCTGCGAAATAATAGCTGTGGATATCGAAGACGAGGTTTGTGGTCTCGTCGAAAGAGGGCGGGAAGTAAGATTCGCCTTTGAAGCCGTCTTGGAGCATGACTGGGATCTTAGCATTGACCTTGCCGACGCGCTTCAAGACGCCTTTTGTGAAGTTTGTGAGGTCTGAGAGAGCGTATGGAGAGCCAAAGGCAGAGAAAGCGGTATTGTCGACTGGTTCATTGATGGGGGCGAGGGTGAAATGGGANGGAAACCCGGAAGATTGAATGAAAGCGATGACTGCATCCACGGCTTTATAGGAGTATGCGAGGGCAGTCTGGTTGTGGAACCAGCCATAATGGCCATCTGCCTCGCCAATGCCTTGACCGTTGACTCCGCCGGGCAGAGAATGGATGTCAACAATGATATGCATATTGTACTCTTTGATGGCATACAAAGCAATATCCTTGAGATATTTCTGCTGGTTGCCAGAGTACAGTTGGGTGCCTGGAAGCTTGATCCAGGCGGCATACGTGGTTGGAATGCGTAATACATTGATGTTTGCAGTGGCCGATTTATCGATATCGGCGTAGGTGATCCAGATGGCATATCTGTTTTCCAGAACGGGTCCGCAACGTGATCCTAGGTTTGCGCAGAGACCCCATTCGTCGCTTGCGCCACCGGAGTTAGCATCCCACCATGTTGTGTCGATGAAATATTCTTGTACCAGTTAGCCACCAAGATTGACACCGTTTGCCTTGAAGGTTCTCCAGTCAATATAGTTCGAGCTATAAGGGCCAGGGGTCCTGGGGGTCCTGGGGGCCCAGGCGGACCAGGTGGTCCAGGAGGACCGGGAGGGCTGTGAGGGCTAGGCGGTGGAAGAGCACAAGACTGTCCAAGTAGGGTGCTCACAGCAGCGAGGGTCAAGAGTGGGGCAAGCATGGTCAACCAGAAATCAGGAGTGTTGTTGCGTGGTGCTTGTCACGTGCGGGTACCGAGACCATGGGTCCTCTTATATGTGCATGACCAACCGATGTCCACCAGACTGCCGTCTCCTGGGGCTGGCCAAGACGCAACTGATGGCGGCAGGTTCAAAGAAGTGCCACGAGATGGTCCGAAACCGAAGCCCCACAATATCGACCCCGGACTTCCTCCACATGTTCATCTTTCATACCATTGTCCCGGCCACAATCACCCGCAGCATATTTGTTAGTGATCAATGCTGTAAGTTTATAGCACTGACATAGAAAACCTGTTGTCGCAAGCGGAATCTTCCCCGGATATGGCGAGCGCGGAAAGAAGTCAAGGCTTGATTGAGAAAGAAAGGTGTTCTACCGATGGTGAGGCAGCACATAAGTGTGAGCTTTATGCAACGTTTATGCAGAAATTTGCTATGCCAACAAACGAGAAGGTGGAACTTCAGCCCGCTGTAGCGACATTCCGTAGAAGACAGGCAGAAGCAATACACTTTGCCTTGCACATCAGGAAGTTATTCATCTTCATAGCTTTGTCATCGGAAGCGGAGTCGACCACCTCCATCGCAGCTCTAGCCAAAGCGACAAGGTCATTCATCAGTATAACATCGGCATCGAATCTGACGCCATTGATCCACTGGACAACCTCTCTGACTTGGTTTTCAGCATCAGTTGTGTTGGTCAGACGAACCGTCATCGCTACCGCTGTTTGATCTCGTGCGACAGTGAAAGCTAATCGTGTAGAGCACTCTACTCGGGCTTGTGGAAACATATCTTCATTCGAAGCGGCACCGAGAGCCAAAAGATGTGAGCGGAGATCATGGTGAGCAGATGGCAGAATGTTCCAAGCACTATACAGCCAGTTTGCTATCTCGTCGGCCCTATCTTCCAACGAAAATATGTCGCGAGGAGTAACACTTGTCGTCTGGTTGAGCTCGACGGCAAGAGGGTCAGCAGCTTCGCGATCTTTGAGCTGCGTTGAAGCGATCTCTCCAATACTTTCTCTCGGGGAATTTGCATCGTGATGCGCGTCAATCGTCGCCTTCTCAGATTCGAAGACGGGAGCAGGTGTCCCACGGATCAGGGGTCCGAGCAAGGGCGAGCGACAGAGGCGTTTCCGCTTTTCCTGACGTGCATCAGGCAGGGAGCCGACACTCGCTGCACGCTTGAAAGTGTCTCCCTTGTAACACTCGATGCTCGGAGATCGGTAGTCCAGCATTCGGCGCATACGGACCCAGAAAGGAGTCTCCGGTACACCTTCATTGTCATTCTCCTGGTATATCGGCAGAGCAGGGATGGCGGCATCGCTATAGGGTACTTGTATTTCCACGAGCGGTGGAGTTGTGTGAGAGGTATAAGGTGGCGGGCGAGGGTCTTCATGTGGAACGATATCTAGACCTTGGTTGAGCCAGAGGTTTATACCAGCTCCACGGCCATCATACATGCTGTCGAGCAGCAAAACAGGGGTTTCAAGCTGATGCTCGTCTATACGTGCAAATATTCTGCGAAGCTCAAGCTGTGCGAATGTATCGAACCTGAAGTATATATCAAAGGAGCATGTTTCAGACAAGGACTTGAGCCTCGTCATCAACTCTTTCGGCGTGCCTTTGACAGGCTTCTGGCGCTTGCTTTGAGGCATGATGACATCGCAAGGCATGTCGAGTGCAATTGGGATGTGGAACAGATTACAATCGGCGAGACCCGCGCCTTCCAAGTCGACTCTTCCGTCTGATTGTACAGGGCCGAAAGTCATATCGATGCTCGACGTATCGAACGTGCAAGGAATGATCATGAAGAAACCGCGAGGATGTTTTGAAGCGCGAATGGATATCGGAAGATGTAAAGCTATCAACAGCTCGTTGTTTTCAGGTCGCCAACCAATGTTGATGGTCAACTTGGATGTCGAGTTCAAAGGCGACAATTGCCCCAGACATGACAGTCCCTCCTCTTTGCTGTTCCAGGAAACAAAGCAAGGCTTTTCGACGACCCATCTCCATGGCGGATCGCTGGAGACAAGGCCATAGTCCTCCATGGCTATATTAATATGCAGGTACACGGCCTAAATCACACGATAGCAGAGGACGTCAACACCCTGAACCAAAAGTTTGCAATACCGTTGTGCCCCTTCTCAAGAGAAGGCAACCCGCCCACCCAGGCTTTTGTATGGGAAAGCAGCCTTGACTCTGGCGTGAAAAGAAGAGGAATGACGGCGTGTTCGAACAATCAAGATAGCAGACGGCAAACAGACACACGTCGGGCTCGGAGAGGTACAAGCAATCGGTCGTCGCGGTCGCGTCGCGTCGACTCTTTAAAGTGGACGGGGCGCGACGGCTAGGAGCAAATTTTTGGTACAAAAGCAAGCACACGAGAGGGTCAGTCTGGCCTGTTTTCTTGATGATATGTAGGCGCCGGCGGGTGATATGTTGATGAGAGTTGAATGTCAGTGAGGAATCGTGGATGGAAATGCAAGGCAACAACGTCGTTCTCGAAAGCTTGGCATTCGACGCTCCGTAGCCATCGATTTGATTGCCAACTTCAAATCACCCGCTGCTTAGATGATGATTAGCATCCTCTTATGCAATATGAGGATCTGTCAACTCGATCTTTCGGTATGGGATTTTGTTTCTAGAAGATGTTTGACAGTTCAGAAGGTTGCTCTCGTGGGTTAGGGTAGGGTCGGCGTGGCCCGCTTATCCAGCATCAGGGTCCGAGCTGCCTGATATCAACAACGCGACGCCCTTCGTCATCCAATTTTACACCACCTTACTTTCTTCTTTACCACATCCGCCAGAGTATCCTCTTTGCCAAAGCTATGCTAGACTGATCCCCTCATGTTCTTTGTCATACCCAGCAATCTGTTCTGATCTGACTGTCCCGTTTCTGAGCGGGCCTCGGTGTTGACTGACGGACCAGACGGAACAGACCAGCCACAAACCACCCCTATATTAGCAACCTGTTCCCATTACACACAAATCAACCATCACATGCACCATTCCCCTTATCACACGAACTACACAAACCGCCCAAACCACCCAATGGCATCAAAACCAGAGCTGCTGTCGCAGATCAGTTTTCCTCCACCTCTACTCCATACCCACCACTTTGGCTCACTTTCACAGGAGACCGAGACAGAATCACTAGATTCATTTCCCTAATCTTGCATTAATGCATCTCTGATGATGAGGGTCATAATCAGGCAAGGGATTGGAGGGATACTAGAGAGTTACAGACCTGCATCATCTCTGTTCTTTCCCCCTTGTGTCCATCTTTTGTCGACGTGGGTGAGCTCTCTGGGGAGAATGTTTCGGCTTGAGAATTGTCTGCGCGTGGTTACGAATGCGGTTCATCGCTGCGCATGTGTCTGGGATACAAGCATGAGACTTGAAGACATGTGACAGTGACAACATCCACAGTGTCTCAAAGTCAATCTTCGCATGTCCCCAGAATACTGTGGTCATTTGAATCTTTTATTGCAATTTTGTTGTTGGTATAATCTTTTCGAGCAAACCATCATCTCCCTATGTCCCTCCCTTCCAGCCCTTCTACTTGCTTCACCCTCAAAGGACAATCTAATCCTTATCAAGTCTAACAGCAGCATTACTCTCAATGAAATTCAAATCCACCTTGTGACCCAGCAAATCACGAATATTCGACACGGCATACTTGATCATCGTCGGCCTCTCCAATGACAATCCAAACCCATAAACCCTCAGATCCTTGGGCAGACCCATAGATTCCAACATTTCAGGTCTAAACATACCGCTGTTGCCAATTTCTACCCACTTGCCAAGCCCTTGGTGGTAACCGAAAACTTCCATGGAAGGTTCGGTGTAGGGGTTGTAGGCTGGCTTGAAGCGGAGATTGGAGATGCCGAGTTTGGCAAAGAAGCCTTCGAGGAAGGCCATTAGGCCGCCGAGAGTGAGGTCGTAGTCGGCAATCACGCCTTCGACTTGGTGGAATTCTGCCAGGTGGGTGGCGTCCACGGTTTCGTTTCTGAAGACGCGGTCGATGGAGAAGTAGCGGCAAGGACGTGGGTTGGCGGCAAGACGATGCAGAACATATGTAGAAACAGCAGTTGTGTGTGTTCGCAGCACGAGTTTGGTGGTCTCGGCATCGTTGTAGGGGTATCTGTAGCCGATGGAGCCGAAAGCGCCGTCTTGGTGTACTTTGCGCACGTTGTCGTAGTATTTTTGGTAGTCGAGTTTTGGTTGCTCAGTGGATGCGAGGCGGGGATCGTAGAGTTTGGCGTCTTTCTCCATGGCTTCCATGGCGGCGTCTGCGATGGGGTCCGCGCGGGGGAAGTCGGCAGACACGGGGTCAGAGACGTAGAAGGTGTCTTGGAGGTCACGGGCAGGGTGTTGCTGGGGCACGAAGAGAGCGTCAAAGTTCCAGAAGCCAGTGTCGACGAATCTGNNTGTGGGAGGCGTCAGTCGAGGAAGAGGCAAAGAAGTTGTTCAGGCTTGTTCTCACCTGCCCGTGGGCATCTCAATGAAGCCCTGGTGGAAGAAGATCTTGCGGAACTCCTCGCGCACCTTCATCAACGGATGCAGAGCACCGGCATGCTGCTGCGAACCGAGTGCAGCAAAGTTGTAGGGCTTGAAGTTTGCAGTCTTCCACTCGCCCGACTCGAGCATTTCGGGTGTGAGATCTGTGTGCTCGACGGGCATCTCCTTTGCATACTTGTCGCCCTTGGTAACGACATAGCTGATAACCTTTGTGACGGTGACCAACTTGCGCTTCTTGAGATCGGCGAGCAGCTTGTTGTCTGACAGCGACTTGGTGTTCTGGATGGCGGCGAGGGTTTCGCGGGTGGTGTCCTTGGGCGAGTCGACCAGCGACACGAGCACATCGCCGTCCTTCTTGATCCACTTGAGCTTGAAAGCATTGCCCTGACCAACCTTGGCCGAGTCTGGCAACTCACTCTGCAGACCCCTGAATCAGCATCCACTCCGACTATCATCACATCTGCATCCAAGAATTACCTGAAGCTCCTTCAAAGGCATCTGGCCCTTTCTCTTGACAGCCTCCCACACTTTGAACTCGTGACTGCCCTCATTGGCAATCTGCTCGCCCTCCTTTGTGAGCACAACTTGTTCTTTGTCGTTGGTCTCGTAGACGACCATGTTTCTCGAGGCCAGTCTGTCCAGGGCGGCCTTGATTTCGGCTTGTGCTACATCGGGCAGGTCGCTCTCGGTCGCAACGCTCTGCTGGGTGTCCAAAAGGTCCAGCACTTCCTGAGTGAGGTCGCGGCTGCCGGCCTGAGCCTGTACCGGTACGGGTCCACGTTGTCCGGCCATTGTGGGAAAATTGATGGTCGATGGGTGAAGATGCGCAAACAATTGGTGGTTGTGACTGTTTCGAAAGCCCAAGGCGCTGCCGCCGTCTGAATTTTGACTGATTCGTGGCGGGGTCATCTTCGTCAAGCTTCACCATCAACTTGAGTCATGTGCTTAGCTTCACTTTTTCCTCCTTTTTCCTTTTCCAAGAATAAGTGAAACTTGTAGAAGATCGCGGTGTCTATCAATGGAGGAACATCGCATACGCCGTGCCATCAACGCCGTGTGGCGCTCGCCCATGCACATTCTCATACCACGCTATGCAGAAAATAAAGACATGAAATGCAAAAACATGAACCATCCCTTTCAAATCTTCCTCCTCAATTGGAACACCTTGTTGGTCGTTGCTGCCGGCAGCCCTTCCGAGAAGCGATCGCGCTCNTGCAGTTCTTGTCAGCATCTTGTTTCGTCTTTAGTCAGAGGGCCAGTCTTACCTTCTTCCGTTTCAAATCCAATGGTAATATCATCATGCTCTCCTGCATACTCCAACCCTTCAAGGTTGATATACTTGCGACGCACGCCCTTGCCCCAAATCTTTGAATCCGATGGCGGTTCATCTTCACTTCCTTCCACATCCTTCTCCTTCTTTGGTAGACTGAACTTGGCATCCACAAACTTGACACAGTATTTGGCTGGTTTGTCTCCTTTTGCCTTCTCGAAAGTGTCCGCTGCTTTGATCTGGAAGACCATGGCATCGGCGTGGCTGAAGTCTTCGAAAAAGGCTGCAATCTTGGTCACATTCCCGAGTGTCAAGATCTGAATTCGGACCTTGGTCGCTTCCCATTTCTTGTAGATGGGCACAACCATTCGTCGTCTTGAGATGGCGAACAAGGTAGCCGACCCGTCGAACTTGACCGAATATCTTGTGAGCGCCTTCTGGAAGGTGTGCAGATCCGCCATGGACGAGAATGTCAAGGTGCGAGTGGTTGGCGACGTTGCTGCTGTTTGCACCAGTCTTTTCAACCCCTCACGGCCATGCTGGGCTCTGCCAATATCGAGCGAAGCAGTCAGATCTTCTTGCGGTGCGCGCAAAAGCGTCATACTGGGTGTACTGGAAGCTGGGAGACGCAACAAGAGCTCGCCAGGACCTGCAGATCGTGTTAGCAGACATCAGCTTGTGATGTTGGAAGAACTTACCAAGNNATTGAGACGGTCTGTCACTGCACCGCTGTCATGCGTCGCAATTAATCGGAAGTGCTCCGACATTGTCATGTCGCCCTGATCTTGTCCAATTGCTGCATTAGCATCCGTCATGACTCGAACGTCTTGCCAGCTGAGTCCCTGGAGAGCACCCGCAATCGTATCTTGTCCAGTCGACGTCTCGGCAACCATGCTTCTGAGTCCCACTCTGGCCACAACTTGCTCATTCTGGTCAGTAGCAATACCCTGCAGCACCTCATAAAAGTCCTGGCGTTCGCGACCACTTTTGAAGGTTAGAGTAGTCCTACACTGCCGCACCGAATCTTGCGTGTGCACTTGCAAGATCGGAGGCTCGGTGTCTGCTGACATTTCGAAGAGCAAAGGCGTTATCCTGCACAAAGGAATACCAGCCATGGTCAAAGACTTGTTGACAGGATTCGCCATCAACAGCAGTCGATATCCACGATGCAGATTGGTCTCACCAAGCCCAGTACGAACATGAAGCCTCTTCTCGTACACAAATGCCGTGCACGACCGAACCTTGTCCTTGGAGAATGCGCTAGGATTGGTAGAATCAGTGTGTGCGATTTCACTCAGATGCGCCTGGAATATCATTCGCTCGTCGCCTTCTGGCTTCATGCTGCTGTAGATTTTGTTGGTGTAGTCGACCATGCTCCACAATGACCGAAAGTCTGGCTCTTGGAACGCGAGGTTGAGAGTGAAGCCTCTGGGGAGACGGATGTAGAGACCATGCTCCTTGGACTTCCAGCTAACATCGTGCCAAGTCGGTCCCTTACCATACCCTCCATCTCCAGGCCTGATTGAGAGATTCACCAAGTCTGCTTGACTCGATATGACGACCGAGGTTTGGAACTCGGATTTGCCTCTGATCATGGTGAGAACGCAAGGCAAGACGACACGATCAGTGTCTGCTTCCTCCGTATTGATGGACGCACTGACAAACATCCTACTGTAGCAGAACGTATCTCTGGTGTCACCGAGCGGCAAAGCTTCCAGAGGATTTGCTTCTTCGAGCTGATCTTGAGCAATCAGCGCCTGAGAAGTGTTGCCACGAAGAAGCGATGCCACATCTGAAGCAAAACGTGGATACTCCACCCACATTGTCGTATCCTGACCTTGGATCAAAGACTGATGCGGGGGCATGACATTGTTCCGACTCATTGACAAAGTAAAGGTACGCAGACTTGCACGTACGATATCCATATCACGCAGTAGGGTATCTTGTGGAGAATCGACTTTTGAATGCGGCGAGTCTGCACCAGACAAGACATCGGTAAGAATCCACCATGTTTTGGCAACATCAACGTGTGCTTGTGTCAGGGTTTCTGGCCTGTTTGACCCCTTGGGAGTGTTTCGAATCTGAACGGTCAATCCTGCGCGACCTTTATGGAGCCACCAAATAGCAGCACGAATCCACTCCCGAATGGTACAACTCTGGATAGATCTCTCGCGCTCAGCTGTCAAACGAAACACACCTCTCATATGTGCAACCCGCATGCCAAAGTCGAAAAGAGCGTCATGCTCTGAAGTACCCTGAACGTGCTCTGGAGGAGAAATATTGCGGTAAGAGAAGGCAGATCCAGATCTGCCATTCGCATCGTACGAAGGTATAGGAAGGTTACCAGGGGTAAGTCCAGGAGTGATTCCAGGACTGAGTCCAGGGGTTAGGCCATTGACATTCGATGTTTGAGGTGCCAGTGACCGCTGCGAGAAGTAGCTCGGGCTAGGGCCACGGCTCGGAGGTTGCGGCAGAGGATGAACGTTTGAAGCATGTGGTGGTCGCGAAGCGTTGTTGGGCTGCAAAGAAGCTGAGCGGACAGAAGAAGCAGGCGAAGAAGAGGCCAAGAAGTCAGAGGGAAGTCGCTGTCGATGGCTTGATGCTGAATGTGTTGAGTCATTAGTGTAGTGAGACGAAGAGAAAGACGGTTGCACGTTTCTTGTCGTGACTAGGTCGGGATAATCGTGTTGTCCTGGAACATCGGGAAGTGGATGTGCTCGGTGAGGTAGCACTATTGGTGGTGCTGGCTGTTCAGGAGAAGCGGACCGAAGGTGGTCGGGAGTGTCGAAGTTGAAGTCAGTCGGTACAATTGAGGGAAGCTGTGGACTACGGGACCGGCTCTGTCGGGGAGGGGAGTTCGGGCTGGGTGGTCTACGCGGGTCCAGGACGTCCGGAGCGACTTCATCATAGTCGAGTCTGGACAAGCGACGCAAGACTCGGCCTTCCTCTTCGCGGATGATGCTCTGTCGTTTGGCCTCCCGTGGTGGCAAGGAGCGAGGTTGTGGTGGAGAGTCTTGTAAGAAGGTGGCCAATTCGCGGTTGTCGATTATGGGTGGTGAGATGGGAGATTCAAGGGGATATATTGGATTCATGGGCAGTTCAATGTGCGGTGGGATTGGTGGCACTTCTTCATCACTCAGGGGAGAGGTTTCGTGATCTTCCAAGTTGCCAAAGGTCGTGGGAGCGCGCTTCAGCAACCCAGGTCGAGGGCTTTGTTGTACAGGGGCATGCTCTGGAACTGGAGGAGGTACGGGTTGGGATTGCGACTCGAAAAAGGGGTGGTTCACAGGATGCGTCGGGTCGGCCAGCGAGTTTTTGCGTTGATAGGCATTGCGAACGGCGGGAGCGCTCATGGGGTAATTCGCAGCCTGACGGTGTTGTTCTGCTGCCTGTGTGTCCAACATAGGAGCTGCAGGCCTCCTTTCCGTTTGTGACCTTGCCAACTTCGCCTTTGCTCTTGACACATCGACGACTGGAATGTCCGAGTCGTCACCGCCCTCTCCAATGATTTCTGGTGGTGTCCTCACGAATGCGACATTGCCATTCTTCTTCCTCTTTGGCTTGGTTGTATATGTTTCAGGGGGACTGGCAGCAGCTCTCCTGACATCCGAAGCCTCTGGCCATCTCTGTGCAGCGGATGTGTCGATTCGCGGAGCAGCCAGCTGTCGCGTGCCTTCGCCAGGGATTCTCTCCTTTTCCGTCGATGGTTTGAGGAAGTCGACGACATCTTCGTTGAGCTTGAAATTCTTGTCGGATCCGTCAGGCTTGCGTAGCAGCTTGCCCCATTTCGAACTGCCTCGGAGACTCATGTCGCTGTTGTTGGTGTTGGTTGTTTGGCTGCCCAAAGGGTCGTCTATCGAGATTGCGGGGAACGAGGGACAAGGTTGGAGGGCAAGGCAGGGGCGTCTATAGAGTTTGAGTGTATTTCGTCTGGGTCGTGGGTATCGGTAGTATCGTCTCTCTCAGCTCCTGCCCAGCTCGGTCCATTGACTGACTGACAACAGTGTACAAGAGTAAACAGGCAGCACGGCGTGGCAGGGGGGAGTCTTGAGTGATCTCGCGACATGCCAAGGCCACTTTGATACATAACACAACGGCCAGAGTGGAAACTGCGCTAGCCAGGCACAAAGAAGGGTCCGCATCCGCCGCTCGTCCCTCTTCCTGCTCCGAGCGCCACCTGCATCGTCAAGTCTTGCTCTCACATCCGCTTCCTTCGACCATTGCTATCTCGCCTTTCAACGCTCTGATTGAAACTTGCATGCCGTACGTTGCGCTTGCCTCGTCATGAGCTGCGTCATGTCTCGGTATATGTTTTTGCTATCATTTGAAGCCTTGAGCTCGTTCAATCTTTGCTATATCTTCAATATCCATACACCGGTGTGACGCTCTATCGAGAGCCGCGGCTATTTTGAGCTCTGACACGACCCCATCGCGAAACCTAATTCTGAGGCCGCCCATTTTCCTCACCTCTGGCTAAACAGACACAAGACGAGAGTTATCTTTCATCACGCTCCTGGTCGGTTTTGGCTGTCAGATCAATGCTCTTACTCAGCGTATCGATGAGTCGTAACGCCCCGTTGACAGGGACTTGCAATCTTTCGTGACTACCGCCGTAATTTCAGCTGACCCACTTGCTGCCTCTTTGGTGTTCTGGCGCTCGTATGTGTACAATTTACTCTTGCGATATACCTCCTGCTACTATATCATGGCGGCACGTGTTCTCATGAGTATTGCATGTGCTACTCTCTTCATTTCTGACACACTCGATTGACGGTGCTCATGCTTACTCGCTACTTGTTTCGACTTTCTGGATGGTGTCTATGTCGTCCATAAGACTTGCTACAGGTTGTCTACAAAGGACGGAGCAAGTACATGTGGCCACAGCCAGCTGAAGATTGAATATCCATGCTGACCACTGTACCATTGTAGAACGGAACATAGGTAATTCTCTGGTATTTCAGTTGCTAGTACCCTGTAAGCAAACAGGTCACGAAGATGGATGCTTGCTCTGTCGCGTCGACTCTGGGTCGCCGAGCTGGACCCTAGGATGTCAGACGGGTAAGCAGCCACCCACAAAAAAGCTACATCCTATGGCGCACATACAAGCACTGTTCAGCCTTTCCACTCTGCCTTGCGACGCCTCAGACGACCTCGAAGAATGTTGTATATCAGCATACTCTCACGCCACGACCTCAAGAGCACATTTCAGCTGTGGCTGCATTGCTCGAGAACGATGGCTTGAAGGTCCCTGTTCGTTCAATATGCAATAGCTAAGGATCGATTCTGACTAAGTATACAGCTGAAATTCGGCCTCCAGCACAGCCGCAGTAATTGCTGCGCATGAATACCTGAATCCGGACAATGGTGAACTCGACAGAAACACATAAGAACAAGACGAGTCCTGGGGGGACCCAGAATTCCAACAGCATTCTCACCTGGACCTTACCTTGCTTATCACCCTGCTTTCAAACCAGCCAACCATGTATAACATCACAGGTCTCCAGGGGATGCAGTATCCTCGTGAGGGTGACACATTCCAAGCAAAGGACTATGCCTACTTCAACCAGCAATACGCATCCTCATCCTACCAGGAAGCCCACGACATGAACCCAGCTCTTATCGTCCAACCCAAAGATGACGATGATGTCGTCAAAGCTGTCAAGTGGGCTCGANAAGGAAAAGTCGCTGTCGCCATCAAGAGTGGCGGACATCAATACAGCGGCGCTTCCTCGACAGGCGGAAAGAATATCCAAATCGACCTTAGCAACACCTACAAAGATATGAAGGTGTTACCTTCTGAACACCTGCCTGAAGACAGAGCACTGGTTTTCGTCGGAGTAAGCAACCAGCTTCAAGATTTCAATGCTTACCTCAAACACAATGGGCTCTTTGTCCCGCACGGACAGTGCGCCTGTGTCTGTGTTGGAGGTCACGCTCAGACTGGTGGATACGGTCAGCTTGGCCGCAGCTTTGGCTTATTCGGTGATCACATTGTAAGCATCCGCATGGTTGACTACAATGGCGACATCAAAGAAGTCAACGAGAAAAGCGACTCGGAGCTCTTTAATGCCATCCGTGGCGGTAGCCCTGGCAACTTTGGCATCATAACTCACTATGTAGTGAACGTTTACCAGGCCAAGAGCTATGTTGGACAGATATCGGGACCCAACGGTATCAAAGGACCGTATGGTCTAAAAGGCCTCTGGCTTTACGACGGCTCAATCATGAAGAAGTTGCTCACCATCCTTGCCAGGATGTCTGATAACCCAGACCTCCCTGGAAATTTCGACCTGTGCATTAGTGTTCTCAGCACTGAATTTCCTGTCACTATGCTCTTTCCATCGATGAAGGATGATACACTCTGGCAAAAGGTCCAACAAAGGATCAAGTCAGCATTTGCGTCTGAAGTCCTGGATCTTCTCAATGGCTCTTTCCCGGCTATTATCGTGGTGTATGCTCAGTGGTGCCCTACATCCAAGAACGACAAATACGACGACGCAGTCAATGATTGGTTCAAGCGATTCTGGGATCTCCGGAACGATCACCACTATCTCCACATCGACGACTTTGGCCGAGACTCGTCAGTAGACATGGCGACAATGACGGGCAAATGGATCTTCCCCAAGAAGAGAGAATTCGATCTCCCCTATGTCAAACGCACCTGGGTAACTAACTCCAGAACACTCTCGACCAACGGCTGGGTAGACGATGTGGTAAAGCGACTAGATCTAGTACTCGACCCACAGCAAAAGCTCAGTGACAACAAACAAGACTGGGAAAAAGATATCTACGACCACTGTAAACTCTCAGTTCAGATCCAAGCCTTTGGAGGGGAAAACTCAAAGTACTTTACCAACAGAAAGAATGGTGCTTCCTATAGCTGGAGAGACTCCACTATTGTCCAAGTTATCGATTGCTTTCACGATGAGAATGGAAGAAAGTTCGCAGATGACTGGCAGCAACATAATGATATAGTTATGGTTGGGCCTAACAGCAACTTTAGCAAGGTGGATAAGCGTATGTTGTGGGGTTCTCATGGCGATTGGGATTTATCCAGTCCTGAGGTTTGGAAGACTTACTATGAGGATGAGGACAAGTATCGAAGGATCGGAAAAGTTAGGNGAAAGCATGACCCTGATGGCACGTTCACTGCCAATCCTTTTGCGGTCGAGGCTATCAAGTCTGTCTGAATGGTGTGTGTATCCCATTAGCTAATCATGATCTAATCCTTCGAACCTTCAGCAAAAGATTTGTTCAACGAGAAGTACAATTTTGGAGGATGAGACGAGAGCACTGCCGGGAACGCGATATTCCTGATTGTATGTGCGATAGGTTTATATCGGGGCAACTTTTAGTCCCGTGCGAAGCATACCAACTGGTATCTTCACGAAGTCTGGTCTCCAATCAAATCGTCAACCTAAAGAGCGCAAAATTATACAAATGCGTCAGGAAATGCGCTTGCAACGGAGGGAGCAGCTGCGGCGGAATGCCATGCAGAGAGAGGCATGGACTGTAAAGCAAAACCCAACCTTTGCTTTTGAAGCACGGGAACACGCGCAACAACAGCAAGAGCAGATGCAGGCTCATTGCGAGCATTCGCAAGCTCAATTGGGTGCTCAAAACACCAATGAACTCGAGATCAAGACCGATGAGGAATTGGACAAGAATCCTTCAAGTTTGGGCTATTTGCATTCTCGATTGGTGAGTACCATCGTCTCGAAGCACTCGGTAGTTGTATAATTGACACATGCGCGAACAGAGTGAAGACGCTGCATCTGCTGAACAACGCCAACGACCTGGCGAACGGCGTCGAAGTCGACATGCGCTTCGAAAGTCAAGATATCCAGAACAGTCCCTCCGAGGTATATCTACATGTCTTGCTGCCTCTTTGTACGCTGACTCGTTGCACAGGACCGATAGACGGCAGGCATGAAGCAAAACTTGAACGAAACTAGCCAAGCTCATCAACAAGTGCGCATGAAGGCGCACCAACAGCAGCAGGCTACGGGCATTTGACCCATGATGCCTCCTGGTCCACCCCGGCGCTGATGTCGATGATCAGAACGATGTACATATCTCTACCCTCCATGCTGAGATGGAAAACTTTGCAAGGTACACATGGTTACAGAGGCTGAGTCTCGTGTGAAGTTGTAGTCAGCAGCAGCAAGGTAGAGGTGAGGGGTTCTTGGTTTTTAGTTTTCTGATTTCGGGCAGTTCAACAGGGAATTTTCACCGCTCTTCTTCATGCTCTGATCCAGTTTCTAGCTTCCTTGCTACGCATCAACGAACCTTCCTTGCTCAGATGTGCTGCAGCGAGGTATACTACATGCTAAATTTCGCTAATGAATAATCACTGCAAAGTGTGCAGAGATATCGGACGATGGTTGACCAAGTAAGCAAAACTATGTGGCTACAGTATCACGAGACAGTCTTCGGAATTATGCTCGATGATTAGGGGAGAGAGTTATGTTGAATACCAGCACTTGCTATACGTTCATGACATAGCGTGGAAATCGGATGGTCGACTTGCAAAACTTCAAAACTTCTCTTGATTCTTTATTGCTTTCAGTCTGCCCTTTGTTTACACGTCTACCTTACTCGCCATTTTAGAATCACTTTTCACATTCGTCTGTTCTCTTCACAATCGAGGCAATGACAATGGTCAAATGCATGATATGGAAACGAGGACATTTGTGTCACACAGAACAACATCAAAGTCACTCGCATGATGTTGGTGGCTCAGCGCTAACAATCAGGAGTAAACTGTTGATCAACACCTGTTTTCTGTCATCGGAGCTACGGTATCATCTGCAAAGCTATCTGTCTCGATGCTGGCAGCAACCGTCTTTTTCATTCCATCTCAGCGAATCTCTTCGTCTTGTATCATACCATCGATCGCCCTTGCTCATCTTGCTCATCAAGTCTCGTGTCAGCAACTTGTCCATGTGTCTTCGCAGCGACAACCCCCATCTTTCATATCACAGCAAATCTAGCTCGCATTCTGCTACGCCTCACTTCGATCTCTCAACAAACATCTCTCTGTGCCATCCGAACCACTTTTCCATTCTCTTTGCAATTCTTCTCAGCATGACTGGGTTCACTGTGGGCCATGGGTGAGGACGGTGCAGTACAATGGTTTTGACACCACTGTCTGTGGGATGGTCCAGCTTCAGTGTGACGGCTGAGCCTTGACTCTGGAGAATACTGAAGCCAGCGTCGATCATGGCACTCAAGAAGTCCTGCCAAGAGAAGCTGCGTTGAGATTCGGCGCCTCTGACAGGGAACATGTAGTGGAAGACAAGACTTTCGAGCTTGACGTGTTGAATCGATGGCAAGGCGACAGTCTTGGTGGGCGGAACATAGAAGACAACCTGGTTTTGTGGACCGTTGGTGGCGAAAGTTAGGTCCGGAACGAGAGATGCCTTAGGAGTCGACTTGATCGGAAGAGCTGCAGGATGGTCGTTCTCCTTGCCCCAGACAGTCTGCACTTCCACCTGATTGTGGGACTTGGCAGCTTTAGCACTCTAAGAGATAAGCTCCAGGATGTCCTGCTTCTCGCGCGCGAGTTCTTCCTGATAACGTGGACTCGACACGGCGAAAAGCACTTTGACATCCTCGTCGATCAATCTCTGGCTGACTTTGGCTTTGACGAGCTCCTTGACCCACAGCTCTTTGAAATGCTCCCAGAGCTGGGTCAGGCAGGCACGCGCCGTATTAGCCTTGTCAAGCCATCTCAGATCTTTNTTACCACGAGGCCACGGAAATTTCTGATACAGCTGCTGCATATCAGGTCCCAGAGTGTCTCCCAATGCTGGACAATGGTCCGCGTTGATCTTNTTGATCCAGTCGGCCGGAGATGTGGTATGATTTTCCATGATCTTGATCACCTGCGTCAAGACGGCACGATTGCGAGTCGTATCTGATTGGATGGACGTGATGATTTCACTCAGAATGGACATATCGCTGAGTTTATCGAGCATTGTCTGACGAATACGACGGGCTTCTTTGAGGTCTGTGCGACAAAGACGATCGATAATGGCGAAGTTGAAAGCAGGATCCATGGTGAAGGGACGCTCCTTGTCAAATCCAAGGGTGCTCATACTCCAGTACAGAAGGTTGTCAGTGAACCAGTCTTTCGCAGTAAAGCCGCGGTTCGTGGACTTGATCTTCGCACTTCCTTGGAACTCAAAGTTGCGCTCGAATCCTCTCTCAACCAGGAGACCTGCGTGAACTTGTGGCTCGAAAATGGCAAATGTTTCAATGCAAAGGTCGTTCACGATGGAGACGGCTTGTTCCAGATCTTGCTTGGCCCTTTTGGTAGGCTTTCGCTCGAAGACGTCCAGGCACCTTATCATCAGCTCGCTTTCAGCAACTAGCTGGCGCCAGTATGACTCGCGGTGCATCGTCTGGAAGAAGAGATAGTCCACGAGCCATGGCGTCATGTCTTCCACACGCCACGTCTCAAAGAACCTGCAGGCACAGATTTCTTTCGACAACATCTGCACATACTGTGGATCCGTCTGAAGAAGCTCCAGCTCATCAAGGACGACGCGGTGACGGGATGCAATGAGCTCGGCGACTTCACAAGCGTCAAAGCGCGGAGGTTCGGAGAAGGGCTTGACAAAGTCGGTGGACCAAGGGAAGTCCGTCTTGAATCTCGAAAAATCTGCCGCGACCATACCATCCCACTTGGGATGAACTTCAAGGGTAGTAGGCGCTTCGACCTCTGCCAGTAGAGCTCTGACACAATTGCTGAGGAGGTTGAGCATCTTCCTGTGGGCGGTGAAGAGGTGGTAAGCCTTTGTGAAGCCGATAATCTCCCAGCGATGGGCCTTCTCAGCGTTCCAACTGACGAGCTTGCCATAATCAGGGCCTTGAGCAACGACACAGTTGGGGTTGAACACGTTTGGTATAATGGAGAAGTGTTCGGCGAGGACGATGTTGGTGTTGTCAAACATCAACCATTTCTCAGGGTCGTTGGAGGTGCGATGATGTAACAAGCTGAAGAAGAGGGTAGGATCCTCGGAAAGTGTCTCAGCGTCAAGATAGGGCAGGAACCAGGAGTCATGATGTAACACCAGAGTCTTGTCACGCAGCTCGGTGTTTGCTAGAGACTCTTGAGTGTGAAGTTCGAGGCAAATTGCAATCTTTCCATCTGCGGTACGTCGAGTTCTGACTTTGCGGAGGTTACGTGGTCCGGAATATTTGCGGTCCTCATCACCAGCTCCAACACGTTCGAGGAGATGGATCGCAGCCCATTTCTTGTCGAACAGCTCAGTGTGCTCAGTGAGGAAGCTGAAGCGCTTTCCTTGCGACTTCTTCTTCCATCTCGAGACCAGAAAGTCCGCATGCTTCTTCAAGGTGGCGCGTAGAAAGGCAAGATCGGCCTTGATGCTGTCGACGACTTCGGTGATGATGACTTCGGCTTATTTGTCACCAACGCTGATTGCAGCAGGAAAGAATTGCGGCAAGCAGATGGCGCACTCATCACTACCAGTGAACGGACCTGGGTTGGTGCAGTTGAAGGGACTGGTAAGCGGCTTCTTGGGGTCGAGGAATTCGGCTTTCAAGTCCTCTACCCGCTACATTTCAAGAAGGGTGGGCTGATACGAGAGGGGCATGACCTTGTCTGGCCGCTTGATTCGCATCAAGGTAGAACGAATAGCCCAGACTCGGTTCTCTCTCTTTTTCGACTCTTCTGAGCCGAATGGAACCGTCTTGATGTTGGGCGCCATCGCGGTGGATGGGACGATGTTGTATGTGGTGGACCAGAGTCTGCAAATCTCCGAGAGGAAAAAGAAGACGACGAACAGGAAGAGGTTGAAGAGAGGGGGAAGAAGGAAGAGAAGTGGTGTCGGCTCATACGTGAGTGCAGGGGAGAGGAAGACAAAGAAGTCGTGTTGGCTCATGCGTGAGTGAAGCGCGGTTTTTGGTGGAGCAAAGTGATCGCGTCGGGGCTTGCTGCAGCCTACCGTTTGCGCCAACACTCAAAGTAAGAAGGGAAAGGGCGCGTGGTACATAGAATCGGAAAGAACAACCACCTGGCGTCGCGCTCTTGCCTCAGCCGCAACAGTCGCGTATCTTGAAAGAGTCAAGCTGACTGATTTGCTTCGCTCAAGGCTCTATCCCCTGGCCGTAGGCTTTGTTTCCAGCTCCTAAATGATACACAAGAAATCAACGGAGGCGTTTGGACGTCCTTTCATCAGGAAAGACAGATCTGACACCTTTTTCATTCACCGACACATTTCCTACCGTTTGATACCACACCAATCAATTTCCAAAGTCACCAGAAGCAGATTTCGAGCTCAGAGACCTTCCGTTCATGTTCTCCCTACTGCAAAACAGAACTATGGTCATTGGTAGGTCTAGAGATCTCTATGCTTCGGAGTGGTTCATACTTGCGGAGGTCTGGAGCCAGGTGTTAGCAATTCGTAACGACGTCGCCCTGGCGACGTGCACGTGACGTGTGAACAAAGGAAGGTACTCGGCACATCATGAGCGAGCACTTCGTCAGTCATCCGACAGATGCTACAGATCAGAGTTGAAGAAAGACTTGTTTGAAGAGGGGAGTTCATTACACACTATATCAATTTAAAGCCTAAGGGGATTCTCTTGCACACATCTAATCCTTCTTCTCGGTCACGGCTGTGGTGGCCGACTCCGCAACGGAAGGCTCGCCAGCGTGCGTGACTTCTGTCTTGCTCTCGCCGTGAAGGCGGTGCTGAAACTCATCGACCGAAATGGCACTGCGGGTCGTCACGCCGTGGTTCTGTGTCTGTTCCTGAACAACCTCGTGCACGGGCTTGACCTTGTGGGTCACCTCGGGGACAATGTGCTCTCTCTCGATGACGGGCTGGATGGTCTCGTGTAGGTGGTGGTGGACAGACTCTGCAACGGCGGTGGGCTCAGCGGTTGTGGTCTCCTCTGTCGCTGCCTCGACAGTGGTGTCCTTGAAGGCTGCCTGGTCGGCGGCGACCTTGGCCTTGATCTGATCGCCCTGCTTGTCCTTGTTGATCTGGCGCTCTTGTGTTGCGTCTACCTCGGTGGTGTGCTTGGTCTCATCGACCTGTTGGTCCTTAAGGGGCTGGATGGTGGTGTGGTAGTGGTCTTGGTGGCGCTCGCGGTCGACGACCTTCTGCTCGCGCGTCTCGTGCTCGTGCTTGATGGTCTCGTGCTCTACGGCTGGGGCAATAGTCTGGTCGACGGTGGTGTCCTTCTCGCCTGTAGCAGCAGTGTCAACGACTGGAGCTACTTCCGCCTTGGTGTCGACCTGAGCAGTCTTGACCTGCGAGTCTTCGACTTTCTTGGCAGTCTCGACCTGCGCAGGCTTGACTTGCTCAGTGTGAGACTGCTCGGTCTTGGTGTGGAAGTGCTCACCTGCGCCGGAGNNCTGGGTCATGTCAGCATATAGTCAATGAGTTGGGGATGGATGTTCTTACAGGAGCTTGCTGACAGCGTTTGCGGCGGCGTCCATGATGAGTTATAGGTTGATGGGATTTAGAGTGTGGGTTGGAAAAAAAAAACAATTGGATGTTTATTGGTTTCGAAATAAGATGCAATTGTATATTTGTGTTGCGCGCGCTGCTTCTTAAGAAACATCATCAAGTACATGACGAGGTGACCTTTCTGTACGCCAGTGACCTCATCTACAATGAGTGGGGAATTTACATACGAAAGTGCTCCAGCGGCTGAAAGTGCTGCACGTCAGAACCACGAAGGAGCAGCCGATTTCTACCTATTAGATGAAGCCACATAGATGAAGTGGCCTACTTGATAGGTCGAGAGCAATCGCACATGCCTAATGCAGCTAAGACTGCCATGTTGTAATCCAGATCATCGGACGGCTGTAGTAGGCCAGGCACACAAAGTCGTCATCTTTGGGCAACTCATTCCAACTTCTGGGAGAAGGGTCTTTGAGATTCCAGGTTTCCCATGTGCAGTGATGTAGCTAGCGAAGAACGTTCGAGTAGCGTGATAGCGGGGTAGGCTGCGCCACGCAGATCGTCAGATTGGTAGCCCTATGAGTACGGGGTGGCTGCAGTGACATACCTGAATCGCGATAACTTTTTCACATGTGGTAAACATATTCCAACCGCGAGACTGCGATCGAGTTCGAGTTTGCGAGCAACTGTCTCTCAGATCGTTGCAAAACCAGCTGAGTTTTGGACCTGGGCAACGAATACTTAAGACGCTGAGAGAATTGGACTGGCGAGTGTGAGTACACGACATGAATTGCAGAGACACGAGTGTGCCAGTGCCTGATCGCTGCATCATTAGAGCCTCATTACGCGATTGCAAATCTGTGTTTCTGTTAGACGAGCGAAGATCCACATTCGCTTGTCCAGCACATGGGTTTCTGTTCTGCATTGCCGATGGCCCATGATTATGCCAATGCAGCTCGCAGAAGTGGAGGACGTTCCGCTGGTCGAATGTCAAGTTGGATTGCAGTGCCTGTCGATGCTGATGGCAGAGCTTTTGAACTTGACGTCCCGGCGATGATTTAGGAGATCTTAGAAAACAGCCAGCGCACGGTATACACTTGTCTTCTTTAGTATTGATTCGCTTGTTGGATCGAGAAAACATCGATTTCTTCGAGCAAGCGAATATTCATATTGGTTTTCGCAACCAAAACGTCATAATGTCCAAAAGTTCATCTTGATGTCGGGAATGGCTCTTTTTGCCTCTGACAGAGATCTGATCTTGAGATGAGCACTCCCAACAGATGATGGGTTACAGCGATGGAATTATCACAATGTAGAATTTGACATCAGCGCAAAAGCAAGCTGGCGAGACGAAGGTGTCTGTTAGACTCTGTCGGAAGGAGCGAGTGTAAGTGTCGAATCTCTTCGCATGTGACTACGACTTATGGCCAGTCAAAAGGATGATAAGAGGGCAACCCTGCTGCGTGGTCATCAACATTGTCTCCGAAGCAATACTCGTTCATTTCGGTATCCAGTGAGTTTTATTCTAGACATAACACACTATCGCTGTGAGTGTAATCTCAGAACAGATTTTCGACCGGAACGTCGAGATTGTCATGTTGCGACAAATCTTTGTTAAATGGCGCAATCGGCTGAAGCTTTACGCCCACTTGTTTGTTATTACAAAAGTTTGTCTTGGTCTTTGAATTCGCCATTATGTGTTGTGATCTCGTCAGCTGTTTCCCATTGTGCTTAAGAACGACTATATGGCTACTATGAAGGTCTCCTCAAAAAGGCTTCACCTACTGGCAGATTACAACGTCTTCTCCACGGTAGAGCAGGCATCAAATCGTCCCCATCCAAGACTCATTCTACGCCTTTGCCGGTCTCTCGTTTTCATGATGACTGCTGCTGCTACAGAGTTGCAGTCTATATCTCCGAGCGGTCTGTTCGGAAAGTACTCGAATACCGTGACCCCTAAAGAGGCAGATACAAATGGATTTTTCCTCGTGGTATCACCATACACCTCGCTACCACATCTTCTCGATCTCACACGATATTCCGCATCGAGTCAGCTCTTCACAAAGGCCTTGACCGTATTGCAACCTGTTCGAGAAGATTACGCGACAGCGGAGTACACAGAGACCTTCAACCTTCCTGAAGTCCTCGATACTCTTAGATCCCTTGCAAGAGCAGAAGGATACACATGGAAGAAGACAGAGTTCTACGTGGTCAGTTTTAGGTCGCAACTCAGCCCTACTGCCGATCCAGAGCAATTGTTCGACTTGGATGCTTTCTCGCATCAAGAAGCCATGGCCAGCGGAGGGTTGTTGAAGTATTGGTATGGAGTGAAAGATCAGAATCGGCGAAACCTGGCGACTTGTAGGTGGCCTCGTCAGACTTGCAGAGGCTTGACTGACAAAGTTGCAGGTTTCTGGGAGAGTAAACAGCATGCGAGGGATGGAGGTAAGGGACCATGGCACGCAAAGGCAAGAGCTGCCGCGGTGGTTTGGTACGAGAGTATCGTGTTCAAGACGTATATTTTGACAATTGGAGATGGTGTTGATAGCTGGGACATCAAAGAGTTTGGGGAGAAAAGAGAATGATATGCTCGAGTCGACTCGACCATCAAGGTGTCTGCAGTGCAGGGGTCTGTGCGCGACAGGGATAGTCTGCTTGAATGATAGGAATATCTTGGATCCAGTCGACGGTCGTTGATACATTCTTGAAGACGGCCGATACCGTCAAGACTCAGGAGGTTATACAGCGCAGAGTCTGTAGAAAGGTACAAACAAGCCGCATGACTTACAGACTATGTGAGCACAGCTTGGCCATTCTGCTCTCTGTCGAGCTTGGTTAGAAGCTTGTCACGCAAATCATGCACCACACTTGTCATGTGTCAGTCGCCCCTGACATGTCTAGTTGCACTATAAGCAGTGTAGTCGAGCAAGTGGAAGATGTGACAAGTTAGCGATATACCCGTCAAATCTGCGTGGGTGTAACATGAAGAGTTCGGCGAGAGTCTGGCATAAAGTGTTCGGGCTCAACGAATCCGACGCCAAGATTCAGCGGATCAGATAAGATCGATGCCTCGGAAAACGCACAGACTCGACGTCTGCGCAAATTGGGTCTCCTCAACCTTCGACTTCAACCAACATCCACCAACGTTTTCCTGACGGATAGCAGGATTGTGCTATCGTCGACTATCAATACTGGACCGCTGCTTTATTTGCTTGGACCTTTCATACGAGCATCCTCAACCAGTAATACAATCTGTAGATCATACATCAACCCGCCGAAACCCACCGACAACAGCCAAATCTCATCAATCACGTTCCTCGGCTGTCTATCCCATCACAGGCGCCAAGCTACATCCAAGAAAACTAGAGCGTTGGTTCCAGCGGCCTTTCTGATCCACCCTGGTACCTGACAGCGACTTGCAGCACCGAGATGAGCAGGGCACCCTTCGCCTTGCAATCAATCATGGTTAATAGCTTCCATTCACCAATAGAAAGGTAATGTTATGCTCTGAAAAGAGCCTAGTTCTCACGGCATAATCTCCGATAAAGGTTTCGAGACCCATGGCTTGCTGCGGTCTGCCATGTGTGGACACAGGCGCAGCATGTTGATGGAGCTCGGTTGTCGCAGAGTTCAACACTTGAGGCACAACTGTTGTTCTGCAAACCGGCTGTGCAGCCAAGTGAGGCTCTCGAGCTGACATATAAGAAGAAGGGCAGCCGCTCCTGGTCAGACAGCTAGACCTTTGTATCTTGATCTTCTCGAGTTCAGCTTCCACCATGAAGTCCATCATCTTTGCTACTCTGACAAGCTTGGCCCTTGCCGCCAGACCTTTCCTCAACGAGGCTGATACTGNNGGTAGGTAACTCGTCAGCCTGACGGTTCTATACATGACCTGACCATCCTTCAACAGCATTGACGAAGCACTGGGAAACACACCTGACGGCACTCTACCACCACTCGAGAACATTGTCGGCCTTCCAGATTTTGAATGGGCAGCCCGTCACTACATGAACATGAGTGCCTATACTTACTATCGCAATGGCGCTGCTGGCGAGTGGTCCTACCGCAACAACTTGGAGGTCTTCCAACGCTACACTGCTCGTCCTCGTGTCCTCAGAGATAACTCAAAGATTAAGTCTACTTTCACTACGTCGATCCTCGGCCACAACTTTTCGGCACCCTTCTACATCAGTCCATGCGCAAGAGGCGCCCTTGGCAATGAACGTGCCGAACTTGGTCTGGTTGAAGGCGCTTACCAAGGAGACATTCTATACATCCCTTCGGACTTCAGCTCTCTGCCCTTGAAGGAACTGGCCGCCGCAAGACCTTCGAACGGCTCTCAAGTCATGTGGCAGCAGGTCTACCTCGACGCTTCCAACGACACTGCTACCAAGGCACACTTCAAGGAGATTGAAGAGTCTGGTGCTCGTGCAATCGTCTTTACTGTCGATAGTGCTGGACCTGGTGTGCGTCATCGTGCCCAGCGTTATTCTGCCGGCTCAGCAGATGCAGACTACTCGGCTTTCACATGGCAGTACTACCAGAAGCTTCAAAACTTCACCAGACTTCCTGTCATTATCAAGGGCATTCAAACAGTGGAAGACGCCAAGATAGCAGTCAAGTACAAGGCACCAGCAATTGTCTTGTCCAACCACGGTGGCCGCAACCTCGACGGAAGTCCCTCGGGCTTCGAGGTCGCGCTTGAAATCCACCAAGAAGCACCTGAGATTTTCCAACAGATTGAAGTGTATGCCGATGGTGGAGTCAGATATGGAAGTGACGTGCTCAAGATGCTTGCGCTCGGAGTTCGTGCTGTTGGGCTCGGTAGACCGTTCATGTATGCCAATGTGTATGGTACTGAGGGAGTTGCTAAGGCTGTTGAATTGTTGAAGGCAGAGATTGCCAGTGATGCTGCGCACCTGGGATTGAGCTCAATCAAGGACATTGGGCCGCAGTACTACAAGTGGACACCGAACAACTGGTACAGCTAGATTTTGGGTGGTATGAAAGAGTAACTAGGTTTAAAGATGTTCTCCACCATGTGGCATGATTATATGCTGTGTTTTTCACCATCAATCGAAGATAGATAGTAGGGAGAAAGAAAAAGAGAAAAAGGATAAATATTACCAGGATTGTCTGGCGTTCGCCGCTAGCGCAAGCCACAGTCAGAGCATCAGCCATGTCACGACTTTTCTCTCCATGTTACAGGTGTATATCTCTTTTGCTGCTTGAGTTTTGGATCGAATAGATGCGTCGATCTAGTGCAGAGGACAAGTAGCATTGTCAAGTACAATTGAGAGGACGAGCAAGGCGTTGATTTGCAGAAAGAAGGCTCGCGGAGCTTGATCCGGTAGATTCAAACGGCAAGGGTTCACGCCAGACAGATTGGCGGCTCTCGCTCTCGGATTTTGCGGGTCCAACCTCCGTTACGTAGGTACGGGTTGGCTTTTACAGTGCCTCCGGAAGCGCCTGCCTTTGCACTCGCTGTTTCCCTGTTGGTTTCGATCCACTGGCACCTGCTAATTGTCGCGTCGACCCTCGCAGGCTGCAGCTGCGCAGCAATGAGCCACTCCCAGGACGACAGCATTTCTACCACCATGGCCAGCCCGGCGCCGACGACGCCAGCGTCTTCGACTACAACAACCAGACTCAAGTGCATGGACGACCTCATCAACATGAATGTCAGCGACATGACGCCCGAGCAGCGCGCCCGCTTCGAGATCAAGCGAGAGCACGAGTTCTACAGCTACTACGAACCCGTCCGCGCCCTGGCAACAAGAGAGATGGACTGGACCGACCTCAATTCGGAAGAATCTGTCGCCAAACACCGCCCCGTTCAATCGCCTGACAAGGCCCTGACGGCCTTCTGCCAGCTCGCCGCCATCCGCCTCAAGATGCGTCGTGCCATGATCTTCTTTTTCGACAGCGCCTACGCCTACATCCTCGCCGAAGCCACTCGCACTCTGTCCTTGCACGACGACACTCTCTTTGACGATGAGGAAGATGCTCTATGGCTGGGCACCACAAAGATCCCCAGAGGCTTCTCCGTATGCGAACACACCGTCAACCTGCCCTCCAACGGCGGCACCAATGCTCAGGACGACTCCTCCNCCCTCATTCACATCATCAACAATCTCACTGAAGACACACGCTTCTGCAACCGGCCCTACGTCGTCGGTGGTCCAAGAGCCAGGTTCTATGCTGGAGTGCCCATCACCACCCCAAAGGGCCTCAAGATTGGCGCCTTCTGCGTCCTGGACGACAAGCCACACGAGGGCCTGGCCAAGAAAGAAATAGACTTTATGCAGGAGATGGGCATCGCCGTCATGAGCCACCTCGACATGATCAAGGCAAAGGTCGAACAGAGGAGAGGAACCGACATGGTCGCTGCTCTGGGAGCCTTCACGGCAAGCGAGTCCAGTTCGCGACGAGACACCAAGACTGATGACGACCGTCCGCAACTGCGCCACGACATTTCTGCTTCTTCTTCGCTCCTGACAATTGGCAACCTCGACTCGTCTCCCCCTGCCAAGAGACCCGCCATGCGTAGGCAGTCTTCCAGTAGCAAATACGGTCATTCGGTTGGTACTACAGATCGCATCACAAACATAAGAGAAAGATCTCCTCGTCGTCAGAGGCCTTCATGGTTCGCAAAGAACAGAGCCAGATCAGACATGTCCGTCTATACCGAATCAGCCGTCGACGAAGATTCGATCCCTCTGGACTGTTTGACCGAGGAGCCCAAAGTTCACTCGGCCGAACAATCGCCCAATCATGTCATGCAATCTGCTTCTGATTTGATTCGCAAAGCCGTTGATGCTGACGGCGTCTTGTTTTTAGATGCCGCTGTCACTGGCTTCGGGAATCTCGTTAGCAACTCTTTCTTGGACAAGACTCCCGAAAACGATTTGGATGCCACTACCAGCGGCACCGATGGCCATCAGACTAGCGAGGGGGAAGACGCTACTCCTCATGCTTCCGATGCTGATGACCAACCGTGTCCAATTCTTGGTGCTTCCTATGCAGCACGCACTGGAGCTGTGCCTGATCCAGAAACACGCCGCGACATTTACTCTCAACTGACTCCCAAGTTCCTTCGCTCCGTTCTTCGACGCTTCAAGGGTGCAAAAGTTTGGAACTTCAATGAGAATGGAGATGACTATCTTGATGAACACCTCTCCGAGAGTCAAAGTGCTTCTGATGGTGGGCCCAGTAATACACGCTCACGCTCAAAGACTAGCGAAGGTTCCACTGCACGAAAGGGCCACAAACGATCACTCAAGCATGCACCTGGCAAGCAACTCGCAGCCGCCTTCCCTGGTGTGCGTAGCTTGATGGTCCTTGGTCTATGGGATCCTCAGCGTAATCAATGGCGCGCTGGCTGTGTCATCTGGTCGTGTACTCCTATGCGCATGTTTTCCAACGAAGGCGAGATGCATTATCTAACTGCATTCTGCGATGTCATCATGGCCAAGCTTGCGCGCTTGGATGTAGATGTCGCGAATAATATCAAGTCTGACTTCATCTCGTCCATCAGTCACGAGTTGAGGTCACCACTTCATGGTATCCTCGGTTCGGTCGAGGTGTTGCAGGAACAGAACATCGATCACGAGACCGCAGAGATGGTCTCGCAAATCGATACTTGTGGACGTACGTTATTAGATATTGTAGACCATCTGCTTGAGTTCTCACGGATCAATGTCCTCACCAAACATACTGGCTCGAAGATGCGCACAAACCTCAAAGATATGTCTGCAACTTCTGCAGATAGGAAGAGTAGCGACAACGAATCGTCTTCTCTTGATGCAGACATCTCGCTTGACGTTGTCACTGAAGAGGTCGTCGAATCAGCAGTATATTCGTTCTGTTGTTCCAAGGACCAACGTACTCTGAGCGAAAGAAACGTTACAGTCTCCATGGATATTGAGAGACACCCTAGCATTCCATGGGACTGCAAGGTCACCGTCGGTGCATGGAAGCGCGTCTGTGTCAACCTCGTCAACAATGCCCTTAAATACACGACTGAGGGTTCAATCAATGTGTCATTGAAGATCCTGCCACCGAAAAACAAGCTTGGACGTCCCGTAGCTCAGCTTTCCGTCATCGACACTGGTAGAGGAATGTCCAAGGACTTTTTACGTACGAAACTCTTCCGAGCATTTAGTCAGGAGGATGATCTGGCCGAAGGAACGGGTCTTGGCATGAGTATGGTGGCTCGCATCGTCAAGGGTTGGAGAGGTAAAGTCGATGTCCGAAGCAGTAAAGGACAAGGAAGCGTTGTCAGTGTGACCATGCCTATGAAGCTCACACGTCGACCAAGAAGTGCCGATCTGGATGGAGCACGACCTGTTTCTCCAGCTAATGTATGGTCTGGACTTTCGGTACACGTTTTGGGATCACCCGAGGTGTATGATCGCAATGCTGTCGCCACGGGCCGCTATCAACAACTCGTCGCATTCAGCAAGATGTGCTCGAGTATGGGCATGCATACGTCCGGTCCCACTTGGCAGTTCTCTGACAATGCAGACTTTGCTGTCATTGCAGAGTACGATTTGCCGCACCTCATAGAAATGCTGGTCTCTTCCCGAGCCAAGCAGAGCACAGAGGACAAGTTAACAACAAGCTCGTTGCGAACCAAGCCGATCATTGTGTTGTGCAAGGATTACATAAGTGCCAGGACCTTGAGAGGCTCTCGCATTCAACAGCTGGTTCGCGGAAGAGTAGAATATGTCGCTCAGCCATGCGGACCCAACCGTCTCGCTTCCGTCATCCGTCGCATACTTGAGTACTCCGAGAATGGCCACAGCTGGACGTCTCTGCCACACAGTCCATTAACACCCAATACACCTTACGAAGCGGCTACGCCCCGCTTCGACACATGGCGCGAATCGCATACATGGTCTGGTGCATCATCACCGAATGAGACAGAAAGTACGAGGAGATTCACGCTTCGAAGTCGCCGACCTTCCAGCAGTAATATTCATCAACCTGTCAGCATAATACCAGCACAGGAGAAGCCAGCAGCAGAAGATACGAAGTCCGAAGGTCTCGGTGTTGAAACCCCAACACAAAGTCTTCCCGAAGTTGCAGATGGTGCTCTGACAGCCGCAAGTCTGGCAGAATTGGAACCGCAGGCGTCACAAACACGCCATCAGAGTGTTGTCAGTATGTCCAGTGTAATACCGCCGCCGAAGACCTCAAAGCCTTGTCTTCTTCTCGTCGACGATAATCCCATCAATCTTCAACTCCTCGTTACATACGCCAAGAAGAACGGTCATGCCATGCACAAAGCATCTGATGGTTCGCAAGCCGTCGAAGCCTACAAGAATGCTCACATGGAGGCCACAACGACAGACAAACCGGAAGTAGTCTTGATGGATATTTCTATGCCTGTCATGGACGGATTTGAGGCTTCGAGACAGATTCGCGCGTTTGAGAGGCAGAAGGGCCTGAAGCCTGTCGTCATTATCGCATTGACTGGACTGGGATCTTCAGAGGCACAACACGAAGCATTCGTATCAGGAATCAATCTGTTTTTGACTAAGCCGGTGAGGCTAAAGGAGTTGACGAGGTTGTTGGGGACTATCAAGGATACTTTTGGATGAGCGTAGAAAGGAGTCGCTCGGGTGGTGATGGATTCATTATGATTATACGACCCGGATATGGAAAGGAAATCTGGAGCAAGGACTCTTACAGATACTAGAGAAGAACTACGCATACCAACAGGGTACCACAGATGCAGAAGACTGGCACCAGTCACTATGCCAGCATCAAAGAGCATCAACAGCATGCATTTTCATCTTCATACCGGTTTCAGCTCTCATCCCCTTGACCCGTTAGGGACAGTCGCGAAACAACTTCCCAATCAGGTGTATCATGGTGCCAAGCTTGTCCTTGTAACTTCATTGAAGGACGATTGGTTCTGTTGACATCAAATGCCCATCCAACCAACACCAACACAATAACATCAACCTCCCACCCAACACCGCGGCTACAAAGCGCTTCCTTCAGCCTGAAGCGCCCATGCATGTAAAACACTTGGACGAGCAATGCCGCTGCGACTCCTAAAGTGACAGTATTTCCTCTCCCAGACATTGCAGCCCTGACTCGTTTTTTCTGCTTATAAGCCACGTTTCATCACATCCGTGTCTTGCCTGGTTCTTTCGAGAGTCAATTCTTTGGAAGACGGCCACTATTACGAAAGGCTTTCCTGCTCTTCTGCTCTCACTGATATTTGGAACCCATCATGCAACTTTGGAACGAATTCACCAGCAACGCTATCGCTGTTTTCGCATTAATCGTTCCTGCCCTCGCTTCCACATCATCAACATCAGCCATCTCTAGCGATGACACAACTTTTCTCGCCCCCTTGATAGAGACATGTCCCNCGGGAAGCACCTCCTGCGGCAAAGTCCCCGGCAAATACCTAGTCTCGCTGCGGCAAAACTACACTCCATCGGCCCATCTCAGCTACATATCCTCCCATCTTGACCTCGACCCAGTCAAAGAGTGGGATTTGCGATGGGTAGGTACCGACAATTACATTGCAAGCAATGTATCATTCCACTCGCTGGACTTGCTGCGTCGCGACCCGGGTATCGAGGAGATAGAAGAAGGGTGTTGGATTCAGATGTCTCTAGTCGATGAGTGTCGAGATCCGAGATTGACGGCAGAGGAGAAAAGGATTTGTGAAGAGGGTAAAGAAGTCAGTATAGTGGATTGCGGAGAAACATCATGGTTGTGATTGACGGAAAAGGAAAAAGAAGAGTGTCTTGAGCAAAAGAGTTTGGAGAGTGTGTTGGAAGATCATGGTCAAGAAGAATATTCAGTAAAGGATGAGCTGTAGAGGGTTTGGATTTTTGTTCATGGTTTTGCCTAGTCAAGGGTGTGGAGAACACTGTTGCACGCGAGTAATGACAAGATTCTGGATGTAAGTAGTGATATATGGTTACGTGCGACTCGTCATGTTCAAAGACCAGTTTCCAACGTTCTTCTATTGTTCAGATGTCACCTGTCCATTGCTGCATATCCTCCTCACGCCTTTCTGTTTTCTTTTCCATCACAGTACTTTCGATTCGCTTCAGTCAAAATCAAGCCCATGCCACACCAGCCGTCAAAACACTCTTTCCTTTCTTCATCCGTCAACCACGACTTTTCACAGTCCCCAACATCAATTTCCTCATGACAAAGCCTTTTTCTCTCTTCACTCAGCCCTGGTGTCCTACACGCTAAATCCCAGCCTGTATCTACCTCAAACCAATGATCCTGGTATACTTCCTCTACCCCTGGGTCCCCTCCGATAACTTCCACTTCTGTATTTCCGATATTCCTCACAAAGTACCACGAGGATCTAAACCTTAGGATTCCTTGGTGTATCCATTCGGAATCTGTCCATCCGACACTCCAGTCATACATTGTATTGGGGAACAGATGTTGTTGTAGGTAAAGTCGGTGNGAGGGGGTTGTGTAGTAATTGGGTTTTAGGGCGACGAGGTATTCGCCTTGTTTTATGCCGCAGGTGGTGGAGTTGGGTAAGCAGTCGTTAACTAGGGGAGCTAGATATGCTACGTTGTCGACAGGGCATGTGTTGGCTTGATTTTCAGAGGGTTTTTTCGTTGTAGATGCGACGACTGAGCATGCGCAAATGGCGAAAGCGATGACGAGGAAATCGAAGAAAGGTCGCATAATCAGACGAAAGTTCGCAGATAAGTTTGGTTAAGCCTGTCGGGCTTGCTGGAAACAGAGTACGAGCTTTTGGCAGGATCTGAGTACGCAAGCACAAATACGTGTTCTATTCAGGAGGACTATGGCTCAAACTCAACAGCCTCGCCAGGAAGGTACGAAAGAAAAACGAGAAGAAAGAGGAAACTGTGTTGTTATGTGTCAAGGGTGTTGGTTGACTAAGCGCCACATTTTGTAACATTAGCCGCGGACCCAACTGAGCTCCAAATCAACCACACGATGGTTCTATCAGGATGAAGTCGTGGCAACTTCATCTCTCATCAATTGCTCCCATGGCCCTTTCAACCTTTACAGCTCGTCCTTTGCTGCTGCCAATCTTTTCTCTGCTATATTCTGCTCTTTATAACACTTGTCCCTTTGCTCCCACGTCAACCCAGAATAAACACACAGATCCATCCCTTCCCTCGTAAACCAGTAGTTCTGCTCTATAGCTTCCACCCCTGGGTCTTGTTGAATAACTTCCATCTCAAGTGCCGACATGTCCTCGACAAAGTACACCATAGCATCTTTTGGAAAGTACAGAGAGGCAGAAGTGTCATACCACTGTATATTCCAAGCATCGACGACCGAAGCCGCAAAATAGGTGTTCAGGTATGAAAGATGGGAAGACGCGGTTGCCCAAGAGTGCAGCCGGAACATATATCCACAACCAGGGTTTTGCACTTGTTGGGTGGGTAGATGAGGTATGCGATGGGGTATACATCGATAAGTACTGTGCTCATGGCTTCTCGCTCCTGATCACAGATTTCCCTTTCCTCTGCTGTTAACCTCGGGTTGGCGCATGAGTCCACATCAACCATCAAATCAAAGACATAGGATTCTTCGATCTCAAATACTGCTTTGTCTTTTCGGATGACCTCGATATCGTTTCTGGAGATGGTATCGATGGTATACACGTCGTCGCCAATCCATCTGAAGTTCCAGGTATCGATGGTACTGTTTGAAAACTGTCGAGAGAGAGATTCGAGATGTTGGGGTTTGTGGGTTCCGTCTCGTAGACTGTCCATGTATGAGCCTTGCCTTCTCTCACAATGTGGATCTTCGTCGGCACATGGGAAGTAGAGTGGCGCGAGGTATCTGTCATTTCCAGAAGTTTTTGTCAATGTGGGTGTGGGTGCGGATGTGGCAGTAGTGCTAGCTAATGCGAAAGCAGCAAAAGTATAGCAAAGGAGATGGTGAACTTGAAGCAAGACCGCATGATGGAACAACAGTAGACAGATTCGAGTCCTAGTGAATTCAAATCATTGATAGAAAACGGAACAGAACAAAATGCCGAATCTTTGGTTTTGGGGAAGCGATCAGGCAGGCATAGAAGCACTGACACGTATGCTTGAATCGCAGCGAGTCATGTCGTGGCTTGATGTCAATGACAACGTTGGAGGATATCTGGCGTTGTTGGATACTGCGAGTCTCATGAGTGTTGGTTGCCTAAGCGCCAAATCTTTTAACAGCCGCCTACGCGCTAGAAGAATGGTTCTAGCCAACAACAGGGAACACCATCACAACCACCACAGCACTAGAACAACTACGCATTGAGGACTCTTTAGACAACTGGTAAAGATAAACACGTCGTCTGCTCTTCATAAGAAACAAAAGTGTAATTGTCATTCATTCCGTCAACGCTTTCATCAACTCAATCTGCACCTTATCGTCAAACGACATCAAAATCCCTTCTCATAACTTGGAAGCAAACTTTTAACGCCCGCTATTGTTGTAAACAATACGGTTAGGGCTACCGCTACGAAGATCAGTACCCTGACCAGTAGTAGCCAAAGCAACAATTCTGTCCGTAGTAGCAGCAGGAGAACTCAATCCAGACTCCAGACCCTTGAGGTAAAGAGCAAGACCAACAACATGAGGGCAGGCCATCGAAGTACCAGAGATAGTGTTGGTAGCAGAGGTGGAGCCAATCCAAGCAGAAAGCACATTGAGACCGGGGGCAAAGACATCAACAGTGCTGCCAAAGTTGGAGAAGTACGCACGGGAATTGTCGCTGCCGATTGCGCCGACGGTGAGGGCGGATGCGGCAGAGGCGGGNGAAGTGCGGGATGCATCGATGGCTTCGACAAAGGCGCCGGTGCGGGGNTTGCTGACTCCGTTGCCGGCGGCGACGACCGAGAGAACGCCTTGCTGAGTGGCGGCGTTGACGAGGGAGTTGAAGGCGGTGGAGACGGAGTCCTCGGAGCCGAGAGACATGTTGATGACAGACTTGCCAGCACGACCCTTATTGATAATGTCATTGGCAGCCCACTCGAAACCCTGCATGATGGTGGAAGTAGCACTAGACNNTGTGGGAATCATCAATATATGTCTGTGAAACTGGATGTGAACGTGACTTACTCCGGAAGCACCAAAGACCTTGACAGAGACAAGGTTGGCCTTCTTGGCAACACCGTAAGTAGCACCACCGATGGTACCAGCAACATGAGTGCCATGACCAGCATCATCAATGTGAGAGCCACCGACGAAGTTCTGGCCAAGAGTGGCACGACCACCAAACTCTCTGTGGTTGATGTTGATGCCAGAGTCGATAACATAGCCGTAAGTGCCAGCACCGGCAGATGTGTCATAGTAGTAGGTGTTGGCAGCGTAGTTGCGCTGCGAGATGCGACCCAAGCCCCAAGTGCTGCCAGTCTGAGATGTAATGGCAGTCATATATATAGGAAGGTCCTCTTCCACAACGGCGACCNNTTGCATCAAAGTCAGATAACCGGAGCCCATGGACTGAAGATCAGGACCACTCACCTCGTTGCTGGCCTTGAGCTCAGCGATAGTCTCCTCGTTGAAGGAACCAGCATAGGCGTTGAAGTCTGCAACCTTGAAGACCTTCAAGTCCTCCTCAACGGTGCCATTCTCCTCACGGCAGTAGATACCACGACGGTGAAGATCACCAGCCCAGTTAATGTGCTGAATACCGACCTCAGGATCGATGCCGGGCTTGAGGGTGATGATGTACTTTGTAGTGGCAGGGGCGGCGGCGGCATCTTGAGGAACGGGAGCAGCCATTGCCAGACCGGCAACAGCGCTGAGAACAGCAACACTCTTCTTCCACATGGTGATGATTGATGATTGAGAACGGAGAGCGATTAGAGGTCGAAGGATCGAGGTTGGAAGATGAGATGATTTTCTCGAGGTCTGGTCAAGAGGTCCTCTTTATACAGGATCTCCCTCTCAGCGCATTGATATCGTTCGCCCTCCTAATGGTGTGCCCGAGCGGTCATCTTGCCAACGTCGCTTGTTTGTCGAAACATGATGTTCTTGGCCGTTAGCCTGTTGTTCGTGCCAGTGCTATACGAAAAGAGAAGGTGGCAGAGTCTACAAGGTTCAAGAATGCAGTGCCACCTTCTTCATCAGTATATGCTTGACGAGAAGTTTTATCAAAAGCCAATAGGGCAAGACCGGTATATTCGAGAGGCCGTCCTTGTAGCAGTCGGTTGGTTCCTAGTCACTTGTCGAAAGTCTTGACATACGATCGTGTCAAACCCTCAAAAGATTGAAAGACAGGGGCTTGAGATTGGTAGACCAATTCTAACCCTTTCGAGAAGCTCATTAGGCATGAACTTGAGATATTGCGGTCGGGTAGATTGCGAGGTCGGTGAATATCACATTGCCAAGCTATACCAAGAACATTGGCATTGTTTAACGCGGGGCGGTGTTCGTGTTTCTTAATCTCTTCTTCTCTCGGCGCTCGAAGCAAGTTTGCATTAGACGGTTGCAGGCTTGACTTGTGATTCGCCAAATGACTCCGAGATGTTCTTGTATTGGGCAGAGGATGCGGGTCGGCCCTCGCCTACCGTCAGGATGCAGTCGTTGGACAGCTTCACTGAAGTCAAGTACCCTCATGGTCAAAACCCGACTGTGATAGTCCCGAGGTATATAGCTGATCTTTGCTTGGAAGCTGAAGAAGAGTCTCCCTCTCGGCCGTAGTATCTAAAAACCATTGGCGAGAAGTAGTAGCGCAGGCACAACCGTCTCCTGCCAAGTCACGGATTAGCGATCACATTGCCATCAAAATTCTTGATGTTCTCGACTGCAGAATAGTAGATCCACCTTGATAAGAGGCGCGAGCAGCTGCCATGCAGCACGCAATAGAAGGCGATAAGAGTATGCTGATCATGTGCGGCGTTGGCTGTGGCCAAGTCGCTTGCCCGCTGCATGGCCACCAGAGGCGAAGCATCTGCAATCAGTATGAAGCATGTGGAAGCCATGCGGTTGTAGCGATTATCGACATTTCAAGAGAACGTGTGGCAAGTGCCGCCAGATACTGAGAGCGACGACATGGCTAGCTTGTGATAGGGAGAGAGCGGGAGAGACAGCATTCTTATTCTTTTCCTCGTGGTCAACATCAACAAGAGTACCGAGATGGCAGCACATACGTGGTATTCAGGCATGTCAACACGATCGCCAGTCATCGGAAACAGAGTCCAAGAGGATGCGGAACTTGAATGCTGAGGTCGGAGCTGATGACCTTGATTTTCCAAGACTCGACATGTGCGCAACTCTGTCGATCAAAGTGTATCTGGTCATCGACACGAGATGCTCCTCAGCCGCAAGGTCGCTGTAGGCAGAACACGCGAGAAGACCGGCGGCCTGATGGAGCGGTTGACAAGACATGTTTCCAAGCGGCCAAAAGTCGTGACTTCAGACGACCTGCGTTTGCCGCCACCACCACACGGCTTCTTCAGGAATGGATGCCAACACCACATGAAGCACCACATGTGCAACCACCTGCCCACCAAAAATTGCGCCAAAGACGCCATCAAATGTAGCCAGAGACCACCAGAGCGTCCATGAGTACGATGACGCCGTTGGAACAGCTGAGATATCTTCAGATGCCTACAGCAAACTCAAGACGAGATGCAACAAGACGAGATGCAACAAGACCGCAACGCAGCCGTAAAAGTTGACTATATTGATGTAATCCTTGTTTAATGATCCCCAGTACCTAGTGGTCGCGACCTGGACAATGAGATGAGCCGAGTGCGAAGACAAGACCCGAAGAAATGAAGAGAGTAAGGCTGACAGCGATTGCGCTTCCAGAATTGTCCAGTACAGAGGCCATCGGAGTTTCAAATTCGATTTTGCTGTGTATATTCTCAACTGTGTATCTACTCAGTATTGGTCTGATGAAATGCGATTATCTGAGTGTGAGAAGTATTGAGTGTTAATGTCGGACATATGAGCATGCCTCGTTAGCTAAGAACTATTTCCAGGCAACAGCAATCCCCCAATAAGGACCATCTGACAATGTTCACGCAAGTCAGTAGGATCGCTCCTCCCTCCTCAACAACCACAAGAAAGTAGCTGTTCGAGATCCTTGGACAGATGGAAACTCAACAGAAGACTTTGGAATCATGGCTACACGGGCAACCCTTCCACAAAGTGCTAGAGTCACTTTTTTCTTACAAGCGCTATAGACAATGCTGTAAAGAATGAAATGGCTATAAGAATACACGATCTTTTTGTCAAGTCAAGTAAGATTGATCAGAGGAATTCTCTCGGTGCTGTGTCTCTGTGGTCAAACAATGTTCCGGGAGCGACTGTGCATACTCAGAATTGATATTAGCAATATCTCTGTCCTAGAGAGAGTCATTTCTAACAGAGATTCAGAAGTGTTTGACACATGGAAGAGAATAACACTCCTAGGTTGGCGGTAGCAAGGATAAGACTTGATGTTCGAATATAGCTCCTGTAGGAGGAAGACGGAATTCTAGGAGAATGAAACACCCATAGACTTTCTCGAAACGACATTGATCTTCAATCATCGGGCCCGAAACCACGATCAGAGCCACGTATATTACTATCAACATTACTCTATCACATAAATCGAACTGACATAACCTGAACACGCATCCCTTAGACCGTAACACCGAAAGGTGCAACATTGGGATCTAATGCCTTCCACAAGAACGGCATACCCTGACTTAAGCCCTTGGAGTCAAACTTTCTAGCCTTAACGGTTTTGCTGAAAGAATCCATAGCACTCTTGAACGTCGTAGCCGCGGTTCTGGTATTGGCATTCATGCGCTTGAGCATAGCGGCGTCGTCGAACATGTGACTTACTNNACATCATTCAGTTAGACTAGTACATACCAAGAAAGATGAAAAGGTAGTCTACTTACGTGTGCGGTTGGTGCCAGCAAGGTAGTTGCGAGAGAAGAGAGCGTTGATACCGATCTGCTCCTCGGCTTTCTGGAGTGGGGGAAGGAAGGCAACAAGGTTTGTCACACCCTTCTGCTTGGGGACAGGACTGTACAGAGACATTGCGTGGAAGGGGAGGGTAGCTGATGCGGACATAAGCTCGTTGGTGTTGACAGTGTGGTGAGCGGTCGACGAGAGGTGAGCCTGTTGCGATTGTTAGATGGCTCTCACAAGGTGCTGGAGCCTCCGTATGCTTACCATGTGAGCTAGGACATCAACAAGTGTGGTCTTCGTCGAAATGGCAGCTGGGAAGTCCATGACCTTGGCAATTCCATTGCACTCCTTGACCCAAGCCTGAATCTCCTTATCCGCCACGACCACCGAATTTTGCGAGTAGTAAGAGTTGATGAAGGAGCTCATGAAGGTACGCTGGGCACCATAGATGACAGAAGCATCCTCGTAGTATGGGAAGTTCTTGAGCTGCGGACCGACCTTGGCGTTAATCAATCCACGTTTGGTAAGATCGTTGAGGAAGGTTCCCGACTGGAAAGCACCGCTACGAGTGAAGTAGTAGTTGCTGCTGTAGTTTTGCGCAGACTGATATGTGTATGGGAAGGCCAAGTCGACGACACCACCAGGTGCGAACAAGACTTGCTGCATGGAGTCAGACAATGCTCGAGAATAGGAAGAGTTGGATGGAGATGGATCACTTACAGCTGCCAAGGGCTGGATTGCAAAGACTTGGTACATCACTGTGAAAAACGATGGTTAGCCGAGTGTTGGAAAGAGAGGATTAGCAAGCTTACGTCGATCAAGCACAGCTTTCACAGGGTGGTCGTCGCTCAGTGTTCGAATAGCTGCCATGTAAACGATCTGAACGACTTCATGAGTTCTCGCTAAGTGCTCCCACTGTGCAAACCACAAGTCACAGACGTTGTACATGATCTTTGCGAGCAACCAGTCATTAGGACTGTCGGCAGGTGTATAGATCAGGCTTGCTCCTTGGTTTGTGCGAATGGCAAGAGGAAGGAAGTCTCCAGAAGTCTGGTTGATGTAGAAGTAAGCATCAACAGCGGCCGAGTAACGAGCTTCGGTAGTGGAAGCAAGCTTGGCTTGATCTCTGTAGTCTGCATAGAACAGGCGGCCAGACGTGAACAACTGCTGCAATGTCATGCCGGTGATATTCTTCGAGATCTTGTCATCGACCTTGAAGTTTAGAGTATCTTTGCTGGAGTTCAGTCTGCGGATCTGGTAAGGGCTAAGAGAAAGACGCTCCATGGAGAACAACAGGTCTTGGGTGTAGTTTGTGAGAATGCCAGGTATCGGACCAGTAGACAAAGTGTTTGTCCATTCATCGTCGTAAAGCAGTGTGTAGTCATCCAATGTCTTCAGGCCATTGTATTTTCCAATGTCAGAAGCAGCCATTGCCTCGTCCGAATCGGAGGCACTGCGTTGCGGACCCGTCTCGTTCTGGAGGCTCGAGATGTCATTCTGGATCAAGGTATTACCAAGGGTACCGTTAGGGAAGTAAGGCCCACCTGCAACGGCTGGTCCATAACCGAAGTTCTTTTGCTTGTCCGAGATTGCTCCTGCTCTATTGGCGGGGATGTTCTTTTGGGGAATAGCATACCATCCAGTAGCAGCCGAAGAAGCAGTGGCCGAAGTAGTCGAACCCGTTCTTGGGTTAGAGATACCAGCAGCACCAGATGAGATCTTCGATGCACCCGAAGAAGTAGTGGCTGCCTTGGTTGAACTTGTCTTCGGTTTAGAGGTACCGGTGGCGGAAGAAGAAACCTTTGAAGACGAAACCTTCGATGAAGACGAAATCTTTGATACACCGACAGTCGATGAGGTAACTCGCTTTTGGATGATAGCAGAATCAACAGTCGCGACTAAAAAGAGGAGAACAAGCAGTGATGCCACTGAAAATCGGTGAGGCGCCATCATTGCTTCTAGCGCAGAGCAAGAGAATAGTTAGACGAAACTTTGGGGCGTATGAGAGTTTGTATATATCCATGCATCTTCGCCGTTACTGATCAATTTGTACTGATGTCAATGTTGTCTTGCATTTCAATATCAGCCGTTACAGCTGGAGGATGCCGGTAAGCTGACTGGATATGATCGTTTACAGGCCCACCTCCAGTGAGTCGCTTCTCCATTCAGCACGTCAACACACGGCCTCAAGAACCAGGAAATAAGAGGTTGACTGACTGATGAACAGGCGGATAGTGTCAACGACTACCCTCTACAGGACGCAGATCATTGGAACCACTCGTTCCAGAATTCGACCATTTAATGACCGTTCGATAGGTCAACGGCGAAAGGATTTCCCAGGGACTGAGCTGATAGGACAAGGAGCTGTATATCCCTCTACTGGTGACTAGCTGGAGGAGCAGGATTTGATGACGAATACTTGTGAGAACTGATGTATGTCGGTGCATATCGATGGGATTGATGTTGAGTGGAGTATTCAAAGTAGATGAGGCGCACCAGAGAGTACAACAGCGTACATTCGGCGCTCCTGCCATTGAAGCCACGGTTTGTGGGGCAAGGCTAACCCGATTAGGTAACCAGCTACCCTAAATATCATCCTTATTCTGCAGCAAAACTTTGTCGTAACGAAGCGCCTTATGCATCTACGTTGGATACCAGAGGAAGCTATATGAATCGATGGTGGGCTGGACATCTCGAAGTCGCCCTTAAGACTAGATCATTCATTTCTGCTTCATTGTTTGACGACGGTCTTGCTCTCACTCGCAAGGATAGGGAAAGGGTCAAAAGGAAAGGATGTTCCTTGCTTCTTTCGTACGGTCTCAAACACCCCCACTGATCAAAATGATCAAAGACATACTATCATCATGGACGATGTGGAGACACGACTGTTGCAGCGAACGCTGAGTATCCGAGTCTTCCGATTACTCGATGGTCAACTCAAGTGTATCCACCTGAGAAGCTGAAACTTGTCCTCAGGCCATAACAGGCAGATGTGATTGAGATGAACCTGATGAGTTAACCAAGAAAGGCGCCATGCTAGCATGGGCACTGGATTATCATATAGTCTTGCTTGATCTGACGTTTCTACAAGTTTGCTAGAAAGATGTTTTACAGGAGCTGCACCATTGGTCACAATCTGCTAATTCGAACTCGCTCAGCGAAGGGACCAATCATCACGCTAGCCACGGTGTCTGCATATCCTTAAACAGAGCGAGTATTGACATGATGGTCTCTCGATTACGTATTTCGCGATATTTACTGGTACAGGGCGTCCGCGTCGATTACGTCCACACCCTTGGATTAGCGGCGTGTTCGAGCCACGAAGTGATCATTCTTCAACCCAAATCTTTCTCCTTCGTACAAGGTCTTGACATGCTTTGATCGAGAGGTCCAGGAGTTCAGAACATCAAAGCCGCCCTTTTGGTAAGCCCGCTGATGTGTCAGTCTACCATAAGATAGGCTGATCTTGGTGTTGGCAACGCAACAGGGCCTGCGCTCGCGCGGCGTTTCGACTCTTGCTCCCTTTCTAGTGGTTAGTAAGCCGTTTCTCATCCGGTTGTGCTTGTATAGTCTCACCGTGATCTGGCTCTAGCGCCACTTAACAATTTTTCAGTCTTGTTCAATCGCTTCGGGTGCTTGTGCGATGTTTTCTCGACCCTCTCCATACGCTGCTCGAGCAGATGTATTGCATCTTCTAGCTTGTCGCCGCTTTCAAATCTTATGTATGCTTCCGCAAGCCGTCTCATCCCAAGCAGAAGACGTCGGCTGTTGGTTCGAAACAATCCTCTGTCGATTCCCACAACTTCTTCGAGTATACCAATGGCTTTGTGCACGTCACCAGCTTGCAAGTATGCACTACCTAGCATCGACATCAGGTCGAGGAGATGTCCATTCTCTGATGGCAAAAATATGTTTGTAAGTTCAATTATGGTCTCCAGGGAGTCCACAGCTTTCTGAATTTGGGTAGTCTTCAGATACGCCCTAGCCAAAGCGGTTTGTATAGAGATCAGCTCTCCGTCTCCAGGGTTCGGAAGCTCCTTGTTCACGTCGTGAACAGCTTCTAGCAGCGATATTGCTTCATATGCATTGTTCTCTGAACCCGAAGTCAGAAGACGTTTGGCGAGTTGAAACATACAACGCAACCGATCTGGGTGTTCAGGTGATAAGATAGGTGAGAGCTGTTCTACTGTCTGCCTAATCAGATTCGCGGCCTTCTCGAATTTCGAAGTCTGCACGTACGCTCTTGCCAGATGCTTTACTGCAGCGATCAGTCGCTGGCGATTTAACTCTGGTTTGAACGAAGGAGGCGAGGCATATGTATTGACGGTCTTTTCCAGCATTGTAATTGCTTCATCAAGCATGTTGAGTTCAAGATAGGCATCTGCTAGTCGGTCCATACTGATCATTCGTTGTGGATCGTTGGTAGGAAGGTTTGACGCATCAATATCGACCACCTCTTCAAGCAACGATACTGCCTGATCTGGTTCGTCAAGTCGGAGATAGACCTCTGCTAGCCCATACACACTGGTCAACCGTACTGGATTATTCACTGAAGTAGTTGACGCCTGAATCTCAACCATTTCTCTAAGCAGCGGAAATGCTAAGTCTGGTCTGTCAAGGTGAGAATAGGCCGCTGCTAGCTCATCCATACTGGTCGATCGGTTCGAGTCACCTTCGGAAGATTTGATGTCTGGATCTCGACCAGCTCTTCCAGCAAATCGACGGCCTGTTTTGGTTTGTTTGATTGTATGTAGGTGTCTGCTAGCGTGCGCATGACCCTAAGGCGGTCAGAGGCATCTGTCTCGAGTGTCTTCGGACAGTCATGAAGGGCCTCTTCGAGCAACAAAATAGCTTGATCTAGTTTTCCATGCCGTCGATAGACTTCCGCTGATATTTGCATGATCACAAGCCAAAGCAATGGCCGCGGCTTCGACTTAGGAATGGAAGAGACAACCCTCTCAACCAATGCTTTAGCTTTCTCGGCTCTACCAAGCATGGTAGTTGTTATTGCTAGGACGGCGAGATCCCACATAAGAGGTGCAGATTTGGGCGGGTACCGTCGTTGGTTTATGATCGATTTCTCTTCAAGCAAAGTCACTGCTCGTTCATTGTCACCGAGGTGTGTGTGCATCGCCGATAGCATTTGCAGGAGATGGCTCTTGTCTCCGTGACCGAGAGTTTGGGTGTGTGAGTAAAGCTTGTATATGGACTCAAGCAGAATGAGCGCATGTCGGGATGCACCGGTCATGTGGTAAGAATTAGCCAGTAACATTCCGGATTGGAATGCCTCCTTACTGTTTGGCTCGAACCACCGGTTCGTAGATTCCACTATACGATTTACACAGCTCCACATCTCTTCAAACCTTCCCAGTTGTCCCAAACATTCCGCCTTCGCGCGTAGAACTACCTTGTTCTTGAAAGAGCGCGTATGAGGCTGCAGCTCGTGTAAATTGGACAGAGTCTCAATGATCGCGAGTGATACCTCGAATTTCTTGGCAAAGATCAATTGCCGCGCTAGATGGTAAAGCGCTCTGGCAACATTGAGAGACGTTTGTGGCGAAGTCATCTCCTCGCTTCGATTACGAAAGCATGTTTTCATGTGCATCGCCATTTCCGGTAGAAGAGGATGCCAACCACGAGACAAGGGATGAGACATGAAAAGAAGCGAAAGAGTCTGTTCCCATGCAGACTGTCGTGCAGCTTTGCCTAGTCGAGTACGTGCCCATTTGTGTACAAGAGGATGCATCGAGATTTTGTTGTTCTCGAATCTGATCAGGGACAAATTCGCAAGACATGTGCGCGCGACGCGGAGTCTTGTAGTCTTCTGGTATTCTACGAGACCACTTGATCGTATCTTCCCGGAATGCCAGATGTCGAAAAATCGATCTCGCCATCGTTGTCATTCTTGTGGTCATCAGGCCCTAGATGCTCGGGCTTGATCTCGTTAACGATTCCTCGGCTACGCATAGAAAAGGTGTCTTTGGAAAAGACTTCAGCATCATCGAAGTAACCTGAAGCTGCGACATCTCGAACACTGCCGATGTTTTTTCTGGTTGTAAAATAGCCTCACTCGGCTGTCGATCTGCAGAGCAGGTCGCGTTCGATCCGCGCTCTCGAACTTCGCTTTTGGTGATGTGACGATACTCTCCACTCCAATCACAGACGTTGTCCGTCCTGGCTTCTGGGATCTCTCGGCTGCCCGGTTCGCAGTAGCGTTGAGCAGCCAGATCATTCTCAGTATCTGGAACAACCCAGTCTTGAGACCACCGGCACTTGTTTTCTTCCCACGTCTGACCTCGATCCCTCTCTAACATATGAAATCTTTCAAAAGCTTCGACAAACAGAACCTCGTCGACTGCTTGACCATCAAGGAACGCAAGTATGCCTAGCAAATTCAACGCGACATGACTGTTGTGGCTCTGGGATGAAGCCAGAGCCTGTGCAGAGACTTCGAAGGTCGTGTAGATACTCCCATATCGTGAAGCTTGTTGTCGAGGCTTGAACTTTATAAGCTGATCCTGCTCGTTCTCGAATAATCCGACATATTCATCCAAGGTGCAGAGTCCCTTCTTGATGTAAGCGCCAGCATGAACAAGAGCGAGTGCATGCTGCCCGAGTATAGACACAACGGACTCCGCAGCAGGGATTCGGGATTTCTGCTTAATAACTCCAAAGCCGCACGCTCGCAGAAGCAACTGCGTGGCATTCTCGCTACCAAGGTCGTCAAGATTTTCCCAGGTTCCAAGATCCCGACAGTCCGTCAAGCGAGTAGTGACGATTATACTGCCACCGCGAGATGGCATGTACCTGGAAAAATCAATTCCACCATCATCACAGTTGTCCAAGATCAGAAGCCATGACTCCTTGACAGTCGCGAGCCATTGTAGTACGTCCTTGGATGCCGTACCTACCAATGGAGGAGTCTGCATTTTAGCGATCTCCGAGAAACCTTGTTCGATACTTTGTAAGTTGTCGGCGTCTATCCAGAAGATGCCCCAAAAGCTAATTCTGTCAGCCATTTTCGGCAGCGTTCATCAGATAAAACAGACTTGTCTTGGGTCTGCGCTGCAAACTTAATAGCTGCTTCACTTTTGCCAGCACCACCGATACCTTGCAGTACAAAGACTGGCCGGTCCTTCTTTGAAGACTTCGTGATCAGATGCTTCTTCATATCGTCAAAGAGAGATTGACGACCAGTGAACAGCGGATTGGGTGCACGCGGTACGTTCCAGTAAGTGTTGCCTGATAGAGCTCGGTCAGCGAATCTTGGTATCATAGTTGATCCAACTATGAACACCATGAAGGAGTGGCGAAGGCCTTTCATGCGATTGAGATGAGACTCACCAAGCTGTGGAAGTTGTGTGATAGCTGTTGGGGGAATCACACTCAGCAGCTCTTTGGCGTACGCGGCTGCTGCGACGGCCGCATATCGATGCCATCCGTCGTTCTTGTGGGTATCACAATAATCAAAAATGCCTCGGATGGTCAGCGAAGGGAAATTGTCAAGTCCTGCAGCCTCCATTTCGAAGCACAGATTGCCAAACTTCTTTCTGATCTCCTCTGCGTAGACCGCATCCCGGATCGATTTGTTCCCCGAAGCGATGGGACCATAGTGTACTCTGGGAATTTCCGGATGCTCGCGCATAGGTCTGTCGCGAATTTGCATTTCGTCACAGTTGTCGCATGATCTGGCCTGATGGACGTATGTGGCATTGTAAAGCCTGTCTTGAGTTGGGCGTCTTGCAATTCTCCTGGCTTGATCTCGGTCGAGGTGAGAAACATAAGCCATCTCTGGCGCTTCCAACCCCAGATGATCTCCTTGTACTGCAGCCACGGCATTCAAGAGGATCGATGGAGCTTTGTTCATGGCGCCCGTCTTCAGGAACGCTTTGTCCTGTATCTGCTTGCCATAATCATATTGGACAACACCAGCTTCGCCTTGCGGATGGACTCCAACTACGATGTCTCCGAGGCGGACATCACATTCAGGGCTCCAGACCCCTCCTGCAATGCCCACCATCAAGCCAACTCGAAGCCAAGGGAATGTACGACGCATGTCATTGGCCACGGTCGCGGCGATCGCTGTTCCTGGACGGCCGGATGCGATAACAACATTGTGTCCTCCATTCGATACACCATTGCCTGGGTCGATATGGCCGAAGGTGTAAATGTTAGAATCGTGATCAGGTGTTGGTAATCGAGGATGAACGGTGTCGAGCATGGCCCTCGCGGCAGCCATCTCGATAGGAAGAGCGGTGATCCATCCTACCTTGTAGTCTTGGAGCCTGAACATCATTTGCGAGAATTCGATCTCTTTCGAGTGGAAGAAGTAGGAGTCTGCTACCAGTGGTATGGCGGAAGAACAGACAAATGAGCAGCGGACGGTAGGGAAGGTCGAAAAAAGTTCTTGTGATCTTAATCGTTGTGTTTCGTACTTTTGGAGCACCCCCAAAACGTGGCTTGCATGCTGCATGGTTCATATCTACATCTGCATTCAACTCGCTACAATTTCACATTGCATCGTGCAGGAAGACAGTAGCAGAGTTGAGGCCGCTCGTGAGGCTGTTACATCTATGAGTTCACTGTCGATCAGAACCGAGCACTCGAGAGATCGGGTACCAGACAGGCAGGCCCATAGCAGCCCATACGCTCAGGCCGCTGCAGCGTGAATTAGAGAGCCGAGGATTTAGTAATATCGCATCCATACATATGAAACGGGACCAAGTCTGCAGAGTCCCTCGGGAGGCAAGATTTACATACAGGTCTCGATATGCATGCAAACAGCGCGAGCAATGCAAGCAGCACACATCGTCAGCCATGCTGCGGCTCACAGGCTCGAGCATCCGAGATTCCATAGTCTGGTGTGATTAATATATGCCTGCAGGTGAACTTCGGATTCGACATCTTCAGTGAAATTCGATGATCAGGGTTGGGCGCGTAAGGAAGGTCGTGGTTGGATGATGCAGAAGAAAGGATTGAGAGCTGAGCAAGCAAGCTCCAGGCACCCCGGGCACGGACGACGCCGCGCGCCAATGGGTGCCTACCTCCTTCCTCCATGCAGAACACGAATTATTCTCAATTGTTACATGCGTCGAGTCTTTGGGTAAGCCATCGTAATGCATTGATCCTGAATAATAATGGAAGGCTAGAGGCTGGACAGATTCTTTCTACTGCAATCTCACACCCGCCTGCCTATTCTTCTTCGCTGTAGCGCCCACAGCCTCATTTGTACCTGTGAATCCAAGCAACGACTTTCTCTGCCTATCATCCTCTTCCTGCTTCTTCTTCATACGCTTCTCGGTCTTCTGCTTACCACTGCCTTTACCGTGGAACCTGTGACTGAGATGCTTGAAAGCTTCCTTCTGGTTCATCTCACGACCATCCTCGTCATTGTAGCGAAGCTGAACATTGGGCTTGTATGAGCGCTTGAAGTGCTCGGCTTGTAGTTGTGCGAGGTAGGCGTCTCTTTGCTCGTTCTGTTGGCGTTGGTAGTTTTCACGCTCACGGTGAGACATACGATCCCAGCGGCCAGATTTACGGTCGCTCTCGCGCTCTTCTCTTGTTTTGCGATCGTATTCGTCGACGAGAGCTTGGTTCTCGGCGAGGAACTGTTGTTGGGCGCGGACTGCGGCGTTGGCCTTGTCGGCTTCGCTGTCTTGAACGAGACCACGTTTGCGAAGCATGTTGAGAATGCCTCCTGCTCCGGATGTGGTATCTTCTTCGTCCTCGAAACCTGTGGACGTCATTGCTGGTGGAGCAACTGATTCTCGTTCCTCGGCTTCGCGACGAGCACGAGCATCTTCCTCGTCTTCGACTGCACCGTATGATTCTTGCATAGTTTCGTCTTCATCCTTGACGTCTCCAAGGGCAGGTGTCGAAGTGGCTCTCGTACGTTCGTCTGCCGAATCTGGTGATTGTGGGCGTCTCAGATTGGAGACAAACTCAGTAGTCTCATCAATAACAAGACCAGGTTCCTCGTCATCTTCGGCAGTGTTCATGGGAGTTGTTGATTCTTCTTCACGAATGCGGCGAGCCAGCTCAGCAGCATCAGTCTTCTTACGCTTCTTCAGTGCTTGACGGCGTTGCTCTGCCAGCTTGGCTTGCAGATCGTCATCGTCAAAAGTCTCAAAAGTACGTTTCCTAGCAGCACCGTTTGATGTTGGCTGACCATCAACGTCCATCTGGTCTCCTGAAGGTCGTTGTGTGGGCAAAGGGAAGATGTCGTCTGCGTCAGCAGCCTTTGTGCGACTAGTCTTGGCCTTCTTCGGCTTCTTGGGCTTGCGAATCCTAGCAGTCGAGGGGTCCTGGTAATCTGAGATCGGAGTGTCGTCTTTGAGCTCGTCCAAACTAATCTTGATGCCTTTGACACCTATGCGCTCTGCTTCTGCGGCTTCCCTGCGAGCCGCGACAGCTGCNTGGTCGATGGCGCCAGACGTATCCAGGGTGAAGTTCTTCTTCTTTTTGCCCTCAATCTCTTCGTCGTAATGCGCCAGGATAGAACGATTTCCATCATCCATATCGTTGGGGTTGTAGACGGGCTTGTTCTTCTTGCGCTCCAGCTTTTCCTGTAGTTTTTCCTTTGCGCGCAGGTCCAGGTTCTCAAGCTCGTCGTCCTCGCTCTCGTCACCAATAGCGGCATCCTTGAGGGTCAAGATCTGCTCGCCTTCAGCATCAAACTGATCCAGCTCGTGCGCGACCTTGACACCAGCCAAGTCCTTGGCCGAGTATTCTGCTTGTGCCTGACGTTCAAGTTCAGCTTGCTCTTCCTCGTACTTTCTTGCCTGCTCGATCTTCTTCTGGCGCTTCTTCTGCTGCAACAACCATGTTTTTGTGTCCATGTCTGCCTCTTCTGCATCTCCCAAACCCTTTCCTTCCAGCTTTGCATTCCGTAGCTCGAGATCGCGAGCTCTTTTGATAGCTTCCTTGCGAGCCAGACGCTCTTGTCTTGCCTTCTCTTCATCCTGCAGCTTTTTCCAGTTGTCACCAGCGGCTGCCTGGCGCTTCTCGAGTGTGCTCATGTCATCGGGGTCTGAATCTTCTCCGTCGTCTTTGGATTTAAATTGAAGGCCATCTTCGCCGGGAACGGGCAAGGGCGCAAGTCCCATGGCGGCTCTGATCTTGTTGGCATCCTGGATTGCGACGGCGTCCATGATGGGTAGCGGGTGAGGGCCTGGATGTTGTCGCAAGAAAGATAGAGGACCAGGCGGCAGTCGAATGGGCGCTTTCGAGATGTACTGAGGAGGTGAATCACAGCAATGCGATGGGGCAGGCGATTGACGAGAGTTGCCTAGAGCAAGTCCGACGCATGTTCAAAAGAGCGCGTCGGAGTTTAGGCGGCGCTAAAGCCGGCGGCGTGTCCCGGCTTGGCTCGTGCATGGAAAAGTTCTATATCAAGGTCGCAAACTTTCTCTCTCCCTCTTCTCTTCTCACACCAAAACCTGTGTTCAGCGATCCTGGCGTCTCCTTCGAGGGACTGTTCGGTTGATTGCTGTCCAGCTCGACTTTTATGGAGCCATCAGATTATTGTGATGTCAATTTTCCGGTCGACAAGTTTGAGAACAATGTGGCCCTGGGACAGCGCCTGAGCTCGCTTCGGCTGAGCTCGGCGTGTAACCTGGTCAAGAGCGTCATATTCCTGATCCCTTCGCTGAGGCCGTCGGCTTGTGAAGTTGGGGAAAAACCATGACTTGCTTACATCTCGTGAAGAAGTGCTTGAAATCTTGTACGTGCTATGAAGTGAACCGCCAAACACGCCTGTCAAGACGAGTTGCAAGGGACAACACCTCTGTCCATTTATCTGCTGCTCGTGTCGCGTGCTGCTTCTACTTAGAAACATGCGCCGGATGGCGAGAGGCATGTTCGTATGTCGTTCTTGTAACAATCACATGCAAATGCTTGTCATGGAAATAGATCTGCAAAGCAATTCGTGAGGCAGGAACGACTCTTGGTCTGGCCTGACTTCCGTACGCCGCACGACTTGTCTCATGACGTTTGTCGTTGCTCCTTCCGCCTATGTAGACCTCCACATACCCGTCAATACTAACCCCGTCTTCTCTTCTCGCTCTCCAACCATGCGCATATTCTTTCCTTGTCATCGCCGTACCAAGTGAAGGAGCTTCCTCGGAGCCATTCATCAGAACCGCTGTCGTCCCAAGTGTGTCACGCAAGAAAAAGACTTTGGTCACCCCGCACGTCTGCCCTGAAGAATCGCATCTGCTTCTCACGCCATTCTTCTTTCCACCCACCGCATCCAACAAACAGCCATGGTGAACTTTCCAGGTCGCGCGTCTGACGAGCAGACTAAGAAATTGAGGGACCATCGGCAATGGCTCCACGACAACATTCGCAACGACTGGTCATACCCCAACGCTCCTCACCTTTTACCTTCTCACTACCACTCGACTCAAGTTGCTCCTGGCGCCTCGTCAACAATTACTATGCCTGAACTCTCCCAAGACGCAAGAGTCCTCGTCAACGACCACATCAGACAGTCCCCTATCCCCAACACCATGAGACCAGTGACGGCCTTAGCATCCAACTCCTTGCAATGGCACGAACGCTACTACAGTGATGGCGAAGACTCGGGTTCAGACGACGACCGCGACAATGCGACACCTGCCTTCGACACACCCGACTCGGTTGGTACCGACCTTGCAGCCCGTAAAGAACGAAGACGCAGACGTCGCCAGAGAAGATTCGAGGATGAGATGCAAGAGAACATCGGCCTGGCTCACTGGAGTGCCCAGAGAAATCTGTGGACTGGTGCGAAACCGAAGAACAAGGTGCAATCGACAGATTCTTCACCTGCGCAGCCGCAATCATCTCAGGCGCCATCGCCAGCAACCATCACATCGACAACTCTCGTTGAACCAATAATTCCAGACGCAGATCAAAGGGTCCCCGGAGCACAAGCACTCTTTCCCAACCCCATCCGCAGCCACATCACCGAAAACTCTTACTCGGACATATACACGAAAATCATTCTCCAGAGTCGCACTCCCTCCATTCCCATCAGCCTGAAGGACGTCACCCGCTCCTTGGTCCACGGCTGGAAAGAAGAGGGTCAATGGCCACCGAAGCCCACACCTGCAGAGCCCAGTCTGGTCAAGAAGAATGGCCATCCCCACATCAAGGGCGTGCTGAACAAACTGGGTAGACCATTCGGGCTCAAGGGACAAGGACTTCCTGTTGAGAAGGGCTCGGCACAGGGTCAGGTTTAGGGTGACTGCCCTGATTTATAGGATGACTATGTTGACACGGAAAACGAAGTCGCTGCCGAAAATTGCACAACTCGCGCAGATTGCTATGCTGAGTATGACGCTCGCCCAAGGACACGTTCTCGCACCCGGTATGACGAGATTCTCGAGGCCAACAACAGATATTTTGGCTTCGCTATTCATAAAAATTATGTCTGGGCAAAGACAACGCAAGAGAGAGTCTAGTACGCCCAGCTTCTTGATGACGATCGAGATGGCTACCTGTACCAAAGACCTGGTGCTCGTGCTCGTCGATTGAAACGCCGCGCCAGCAAGACTGTTCTCGAGTCTGAGGTTGAGAGACTTGCTCAACGCCCTCGCGTCGATGAGGGCATCAGTTCCTCCAGGGCTGGCTCAAGTACCGAGCACGACACAGTAAGCCCCGATCACCGCTCGAGCATCGCGATGGCGCTATTGCGAGGGGAGCCGACTGCAGGACTACAGAAGCTCCATTTGAAGCTTCCCGACTACTCTGAGGTCCTTGACTATCTTGGGGAGTGCCGTGAGAAGGATATGTTTAAGAAGCATCGTGTTGAAAAGGAGAGACTCGAAAATGTACGTCTCGAGCAAGAATGGCTGCGGTCCAGAGAGAGGATACTTCTGTGGTGGCTTGTCGATGATCCCAAGCTATGCGCGAGAGATTTCAAGAGGCGCGGACGGATGAGTCTTTCTCTGTCGCAGCTACTTTTGTTCTTTGGTGAAGGTGAAGTTTTCTTCTCACACCATTTTTTACCTTGTTTACAGGCTCTCTTTTGATGACAGCACAGGAGATATAGCATTCTTTCTTATTTCTAGCGTTCAAGCAAGGAAGAGCAAAACTTCCGTTCTTTCATCCAACCGAATCAATAACTCCGTCTTCATATCTTGATCCATCTACAAACAAGCCTGCTCAATTCTACATCTCAGCGTCGTCAGGACTCTATCTGCTCTCCACTGTTTAGCGATTTTTGCAATGCACATCCAACCCTGGAATGCCCTGCGCCGCTGCACTCGAGGACTAGAGATAGTGCGTATATAGCTAACACAAGCAACAGATGGAAGACTCATTGGGGTCTGGAGATTGCGCAGGAGGGCATGCTCCTGCTTTTCGCTTCGAGTTCTGAAGTTAGGGATGGGGCAAGTTGGAGGAGAGATTAACGAGATACTTGATAGATATCCTGGATGTTTCAGAGGAGCTGTTGGTGGTTCGTGAACTTCAGATGCACAAAGAGCAGAAGCAGCAATAGATGATGCGAATGCAGAGTTAAAGGCACATCACAGTCGTGTTTGCCATATGTCTGCGCTATAGATCTTATACTGCTCGTGTACGTGTATTTATGCATCTTGCACAAAGTGTGCAAAGCACAACACTTTAAGACGCGTCCACAAGTATCCGGGGAAACCATCACCACTTCTGCCCCCACCCACTTGCACACCTTGACCAAACGACAACTAAAGGACAGAAGTCGGACACAAAAGAAGGATGGCAGATGCAAACCCAGAAGACAAAGTCGATGTAAGTGTTTTATCTCCATTGGGTGCGAAAGAGGAATATCTGTTTGGGTTTGCCGCTTCTTGGGTTCCTATACCATTACACGCGATTCTACCACCATTGCAACACCTATAACCCTCATTATCCTTCATCTCTTCTCCGGACCTTCCCTGCCCTTCAACACTCTCCATCCCTCCTCCTTCAATGTCACAATCATACTGACCCTGCTCACCACACAGCGCCTCAAATCCTCCCTCTGGTACAGCATCGGCAACATCATTGACGCAATCTCTCTGGACCAAGATTTGAACGCTACACCACAGTTTATCGGTGCTCTTACGGAGTTGGTCTGGAGTCAGATACTCACCAGTGGTGCTGATTTGGAGGGGTTTGCTAGGTAAGTTATCCATAATCCAACTTGCTCGGACGCAGATGTAGCATTGTATGGCTGACAAAATTATAGACATGCAAGCAGAGATACAGTGGATGTTAAAGATGTGCTGCTGCTTGTGCGCAGGAATGAGCAGTTGAAGGAAGTGCTGGAAGAGGCATTGAAGGAGATTAAGCAATGAGGATTGCACGACATTCATGATACACGACTATTGCTTTCCAGAGCATAAACTCAACAACAACAGAGATGGCTTGAAGTCCCTTGATATCTTTCTACTATATCATCCTCACTGGCTCTGGACTGTATTCAATCCACATGATATAGGTTCGTCTACACGTTGTTCATTGCTTGTCAGGGAACCCGAGGTTGACCTTTGCGCACAGAAGTTAGCAGATGCAGATATTATCAGCAAAGGGAACACTTACGCCAAAGGCAGGGTAGACGAAACGGTTGGGAGGATGTGTCTCCGAGATCTTATCCAAAGCCTTGACATCACTCGAGTCAAGCTTGATCAACCTCAAATTCTCCTCAATCCTCGACGGCGTAACCGATTTGGGGATCACGGAACTTCCGCGGGCGACNTACAACAGCATTAGCCAATTTTGCTTTGAAGGACACAAAGAGTGGCGGGGCATCTTACTGTGATAACTCAACAATACAGTTCCAGGACTAACATCATGTTTCTTCGCCACCTCTTGAATTTCCTTTTCTTGGAAGAGCGGCGAGCCAGTGCTTCCCAGAGGACTGTATGCAGTAACCAAAATCCCCTTTTCTTTGCAGTAATCCACGATTTCTTGTTGGGGTAGATAAGGGTGGTTTTCGATTTGGTTGGCTGCGGGAGTGACTTGAGCTTCCTTCATGAGGGTTTCCAAGAAGGGCACTGAAAAGTTTGCTACGCCGATTGCTTTTGCTTTTCCGGTCTTGAGGACAGCTTCCATTTCCTTCCAGGTTTGGGTGTAGGACCAGGCGGTGTCGAGGTCGCGGGTGCCGTCGGGGTGTTTTGGGAATTTTGGGTCGTTGCCGTTGGGGTTCATGGGGACGGCNTGTGAGGGGGTTAGTATTGAGGATCGTGACATAGTAGTGATGGACTTACGCCAGTGCATCAGATACAGATCAACTNNGTTTTGTTTTGCAATGTCAGTTTTTGTTTCCATAGGGTGTTGGACTAGCGGGATGCCTCTCATACCATAATCCAGACCCAGGGATTTTAGACTGAGGTCGAGGTTCTCCTCTACCCTGGAGTGGTAGGTACACCAAAGCTCTGTNAACGTATTGTCAGCTCTGGTGTAATTTTCCGGTCACTCTTTGAGGGCCGTACTGGTGGTTACAAAGACGTCTTCGCGCTTAATGCCAGACTTGAAGCCTTCAGCTAAACCCTCACCGACTTCGTCTTCATTGCCATAGACATATGCGGCGTCAATATGTCTATAGCCGACCTTGAGAGCATGCACGACTGCATTCTTGACTTCGCCAGGAGCAGACTGCCATGTTCCGAGTCCTNNGTTGGTGGTTGTGAGTTGCAACCTTCAAGCTTCTGATCAACACATTAACAACATACCCAAAGCAGGGATCTTGGCGCCGGTGTTGAGTGTAAACACGGTATCAGACATTGTCTTTGGATGCAGTATAAAGTCTGGAGTTCTCTTGAGTATGAAGTTTGCGAGTTGAGGATTCATTTTTGTGAACGGAAGAAATGTTGTTTTTGTTCTACTCGTTGCTTGTCATCGGCTTTTGCAAGCTTGCCTGTTGTCCATACCCCTCCCCCACTTTCTTTCCTGTCAATGCCCTGCTTCTGGGCAGAAGCTCGAGGCAACATTGACCCGAGGGCGAAGCAAACGTGGAGGTCGGCAATTGCTGTTCTTGCCAAGCTGTCCTCGCTGATACCTTTTCCGATGTCAATGGAACGTGCTCGGCCACCTTGCCCAGACAGGTAACTTTATGCCCGGGATACGAAAATCTGGAGAGTGGCTTGAGAAAATATCCAATCGGAGGCGCTACCTTTGCGTCATGCGGCAAAACAATTCCGCCGCTGAAGAATTAGGCTTTTGCTCTGGGAGGCACGATGATCCGTAGATGGGGATGCCCCAGCATCAGCAGCAACCTCGACCATACTTTGTCGTTGTTGGCGAAGGCACAGGAACAGCCTTGTGTTTGAAGCTCGCCTGGCGAACTGTTGCGAGTGCTGTTTGGGAAAACCTGGTGTGTCGCCTTGCGCCTTGAGTAGTTACTAAGTCCGACGACGATCGGGGTTTGACTGTTACGGAATGTTGGCAAGGTAGAAGTAGTGGTGGAGGAGGTGTGCAAGGTTGCTAGCAGGAGAAGCCGAAGGTAGGGAAACATGTCCCCGAAACAAAGGTAGATAAAAGAGAGACTCGTTCCTTCCTTGTGTTTTGGTTTTTGATCATCATTTCAATTCGTCTTGCTTGTCTCTGTCACGTCCATTTTGAAATTTTCAGACATCGAAGAATATTGAAAGCAAACACTTGAATTATCCCTGAGCACAATTCCTTCTATAACACACGTCAACATGGCACCCATCGCACTCGAGCAACCCAATGTTGCCGAGAATTTCAACGACCACAAAGACGGCCTCGCCCTCGAAGCAACCTCCGACAACATCGACGAAGTTAATGTTCTAAAGGCCGCCCTCAAAGTAAAAAACGGCACCGCCACCCAAGAAGAAAAGGAAATTTACGAAGCCTCGCAATTCGATGCGGACAAGGACAAAGCCCAATTCCGCAATTATGAGGATGCATGCGACCGTGTAAAGAACTTTTACAAGGAACAGCATGAGAAGCAAACCGTAGCCTACAACTTGCGCGCCAGAAACCGCTTCCACTCAAAGACCAGAGCGGAGATGACGATTTGGGAGGCCATGGAGAGATTGAACACCCTGATTGACGAGAGTGATCCTGATACCTCGTTGTCGCAAATCGAGCACTTGCTGCAATCCGCAGAAGCCATCCGTCGCGATGGAAAGCCCCGCTGGTTCCAACTCACAGGCCTCATCCACGACCTAGGAAAACTGCTGTTTTTCTTTGACGCCGAGNGGCAGTGGGATGTTGTCGGCGACACCTTTGTCGTGGGCTGCAAATTCGACGATCGCATCATTTACCCAGGTACCTTTGCCAATAACCCAGACTCCAAGGATCCTATCTACAGCACTGAGCATGGTATCTATACTCCTGGTTGTGGACTCGACAATGTAATGATTAGCTGGGGCCACGACGAGTATCTTTACCATGTTGTCAAAGATCAAAGCACTTTGCCCGACGAAGCTCTCGCCATGATTCGCTACCACAGCTTTTACCCTTGGCACAAGGAAGGCGCTTACCGCTGGATGATGAATGAAAAGGACGAGAAGATGTTGGCTGCCGTCAAGGCTTTCAACCCTTACGATCTTTACTCCAAGTCTGATGGTATTCCCAAAGTTGAGGATCTCAAGGATTACTACATGGAGTTGATTGATGAGTATTTCCCTCAGAAGGTCATCAGATGGTAGAAGAAGACTTCGATGCCAATGATTGTTTTTCACGACACCTCGTTTGATTTAGCGGCAAGCATGACGAAGAATTGGTCAAATGCCTGGACCATGATATTATAAGACAGATTGGCGTTTGCTTGGATTTTGGTCATGTTGCTTTTGCTCTACATAATGAACCTTTACTACGACATTTTTTTACCTCCTAGTCCTGTTTCTGAGAACCATTTACGCTACGAAACCACTCAGTTTCTTCTCCAGTCATCACAAGAGATGGCTTCCCAAACCGCTCTTTGCTAGCCCATGGATTCGACAGTAGCACGCAGCCGAATCTGGCACAAGTTCCTCCAATGACTTGCTGTCGTGCCTTGCCTGAATGTCTGGTTTTGTTTCGCAGGTATGCGTGCAAAATTTAGGAATTGGTGCACCTAGGTGTAACAGACTTGTGACAGAAAGCCAGGCTTGTCGGACAGGTTCTCCACGGAAACCTTTTTCCGCCCGCAAAGCAGATATTGTGGAAACGCTCGATATGAGACTGAACTTTCGACGGCTATAGAGGATCGTGAATTATTCATAGACCCAATGGAACTTACGACAGGTACTTGGCTGCTCAAGGGAACGATACGGGGTTCGGCCAGTACAAAATGCTGCTTTCAAATCATAGAATTTGTGGACAATTATATACACCTATTGCTCCAAATATAGAGTATGATTTCCAAAGTGCCAAAAAAAAAAAAAAAGACAATGCTATCCAGGCATCTATAACTTCGCTTTCTCTTCTCTCTGTGTAACAATAACAACCTTGTAATCACCATCAGCCAACTTCTCTTTCTGCATCATTAATTCTGAATCACAACCTTGAGCACTAAATCCCCCTTGTCATCTTTTGTTTTGCCAGCCATGCCAAAGGCCTGCTCTGCATTTTCCAAACCTTTGACTGTGTGGGTGACGAGTTTGGAAAGGTCGGGGCAAGAAGGAGAAGAGGCAAGGGAAATGCCTTCAGGATATGTGTTTGCGTAGCGGAAGACGCCTACTAGATCGACTTCGCGCAGGGCGGCGGAAGAGATGGCGAGGGTTTGGATGGGGACGCCCATGCCGATGAGCATTACGCGGCCGCCGGGCTTGGTGGACTGTGATGGGAGTGATTAGTAAGGAGGAAAGAGGAAGACAGGATAAGGGGGTATACGAACGTAAATTGCTGATTGTACGCAGGTGGGTACGCCGGTGCATTCGAACACGATGTCCACTTCGCCAATACCATTGACGGCAGCGACTCCATCTGCGGTCTCTCTGGCAATGGCAAGGTTTTCCTCGGTGTCTTTTCCTCGCTTCATGGGTACCACAAAGCCATGATGCGCAAACCCATTCTTGACTGCAAAGTCCACTCTTCCAGCATCGATATCCGCAATCACCACCGTCTTTGCTCCTTTGGCTGTCGCAACAGCAGCAGCAAGTAAACCCACTGCTCCAGCACCCAGCACTAGACAAGTGTGGCCTTCTTGCATAAGACTTCGTCGGTAGGCGTGTATAGCCACACCCAAAGGCTCCAGCAAAGCACCAAGCTCCATACTCATGCCCTCGGGCATCTTATGACACCACTTTGCCGGATGGTTAATCTTTTCTTGCAGCGTACCCTGGAAATGCGGAAAACTCTTTGCCGAAGAGCGAAACTTCATGTCTTTGCAGATATTGTATCTGCCCTCTGTGCAGCGATGGCAGCTATCGCAGGGCACGCCAACCTCCAACGCTACCCTGTCGCCGGGCGAGAAGTTGGAGACTGAGGAGCCGATTGCGGTGACGATGCCGGAAGATTCATGGCCGAGGGTCAAGGGTTCGCGGACGAGGATGTCGCCGTTGCGGTTGTGGTTGTAGTAGTGCAGGTCGCTGCCGCAGAGGCCGGTGCTGTGGATGGCGACTTGGATTTCGTTTGCTGAGGGGGCGGGGAGGTCGCGGGATTCCTGGGGATAGTGAGTGACTTGTTCGTGTACATGGTTAAGTATTGTGTCTGTGAGATAGTGATGGAGATGTTGTCGGGGAAGGAAACTCACAATGCGGAGGTCTTTTGCGCCGTGTAGAACACTGGCTTGTACTTGTGTCGACGACATGATTGAGATGTGGGATATAAGTGAGATGCAATGAAGAGATCAATCACAAAGCAGAGTACAGACGAGAAGAGAGGATGAACAGATGATAACAATCTCAAAGTCATAAATCAATCGGCTCATTCGCGTCGGCATCTGCTCCCCCACTCTGCCCACATTTTGCCCGCATTGTCGGCAATTGAAGAGGGCAAGGGTGACGATGGCCCCATACAGTCGGCATTTTATCCAAGATGATATTACCCATATGTTTCTGCTCGTCTGCACTTGTTTTCTGTATACCTCATCTCTCCAATACACGTCATGGCTTCTGTGCAACAGCTCTTTTCTCTCGAAGGCCAGACCGCCCTCGTCACTGGCGGCACACGCGGTATGACAGTTCCATCAAGTCCTTCCACTGTCGGTGACTGACAACGACACCAGNGCATCGGTCAAGCAATGGCCATTGCCCTCGCTGAAGCCGGCGCAGACATTCTGCTCGTCCAGGTAAAACTCCCCATCCACTCTTTCCGCCTCACACTAACCTCCCTCTCCNAGCGCGACGAATCAAACCAATCCACCCTCCAAGAAATCCGCAACCTCGGCCGCAAAGCACAAATCTACACCGCCGACCTCGCCTCCCGCGACTCTGTCTCCTCTCTCGTCAAANAAGTAATCTCAGACGGTTACCAGATCCACATTTTGCTCAACTGCGGCGGCATCCAACGACGACACCCCGCCCACCAGTTTCCAGACAATGACTGGGACGAAGTGCTAAACGTAAACCTCAACTCGGTGTTTACACTCTGCAGAGATGTAGGCGCACACATGCTCTCCCGCGACCCCGACGCCCATGGCAGACGCGGCGCCATCATCAACATTGCCTCTTTGCTGTCCTTCCAAGGCGGAATCACCGTGCCAGCTTATGCGGCAAGCAAAGGCGGAGTCGCGCAATTGACAAAAGCATTGAGTAACGAGTGGGCAGCCAAAGGCATTAATGTCAATGGCATTGCGCCCGGCTACATCGCCACAGAGATGAATGATGCATTGATGAAGGACAAGACGAGGAGTGAGCAGATTATGGCGAGGATTCCGGCTGGCAGGTGGGGCAAGCCTGAGGATTTCAAGGGGCCAGTTGTGTTCCTTGCTAGTAGGGCGAGTGGCTATGTCAGTGGTGAGATTTTGACTGTTGATGGTAGTTGGATGGCTAGGTAGATGTGGGTTTCTCTCAATCATTCACGTCTTTTCCATCTTTCTTGCATTGTGTTATCCAGCAGAGAAAGCTATACGCAACAGACCAATTTAAGTCAAGTGCAGATGCCTCCACTCTCTTCTGTCATAGCGACCTATACCCTTGTGTCCGTGACTTCTGGACTCCTCCACTCTTTGAGTCCATGCCGACTACAAGCACTATGCTCGCATTGCCTTCTAACTCCATCTCCGTAAACACTCACCCAAACACTCCGCTCGGCAACTCTCCCTCAAGGCCGTCAAAAACCGCCCATGTCTCGGCAACCAAAGCATCACACACGCTCTGCCCCGCAAAGCTCGGCCTCTGTAACATCTTTCGCACCTTGCCGACAGTATGAGATACTTTTTCTACTGTTAGCAAGCAAAGGTGCTATTCCGGGGTCTCCGCTTTTGCAGCCACGGTCATCGGCTTTCTGTACAGTTCTCTTAGAGAACCACGCAGGAGTTTGATTTCGTGTAGAGGTTTGGCTGAACCACTCACGGAGCCGTGAGACCAGGGTCGCACCCATCACAATGGATGTTGCCATATAATTGCACTTTTCTATGGCGACGTATGATTCTTGTTGTTGATTCGGTGGTACACGAAATATGGATTGATAATTGGAAGAAGATGTCGCGAATATATAAGGCTGTACTAAGCATGATTGACCCGTCTAGCAATCGAGCTTCGACGGTTCATGTTTGGAGTTTCTCCACAATCTTAAGAACAAACATGACCGATGTTTGATACCAGATCTATACACGCCAATCTCCAGTTCACAAGCATGTCTATGCTTCATTTTGAAAGGTCCAAGGTGCCGTTTTGAACTCTAGAAATGCTCTAGAAACCTGCCGAAGGTTGCCTAAGCCTCGGGAGAAATAGTAAAGACTACCTTCGCTCTACAGGCCTCAACCGCCACTACCCACTCGGAGACTTGGTAGACCAGGTCGTGGTGACGCAGAACAGCAGACCAGGCGTCCGCGGAAACATTCAAGAGATTCGGAAGGAAGCTGCAGTCTTTGACAAAGCTATTTGGTGTGCTTACCCTGCGTTTAGAAAAGAATTGTAGGTGAGGAGACACTTGGAATGGGATCGGAGACAGCAAGCGGAGGAGTCGAACGACGTCCAATAGGGGCGGGATTTCGGACTTGGCCAAGTGTACTCTTTCTTCTCGCGTTCGGATTACAGAAACTCAACCATGGATTGTCCGTGGGCAATGTGTTAAAAGATTGACCAAGTGTTATGTTCGCTTGATCCCTCTTACAGCGTTAGGAATGATGGAAGGCTAGAGGATATATTGAAATTACAGCAGGAGAGTGAGAGTGAACGAAGAGGGTGCTTGTTCGATCATTTGTCAAGGGAATATCAGGTGTGCGAGAGTAACAACATATTCTCGCTGATCTAAATGGTTCTAATATGTACAAATGATGCTGATGCAAGAAAAAAGACAATGGGGTGGTATATAGCGAATGTGTGTAAAGACAATACTCGCAATGCAAGAAAAACGAAACAGCAGGAACGATCAACCAATCATCCCAAGCTCAATAACATCTCTCCAGGAGATATGCAAGATGGCAGATGCGAAAAACAACGCTTAAGAGTACTCCCAAGCAGCAGGGGCAGTGCTGTCAGCAACTCTGAAAGCAAAGCCAGTGCAAGCAGTAGCATTCTTGGCAATGGCAGCAGCGTAAACCTCATAGTGGTCATCAATGGGGCAAGCAAAGAAGTCCTGGCCCTGGAACTGGATGTGCTGGCCTTCCTGAGCAATGCTGAAGCCAGTGGAAATGGCACCAGGACCGGTGTAGGCAGAGTGAGGGGTAGTGAAGCCGAGGCTACCGTCAGCGGCAACAAAGACCTGCTGGCCACCGGGGACAACGGTGTCAAGGCTGAGGGTGTTGTCGCCACCGACGAACTGGGTGGAGGTGGTGTTGGAGCAGGTGACACCCTCGACATCAGGGCAGTAGGTCTCGGTGTCCTTCAAGAGCCAGAACTTGGACTCCGCGGCGTTGACAGAGGCGTATTGGATCTCGGAGCCAGAGTGGATGGCGAGACCGCCAAAGGCACCGGCGGGAGCGGCACGCTCGGTGACGGGTGCGGCGAAGGCAGGGAGAGCAAGAGCGAAGGTGGTGAGAACGGCGGAGGTCTTCATGTTGATAGTTGTTGTGGGTTGGTGGTGGTTGTTGGTGAAGTGAGGTGTTGTAGTGATTGAGTTGTTGAGATGAAGTGGAAGTGTTGTGATGATGGAGATGAATTGGGAGGTTGAGCAGAACTCTTATAAATCCCTCGAGGGAGTGTTTGTATTCTGTGACGACACGGATGTGACCTACCTCTGCCTCTAAACTCACATAGAGATCTACATCAGATACGAAAATTGTTCTAAAATCAGAAAATGAGAATAGAAATGCATAGGGCAAGATAGATGATGTGCAAACCGTCGGTTGATGGTTGCAGAGCCGGTCCGACACCCATCAGAGTCTAAATGATGTCGGCCAAGGAGGTAAGGCCGTTTGACGGGGTGCGCCTAAGCTTATTGAGCCTTCCGGAGATATGGTGCTGAACATGCGACACTCCTTGTTACATGAGGTCGCTGACTTTTGTAGTGACCGGAAGTGATGAGTCAAGGCACTCAGACATTGCGCTTACCGCTGTACAGTAAAATGATGTCGAAATTGAGCATGATTGGCGGTATGGTCTTCCGTAGCAGGTCAGAGGCCCTCTTCCGAATTATCCAGTGTTTGAGTTTTGCATTGAGCTTGGCAACTTGTGGATGAAACCTGGGGGTCCATTGCTAATAATAGCACATTGACCGCCTCCACCTTTACGGGCCGGTCTTCTTCCACCTAGGTGATGAGGTTTTCTGGCATGACGATTTTCGTAGACTGTGCACCTGTTTAGCGACGTAGTACTGGTCTTGTTGAGTAACTAGGGGATGTGGTCTGATATGGAAGCACAAGTGCCATGGTAGCGGGGGCGACGTCGCATCGGATGAAAACGTCTTCAGAGATCTTCGTCGGGATTGAGGGTGCAATGTAAGGCAAGACAAAGCATAGCGCGTGAGTGGTCCTCTGATGACGATCCTCCTTGTCCATGCTTTGAGTGATTATAGGGAAGAGCAGTGTCAGTGACGGCCTTCACAGATGATGCATTGCAACGCTGGACGCCGGGATCTGTGAACAGCACCAGCAAGTTGAAATTGGGTGCGTGCGTAGAGTACCGGCATGTTTTGTGATAGCCCTGGTGTGGGGCAGGAACGCAAGTGATATGATCATCGGTCGCTGTCCACGGTGGTCCATATCAAAATACGAGAGGCCAGTGCTGGCCCAGGCTAGCACTATAGCCGACTGCATTCTTGAGGGTCGATTGTGCGACGTGCATGGTCGCATCAGGTCGATGCCAACAAGCAGATATGGCCATGATCCTGAATAAAGCGGGAATGGTAGCAGCAAGATTAGGACAATCAGCTGGTTTTGATGAAGATTTGATGGTAGCGCAAGTAGTGACTTCGTAGAGCACCTCGATCAAGCTGAAGGAATACAGAGCGCAAACTGCAAGCAACCTCTGTCAGAGCATTCTCTCGTACTCATCAGCGAATGGAGTTTCTCAAGAGTATTCTGCATTCTTAGCTTTGCAAACATGTAGACAAGATTACTGATGGATACCAGAGAAGTGCATTGAGTATTGAGTAGATAGTGAAGCTCCCGGTTGCTGAGGAGCTGAGGAGCTCACGGTTAGCGGAGATAGCGGCGGAGTTTAGCTCTGCCAAGGCATTTTCCTGCCTCCGGCGCAAGAAATTCTGGGAAGGCGCGACCAGAAAAGTCACCAGCGAAACCATCACAGTGACCACTTTTTGCACGCCCCTTTCGGAATGACTGTTTAAGAGGAGGAAATATACTGCAACACAAACATGGCAACCTCAGCGAACCGCACCGTCCTCGCCGAACGACCAACCACAGCACCAACAAAAGCACGCGGGCCCACAGCGCCCATCGACCCAGATGCCACCGAGATCAAGAGACGCGCCCTCGTCGCACAAAAGCAGTATGGAAGAGGAGATAAGATCTCGACCCGCGGCGTGCAAGATCGAAAACTGCGCGGCAATCTGAGAGCGTTGGAGAACAAGTACAAGGACGCCGCCGTCCAGGCAAAAGACGCCGAGATTCTGCTCGAAAACACGAGTGGCTTCCTGGAGACCGAGGGCGAGCTCGAGAGGACATACAAAGTCAGGCAGGATGAGATTCAGAGCGAGGTCGGCATCGAGACGGCAAAGAAGGGCTTTGAGTTGAGGCTGGACGGCATGGGTCCTTACAATGTCGACTACACGCGCAACGGTGTGCACATGCTGCTCTCGGGTCGCAAGGGTCACGTCGCCACCATGGACTGGAGAAAGGGCAAGCTGGGCTGCGAGCTGCAACTAGGCGAAACCGTGCGCGATGCAAAGTGGCTGCACAACAACCAGTTCTTCGCCGTCGCCCAGAAGAAATACGTCTACGTCTACGACCACCAGGGTGTTGAGATCCAGACGCTGCAAGACCATATCGACGTCACACACATGGAGTTCCTGCCCTTCCATTTCCTCCTCACCACCATTGGAAACGCCGGCTGGTTGAAGTACCAAGATACCTCGACCGGCAAGCTCGTCGCTCAGATTCCTACAAAGCAAGGTGCACCCACTGCCTTTGGCCAAAACCCTCACAACGCCATCCTACACGTTGGACATCAGAACGGCACAGTCAGCATGTGGTCTCCCAACGACCAAAAGCCCCTCGTTAAAGTCCTCGCCCACAGAGGCCCCGTGCGCTCACTGGCTATGGATAGAGAAGGCCGCTACATGGTCTCCACCGGTCAAGACTCCAAAATGTCCGTCTGGGACGTCCGCATGTTCAAAGAGGTCAACAACTACTTCTTGCGTTCTCCTGGCTCTTCCGTCGCCATCTCAGACACAAATCTTACAGCCGTGGGCTGGGGCACTCAAACCACAATCTGGCGCGACCTCTTCAAANAAAACGTTGCTGACCAACAAAAAGTCCAATCGCCGTACATGGCCTGGGGCGGCGAAGGCAACCGCATTGAGCGCGTTCGCTGGTGTCCCTATGAAGATATCCTCGGTATCTCGCACAATAAAGGTTTCTCCTCAGTAATCGTCCCTGGTGCTGGAGAAGCCAACCCTGACAGCTTGGAAGTCTTGCTCTACGAGAACCCCAAGCAGAGACAGGAACGCGAAGTCAAGGCTCTCCTCAACAAACTGCAACCGGAGATGATTTCGCTCGATCCAGAGTTCATTGGTCAGCTCGATCGCGCATCCCATGCCCAACGCGAACAAGAAAGAGATCTGGACAGAAAACCCGAAGACCCGTTTGCCAAGATCAAAAACAGGGGTAGAGGCAAANACAGCAGTTTGCGCAAGTACCTGCGCAAGCAAGGCTCCAAGAACATCATCGACGAGCGCAAAGTCAGGATCCAGGAACTCAGAAAAGAGCAGGCCAAGAGGAATAACAAGGCTAGACAAGGCGAGGTCGAGCTGGGGCCTGCACTTGCGAGATTTGCCAGGAAGGCTTGAGTGTGAGATGATATCAAAGCATTGTTCGGTGTTGCATGTCACATATATGGCGCATGTTGGTGTTCAGGGGTTCAGGGAAAAGTGCAAGACATCGGTTGGCGTTTTGGGTTCTGTACATGTGTAGTGGCTGCACGAGGTGCAGAGACGAATTCGATATTGTCATCGTAATGGCAGACATATTGCCGCATGCTCATGATCCACCCCACTGGCACACATTGTGGTCAAGTCATCGTTCTTTTGCATACCATGTCATGTGGTTGCCTCCTAAAGTATTAGACTGTCTCTCCGTGACACCCTCACCCATAGCGCTTGGTTGTGCTAAACCCTCCGCTAGTCGTCTTTAGCAACTCATCAGCGTACCTGGCACCTAGACCACTCTTCCATGCGTGACGACTTCCCCGACGTGCTCGATCCCCGGCTCTTGGACAAGCTCAACGTAGGCTCGCATGACTGAGTGCGAAAAGGCCTTTATGAACGAAACAGAACACAGAAATCGATTCTTCATGTGCCTCGCACTTGCAGTCGGATCCTTAAGTCACCGGGCCTGTTCTAATCCCTCGACTACAACGACCATGACCATCACAAGTATGGCAGTTGCATCAGCGAAAAAAATGTCAATCAAGTCTCATGACCACACACACAACTTCCCCCAAATCCAGTCGGAAAAGCAAACACCCATCACCATCGCTCTACCTTCTACGTAGATCTCCGTAACCCCAAATCCTCACTGATAATATCAGCCCCATGTTCAGCAACCGCATACACCGTTGCCAGAATATTTCCTCTCGGAATAATGGGGATGATACTCGCATCCACGATCCTGAGGTTTCTGACACCTTTGACATTGAGATGGGAATCTACTACGCTGCCTAGAGAACATGTGCCACAAGGATGGTAGTTTGTCATTGCATGATCTCGCGCAATTTCCTTGGCGTTGGTGAGGGTGTCGGTGGTATAGCCCTCTGGAAGCCTTCTGCCCCGNGGTCTGATGTACGATGCCAGCGGTTCTGTGTTTGCAAGCTGTTCTAGCACCTTGACGTGTCGAGCATGTATCTCCGAGTCTACGGGGTGCGAGTAGTACTTGAAGTCGATCTTGGGTGCAGACTCAGGATCTGTGGAGGTAATGTGGACGTTCCCAGCGGAGAAGGGATGAGATAGCATGGAGTTCAAAGTGACAAACCTGCCATTCTCCGAACCGACTTGAGCTTTTGTGCTGAGGAATGTTACGGCCGTTGCTTCATCGGCAGACTCGATGGTCTTTCGGATGACATTGTTGCGTTTGCGTGTAAATGGTGAATTTCTCTCATCGTCATCGAAATGCTGGTCGAGTATCTTGTTTAGCTTCTCCGACTCTGCTGAGTCTAAGAATGGTGCGAGTGGCGTGTAGGAAAACATGTAGGCGCCGTTTTGGGTTAGAGGCCCGGATCGATGCTCCTCGTATAGTTTGCGTGCTTCCTTGATGGGCGGTTTCGTCAGTAATGGAAAGTCGTCGGTGACTTCGAAGGAGACCCATGCTCGGATGTGGTCTTGCAGATTCTCTCCCACAGTTGGGTTGGCGTGGATGACGTTGATACCGTGCTGCTCAAGGATACTCGGATTTCCTATACCAGATAGCTCCAGAATTTGTGGCGTGTTGAACGCACCAGCGGCAAGTATGACATCCCTCTTAGCCACGACTTTATGCAAAACGCCATGCTGTGAGTACAAAATCCCACTGACTATTGGTCCAGTGTTGTCGTCATTATCAACGACGAGTCTATGAACCAATGCATTCTTGACAATCGTCAAGTTTTTCCGCTCGAGAACCGGATCCAGATATGCGACTCCTGCATGACTGCGCTCATGGCTGGACCCAGTAACATGGCAAGTCGATATATGCCCACCAATAGCATGTCCACCCAATGGATCGCTAACATTCTCCAAACCCAAGTTTTTGAACGTGTCAAGCCAAAGTTCATGGAGAGCAGACACTTGCTCAGGAAATGAAGTCTAAATGGGCCCACTCGACTTCCAGATAGTTTCGTCATCATGTATGATGTGTATCTTCTTTCTCACATCCTCATTCGGCGGCACAATAGTCTGGAACTTGAGAAAACATGACGCTAAAGTATCTCAATCCCATCCCTCATTCCTCAATTCTGCCCAAGCATCCATCCCCAAAGCCGAGGGATAGATAATCGCCAGTGAGTTTATCGCACTACTGCCACCTACGACACGACCACGTGGATGCGACATACATCTGTCATTTATCCCAGCATCTGGCTCTGAAATGTATTGCCAGTCAAAGTCTGGGTTGTTCAAGACACTGCCTGCGAGTCCTGGTGTATAGATACGTGCATCGTTATTGCGGTCTTCCCCGGCTTCTAGAACGAGAATTGATATGTTTGGGTCTTCTGAGAGGCGGTTTGCTAGTACGCAGCCTGGAGTGCCAGCGCCGACGATGATGAGATCGTATGAGCGGGGTTCATGGTGTGCCATGTCGAAAGCAGATTCTTGATATTTGATGTTGATTACGTTGTGGGAATATGGAGTGTGACCGGGATTCTGAGAACGCATTCCAATGTAAGCGTGAAAGTCAGCGTCCAATCCTGATGACAAGGCACAGTGCTGCAAACATAAGCGTCAAGATATCTCTAACAGCTCTTGTTGCCACTTATCAAGTTATTTCGTATGCCTTGCTATCAGAGAGCAGAGAAAAGCAGTATAAACAGAGGCGAAAGCAAAATGATGTTCAGCCCTGATTTCAGTACAGTTGCATGCGTGCAGTGGGTTCAGCGCGGCGCAAAGAAAGGAGAGACAACAACAGGGAAGACAAACCGACTTGATGCCTAAGCCTTAAGCGAAGGACGGAGAATAACATCTGGCCGCCCAGTTAATCACACTTCGATTCCACCCTCTCTTATCAACGGCCATATATCTCGCCTGACTGCTCCGGGGGCCGGGCCGAGACCGCTAAGACGCCAAAATCCCTTACTGCAATATGGCCTGATATGTAGCGATAACAACATCCGGACCTATGTTCTTGGCGTTGCAGATGATGTCCAACTGCACGATGTATCCTCCGCTTATTCAAGCCTTTCGAATTACGTCTGAGAGTTTCCAGTTTGAGGCGCTTGGTCTGAATCCAGCTGCCACGACTCGAGGATACTCTAATGGATTTGTCTACGCTTGCATGGGCTTGAACCCTTCGTTGGTCACGTATGGATTTTGTGAGCCGTCTCATGGCTTGCATGTATTCCATATCCTCGAATCGGTCCTTTCTTGTAGCAACCATAATGATAGGTACATCGGCCACAAACTGCTGCTTCGCCTTCAGTAGTAACTTAGTAGCCGTCTGTGATGGACGATCACTCTGCGTGTGAATACACAGCTTATAGAATGTCAGAACAGTGGGAACAAGGGAAGTGGACGCAGAGAATCATACCAGATAACATGAAGCCGTTCCTGTAGAGAGTGACGGCAACCCCTCTCTCTAGAAAATCCTCGACTGCCTGAATCTGAGCTTCTGTGCCGGTCTCACAGCCCTTGGAATCATGTAAAATCAGAACCTCCCGCCCAGGATGAATAATCTCTTCGTTGATGTTATGCTCTCCTGGCTTCCTGTGGGAAGTACTAGTCTGATTAACCCGTCAGTTGTCCCGCTTTAACCTTCTTCTATACATACGTACCACTTGTTCATAGTCCGCGACGCCGAAGACTTGATTTGTCAATGTAGATTTGCCAAATCCGGCATCTGCACACACCAGGATGCGCAGAGATTTGAGCAGCAGATCATGTCTCGATTTCATTGGAGTCCAGGGCGCGATGTCCGTGCCGTTGACGGTCTGTCCCAACATCAAACGTCTCCATCGTTCGAGATTGGCGTAGCCGAGCATCTCGTTCTTGTTCACGGCCAAGGTTGGAAACATGTCGATGAAGTGATATACGGATGGATGGATGATTGTTCCAAACTGCGGTTCACAGCTTGGCTAATGACTCATGATATGGATGACCAGGACGGAGAGAAGAATCTTCCGTTGCAGCGCTTCAGAAACTTTCTCGTCGTCGATGATGCAGTGCTGCAGAGCGTTGCTTCAGCATCGTTCCCCAACGACACAGATGTTACAGCAAGAGAGAAAGTGGCGCCGTATGTCAAGGTCGTGGATGCTCAGCACCAGCGTGGAGCAAGACTTCCGCCAACGACATCTGCAAGATCTGGTCGGGACGTAGAACCAGCCAAGCTCTTCCCAGGCTACATGAGAGTATCCGTTCTGGAACTGCGCTTTATCTGGGAAAAGAACTTTTCCTATGATCTCCTGGTACCTTGTCCGAGAACTCTTAGCGATGGCGAGCCCGATTGGTCAAATCGACATAAAGTCTTCTAGCTGGAACACACCACTCTTACCTTTCGACCTTTCAGTTTGTGAGATCAACACTATTCGAGGAGTTGAACGCTCCAAGTAGTAAAGTCTCGCCAAGGGGATGCCATAAGGACCATCCCCACTGCCAAGGTATGCACCCCTCGTGTATAGCATTGACGTACGTATCAACACGCCCCTCGGGCTGCTCGGCCACCGTATATCACAGGGCGCCATCCAAGATGTGGGGATGATGTGTGTGGAGAGGGCATTGTAGCCATATATCACTTGCAAGGTTCGTAGACCTTGGCTTCCTTAGCATCTGACCATATTGAGTTGCTAGAGGAGGACGGCAGATGGCACGGCATAGCAAGTTCCATTTTGTAAGGCAAGTATAAGTATAATGTGTTCTCCGTCGTCGTGATGGGTCTGTGGTCAGGACTCAAGCCAAAAAGATGTATACGCACTTTCCTTCAAGCAACAAGCTACTCATTTCCGCTCTCCTCTTATCACCCCTCTCCTTAGCAGCCNCTTGTTCATCATGTAACGCCACGCCTTCTATCGTATCGAACTCGACGATCCTCCCATACCTTAACCCTCAACTCTGCATACAAGACCGCCTTGACGACCTCCTCTCTCGCATGGCCCTCGAAGAGAAAGCCGGTCAACTTTTCATCAAACAGATCCCCGCTGTCCCCAACGGCACAATCGACAACACAACCACTGTTCTAGACGGCAACAGAAATCTCACCACCGCACCACTGATAACCGAGAAATTGCTCTCGCACTTCAATGTCAACAATGCGAGAACAGCAAAGCAAATGGCAGAATGGCACAATGCAATCCAAAGAGTTGCCTTGGAGACTCGCCTCAAGATCCCCGTCACCATTGCCAGTGAACTCAGACATGCGTTTGCCGACACGGTTGGGAGTTCCTTCGCGAGTGGCCAGTTCTCGAAGTTCCCGGAGAGTTTGGGTGTCGCAGCTTTGAGGGATCCGGTGCTTGCTGAGCTTTATGCAACGATTGTCAGGGAAGATTACTTGGCCGTAGGTATCAGGAACGCCCTGCAGCCAAAGATCGACGTGGTGACCGAACCACGTATGGCTAGGAGCAGGCAAACTTTTGGCGAAGATGCGAGCTTGACTGCCTCGATGGTGGTCGCCCTGATCAAAGGCTTCCAAGGCCCTGAACTGGGATCGCACTCTGTGACCACAGTGACAAAGCATTTTCCTGGCGCTGGACCCGCCAGGAATGGTAACGATTCGCACTTCGCAACGGGCAAGGACAATACTTATCTTGACGATTTCCTCGACTATCATTTGATTCCATTCAAAGCGACCATCGCGGCAGGAGGACGTCAAATCATGCCTTCTTATGCTCGTCCCATTGGCACCAAATACCCAGAAGTAGCTTTTGGATTGAAAAACCCCATCATCACTGGCTTGCTGAGAGAAGAGCTAGGGTTCGATGGCATCGTGGTCAGTGACTGGNGGTTAATCACCGATGCAGCAATCATGGGCGTGGTAGAACCAGCACGCGCTTGGGAAATCGAAAATACCACCGAGCTCGAACGAGCAAAGATGGTCCTCGACGCTGGTGTCGATCAGTTCGGCGGCGAAATCCGTACAGAACTGCTCGTTCAACTCGTCAGGGAGGGCCAAATCCCAAAACCGCGCCTAGACGTTTCTGTGCGCAAACTGCTACAGGAGAATTTCTTACTCGGTCTCTTCGACAACAGATTTGTGGATCCAGAAGCTGCGGATAAAGTGGTTGGAAACGCATACATCGCACGTATCGGCAACGAGACGCAGAGACGCGCCTACACGCTTTTGACGAATCAGAATGATATCTTGCCTCTACGCCCTCAGAACGGCGTGAAATTTTATGCTCAAGGTTTCAACACCTCATACCTCGAAGCCCGCAACTTGACCGTCGTCGCCTCACCTTCCGAAGCAGACTTCTGTTTCCTTCGGCTCAGCACACCCTGGGAGGCGCGCGGCTCACCCTTCCGCCAACAATATCACGAAGGCCGTCTCGACTTCAACGCCACTGAGAAAGTTGCTCACTCCGCTCTTTTGAACACTTGCCCCACGATCGTGGATATCCTTTTGGATAGGCTTGCAGTGATTCCAGAAATTGCCGAGGAGGCTGCGGCACTGTTTGGTCATTATGGAGCTAGTGTTGATGCGTTTTTGGATGTTGTGTTCAACAAGGATGGGTGGAAGCCAGAGGGAAAGTTACCTTTTGATTTACCAAGGAGTATGGAGGCTGTGGAAGGGCAGGTTGCCGATGTGCCTTTCGATACAGAAGACCCTGTGTTCGAGTTCGGGCATGGATTAAGCTATAGTAGATCTGCATTATGTGCATGAATGTTGAAGATAGTCCAATATTTGAATTTCGATGGTTTTCATATATGCTTGCTCTAACTTGAGGAAAGGTTGCTGTATAGACTGCCCCATTGTTGGTCAATCAAAGAGGGAGAGCGGGTTGCTCGTGGCCACCACGAACTTTACTGTGTGACTTCAAGACCGCACCAAATGCTGCATCAAGAATCTGAAGACCCTCCTCGATCTCGTCAGCAGATACAGTGACAGGTGGTGCTAACCTGAAGACACCACCCATACCAGGAAGGTTCACAATATTGCATGAAAGACCGAGAGCCATGGCCTTGTCAGAAACCGCTTGACCGATATCGAGACCTGGCGCCTTGGTCTCGGGATCCGATATAATCTCGATACCCTGGAAAAGACCACGTCCACGAACATCTCCAATGCACCAATACTTCTCTTGAAGCTTCTCTAAACCGGCCCGAAGTTGGGCGCCACGTTCCTGAGCCCGCTGGCAGATATTGTCGCGCACCACAATTTCGAGAACTTTATCTCCGACTGCAGCTGTGAGAGGATCGTTGAGGTGAGTGGTAAGCCACAAGAAGCGCGATTCTCGACATCCCCTTTCGATCTCTGCGGTTGTTGTCACAGAGGCTAGAGGCAAGCCACAGCCAAGTGTCTTGGACAGTGCGAGGATATCTGGCACGATTTCGTCCCTTTCGAAAGCGAACATCTGACCAGTTCGGCCAACGCCAGTTTGTGCTTCGTCGAGGATAAGGACCATACCTCGCTTCTTGCATTCTTCGGCCATACGTTTGAGGTATCCAACTGGAGGATCGAGGATACCGCCAGTAGAGAGAATTGGTTCCATGATGAAGGCGGCCAATGAACCGACACTTTGTCTGTCGATCATAGCCCAACCCCATTCCAACTCGGTTTCCCAATCGTATGAGCCGTCGGCCTTTTTGAACGGCGAACGGTAAGCGTATGGTGCAGGGAAAGCCAGCTGACCAGGCATTGCCGGACCGCCAAATTTGCGTCCAGCTGAGTATGTGGCAGATCCAGAGCCTGAAGTAAGTCCATGATAACTTGCAGTGAAAGCGACGATTTCAAACTTTCCGGTGTAGCATTTTGCCATCTTGATGGCGGCTTCTGTAGACTCGGAGCCAGTGTTGAGGAAGAATGACTTTTCCAATGGCGCCGGCAGAAGACTAGCCAGGCGTACAGCAAGGCTCACTACTGGCTGTGTGATCATGTTGCTGAGCAGGTGATCGAGCTCGCCAACGTACTTTCGGACAACTTCGACGATCTCCGGATGAGAGTGTCCAAGAAGCGAACTCATCTGACCAGAGGTGAAGTCGAGGATTGATTTGCCGTCTGCATCGTATAGTCTTGTACCTTGAGCCTTGGAGATGATGACTGGCGAGAATGGGACACCGGTGTGCATGAGATGCTTGTCGGCATTATCCCAGAAAGTGCTTTCGGCAGTGGGTTCGGTCTTAGAGATCATGTTGAAGTGAGGGGGATCTATTGGATGGAGAGACGATACTCTGCGAAATATTGAAGCAGTATGTTAAAAGGTCAAGCTCACAAGACTTGACCCATCACATATAGGGAGGTGCTATCGCCGCGGCGGTCCATTACTTTGCCGCGGGAAACTCAGGCGCGGAAAACTCGATAATCTGAATGTCGGGAGATACGGGCTTGAGCAACAGCTCATGATAGGAGAACCGATGTGGGTCTGAGCATAGAGATAGCAGCGCATGTCCCGCAACTCATTTTCGACCTCAAATGCGAACGCATACCTCGATACGGGGCGGTCGGTTGTTTTTGTTGTAGCTGTCAAAGGAAGGCGCCCCTCGTGTGTGGGGTCTTGGTGGAGTCCGAAGTTATCCCACACAGGAAGCTGTGATTTTTGTCTTATCTTCGAGCACCTACAACGTATCTATGAGATTGTCGTCGGAGCCGGCATGGAAGTCGCGAATGCCTTGGAAGACAATCTGAGTGTCCTAATTGACTCTTTCCACTCGCGTCGAGCTTTCTGCTTCCAAGCTGTCAAGCTGTCATGCAAACCTCGAACCAGGGTCGTCCCTACCGCTCACATCTCAGACCCGCCTGCGATGCCTGTCGCCGCCGCAAGTCCCGCTGTACGACAACAGAATCATCCGACACGTGTTTGATGTGTCAAGTCCATGGTTCACAATGCGTCTTTGTCGATAGTGACCAGTCGCGTCGTCGAAAGGTGCCCACTTCACATGGCCGTGCATCAAGCTATGCAGAAAGTGGCGGGAGCAATATCGACCATGATGATACTTCCATATCGATGGCATATCCAGAGGAAACTCACGCTCACAATGCTCTGTCTGATGACCAGAGTTGTCCCCGCGGACCAGCAATTTTGGTAGATCCAGGTCGTCCACACGGTTTGGCCATTACCGGCTCGACCGAAGAAGCCAGCATGAGCGCCATGCTCGCCGAGTCGGGAGACTCTAGCACACACATCATCAGTCCTGCGATAGTCGATGACAACCAAGAGCTCGATAGTTACCTATCGAGCAATCCAGCTGTCGGTATACGAAGGATTACTCGTACTTCATCAACGAGTGCGAACATGGGCCCACCTTCGAGACGTGTCCTCTTCAACACAGTCCTCAGGAAGCCGCTCGGTATACACGCGAGGCAATCGCTTGCCGCCAGCAAGCTTGAAGTTATTGAGAAACTACTCGAGCCACATGGCACGGTTTTGATTGATCTGCATGTCACTTGTGCTTTGCAAANNTATCCCTGAAAAATGCTAATAGNNGCGTTTAGGTTCTTCGAAAACGCCAATGTTTGTTTTCCCATCCTAGACGAGACCTCGTTCCGAAGAACATACTCTGAACACAAGGACCGGCTCTCCCCTGCTCTCTTGGCCAATCTGTACGCCAATGCGATGACGTATTGGAACAACTCACCACAACTACGTTCATGTCATCCTCCGGATCATCGATTCATATGGGTACAAGCCAATGAGGCGCTTCACTCCGAGCTGTTTCTTTCACCTGGCATCTCGACCGTCATATCTATCATATTGAACGTTCATGGCAGACCAAGCACCTCAATGTTTGGCAATGGAGGAATGGTGGGAACGGCCGTAGCAGTCTCAAACTCTCTGGGCCTCAACCGCGATTGTGCAGCATGGGATATCAGCCCGGGCGAGAAGGCCTTACGAGCCCGCATCTGGTCAATCGTCGTACTGATGGATCGATGGTGCGCACCAGAACAGACAATTAGGTTGATCCATGATACTGATATAATTTGCAGGACAAGTCTTGCCTATGGCACACCATTGTTGATTCATCGTGCTCAGTATGATGTGCCTGTACCCAGCAAGGAGCAACTCGCTCAATTCCATGTATCAACAGCGCAGCATGCTGGGCTGTCTGTTTTCTTGGCCATATTGACTTTGACAGATGTTTTGTCGCACTACCTCGAACACGTTTACTGCATATCACGGATTTCTCCCACTGATCGACCACTCACTTCACCTTTTCATCTCGAAACGCTCTTGACAGACTGGGAAGATACTTTAGAAGACGACATACGACGACTTGTGATCAGAGGAAATGATCTCGATCGAGCAGGGTCAGGCAATCTCAGACTGTCCTATCTCGCGGTCAAGCTCTTACTCCGTCGCATTTTGTGTGACACAACCACTGCCTCGACAGAAGACGTGAGCGCAGTGCAAGCCCGCCTGCAAACTCAGAGAGTCGCGGAAGAGATTGTTCTGCTTGTACAAGAGCTGAAACAATCTCACCTCAGGGGATTCTGGATGCCGTCCAATGGCTTCACCCTCACTTCGGCGACCTTGTTTCTGCTACGAGACGCATTGAAAGCTAGCAACAGGACACGCAACACATCACTCAAGCTAGCCAAAGACATGATGTCAAGTCTGCAGACCCACCGTAACAACGACGCTTGGGATCTGGCAGATGATTGCTTAACGAATTGTACAGACATGACTGACAGAATTGAGGCTGGAAGGACTCTCGAGTCACCTGGGATGATTGAGTCTCAATACTTCATTGATAACAACTCTCTCATGTTCAACGATCCAGTGCTGGGCTTCGCAAGCGCTTTCGACTTGGATCTTGAAAATTTCCAATGGAACGAAACTACATGATGAAAAAGTCAAGATTTGCCGGATGACGCATCTTCAAGATACATGACGGGCAGCAAAAGTCTTCTGCAAACATCCACACAGGACATTCACTGTGAAACTCGATCTGATTGCTTACTCTGAACGCATGGATACCTCATCTACCACAAGATCTTGGTCCACTGACTCGAACGTCCAGCCAGCAAATTTTCTTGCCAGCATAAGTCGTTGGTGACCCCAGGCCTCATGAATATCTAACAGTTTCAATGTCTTGATAGCAACATCACCCCGCTCGATTCGAAAACCCCATTCAATTGCTAAAATTGGGCGCACCACTTTGGTCATAAGACAGTCTGGAATGTATGTCAAGAAGCTCCAGCTGGTCCAGTCCAAGTCTATCCTGTCTGCCCTGTACGGGGCATCGAAGAGTCGCGGCTCCGCGCCGAAATAGATCAGAGGATTGTTGAGGTCGATTGTTATAGGGATCAGGTCCAGCTCCCACTCGGCGGGGTTGAATGTCGTTGACTGCGAGCTCAGCGGAGCTTCTCGGACTACTTGTATCCATCCGTACATTGAAGCATAACCGAAGTCCATGAGCGAGTCAATTCTGGCACTGCAGAATGGAAAGTCGACAAAGGTGTCGAGAGGTTGTTCTGGAAATAGAAGGCTGCTGCCTGTTTTTACTGGATCTTTGTTTGGTCCTACAGTGATTTGAATCGATGTCGAGTGCCGTCGAGGAACCACAAAAGAGCGAGACAAAGACTGAGTATGCATCGAAGCGGCCGAGCCGGACGTCATCATGTCAAGATTCAAGATAAAGCGCGTGGCAACGATATGAGAAGATGATATTATTCATGTAAAATTGGATTCGACAAAGGTAATGCTCAAACTCCACAGAGACATGTCGTTGACCAAAGATGGGACTTTAGGCACCAAGATGCGGGGATACATCTACGTACGCGTGACCTGATGCGTCCAGCGAATCAAGAATCGTCGGGCGGGACCAATCCCGCATGTGAAGTCTTTTGTCCATCACGACTGAGAACAGAAGTCCTGCTTTAGTCGACGCAAGATCTTCTCATTATATCATACACATAACGCCTCAGTACACGTACTTCAGGCACAAGATGGTTAGCGAAGTCCTTTTGCAGAAATTGAAGACGGGAAGTTACCTTGAAACTTGGATTGTTGAGATCAGTCTCGTCGTTGAGCGCTCGCAGCTGTCCTTCGGCAACACGCTCTGCCGACAGTGCATTCTCAGCAGCTCGTCTGCGATTCCGGGTCAGGAATAGCAGATACAAGCCCAGAATACTGAGCATCTGGATGCCAAGGCAGGTCAACATCATGCCTACACCAAGCTCATACCGTGGTGCTTGAGCCTTGCGGAAGAAGAATGGTCCTATGAAGTTTCCTAGGCAGTAGCCGACTAGAAGCATAGCAGCACTCGTGGACTTCTTGGTGTGTCCGGCGGTATTGGCTGTGACGACAGACATGGAGAGGGTCCATGTGGCAGTGTAAGTGAATGTGATCCACAAGCACACCATGCGGCCCCAAGGCACACTCGAGGGCAATGTCCACATTCCGATGACGCCAGCTAGTGTTGGCAACAGACAGACGAACATGGTGAGCAGCCTTGCGTTCTCAAAGGATGAGGCGACGAAGGTTGCAGCCGTGCAAACCACAAACTGAATTGCACCCGAGGGCATCTGGATCAGCGTGGTCTGCAGTTTCGAGAAACCAAGACCGCGAATGATGAGACCTTGGAAGGTGGTGAGACCTCCATTGGGCGCGTTACTGCTTACTGCAAAGATGAAGAGTAACCATGTCTTTGTATCTGTTAGCGTCTCCACCATCTGACTCTTCTTGAAAGTCTTTTCTTCCAGGCCAGTCCCGTTCGCTTTGACGCGTTGAGTCACACCCATCTTTTCGTCCTCGGAGAGAAACTTGGCCGTAGCGGGGTTGTCTGGCAGAAATAGAAGTACAACAACACCCCAAGCAATGGTGATGCATCCCCAGATGAGGAACGTGTATCGCCAGCTAGACAGGGCGCCGCCAATATGACCGATGCCAAAGCTCGTGATGCCAGCAACGACATAACCAAGTCCGGCGCAACCAATCCAGATGCCCAGACGCAGAGGCTGTTCTCTACGAGTATACCAGATACTGAACATGACCATCGTCACTGGCTGTATGCATGCCTCAAAAACGCCTAGGAAGAATCTAGCGGTTGCCAGTCCAGCGAAGTTGAAGCCTGCCGCATGACAGGCCAATGTGATGCCCCATAGGATAACNCTAACTGCCGTTAGTAACCTTCTAGCACTAATGACATGTGTCGGGCAGTTACTGACAGACGTGCCTAGGAACTTTCCAAGCGGAAACCTCTGCAGCAGGTACGAAGTTGGCCATTCCCAGAACATGTACCCCAGATAGAAAATGGCGCCGAGCCATGAGAATTCGGTTCCGGATAGATGGGTTTCATCCGCNCTGCATCACGAGGTGTAAGCCGCTTTGAATTGAACGCAGACATGGATATCAGTGACACTCACGAGCCCAAAGACGGCAGCGTATGACAAAGTTGTCTTGTCGATTGATTGTAACGCGTAAGTGATACAGNNCTGAGCAACGTCAGTGATATTGTCAAGACAAAGCTGACCTGAAGAGATGACCTACAGGATTGGCATCAAGCGACAGTCGATCTTGAACAAAAGCTTCTTGTCATCAACAGCTGACAGAACTTCGCCTGTCTGAGTGGCGTCGTATATGGTGGTCTCATGTCGAAGAGTCTTGAGATCCAGATCTACGGCCTCTTCCTTGGTGGACCGTCGTGACAGTCTGGACTCCATAGTGCGTGATGACTTGTAGAATTCCGTGGTATACTCATCCCGACAGTCTGCACGACCCACGCTCTTTATACATATCTAGGCGGTTCTAGTCATGCCTGTGATCGGAAATCCTCGAGTACGTCTTTCCTCGGACAACGTTATCTTCTTGAAAGCCGAAGGATTGCTATCGGGAACCTGTCGAAGGCATGCCTCCGACCTATCATGAGGGGTCTTGGCCAGGTTTGAGAAGGATCAAGTCCCGTAACTCAGGGTCTGAGGTATATACCGATAGGCCAAGGCAGATAAGAGCAAAGCAAGTGCGGGGTTGAGGCGGGGACTGCTTGCCTATCTCGAGTTTCCCGCGGGCCTCCGCTCGCCGAGGCCACTATGCAGTTGCCCGATAGGGACAGATACAGCCATTCATCATCCACCTACATAACATCTGCGACTGCATCTTGCATCTTGCATCTTGCAGGAAGTCACATAGCACTATCGCGATGTCGGAAAACAATAGAGTCCATCCATATCAACTCCTTGACATCGACGAGCGAGTCAAACGTGTGCTACTCAACACGCCACTTGCAGATGGACACAACGACCTTCCCCAGCAACCACGATGCTGTTTCAAAGGCAAGATTCACAACAATCCCAAATTCAATCTCGAAAAGGGCTTCCAACGTGGCATGACCGACTTGCCACGTCTTAAANAGNGTGCTGTGGGTTTGCAGTTCTGGTCAATCTGCGTACCCCATCTTCGTGGTTCTGAGGACTTTGCTTTGCCCAGATATAACGACATGTGTCGTGATGCGATTGAACAGATTGATCTCTCCATTCGAATGGTCAAGCAGTATCCTAAGGACTTTGAACTTGTCTTTGGGCCAGATAATGTCAGAGAGATATATCAGCAGGGAAAGATTGCTTGCTCGATTGGTTTAGAAGGGCTACATCAAGCTGGCAACTCCATCAGTGTTATCAGAGCTTATCATCAACTGGGTGTGCGCTACGTGAGTAAAGCCTTCATTGATGGCTTGCCTGTGGCTAATGGAATAGNNTGCACCATGACACATGTCGAGAACAACGCCTTCGCCGACTCTTCCACGTCCAAAGTAGGACCGGTCCATGGAGGGCTGTCGAGCCTCGGCAAAGCAGCAGTCAAGGAGATGAATCGATTAGGTCAGTGATGTCTTGAAGCAGCAATGGGCTGACGCAGTTGCCACAATGGTCACTGACAAAATCTCANNGGCATGATGGTAGATCTTTCTCACGTTTCACCAGAAGCAGCAGAACAAGCACTTAAGTGCACGGCCGCGCCAGTTATGTTCTCTCACAGTAACGCTCAAGGCGTCTTCAACTGTCCCCGCAACGTGCCAGATTTGGTACTTGACCTTGTGCCCGCCAATAATGGTATAGTGATGGTCACTTTTGTGCCAGAGCATCTTGCGGCTAGAAGGTCTCAGGCTACCATGGATATGCTTTTGGACCACCTGTTCTACATTGCCAACCGTATCGGGTGGGAGCACGTTGGCCTTGGATCAGACTTTGATGGTAAGCAAGAACCAACACTTCTGATAACAAAGTGTCAATCCATTGACACATACATCATAGGCATCGCGTCAGTCATTCCTGGTCTAGAGGACTGTTCCTGTTTCCCTACTCTACTAAAGGCAATCTTGGACCGAGGAGCCACAGAACAGCAGCTCGCGATGGTAGCTGGAGAGAACATTCTGCGGGTATGGACAGAGGTCTCGCGAGTTGCTCAGCACATGCAAGAGCAAGGAGTAACTCCTGTAGAGGACGTTTGGGAAGGTAGAGAGTTTTGGAGATATGATGGGTATTATCAGATGCCTGATCCTGACCCTGAGGATAAAATGGGTCTTGATTGGTATGGAGTCAAGCCTCCGGAGGAAGGGTTGTATCATGAGAAGTAAAGAACTATTCGTGGAGATGCTTCTAAGATGACAAGGACCTGATGAAAGGTGTTCAGTGGTAAAGCATGAAGCATAGAAGACCACCAGATAATGTGGAGTCAGGAAGTCTGGTTTGTCTCCTTGCTTTCTACCAATTTGAAAGATCACAGAACCTAGGTAGGTGAGCGAGTGCACAAGACTACCCATCTCGAACATCACGATAAGGTCTGTCCTGCAAAGCTTGCCCCTTTTACGAAAATTTGTGAACACATCCCTACATGCAGGCAAGAGGTGTAGAGGAAGTCACTTAAAGATGCAGGCCGCTTGATCTCATCCAGCAAAGTATAGTAGATAAGTAAAATCTTTTTAGGATCAGAGATTTAGCCATGGATGTCGATGAGTCCCTCATCTTCACGGTAGTGGTCATGTTTCCCAAATAATTCTGTCCTTCCTCAGTGAGATTACTCTGAGAGACTTCAAGATCGGAGGCCGAAGAAGTGAGGAATTGGAGGGCGTTTGAGCTACGTCGAATGTCGAGGGTCGTCACGTCAATTTTCTGCTTCCATCAAACAAGATCCACTCATCGCAAGCTCACGCGCTCAAATCACCTCCCGCGAGATGGGTCCCCTCTATACTGTCCCGCCACCGTTCGTTGGACTTTCAACCTTTCTTTTCGCTTTAAGCTGGTATGCCCTGTTTCTCTTCCAGTTCATATGGTTCTAGCACTGACACGCAACTGAAAGTGCCATCGAGGACGTCAAGTCGATGCGTCTACCAACGCTTTACTGCGCGCAACTCAGTCTCACAGCGGAGAGAATGACAATCAAAACGCTACTACGGAACTTTGCTCTCGCTTGAGCGTTACTTGCTGTGACTCATAAAAGTCGGGACGTGAATGAATAGAGAGTCGCAATAAAGAGGGGATAGTAGTGGTGAGTGAAATCTCGAGCTCCCTCTGGATCTTAATCGTTGCAAAACACCTTCATGCGATTCAATGGATCCTCTGGAGATGCTGCTGAGGACTGAAGATGGTCGAAATGGTAGCCATACATAGAGGCCCCATTGTGGAGAGTGACAAAAGCGAAACAAGAATATTCATCAAGATCGGAAGAGTCCAAATGTGCCCTATGACCCCGCACTCAACCTCCAACCATCGCGCCAACCTTGTCTTGACCACACCTTGCACACCTCCTCCCCGCACATCCTCGCCAATATTCGCCCAGACATGCCTGACTTGCCTGCACAATGAACACTAGGAAGCCATTGCCGGACTACCCCAAACGGCATAACCGCATCGGCAACCTGAATCGCAACAACGGACGGATGCCTTCGAACAGTAACCCAGACGACCATCCTTCGACCAAGACGTTGAACCATCACAAAGCTAATGCGATGATAAAGAAAACCTGGAGGTCAATCTGGAGACCCCATAATATCCCCGCATATGTCTATCATGTTCCATAAGCGAGCCAGCTTGAGTCGAACATATAAGGAGTTCGATCATCCTGTCCAACCCTCACACATCATCAGGCTATTTGGCTCTTGACTTTCCAATTGAACCACAGACCTTCAACATGGCAATCGAACTCAGAGGCAATGCTCTTATCTCCATAATCTTGCTAGCCTCCGGGCTCGACTTTCTTCTGTTCGGTTTCGATCAAGGACTCTTCGGAGGTGTCCTAGCTGGCGATGGCTTCAAGCGTATGCTCGGCAACCCGTCAGCTACTCGTACCGGGCTGGTCACTGCCATCTACGACATTGGCTGTGCTCTTGGTGCTGTCATGGCTTTCCTTGTTGGCGATAAGGTCGGCCGCAAGAGAAGCATTGTTTACGCCAACATCATCGTCATTATTGGAGCTGCCATCCAGACAGCCAGCTTTTCATACGCTCAGATGTGCGTTGCCAGAGTTATCGCTGGTGTTGGAGTGGGATTCTCCACTGTCGCTGTCCCGATCCTGCAGAGCGAGACGCTACCTAGTCGCAACCGTGGTGCTGTAAGTATCGTTCTGTCTGTCTCCAATCCACATCGAGCAAAGCTAATGGAAACTGTAGNNCTTCTCGTCGTTCAATCAGCGCTCATCATCATTGGCGTCGCTCTGGCTTCTTGGCTATGCTTTGCCACTCTCTATTCAACATCAAGCTTCCAATGGCGCTTTCCTATCGCTTGTCAGATGCTTTTCTCTGGTATCGTTCTTTGTCTTACACCATTCCTGCCCGAGACGCCTCGCTGGCTTGCCGAGAACGGTCGCACCGAAGAAGCTCGCCAAATCCTTGCTCGCCTTGAAGACAAATCCATCGAACACTTGGATATCACAAACCAGCTCAATGAGATCTGCGAAGTCATTGCCATCGAGCAAGAGGCTGGAGACGCGACGTGGGGCGAGGTCTTCACCAACTCGACAAAATCGAGGAACTTGCACCGTGTTCTCCTCGGCATGGGTCCTTACATGATGAACCAATGGTCAGGAATTAGTACGTCTAGCATGTGTTTTTCGGCTAACAATTAGAACGCTCGCTGACCTCTCCTACCAGATGCCCTTTGCTACTACCTCGCATACATTCTCGAAAACTACCTCGGCTACAGCCCAAGTATGGCTCTGATCCTCGCCTCTGTTGCTTTCACCCAATACGCCGTTTTCTCCTGGCCTCCATACTTCTACATCGACCGCCTCGGCCGCCGCTGGACCGTCATTTTCTCCAGCATCGGCTGCGCAGCATGCATGGCTATCATCGCCGGCGCCCTCGTCAACCCCACCCACACAAACTCCATCGTCGCCGTCGCCTTCATGTTCCTCTTCATGGACTGCTTCACCCTCGGCATCCTCCCCGTCAGCTGGTCCTACTCTGCCGAAATTCAACCTCTGCGTGTTCGCAACAAGGCAACTGCAGTGGGTGTTTTTGGCCACTGGATGAGCAATTTTGTGGTTGTCATGGTGACGCCTATTGGATTGTCTAATATTGGGGGCAATTACTTTTGGGTGTGGGCGGTTGTGAATGCGAGTTTTGTGCCGTTGACGTGGTTCTTTGGTGTTGAGACCAGTGGGAGGAGTTTGGAGAAGATTGATCATATGTTTTTCGATGAGCCGCGGGTGTGTATGGGGTTGAACAAGAGTCATACGAGGGTTATCAACAAGGAAATGTATGATGAGGAGAGGAGGTTGAGTGTCGCTGGACATGAGAAAGAGAAGATGGATGTTGAGCAGATCTCGGTCGTCAGCAAGTGAGGGGTAGCTCTTCGTTGGAAGAGCTCATCCAGGGCGCCATGGCCATCCTTATGTCATTCACGAAAATCGATACACTTGATAGTTTTTACCCCGATTTACTACATTACTATTTCTTCTAGACAGCTTGCCAAGTTTATCTCGTACAGGATCCTACAACCAAAGACACTCATCTGCTAAGCAGAATCGTGAGGACGACAGATCTCGACTCAGCTCCCTTTAAGAAACCAGTCAGTGTCGTTCACCAAGAGTATTCAACGAGTAAGACGAAGAAACCACGAGGTCCATGACTCCGCTGTCTCCCACAACTTCCTCGGACTCTGTCCATGCGTATCCTCACCAATGTCAGTACATTAGTCTTCGCTGGCAACGGTCAAAGACGAGAATCCTTGCGCAAAGCTCAGAGTCACTGACCTGGATGCTTGTTTTGTAGCGTGAGATCGTCGCACAAGTCACGGTGACCAAGTTTGGCTTTCTGGAGTGCAAGTCGTTATGAGTTCGCATGGTGCTCCTGGGTACAGGAAATACATGACTCTATCATGAAGATGGGAACGATGATGGCGTTGATGAGAGGGTGGTCTGTCTGCGTGTCTAGGGCTGTTCCATGTCCATTGGATGGTGATCGGATGAATTGTTAACCTGATACAGGACTTATTGATCATATCATGTGTTAGCATATCGTTGGGAGTCGGATGGGTTGTACATGAACAATCACGCATGTTCAGAATATGCAATGGAATGCTGGGACTCTTAGAGGTATGAACAGAGCAGCACGTATCTATGTGACATGATGGCCATCTCAAGCTGTGTAGTGGTGCATCCGGCTTTATCATCGTTTTTGAAGGAGAGCTTGTATATAGCTCCGGATCGATGCTTACTGGACAAAACTCTAACAATCGCACATCGTCATACTTACCATTCCCATCGATCGATCACAACATTCGTCCCTCAGTTCTACGGCCCTCGATGACCACGCTGCTGATACCTACCGGGGCATTCATATTGCAACGACGAGTGTACGGGTAAGCAGTGAAGCAGGTTAGTGAACCAATATATGTGCGGCACATGTCCGATGGTGTCGAAAACTCTATCTACACAAACCATGTTGATTGTATGTTGATTATGCTTGTAATGGTCAGTGAACTAATAGCCAGGAAGAGAAGAGTCACAAACCTCATTACCTCCAATGTCTTTGGCCCCTGGTTCAAGGGGTCATCGACGTGCTTATCGACACTAAGCTCGTACGTCTTCTTTTCAGATCCGCCAAAGGGATCTACATTTTCGCTTGTGGTGGCATATGTGCAAGAGAGCAGATGTTTAAATGAAGGGTGGTAAAGGTGATGAGTTGACCGGTTGTTGGTATAAAGTGCGTGGTGAATTCGATGGGTTGACTGGTTGAGAACTGGCTGAGCTATATGGAAGGAGCTAACCAACGGCTCCTTGCATGGTGGGGCCATGGCTGAGGATTTTAGAAACTTTGAACCTAGCAGTGGTGGTGGCAAACACTAGAACTCCTAGATTCTGCTGGTTAAGCGAGAATCCAACGAGATGCGTGTTTTTCTGCGAGCTGAAACTTAGACTGGACTTGAGATAGAAGCCTGAGATGGCACATTCGAGTACTTGAAATACTGAAAACACGCGTCAACCAAATTAGCAGAAGACAGATTACGTCTCTTCCATGGCAGTCTATAGCACATGGGCAGGAAGTAAACCTTCTGCTTCCAAGGCACGCAGCGCGCGTGTCATGGTCGAATCGTTGGTGATAGGCGATGATCACACTGTAACATTGAACAAAGGCAGGTGAGTTCTGTAAGCATAACGAAGATCAAATCATGTAGGTGTACGTAGCTTATACTCAACTCTAGAAGCCTAGAAAACCATCATGTATATCTACGAAAGATACGTGTTACTACTATCAAGACTAAGAATTCCATCTCGCAGACCTTCGTTATACCTGCATACATGATTCGTTCTCATTTGACGGTGTGAGAAAATGATGAGAGACAAGCCACGATTCCCGAAAGCAGAGAGAGAAGTAGAGTGGGTCTGTGAATCTACAATGTTGCTTGTGATGTCAAAGTTCGGGATGATCAGTTTCCATATCACCGAGCGACGGGGTGTCACTCGTGAAAGAACGATTCACTGACCCCATCAACTTAACTCGCGCTTGACGACATTGATAAAGCTCTCTCTGGCATCTTCAAGAGGCGTAGGCTTCATCATCGCCAAGTGGTGGTGCATAGCTGTCAGTCACCTAGACTTGACCAGCCACCATTCGTTCCCATATCTGAGAAGCACATGGTAGGATGTGTTCAACATCAGTGAATAGCATGGTATTTGCTGCAGCAAGTTCTCTCTCTCAGCTTGTCTACATCACTTCTAGAGATCTAGCTCTTCCCTCTATCCAGGTAGTCTGGTATAATTATCGATGATATTCTCTTGTATACCTCCGCATCAAGATGATACATGCGCGGAGAGTAATAACCTACATGAGATAACTTTATCTCGAGTGATTATAGTCATAGCTCATCTCACCTTACGGTAGCTGCTATCCAGCATTCTCCAACGAAGTACAACTGACTTTCCCCGAAACACCACGACCACATCATGAGCATCTGGACCCGGTACCGAACCGTGCAACACGAATATGCCGACTCCTCTATCAAACCAAGCACCCATTCAAACGCATGAATGTGTGGTACCGATACTTGTTAGCTACAAAGCCCTGGCATATAGTCATTGTAAAGCAGTCAGATGGTGTAGAGAACAAGGTCTGTAAAGCATTTCTGGCTTAGCGTATCTCGCATCTCACAGCTCCACCTTAAGGAGTAACATTAACCTTCGACATGCTGCGGCCAAGAGGGAGACTAGAAACAGAATATCGAGAGTCATAGACCTGGCCACCCTCTCCTTGCCATCCAGCTAAGGACCATCAAGCGACTCACTGTCTTAGGGTCCGATGCGACTGGGCTTTGGTATTAGGCGCAATGTCCAATGATCGCAGTGACTGAATGACCTCTACATCGCTCGAAAACTGGCTCGAGGACCCACCAGAAGTTGGTGATATAGTCCGGTGGCAATTCTTCTTCGAGCTCTTCGAGACTAATTGACCCTGATTCGATCCGGGCCGTCAGGTTTGCGAGATATTGCTCGCCATTTGCGCCGTCTTTAGTGCGGAGCCAGTCTTTAAGGCGGGTCCGCTTCATCCAGTCTTTCTGGTTTACGACCTAGAGCTTGTATTTTGTCGCTAGGACACTCGTGCAGGCTTCGTCGTGCGACTGAGTATCAACACCGCAGTCTGACGAACAACAACTATCGTCATCAAGAGAGTTAGAGGCATCAGTATCTGTGTCTGTGTCTAGTATCAAAGGGTCTGAATAGTCGTTCGCATCGGAGTGGCCACAGCATATGAGATAAGAAGATCATGTATCACAGACTCTGTTGCTTCATCAAGTGCTCTTTCTTACATCAATCAGCTTTTCCGAGTCCATTGCGACAGAAGACGTGGCAGCTTTCTGATGTCTGTTTGGTAATCTGCACAAGCCATTGGCGAAGCGCACCAGTATGATCTTAGTTGACTTCGTAATGCCCTTGGTGAGCACAGCGCTCTGATGGTTGCGTTCCTGATTCTTTTCGTGGATTGTGGTGGCATGTGTCTAAGACATGGTAGCTAGCTGATCATTCTTATGACTCAACCGGCTTTTCCTAATGCTCAAGTGATCCATAAATGATATCGGTAACGTCTTCTTCATACTCGGGAGCACTCATAGTATACTCTTCAATATACCGATCAGCTTTACAAAGCTCGTTTGCTTGCTTGCAACAACCCCGAGCAAAGTTTAGGACCCAGCTGCTGTGCCATTAGTGGAACCGCTCCCAGAAACTTTGGAGTTCCCTAATCTCTGAAAAATTCTCCCTAAACCAGGGAAAACTCACTTCGCAGGACCCCAAGCCTGTCTAATAACCAAAACAGCTGATCTATAAAACTACAATAAGCCGCAAAGATTGCACATGCACCGTCGATGACTAACCGCACTAGTTCGAAGGGATTCAAACACAACGTTATAGATGGCTAGCACCTTTGATGGGCACTGGCAAAACTTAGGAAGAGAATAAGTGTTAAATGAGAGTAGGAGAGGAGGTCTATGAGCCCGCGTTTTCCTTTTCTCCAGACTTGGTTTCAAGAAGTTCTTGCATTGCTTTTAGATGGAATGTGAGCTAGAAATGTCAAGATCACAGACCTTACTACCTTGCATAACTTTATAACCCGGGTCCTTCGAGACTTTCAAGTCGGTACGTCGATCGGAACTTGCTCACGGTGCTCCGATGTGATGCATGTCACCATCGAGGATATAGAGATGGTCTTATACGTACTCTCGGGCAAAGATGGTCGGTGGGAGCCGAGACCACAGGGTCTTACATTTTCTCGTTCCGAACATGTGCAGTGTCCTAGCACCATTATCATTTATATCAACTGATGGAGAGTTTTGTTTCTTTTGTGACACTACACTATAAGTGCATAGTACCTCATCTTGACCAAGCATAACACACATCACTTTCTGGCTCCAGCTGTTGAAGTTCAGCCCTTAACCTATGCCGGTAGTGCTCATGCTCCTTTCTTGTTCAACACTTACATCAATATCGTTCCAGCAGCTCCACCGAGTAGAAGGACAAGAGGAGAGCAGGATGAGATACAGCGGTCAGAAACCTTGATACCGTCACTTCCTGTTAGGAGTTTACAAGTAGACTCAGACTTTTCCATGTCTAATAATCAATCACAACATAAGCATTCCTCAAGGAAATGAAACATCAGGACTCTGCTTCCGCTGCCCAGCCGCAAACTGTTGTATGGTTCCTTGATCCTGTGTAGAGAGTGAGGCATAGTAAGGAGGAAAAAGAGCACGAGAGAGGCAAGCAGGTCCGTAAACTTCCAATTACCTTCTTGCTACCCCACGCTCAGTGCCAAAACATATCCCCCTTTCTAGTTCCCGATGGGACACTAGCTAGAATAAGTGAGAATCACAGACCTAAGAATCCACTCCCAACCATACCGGCCTGAATAACGATAAAGAACCAGATTTACATATCCCAGAGTTTTGTTGGGTGACTGCGCATGTGTTTGGACCAAAACTGTCCTCGATGAAGTATTTAACAGAGATCCACATGCTTCTACAGATAGTCATTCGTCATTGAAAAGACTGCAGTACTTCTAATATCCGTTCCTGTTATCACATATATTGTGTTTCCACAAGATATTATATTGACCTCACATTTATACTTCATCACATCACAGCTAATCGACAAGCTTTTCCGTGCTACTAGCAAGTAATAACTAAAATCACCAAGACTTTGATGGGAGCAAGATCAAGGATAGGTAAAGAAGAAACGGAGGTCCATGAATCTATATCTTCTGCTTCTTCTCTCATCATCTCAACACTACTTTCATCGCCAGTCAAAGGAGTGAGAGAGCGGTAGATGGAGGCAAAGACTCACAGACCCCATCACCTACTTTCTGTACTGGGCAGAGCATATCCCAACACCAGAAAGATGCTGGATAAGCTAGATATGCGTGTTTCTTTCCTTGGTGAAGACGTCATCACCAAAGTCATAGCAGATCGGCGGTGGCGCTTCGGTGTTTGATGTCGTGAGTTTCAAGACAGATCGCTTCCATACAGACACTACAAGCTTCCAATCAACAGAAGTAGCGATTGAAATTCGATCTTGTCATGTGCAAATCCCCACATGCCATTCTCTTCCCTCGTTATCTACGACTTGCGTCTAGAAAGTCTATCATAGCCTGTCATTCTATACAAAAACGCCTATCCTGTCCTCTCTTCTTAACCCCTTCTTCTCACATCTTTCCAACAGTACCATCAGTCGTCAGCACACTCCCTCATGCCCCGTCCCACACACTTCAAACACCCACACCTCACGTCCTCAGCACCAGAACACTCCACCATCAACGCCCCAGGCCCCTCCTTGACAGCAGCAGCAACAGCAAACGCAAGCGTCAATGAAAACCTCACCCACAGCCATGGAGAGTGGCGAGAAAGCATGGGTGCATTGTCATCCGTCTGACTATGCTGACTTCTAAGTTGCCGTTCACTCCTCCTCTTGCGGACTTTGCCTTGCGTCTCAAATACACATGTAGAAGGCGAGACCCGTCTACGTGGCTGGCGAGACAGGCAAGGAGAGAGCTCGATATCTTCAGAGTCGGCTTCGAAGCCTTGATCTTCTGGATTCTTGAACTTCTCCTCGGACGCAGACGAAGATGCAGAAGCGCTGCGATAAGGCGCAGACATGAGGATTGCATTCTCGTGTAGACTGCATGCCATCAATCTCCTCGTCGCCATGGGGCCAAGTAGAGCATGCAGCAGCATCCACTGGAAGCGGTTCAATGTCCTGCTGAGTAAGAAGGCTCGGTGTGCTCTGCCTACACATCGCTGTGCGATCTTGAGCGGCTGACGCAGCAGCTCCTTGACTTTCTCCACGATCCCAGAAGATTTGGGAGTAGACGCAGGGACAGCAGAAGATACTTGACGCGAATAGGGTGGGTAGAAGGACAAGCCGGTGGCTTCGGACATGCTGCGTTGGTGTCGGAGACGCAGTGCGCCAGACACGTTTCGTTGGTTGCCTGTGCTGTGAGAAGTAGAAGTGATGTCTGCTGGCTTGGCGTTCAAAGTGGCGAAGGGAGTGGGACCTGAAGAGGCTGTTTGTGCGTCGTCGTCGTGTCTAGCGGCGTGGAGNCTCTTCGAGCAGGTTTCTGCCTAGATTGGGTCCGATGGACGGGTATTCTGCTGAGGCAGTGTTCGATTCTGTGGCTGTTTGTTGCGACGTTGGTGTCTTGTCTTCCTGCGACTCATTCGACGAATGTGAAGAGGAAGCTGANNAGATTCTGCGGCTGGAAATGGGAGTAGTGATGAAAGTTCTAGTCCATCTGCACTAGTCTTTGCTCGGCGACGTCCAGTGATGGGACTGAATTCATGGCAACTAGCCCTTCGTGGCACAACGTGAACATCCGGGAAAGGGAAAGCACGGGGAGAGTCGTGAGGTTCGTAGACGGGGGCTGAGGCGAGGATGGGAGCCAACTGTGCGGCCGACAAGATCAAAGGTTTGGGAAGATGAGAACCGCCATGGAACCTCCGCATTCTGCGATTCGGGCGAGGGCGGGAGTTTGACGAGTTGGAATCTTGGTTCATGAACAGGCTGAAGTCGATGCTGTTGCGTGAGACGTCGCTGATGGAGGACTCTCGCTTAGAGGCATCCCATTCAGCATCACTGACCGCATTGTCAAAGTAGTCTTGGGCAGCACCCTCACTACGAGGTCTTGGTTCATCGGCCTCATGCTGTTCATGCATGCTCGCTTGTTGATGCAAAGAGCCAGCGGTTGGGAAGCGGTGGAACGACAATCTCTTCTGCCTCGTACTCCTCGACTCCTTGGTAAAGGGGGGTTGAGCGAGCGGCGTCTCGGTCTTGATGGGCGAAGTGACGAGCAAATGTGCGAATGTTTCCAACCTCTTCTCAAACTCAACGTTCGCAGCCTCGGCAATGTCCAAAGCCTTTCTCGTAGCGTCGAGCTGAGCCTGGAGTTCTTTTACCTTTTGGCTGTAGTTGTCGCTGTCCGCCTCCAACATGTTGATTCTAGCGCGCAGGTTGTACTCGACGCCGTCATGCTCTTCCATGACCTGCAGCACCCTCTCGTCAAACTCGGCCTCCCAGCGAGAGTTTTCATCCTGCAGTCTTCGGATGTCTTGGTTCAGCAGACGTATCTTCTGGCCCTTTTCCTTGGTCGCGGTCGGGGACGTCAACGAGGCCAGCTGGGTCTGGTAGGCGGCGAGTTCGGACTCGAGGTACGCGATGTGTTGGTCGGCTTGGTCCGAGTCTGGGTTGCTCTTGTAGGATTGGGTGCGCTGGTGCTTCTTTCTCGACTTGTTGAGGTTGGGTGCTTCGGGCGGGAGACTGNNTGTGTGCATGTCAGCGTGACTGACGATGAGAGGTGGGGCAGGCGTGTTATACCATGCGGGCGACGACTCGAAGCTCCAGGCCTTGTCGTCTCCATTCTCATCTGCAAAGACGGACAGGACCGAGTCGTGTTTGTTGGCCTTCTTGTCCTTCCGCCGCAGGCTGGAGTTGTTGACCTCTTGCAGTATGCTCGACGACCTTCCTCTTGCACTCAGGCCAGATGGTTGTGGCAGGTCTGAGGTTGGTGTGTCGTCTTGTTGGGCAGGTGAGGACCAAGCATCGCTAGTCTTGCGCTTGGGGGTGATGTTGCGATTGGGCAGTTGGCGTCCTCGGAAGCCATTCTTGCGGAGCTGCAGTCGTCGGTTCGCTCGTGTTGTTCCAGGGCCGGCGAGNGGAGAGGATCGCTGCTCGGCGTCTTCCATGTCCAGAGGTGGGTAAGCCGATGTCATTGTGTTTACATGACCCTGACACCTTGATGAAGATGATGCGCACCGTGTCTCGTACGCTCAAGGCCGCCTAGTATCAGGTAGCAGTCGTCTGGAAAAGAAGGAAAAACGAGTCGTCCTGTGTGGAGAAAGTGGACAGTGTTGTTTCGATGTGTTTGACTGTTTATGCCCTTCGTCTCGGCCTTCGGCTGTCGTCAGTTCGCAGCTGCCCTTAACTTTAATTTCCCTTGTATCAAACGTGCTTGCTTTGCTGCTTACTACCTTGCTACTTTGACCCTGCTGATTCTTTCAGGCCGCCCGTTGCAACAAGACAATCTCTTTTCCCTGACACGTGAGAGAAGAAGATTTGTTCTGTTCTTGTTGTGCATATGTGCATGTTGTTTCGCACTGAGCAACAGCCCTGAACCCCTCCACACACCGCCCTGCCAAGCCCGCTCTCACCGCCTGACTGAACCAGATATCGAAACATCTCAAACACCTTGACTCGAATTTTACACGGCTCTCACGCCACTCGTGTGGAACCTGGTCCCTCTTCAATCATGACAACAAATAGTCGTCCATCTGCACATGATCAACACATGCATATCCAGACCAACCTGACCCTGCACAACTTTTGACAGACACCGTTAGCTATATCAGCCACCCATAGCTCAATATGCTTATCGTCCTCTAATTCTCTTGTCCTGAGCCTCCACAAATATTAGAATCCAGGGTGCCTTGAAACGCTCAAGAATCACCTATGCATAGATACTTCCGCAAAATTGGTGGAGAGACCAGGTTTACATGTGAATATCAGCTAGTCATGTGCTAGAGACTTGTCCATGCTTGTAAACGACCGACCGTACTCTTCGACATTACTTCCACTTCTTGATGCTCATGACTCAACATGATCAGAACATGTCAAGACAGACCATGAATAGTCCCACGATCGCCTATATTAACAACCACATTGAGAGCAAGGAGCAGGGTCCGTGACTCCAATCTTCATCTCTACATCCCCCAGGATGGGGTGCAGGCTTGCATATCCAAGCTGCTGCAACATTTTGCTCGCAGTTTGGAGATGTTGAGTACTGGATCGGTTTCGTGGACCCTTCTACTTCTTCGGGGGGGGCGTAGGTCGATAGATTCTCTCGAAAGAGGTCGAAATGACTCCCAGCGTACTGACTGTCGCTTGGAAAGACTTGTGAAGGACATTGGGGAAGAGTATACTCGCTAGTGAAATGCTTCCAGATATATTGGTAAGAGAATATGCTCACGTCAGGGTTGGAAGCTGGACCTCTCATTTGCTCATCAACTACCTGTAGCGTCTCTGCATTGGAATACCTTCCAAAGCTTGGGAGGCAAGTTGCCGACTGTACAGCTCCAACGACCGTAGAGAAGTTAGCCTGCAGGACGTAATGCCACTATCACAGTATTTCTTCACAAAGCGAACCCCCGACTAGATCGGGTCCAACTGAGATCTGGTAGCAAAAGCATACATGTCTTGTCGCCGCATATGTTGTTCTACGAATGTTCGCTGACGTGAACACTGAGGGAAAGACAGCCTTTGAGGCTGGCTTGGGTGCCTAGAGAGGACCGGGCGCAGAATCGGCTTGTGTTGGACGCGATCTCGAACATTGAGACCGGCGAGCATGTCCACACTCAGTCAGTAGTATGCATCGCGAGGCGATGAGTGATAGTGGTGAAGCTGCTAGATCCCTACCTCTACAGAGTCGCTATCCAGCCATCAAGACACACAACTTGAGAATGCATGCAGCATTCCGCCAGCGACGTGATGTTGGGTCCTGTCAAGCCGGCTGGTCGCATCTAGGAGACGAGGTCCTATCAAGCTTTCTTACCTTGCCATCACGATGCTTGCCCGCACTCGTCCGCAAAGAACGCGACGCGCCAAGTTTTTTGCTATCCCACTGGAAGAAGTTATTGTTAGCAGAGTCGTGACAGACTTTCGTGGCGAACGATTGCTCCAGCCTCAGCGTCGCATAAGGTTGTGTAGCGCGCAAAGTGCAACTTGGTCAGCAACCCTATCGCCAACCGCCTGGATAAAAACTTGGATAATGTTATAACGAAGTTTAAATGGCCAGGAACGCGTTTCGTCGGAGACATGTCCCGTCAGGTGGTGGCTGAAGTTGGCGTCGGAGAGAATGGTTTTGGAGATGCCGAGGCTTGCTTCCAACTGCGCTGGGGTTGGGTCAAGTCTTTGTGAGGGTTTTCGAATTGCGAATCTTGTTGGAGAGATGGATGAGGAAACAGACGAGAAGACGGTAGCGAATTCGAAGTCAGATCAATGTAAATAAGGTAGACTTATCAGGACATGTGGCAGCGTGATTGGTGGTCGGTGTTTGGAGGCGTTCGTGCATCCAATAGCTGAATCGTGAGCAACCAAAAATAGGCGGGTTGTGTACCGATCTGATAACTGTTTGCTGCAAGTGTTGCGCGAGAGCGGGTTGACTGTGACTCTTGCAAAATCCCGCTTCGTGCAAGATGTTGGACGATTCGTTGCGCCATGGAAAGTAAAAGCTGTGTGCGGCAGACAGTGAAAATCCGACGGTTGCCCGTCTGACATTTGTGAACATTGCGCGGGACCGCGGCGGCAACAAGCCATGCCCGCATCTCAACTTGCGAAGATGCATATCATTTTGAGGCTCCTTCGGCTGGGGTTGTATGACAAGAGGTTGCTGCAAAAACTTGCGCTCGGCCGTCAACACCACAGCGATGGTAACCTTGTACATCACAGATCTGTCTGGGATACAGGGGTCAATGTCTGATCATGAGGTGTTGTGAGTGGTGGATCGCCATTGAATTGCGCGTACGGTGCAGAAGCCATGCAGCAGCATGAGACTCCCCCAGGATGAGTGGCTTGCAAGTAGGAGACGGCATTGACGGAGCCGGTCATGATGGAGGCATCGCATCAAGAAGGTGATAAGGGTTGGATGGCAGTCGCGGCAGCCAAGACATGGGATGACAGCGAGACTCTGTGTAGCGTCACCCAGTTGCATGCATGTCCGTACACTGGACCGGAGCAACGGGAGCTTGTGTTTACATGAGATGTGAAATGGACTGACGAGGAGACGGGTATCAGCATTTGGAGATTGCGCGGTCTGCAGAGCAAGGCTGTGATTATGGGTGATGATTATTTGGAGAAGGGTGATGTGCATAGGGATTCGACATGGAAGTGTTTCACAATGGTTGCGAGTCTTGTCGCCGATCAAAACAAAAGCTTTTTGCTGTCTTGTTTAGGTCGTACGGCGCAACAACTCAAGCACGACGACAGACGGCAGGTTGGTGGAGTATCCGGCAGTCGGGCAGGACGAGTGCACTGTGGAGAGCTGGAAAAGCAGCCAGCTCGACAGCAGAAGCAGGGCACGATGCATAGTGCCCCGGAGTGCCAGTGGATATGCATGACGAAAAGAGAACAAAGTGGAGAGTCAGTTGCAGGGTGTGGCGCATCGGCAGCGGGCATGCAGAAGTCTTGTGGGAGATCTCCAGATTCAGAGGCCGGGGCTGCGTAATGCGACTGCACTTTCCGCGGCCACAGAGACAGGCTGGGTTGAGCACAAAGTAAAAAGTGCAGCGCGGTGCCCAAGATTCTCGTCGTGCAAGGCGATTCAAGCAAACAAGCGTTGGCTCCTTCTGTTGAGGACTTGGAAGCGTCTGAAACAAGACACGATAACGAGCTGCGAGCGTAGAAGTGCGTTCGCAAGTGGTCCGCGGGCCAATCACATCGGCGCCGGCAGTGTGTTGAGGAGGCTTTCTTGTCAAAGACACACGGACCTCGCCGCCGTTCGAGCCTTCAATCATCGCTGTTCCAAGTGTTTGATCTGGTGCTCGCAAGCGGCCCGTTTATGCTGCTACTGTCCCCCCAAAAGACCTTCTGAACGCTGTTTGGAAATTATTCCACCACTTCCTCTCCCCGTGCACCTCGTCGTCTCCTGTCCATCCCTTCCACTCCGACCACATCCAATCATCCCCTTTTGGCTTCGAGCAGCGATTGCATCCCTCAGCCAGCCTACATCAACCTTGTGCTCGCCGTCGCCTCTTTCCAACCTCTCCCGGTCTTTCCGGCTTTAATCCAACGGCTGGTCTCGGCTTCCACGTCCGCAGACCTTGGCGGCATAACTGACCCTCGTCGCTCGCTGCATCGCTATTTTTCGCAACACCGCCAATCTGGAAGACTACAAGGAACGCAAGTCGGAGAGCAGCCTCTCCAGTGATGCTGGCGAAGGCCTTCCAACAATGCAACCACAGCAACAGACCGGTGCGCGTCTGCGCCATCTGAACCCACTCAGGCTGTTTCACGGCAACTTTTCGTACCAGGAGCTGCCCTCAGACAGCCGCAACACTTCACCCTTCACATTACAGCCTCTCAAACGAGTGCGATGGCCATCACCGAAGCGCGCCGGCGAGGCCATGCGTTCAGTTCGCTGGTCTCCGCTCCGCATCCTCCTCTGGGCCTTGACCTCTCTCTTCGTCCTGTTGATGCTCATTGCGAGTCGCCATCATAGATTCCACACTCCTCCAGAGCCAGCAAATCCGGATCCGGCCATCGAGAAGCCTCCGGGCTATCCTTGGGAGGAGTATCAGCCGTAAGATGTTCTGATACGCACTCGCTAGCAACATACTGACACGAGACGACAGANNCTCAAAGGCTTCTACAACGGTATCCGCACTCTGACACCTGCCAAGGACTGGGCTCCCCAGAACCGCTACAACAAATCCCTGCCCGAGGGTGTCGTCGACAGCAATGAAGCTCGCGGTCTTCCTAAGCAACCCGTCTTCGAACCCATCAAGCTGACCCCTTATCCCGACTACCACTCGTACGAGTACACGCAAAAGCACGGAAAGGTCGAGACCTGTTACATGGACGATGAAGACAAGGTCGAAGTCCCCGATGTCTACGTCTACCCCGGCCTTCCCAGAAACATGACTGCCCCCTTCTTCGGTACCCACAAAGAGCTCGGCATCAGGGATGATGTTTGTTATGATAGATATGGCAGGCTTGGTCCCTATGGTTATGGTTACAACGCTACAGCTGGTGGACTCGGTCCTGGTCTTGATTCGGAGAATGTCGGCACTGACAAGCTTTTCGAGAAAATGGGCACAGTCGACTACTCCAACGTCAACTGGGGCAAGGCCATGAAGAAATGTGCCCACAAGAACAAGGCTCGTTTCGAGAACAAGGACGCCCACCGCAAGGTCGCTCGTCACGCCTACATTCTCCGCATCTGGACTGGCTACAACTTCAACTACAACCAGCTCTACTCGCTCCGCGCTATGATCGCTGAGCTCTCGCTCAAGTCGGGCGGTGAGTATGATGTCTGGTTCCTTTTGCACGTCAAGGACGAGACTCTTCCCGTCTGGGCTGACAAAGGTGTATACCAGAAGGTCATCGAACAGAACATGCCCAAGGAGTTCTGGAACATGACTGTCCTCTGGTCCGAGTCTCAATTGCTCAACTACTATCCTCCTCCTTTCGCCGAGCCTTTTGAGAACCCCTCTGGCCACAGTGTGCATGGCGTTTACCGTTCGGCCCACTTCGCTCTCCAGTGGTTCGGCCAACAGTACCCTGACTACGACTTCTACTGGAACTGGGAAATGGATCTTCGCTATAGTGGACACTACTATGAATTCAACACTGCTATCGGTGACTGGGCTCGCAGACAGCCTCGCAAGGGAATGTGGGAGAGAGCCGAGAGATTCTGGATGCCTGAGCTCCACGGTACCTACCAAAACTTCACCGACATGGTTGAGCGAGAGACTCGCGAGAACGGCAAGAACCCTATCTGGGGTCCTCCTGCTTTCCAGCACGATGGTCTTACCNCCTCCCCTTCCGACACCACTCCTCCCATGCCATACGATAAGGATGAGTATAAGTGGGGAGTTGGTGAAGAAGCTGATCTTATCACTTTCAATCCAATTTTCGACCCCAGCAAGACTAACTGGGTCTTCCGTCTTGATGCAACTGGTTACAATCTCAAGATGCCCCCTCCGCCCCGTCGTTGCGCCATCATCACCGTCTCCCGTCTTTCCAAGCGCCTGATGGACATCATGCATGAGGAAACCTGGAAGTACCGCCATTCCATGTTCCCCGAGATGTGGCCCGCCTCCTGTGCTCTGCAACATGGCCTCAAGTCTGTCTACGCTCCTCACCCTGTTTACTTCGATCACGACTGGGATCTTGAGTACATGGACAGAATGTTCAATCGCCCACGCCTTGATGTCGACAGTCCTTTCGGATGGGGTGAACACAACTTCATTGGTAGCTCCTTCTACTATAACTCGGTTTTCAGTGGTACTCTCTGGCGCCGCTGGCTCGGTCTCCGCGAGAACAAGGAGGGAGGCACCAGAGACGAAGAGACTGGCACCGGACGCATGTGCATAAAGCCGNTTTTGGGACATCCAATTAAATCAGAGATTGGGGAGAACAATTGAGCTTGACTGGGTGGGAAAGTGTTTCGACGACTAATGCATGTGTTTCGGCAAAACTAGAAGGTGTCCAGGCTTCTGGGAAGGAGTTTCTACTGTTTATATGGGTACCCCTGAATCTTTCTGGCTGTTTTCATCACGCCTATCATTCCCTAGGAAGAGTAAAAAGCGCCGTCACTCTCTGTTTCTTGCTTTCTTCCCCATCGAGCGTCTCTGTTTTGATTATCAGTCTTTCCGGTATGGCGTCATTTTATTCGCAAGGAGCTGGTCTTTGTTGCATTTTGGATTGGAGTTTTCTTCGTTTTCTGCTTTTCGCTCCCCGTTCTTCTTCTGGCTCCGTCCGATCTGTACATATGGGACGTCCCACGCATCCACAGCAGCGAGCTTGCACATAAGCAAAGGTTGAAGATACAGGCATTCGAGTCCGAAACATTCACATATCTAATACTGAAAGAAAACATATCTTTTACTCCATTATTTCTGTTGGTTGTATTACTGCAGTGTTCCTTTTACCGACGTCTCCCTATGCTCTCTGGACATAGCGTGGGTCGTGGAAACAACTGTGCATTTTCACAGCTCCTATTGGGGTATCTCGACATGCATGGGGAGATGATTAGCAGACTCGACTACAGTAGCCCCGTAGTTGCTTTCGCCAGAAATCGAAATTGTGCGTCTCCCCTTTGAAACGTAAGAAAGGGGATGATTTCGTCTGGCGTGATGCACGATCGTATACGAATAGTCCATACAAGCTGATTGCGAAACGACAACAACTTTTCCGGCATGGTCTTCTGTAATCCATTTAGAAAGAAAACCACAGCTATATTAGTGTATGATCGAAGTTAGTATTTATGAAGGCAGAGGCGAGTTGAGCAATTGATAATTGATGTGCAGGGTCACCTCTACTATGAAATCTCGTTGACGCGGCAAGCGCGAGGGTGCACGGACGCTAGGGAGGGAACCGACCTTCCTCGTTCGCGGCTTTGCAACCAACTCTCTTTCATATCACACCTTCAACATCTCATCAAATACCACAGCGAGAAGGCTCAATACGGATACACATCGCCTGGAGGGATTTCAAATCTACTCTCGACAAGCTAGTCTTTCCATTTCGTCCTGCTCAGCAGTCTTGGGCACTATGTTCGCTCTATGTGGGAGTGCTCTCTCTACGGTTATCTCGCCGGTAATCACTCGTTATCAACTTGTCTCAAATCTTGATCGATCCCGACTCTTCTCATCATCTCGAACATTATCCAAGTTTCGTTGAGCAGATCCCACGGATGCTGAGCTTCTTGAAATGTCGCCAGCAAGGCGTTATTACTATGAGACTCGACATGATCCGGCATTTCATCAGCGCAGAATCGCTCAGGAACAAGTAAGGGGTAACAACTTGAGACAAAAGCGCCAGGACGATCCCAAATTCAAACAGAAGTGGCTAGCTTACTGGAAAGAAGAAAAGAGTCGTTATAGGGCCACAAGTGACAAGTACAATGTGCTTGAATCCGTCAGAAAGTGGCTGCAAAGGATACCCGAGTCGCAAAGGGAGGCTTACGGCTGGAAATCTCACCGCCCCATCGTGTTTTCTGAAAAACATGTGTTCACTTGCGACATCTGTTCTGACGATCCTGCGAGTTCAACAGTCTGGTGGGAGCGGCGAGACAGCAACATCTCTTCAGCAGCTTCAGACACTAAGCAGTATACCTGCCATTCTTGCTATATGGACCAGGACTTGTCCAAAATAATGCCCAAAGGACTGGAGGATCATGTCCCCGGTTCTTGGAAGAGATGGCCAATGCCATAGAGTTGAGACAGTCGTATGGGTTGGAGAACGGGACTGTTCGAAGGTCTCTCGACCAGCTGTAGATACATACGAGCCTACGTTACGACCTGCCGGTCCTCATTCTCGTGTGCCACAAACTGTCACAAAAGCAGTTATGCATCCTTACGAAGTGACAGAACAACATCTTGATTTTTCGCTGTCCTTACACGAAACCACAGTACCATGTCGGCAACAGCGACTGTGCACGGTCCCAGCAATGTGTCAAGTTCTTCCAAATCCATCTCGACCGACTTCTTGTCAATTCTATCATCTACAAAAACAACTCAAGTCTTGCGCTGCGACACATTCGCCTATTCATCTCGTGAACTGAACATATCCTGTATTCTCGTTCCTGGTCTTGATTTCTCCTGCTGTGTCCACCTACGAGTCCCGGCTGGAGAATCTTACATCATGCTGTCGATAGCTTTCAGAGGCCGGCCTTCGAGCGTTTTGAGTCTAACCAACAATCACTTGTCAGGATGTGGCCTGATCCAATCATTTTCGTCCTGCCAGATACATGCTGCTCGTCGCATCTCCACCGAGGGAGAATTGGTAGCAATGTCGCCTGCGATGCGATGGTATTACAGAAACATGGAGGTTCCTGACCTTCGGGAACGATGGGCTGCGAATCGCAGGTCGAAGAGTGCTGATTACCGTCTGAAGATGCGTTCATTGAACTCCAAGGCATACGCGCAGTACCTGGATAAGAAAACAAAAAGAGAAGCGTTTAAGGTTCATGAAGCAAAACCAGAAGTGTATGCCAGGAAGTATATGGCTAGATGGCTGCGCAATCTTTCGGTCAACCCACGGGAAGCATTATGGTAAACGAGTGAGGAAAACATGCAGCGCATGACTTAGCTGTTGTAGGCATGGTACAAGACTCTGGTAAGTTCACTAAGAGTACTACAGTCTCTGCAAAAGCTTTCTTAGTTCGCTTGACATGAATTTCGGGAGTATAAATGCTGCAATGCGATGGTTGCAGATATTTGTATTCCGACAAACTTGACCACTTTGTCATTCTCATACACACATATACTGACTATATCGCCGTTCCAGGTGGCAAGAGATCGAGGAGCCAGAGAAATTCGTCTGCCACAGCTGTTATACCAAAGACGGCCTAGCAGCAGCAATGCTCAAAGGCCATGAGAATCTCATTAATCACACTAGGATGCCATGGCCGAAACCAGATCAACGCAGGCAGAGCGACCGACCACAACCAGAGCGCGAACACCCTGAACAGTCAACGACAAATTCTGAAGTAAATCTTAGCGTTCCTCCTGCAACAGGAGACTCGGGTAGCAAAACAACCTGATCCTAAGAAACAACAGTGAATGGAGAAGGGTTTCGCAAGACACCATACTCGAATTATCTCGTCATTGAATTGGCTCTGGAGGCAGGCTCACTTTCTACGGACACACTTCCTCCACGACTCAACACTCAACTGGTAGACTGCGATATATCTTGATGTTTGAAGCGAGATGAGATACAAGCTGATATCAAGCTTAGCCAAAGGAAGGTGTTCAGCCTGTTTCATCCTGTCCATTCATTACATCCTGTCGGTCAAGATTTGGAGCACAGCATGATACATCTTCATGACTCCAATTATCATGCTCGTCGTGTTTATCAACCTTGGCAGAATCCTTCCTCGGAGCCAGATGCGGGGATGATTTTACCTGATCTCGAAACCAAACGTTGGATTTTCTGCCTTATACTCGCCTCACATCGCAATGGAAATCATCAGTCCCGAAGTCTCACATAAAGAGTATCTAGCACTGGCCTATGCGCATCAACGAGGGGCTGGAGAGAGATACGTTCCCTTCTTGAATGTTCTCGAAGAGGTCCTTGAGGACAGCATAACATCCGATGAGGCAGCGACTCGAGTCTCTGCTTTTGTCTTATCACAGGAAGATTTTCTGTCTATATACTCTGGCGTTTTGTCAATGATTATCGGCGCAGCGCAGCTACTTTCTGATCAACGAGATCTTTTCAAACTCGCTGATCTTGTGCTGGCACTCTCGCGGTTACCCGATGTCCGCAATGAAAGTAACGAGACGCTTCGTCTATATCACGAACCCAAAACTTATACCATAGCGCCTCAAGAGGTCATTACAGTCGACAATGGCAAGATCTGGTGCGGTCTACCTTCTTTTAGCACCGAGCTAGGCGATTCAATGCGTGGTACATGCTTCTCACACTCCCAGACTAGACTCACCATCTAATCTTGCACTTGTCTAGATCCTACAGCCTACATCAACGACGGCGTTCCCGAACACATAGCCGAACAACAATGGACAAACCAAAACACCTTTGCCGCTTACGTCATCTTCAACACCGCCAGTTCCTCATATTCATTCGACTACTTGTATACCTTTGCTTTTCGCTGCATTGCTGACTCGCTAGAGTGGGATGCCAGAACTGAGCAAGGGATGTTTTCGTTATTTTCTTTGCCAGCGGCTATGAGATAGCTACGTATTGCGGGAGGCAAGCTTTGGGTGAATGGCACACGAGGTTTTGCTGGGCCTTTGTGGCGAGCGTATTGGGAAGATGATGGAGACAGGGATGAAGAAGATGGAATCAACGCGATTACTGAAGCTCGATGGCTTTGGTGGGCTAGAAGGTTAAATGGGTTGGGACAGAGCAATATAATTGACGAGGAAGCAAAGGCTATGGCGGTGATTTGTGCGGAGATGATCAGGAGGTGGGTAGCAGAGGATGAGATGGCGCATCAAGGATAGAGGGCATAAGATTATCACTATCGATAGAGTTTCTGAGCTACGGATACTGGGCTCTTATTTAACAGGACGAACAGTTATTGGAGTCGCACAGCAGACAATAAACCAGACCTAAACCTAATCTGAAGTATAGTTCCGATCTATGTGCGAACATATATGGATGATTCGAGATCGAGAGAGATGGCTTCACAGGCATCTACTATGCGCAATGCTTCGGAGACGAAGAATTGTAACACATGTCGCTGCTTTTCGAGAAAGGTTTGCTACTGACGGAAACAGGCATAAAAAGGAAGGGAACGAGGTCAGTGATCCTACATTGTCCGTTTGTCTCGATTATCAGACTGTCTACCGAACCGCTTCTTGAGAATGCAGCATAGGGGGAGACTGATTGCAATAGAACCTGAGATGTTGAGGAACATAAATGGGACATGGACCTCCTGCACTAGAGCTGTATCCGTGACGGGAGCACCGACTCTACCCGAAGATTGTTGAAAGCTCTTCAAAAGCGGCATTCAGCTTTTCCCCATGTCGTCTTCGTAATTATATGTCGAAGAGAAAGACTATCGAGAAATACAGAATTTGGTAGAGGGAAAAGAGCTGCTCGAATGGCTCATGCTCGAAGCGTAGGTCTTGCAAACAGACGAGCTGTCATCGGATATTTTGTCGCTGACTTTGATGAGCTCCGTTTCTAGGATGTACTGGGCATATAAACGGAGAGACATCTCAAGTCTTCGAGCCAAGCTTGCATTTCAATCGATCGATTCTGGCTCCAGAGGCTCTAGCTGCGATTGACTGGCGGCCTCCTCATCAATAGCTTTCTGGAAGGCAGCGGCTTTGGAGTTCGTTGGCATCTCCATGCGAGAGATGACCGAATCATCATCACCATGCATCACCGAGACTTTGAGGAGACTGACATCGCTGAGGTCAAGGTCGATGTATGAGTAGCCCGGAGAGTCGTCGAGCATGACCTTGAGGGCGGCAGCCGATTCTGGCGACTGGACAATGTCAAGTAGGCCAGGGATTGTCATTTGGTCAGAAGGGGTTGCTGTGACCATGCTCATGGCGAATAGGAAGAGTAGAGATAGACCGAGCATGTTGGTAGTGATGAGCAAACAGGACCTGGGATTCTTGAGGCGATGGGCAAGTAGTCGGGGCAGCAGCTAAACGTATGATTTTCCAGCTTACGGTCGGTGGTCTTGAGTTACGAGATCCTTCGAGCCTTCCTTTCATAATTCAGCGCTCGTGATTGTGTTGAAACCATGGGAGTTGGTTCGATTGGCATGTTTCGATCGAACGTCCGAGATCGATATGCATGTGCCAAGGCCAATCGGCTGCTTCCGGCACACGAAAATAGACTTTCTTATTTCCGCAGTGCCGGTTCTGCCGGGATCCGAATATCAATCGCTACTGTCGTGTCGAGTAACATCGTGAAAAGAGTCTAGAGCTCGTTATGATCGTTGTAGCAACTGGGCCGTCTCGACGGTCATTAGTAAAATCTGACTAGCTACGTGAACGGGACTCGGTTTCGATTCATTATGTAGGAAGGACTTTGAGGTGAGGCTTAGCATAGTGGAATCCTTCTACGCACGTACTTTGTATGACCAACAACCATCCAGGCGGTGCAGATTCCATCTCGAGTGACTCCACAGTTGCTGCTGACAAGCCAGATATAAGAGTCAGTCCCCGACTTTGACTCTCCAACAACTTACATACATTTTCATACACGATGAATTCTCCGACTGTTCAGTCCGCACGAAACAAGATGCAGAAAGTGTTGCAATTTGCCAACGAGCGTCGCCAGCGTATTTTTCGCGTCTCCTATGTTGTACTCGCAGTCCCGATCTTGATTCNNTTACAAGTAAGTTCATGTGTTGTCTTGGTCAAGCCTGCGTCGTGGCTCGGTCACACCTCGATATTCTTGTCTAACCTCAAAACAGTAATTCCTCTGCTGTCGCCGCTATTCCTCCAACTGCCTAATGCAGACGTCGTCGAATTTCAGCTCTACCGTTCCTCCTCCACGATTGATATTGGCTATTACAGTACGGCATCGTTTTTTGTTTTTTTTTGTTCTGGAAGTGATTGTTTTAGATGGCTGACATGGACTGGCAGGTATGTGCTTGGGCTGCTCAGCCCGCAGTCTANNGAAGAAGAATGGCAACACTCCTATAGTCATGCCTGCGTAAGCACCATCGATCGTCACCTTGATGGCAAAAGTCTCGCGCATAAATGGGGCAAAGCCGCTGCTGTGGGACCTGAAGTGTACCAGCATCTTGCAGAAGAATTTCAGAAGGCCTTGATTCTTCAGCGCGAAACATTCTACCCTGGTCTTCTGATCGCAGCTGCCGTTTTCTGGGTACTCAGCGTTGGGCTCTTCGCTACTGCTTCCTTTGTCAAAGAGAGCAAACGGACCTGGATGTTGAGAGTATGCAAAGCATCTGCTGTCGTTGGATCTTTCTTGATCATTGGTGCTACTGTAGCTACTAGTGCTAGTGCGTATGCTCTCGTGCAGTACGTTGACAGTACCTGGAACGGAAGCTATGCCGGACGGATGGGAGCAATTCTGGCGGTACAGTGCGCTGCTGCCGGTACCATGACTGTTCATGCTTTGCTTGCATTTGCCGTTGCTGGTGATATGCAAGAGCATTCGGAGGGATCAATCAGGCTGGAGGAGTAACAACAACCTGCCACCACAGAGCAAGATACTATATCAATACACTTGACCGGTAATGGTTTTGTGACCTATTCGTCTGCCTATGTACGTGACTCGTGTAGCTATGAAAATGCATAGTGTCATAGAGAGACAAGGCACTATCCACCGAGAGTCGATATTTTAGCGGCTCTCTCTAGCTACTCCTCTGCTTCAGGAAAGAACTGTGCGTTTTTATAGCGTAATTTCCGCTCTACGCTCTTTTTGGAAGAAGGGTTGAGATGCAGACTTTAGCACATGGGGAGAAAACATGATATTGAGCCAGCTATGTATGGTAAGAAACTTGAATAAGTACTGTTGTTGACTTCTTCCTACCTCCTCAATGTGGCTTCGTTCTGACCGTTCTGGAATATCAGCACCCACTGTGCTAGATGCTGTCGTAACACTTCTTCTGAAATCTGCTTATGAGCTCCAAGAGCTTGCTGACCTCATCTCCAAATCCTCTCTGCTTGATCCTTTTGGCCATCCTCTGATGCCTCAACGGAGGCTCCGGTATCAGCTTCGGAAGCTTAGCAATCGTCGGTGCTGGGTATTGCTTCAATCCTTCTTGACGACGAAGTCATCGATGAGCTTCACGAGCTTCTCGACCTCAGCTGCGATTGTCTCAGACTTCCTCGAAGTCTTCAAAGTCTTCTTGAGATGTTCGCCAATCTCTGCGATGAAAGCCATCTTTTCATCCTCAGTGTGGATTTGTTGCTCCATCTCGCTACTCTCAGTATCTTTTGCAGGCTGCTTGCCCGTTTTGGCATCCACAAGGGCACGAACGTTGGCTGGCCATCTTGCCTTGCGTGCGGTGACCTTCAATGTGTCGTCGGGGTCTCTGAAGAATTTGAAGAAGAAGACTTCGTCAGAGACCACTTTCTTTGGCTCGCAGGTGCCATCCTTTTCGTTCATTAGCGCGTAGTAGTTGGCCTTTTCGCCTGCATAGACCACTATACGTAGTGCCTTATCGCATTGGGGTAGGAGAACGTAATCAACGTCACCTGAGATGGTGGTACCCTTCAGACGTGTGCCAAACTGAGTTTTCTTGTTGTGTCCGATCTTGGCGAGCTCGATGTTCGAGTCGGGTCTCATCCCAACCCAAAGGCCCAGAAGAACACCCGAGCTGGATATGTCGTCAATCTCGACTTGACTGGGTGTAACGGAAGGTACGTTATCCTTCGTGTACTTGGGAGGGAAGTGGGTTTTAGTTTTGTCCTTGGTGACCAGCCATGTACCGTTGGTGTATTCTTCGAGAACTTGATGGTCATAAGCGATCCCGTTGAAGTTGTATGCGTATGACGTCTTGTTTGGTTTGTCTGTAGCCGAGACGTCGACCATGTGTGAGTCTTCAGACATGACTGGAAAGGTGCTCAACGGAGCTTCCGATGGTGACTAGTTGGGATGGTTGAAGATTGTGAGCTGACTCGGAAGACGTGTCGTGTAGGTTAACGTGACCTCCGTTAGCGAGCAGTTGGTGGGTTGCGGATGATGGACTGAGGCGCGCAAGCGAGAAAGGCGAGGACCTTGAGACTGGCGATCCACGCAAGGCGTGTGGTGTGAAGCAACGGAACCTCTGTTGATGATTGGTTGGCGAGTATCAGGGAAAGCGCGCAAGATAGATAGGGAGGTGAAGATCTTGAAAGTAATAAGAGGCTCAAATGATTTTGAAGTCGGTATGTTTGAGGTATGGAGATCACCTGACAAGCCGCGGACGAGAAGCTGTCGGGAGGAAGATGGCAAGAAGAAGAAGGGGAGAGGATTGATATGGTGTAGATGGGGAGTTATATGGTTCGAGAGTTGAGCAGCAGGATGAGGTGTTCGAAGTGCAAGGATGGGTGTAGAGTCGTTCAAAACTTTGGTTGCTGCCAATTGGATGATGAAGCGAGGAGACGAATTCCGCAAGCTTTATTCAGAGCAGGAGAACAGTGAAGAGAACTGAGGTCGAGACTTGGGATGAGCGTGGTCCAGTGAAAGTGGCACCGGCCAGGCAGGAAGTCAAATCTCTATTGGCGACTTAGGATATTGGAGCACAACGGAGCTTCCGTTGACCGATACTATCATGTCTGCTTGGAACTGTGATTCGAGGATAGTATCCGACCAGCGGTCCTCGTCTCTCATGTCGACATTGAGCCCTGTATACCATGGAATACAAACTCACGGATTCTCTCACATGAGTCTAGAGGATCGTTGTGTGAGTGGCACGACGAGAATTGTACAATTCAAGCCATGATTCTCGATCTAGTAGCGCGAGTTACGATCGGGAGCAGCGGGTTAGTCGTCACGAATCAAAACCATCGATGAGCTTGATAGATGGGTGGCAGTGAGGGTGGGATACAGTCCTTTCTAGCAGACTAGTTGGCAATAAACATCGTTCGGCTCTCCAATTGTGCGGATACAAAAATCCTGTGTTGAATTCCGCAACACTGAGCAATGCTTTGCTTAATTGTTTCCTTATGGGTACGATAGCGTCTGTGCAAGTGTTCAAAGATTCACGACAAAGAAACAATCGAAGGACTATCAGGGTCTTCGTGATTCTCGCGACGCAACTTTGCCATGAACTTGTCAATGTCATCTGCCTTTGCATCTGTGACTGTCTGAATGTGGAAATTAACCAATGAGTTCTCGGCAAACAGTCTGTAGATAGTAACCGTCTTCTCCTGTCCTGGACGCTGAACCCGGAACCAGGCTTGTCTTTCGTCGTTGAGGTTCCACCAGACCTCGCATTGAATGATGATGGAGGCTGCAGAAAGGTTGATGCCGGCTCTGCCAGCACCTGCCGTGACCAACAAGATGCAGAACTCGTCCTCATCTGCTGTCGAGAACATCCAGCGGGTGACATCGCGTCTGACCGGCTTTTGCTGGCCGTCGATTATGTAGACTGAAGGTTTGCCTTCCATGTATATGAGCGAAGACTTCCGCCAGAAGATCGAGGAACTTCAAGCATTTGGAAGAGATGACGATCTTCTCTTTGGGCTTGGTCTCACGCAGTTCCTCGACAATCTTGTAGACGGCCTCGTCTCGGCTAGACCAGATGGAGCCATCCTTGTAGAGCTTTTTCACAAGCTTCAGCCAGTCTTCGCGGTTTTGGGCCTTTTCTTGGTTGGTCTGTACGCCTTTGGCACTATACTACTGATTCTGACGAGATATTGTTGGAAAAGATTATAAGTACGGCGAACCCCTCGCGTCAAGCGGCTTTGTATATGGTTTTGACTCGGGTGGACCGGGACTTCTTGTGCTGGTAAAGCTCTCTGACGGGTTCCAGCCACCCATCGCGAGCTTTGGGCTCCTTTGTGGTGGGCTTGTGAGTCACAGCAAGTTTTCCGGGTGTCTTGACTATATAAGCAAAAAGCAAAACGCATAAAGATACATGTCGCATCTTCTTCAGCGCTAATGATCTGAAGACTTTTCTTGCATCGACTAGAGCCCTAATAGAGCATCGTAGCGGTTATTTGTCGCGTAGCCGGCCATTGTCTTTACAGACATTATAGTAAAGCTGCCTCCAACAGAAGCATACTCATCCATGTCGTGTTCACCGCTCGTTTGGAGAACTTAGTCATCCTCTTATATGCACTTTCCCAGGTCGTTGTTGGAATCTTTGACAGAAAAGGATAGTCCCGACATTGTCCTTACCCTGGTCCGTGAGGAACGCAGCTGGGTGGGCTTTAGTGTTCAGGGCGATCAAGACCTGCTTGTATATAAGCCTGATCGTGTCCCGTACGACAATGTTTCTGATGGCTAGATTCCTCAACCCGTACATGAACCAGGCTCCGAGCTTTTGAGCAGAGGTTCCAGGGTTAGCCATGCGAAGCTCGTCTTCCAATGGGACATGGTAGTTTTCCCTGCCTTGGACAAGGATCAAATAGGATTTGATCGGGACAATAGAATTGACACGGTGATCCCAAAGGTCAGTAGATCAAGAGACGTTGAGCCCTTCTGTTGAACTGCTATACAGAGCTCTTATGAACTGTGTGTTTCCAGAATCAACTTGCCCAGCGTTTTCGTCGTGGCTTGAGTCTTCAATGATGGTAGACTCTGTCTGACCTTGCTCGCACTTTGAGCCCTCCAGATCCTCGACATCCTCTTCGACCTTATCTTCTGGGCTTGATATGTGCAACGACAGTGGAGATGACGAGAGGAGCAGAGATTCAGGATTATATATACGTGCAAAGGTTACACGATCAGGATAGTGTCAGACAGCCTGGGCAAGATTGGCACGAGCTCCCGGACTTGTGAGACCACCATGATATATATGGATGCTGTTGTCTTGTTATAAAGTCTGGAATCTCTAGGGAGTCCCAACGGAAATGTCGATGGGAGAAGCTTGTCCGCTTGTGCGAAGCGGCGAGATCGTTCCAACTACATCTGGATGAAAGGCTCAGGAGGCTATGGTCAGATATGTTTGTGCACCAAGAACGATGATGCGCTCAATTGGGGCAGAACCTGGAGAACCATCATACGCGTGACCTGATTGCAAGGCACACGAGTGAAGTTGAAGTCGAAGCTTTGCATATCTTTTTCGAAACCAGATCCTACTGCAAAACGATCTCGAGGCAGATATTGATTATGTGGCAAGTGACTGCTGATTGACAGGGGCGATAAGGATGTCTGAGCGATTGAAGCCGCTTGGGAGGCAGAAGATGGTTGGGCTGGCAGTCCAGAAGGTTCATATAGAGATGTCGCTTTGAGATTGATTGGGAACATAGTGAGCTTGGTTAAAGTGGTGTGCGAAGAGGTGTTAGTGTCGATGTGCCACGGTACAATCAGTCCAGATGATGATGTTTGGTGTGAGGTAGCAATAAGATCAGGGTGTAGTTCATGTTTCAGGTCTCCTGAGCGGACACAGAGGTCCTGAATCTTGCCTTCCAGCCGTGCATTGATATAGCCCATCAGCTTCCAACTAATCAAGCGTCCCTGATCAACTTCAAGTCTTTCAAGCCAACTCTCGATCTCCTCCACTTTCACTTCGACCAGCTTGAAGAAGACATATACAACGGATCAAGTTGGGAGCACCACCCGGGCTCCACAGTATGATCAGTTTCAATGACGAAAACGAGAAAGTGTTCGAGGGCTAGTCAGGCGCGACCAGATGGAGTAGTGCCATTCTTAGTGATTTGTCTGGTCACCGGACGCGGAAATCTGGTGCTGAACATGATAGATGTTGTCTTCTTGGTTCGCTATGTGCTGGGATAGGCCGTCTGCTTGGACAGGGTAGTGACCTTGAGTGTCATGCGCTTGGGAATGGGGTAAGGCGTAGTTGGCTGCGTAGGGGTTGGCTTGCTAGCGTTCTTGTCGGTCATGCTTCTGATGTGTGGCCATGCTTTGCTCCATAGCAGTCTCAATGTAGGAGAACATCCTGGTGAGGGGCATTTTCGTTGCGCTCGGTACTGATAGACATGTCTTCCTCTACTCTGAGAGTTCATTGGTTGATGGAGGAGGATATGATATGCACTGGGTTGTCAATGCGGGTATGTGCCCGTGGAACACTTGCACTGCTCGCTCCAAGTAGACATATGAATCAGTCTCCGGGTATGCGGTCCACAAGACATTCTGTTCTTGCGTAGTGCTCCAGCATCTCATAAGCTATGTCTCAGTGTGTCGTTCTGGTAAGGGTAACTTCAACACGCGGCCGCTCGGGAGTCATGATTTGATTGGTCTCGGCGATAACTTCGAGCTCCTCGACCCGGTCGATATAGTAGTGGCCGATGTTGCTGGTTCTGGAGCGATTGGCCGTGAGATGATAGTGTCTCTGTCGCAGAGAGCGAAGAGCTGCGCAGAAGCACTTGCAGCCATCAACGCGAGAAGTGCATTGGTATCGCTCTGCATCGTATGTGAACTCATCTGGTGCTGGAGTCATGTCAAGACCCAAATCAATGCGGACTGCTAACGGAGGCTCCGTTGTACAAGTGAAGAAGGCAGGCCGATGTATAACCTTCTAGAAAGTGTTGGATGATAAGGATGAGGTGTGTGGATGATGAAGAAGTAGAAAGCAGGCTGGACGAGATCGCAACCTTATATCAGATTGTGATTGCTACGGATGAGGAAACAGAAAGAGGAAGGTGGTGTTGGAAAGAGCATTGGAAGGAAGGAAGGATTGATCGTCTTGAGCCATTGCATTCAAGCGCATTATGGAAGGTTCTCTTGATTGCTCACCATTCTTTCACCTGTCGTCTGAAGACGATGCTGGACATCACATTCTTTGCAGAGAGATTCCGATGACTTTGCTGTACCCACTCTCTATGAAGCCAAAGGGCAACTCGTAAGCTGTAAGGAAACACGGTACCTCTCAGAAGCAAAGAGATGTGCCACTGAGATCAATCGCATTCAGTCTCTCTGGACAGCTCTCAATCCTGATGATGATTGTGCATCGTTATAGCCGTATACGTGACAAATGATTGCTCATGGGAAGGCTGCTTACCCTCTGTCCATAGATTGACCTGGATTGTTTGACGGACAAGGCCATATTTGAGGCACTTATTGAAATGATGAATTGGCAAAGGCGGTACACACGGCTGTGGTTCCAGGCTATTGAGCAGTGGCTTTATAAGTCCCACTCTCAACGACCATCTGTGTCGGCTTTTCAAGCAGGCCGTTGAGGAGCTGCCAGGGTGTTGGAAACTCACAGCAAGCCGCATTTATGCGTGCGACGCGGGTGTCCAAAGAGCAAGAAGCGAGGTACACATCAACAAACATGCCCCGGATTATAGGTATAGCGGGATCTGGAACCATACCTTCCATGTCCGCTCGTGCATGAACATGACGGCCTATTGTGTCTTTTGTATCAACGGGCAAATGAAAGTCATCAAGAGCCAGAGCCGAAACAGAGGTCGCTTGGCTGAAAAACGCGGCTATCGAATGCGGCATGATGCAAGTGCCAAGGTCGACGACGCCGAGACGTCATCTAGATGCAGGGTTCACGTCATTTTTTCGAGCTGCCGGCTTTCCAGGAACAAAGCGAAAGGCTCCGAAAGCAAGATGCGGTACAATTGACAGTCGGCAGAGACGATCCGAATGGGTTGTCAAAGGATGAGAACCAAGATCTCGTAAAGTCCTATATCTGGTCAATCTTTTGATACTCGAGGAGCGAGGGAGGTGAAGGAGGTTGGGTTGGCTTCGGGGTCTGACTCGCTTCACGAAGGCACCATCAGGGTCTTGTCGTGTAGCAGGTTGGAAGTGGAGTAAACTAGGTGCCTTTTGCGCTGAAGAGCATAGAGCGCTGGGCTGGTCTGTTATGGAAAAGCGGAGCCAACTGTTGCCGGAGAAGAGGCAGCTTTTGGGAAACGAAAGCAAAAAACGGCCGGCGCGCGGCGGGCGCCAACTGTCTTTCTCGACATCATTCTGTAGAGCTACAAGTGCTTGTATATGACCTCAACCGCTGTGGCTGTTCGACCTCTCTTCGCCTAGTGTCCTCATTTCTCCCTCATAAAGCATCCGTTTCCGCCTCATCGCACCAGCCTCGGGTCAAGACCAGCGAACGAGACACAACCGGCAATCGCGAAGGAGCAACGAAACGCACGAAACGGGAGAGAAAAGACAATCGCCAGCCAACTTTGTGTGGCTACCTACTTACCTCAGTCGCTGCCCACGGTGCAACAACAGGATCTCTGTTAGATTGGGAGCCCCTCGCGACGCACAAGCAGCCCCTGCAAGGTTTCGAGATTGAACAAGTCGTCGATCGGCGGGAGTTGTTACCATGTGGAAAATCGAGGTTAGTGCTTCACCTGCTGAGCAGTCCCCTCGCTCCTTCCCTCTCGAAGGTCTCCTTCCCTCTGTCGAGAGGTCGAAAGACTTCTTTAACACATCCATCATCGAGGTCGTCATGAGTGCCACGGTGATTGGCCCCTGCTGAGGCTGCTGGGCTCGTGTGTCATTCCTCCAGACAAAAAACAAAGCACCTTTGCGTGGATGACAGCCTTGACCCCGGGTGCGCGAGCGATCCGACGTCATCAAACCCTATGATGCAGCGTTCGTCTAACTCTTGCTCCTGCTCAACCCTGCATCCACCCCGACTTCCCATCCATCCCTCATCCTCCCATTCACGCTACCTTCCCGCTTGATAATCACCCCCTCTTTCGCTATCACGTTGCTTGTGCTCTGTTCAAGCCTGTGTTGGTCGTTTACAAGCACGCACACATCCTTACACCTCTCTCTTTCTTCTCTCAATCACCGGTGTTTTTTCAAGACGACACACCACCCCGATTGCGTCACGCCATCACAACCACCAACTAATCAACCATGTCAACGATACAGAACCTCAAGAACTTCATCCGTCACGGCAAGCAGGCGCGCGACCAGAACCCAAAGTCGCCGCCTGACCAACCTGCCGTGTCTAATGTCCACGCCCAGCGTCATCACAATACACAACACCATGCCTCGCCAAGACAGCAAGAGCAAAGGCATCACGACCAATACGCCATGAGTGATCCCAACGTTTACGCCCACCAGCCTCTGCAAGCAAATGCCCCTCAGGGCGACTTCTCTGCCGCTGTCATTGACAACCGCAACGTCGCCGCCAAGGCAGGTGCCGCCGCCGGCGCTGCTGTTGACAAGCAACAAAAGAAGGAACAAGGCAGAAAGGATGTTGATCCCGAAGTACTGGAGCGCATTGTTGCAGAGGAGCGTGAGGCCAAGGGCAAGCTGCCCAGATACCCCGGACTCGAGAGATGGAACCTGGTCGAGAAGATGGGCGACGGCGCCTTCAGCAACGTCTACCGCGCCAGAGACAGCCAAGGTGTCTACAACGAGGTCGCCATCAAGGTTGTGAGAAAGTTCGAGATGAACTCAACCCAGGTACGTATCGCGCGCTCCTTCCTTTCTTTCTATTGCTCGTTCTTCTTCTCTTCAAACCTGTCGTATGTGCAGCCGCCAACCGTGCTTGTGGAATAGGGCGACAAGGTTCTTCATCCGGATTTCAAGAAGACGCCCAAGGGAGTGGAGGTGCGCCAACCCCTTTTCTTTATGCTTTCGTATCTTGACGTCTCAGACATCTGATCGACAGACACTGACTTTGTTCCCTGCAGCNGTGCCAACATCCTCAAAGAAGTCCAGATCATGCGTCAACTCGACCACCCCAACATCGTCAAGCTTGTCGAGTTCTCCGAGGCCCGTCAATACTACTACATTGTCCTTGAGCTCTGCCCTGGTGGTGAGCTCTTCCACCAGATCGTCCGTCTCACCTACTTCAGCGAGGACTTGTCAAGACACGTCATCGTCCAGGTCGCAAAGGCTCTCCAGTACATGCACGAAGAGGCCGGTGTCGTCCATCGTGATATCAAGCCCGAGAACTTGCTCTTCTACCCTACACCTTTCATTCCCACCAGAAACCCCAAGCCCAGAGGTCCCGATGACGAGGACAAGGCCGACGAGGGTGAATTTATCAAGGGTGTTGGTTCTGGTGGTATTGGTCTGATCAAGGTTGCCGATTTCGGTCTTTCCAAGGTCATCTGGGACAGCCAAACCATGACTCCCTGCGGAACTGTTGGTTACACTGCCCCCGAGATCGTCAAGGACGAGCGCTACTCCAAGAGTGTCGACATGTGGGCACTCGGCTGTGTGCTCTACACTCTTCTCTGCGGTTTCCCTCCATTCTACGACGAAAGCATCCAGGTCCTCACCGAAAAGGTCGCCAAGGGCCAGTACACTTTCCTGTCTCCTTGGTGGGATGACATCTCCAAGTCTGCCCAAGATCTTGTTTCGCACCTCTTGACCGTCGACCCTGACAAGCGCTATGACATCAACCAGTTCCTCGAACACCCCTGGATCCGTGAGTCTGGTGAGGAAACCAACGCCGCCGCCGACGCTCCTCCTCTCGCCACCCCTCTGTACCGCCAACCTCACTCCGCCGACATGGACTCCAAGACTCCTCTGCAACAAAACTTCGATCACCTTCTCGAGACTCCTGGTGCTGGAAAGCGCATGGACTTCCGTTCACCTGGTGCCGTCAACTTGCGTGAGGTCTTCGATGTTTCATATGCCGTCCACCGTCAAGAAGAGGAGGGCAAGCGTCGCAAGAACTTCAAGCAGGGATACCGTGGTGCCACTGGCCTCAACTCGCTCAACGCCCTTGATGAGGATGAGGATGATGAGTACGGTCAATCACAACCCTACGACACCACATCAGCAAACCCTCCGGCCAAGGCTCCCAAGGCTGGTGCTTCCGACGTTACTGGCGTCGAACGCCAAATGCGCAATACCTCATTGTCGGCCGCTGCTCAGGCTCGTCAGCAAGCTGCTCCTCGCACACAACCGCAGGAGAAGGGTTACGGTCAGCATAGTGCCGCTGTTGCAGCCGCAGCCAAACGCCAGGTCAAGAACCGTGGCGCTTTCGAGCTGAGCCTGGATAACGCCACATTATTGGGCCGCCGCAAGAAGCCTGAGCCTAGCAAGATGAGAGAACAGCTCACTGTCCAGTAGGCCTGAGGACGACCATTTTGTTTTGATGATATACACTTCTTTGCCATGAACGACCTAACATTGCACATGGGGAGGGAAAAGACCGGGTTATCATATTATCGACTTTCTCTCTTCCTCGCCCCCCTTTTACTGCTATTACTTTTGATTAGGATAACGACATGCGGCGAAATCATGAGAGACTATAGGGATCGCGGGTTCCAGTCTCTCTTCTGTCCCTTTCTTTGCTATTGCACAACCCCACGGCCCAGGAGAGATTACCTCACTATCATAGATTGAGAGCGCGAGATACGAAATGGCATATTCTAGCTTTTTGCATTTGAAAAACAACCTGTTATATGACTATTCAAGTATCGCGACATCGTGAATGTATCTTTGCTAGGTATATCTCCGTGTTGACATTGATGATATTAACATAACTTTGTGCATCATATCAAGTCTTTGTCGTTTGTAGGGATCACTTCGGAGCCCTCGCAGGGTTCAATGTGTTCTTAGTATCTCAACGGGGTTTATCTTTCCTCGATCTACATGCTGATTTATACAAGCCGTGTTTCAGCTCAAATTGCCGTGAGAGAGCAGCGTGTTGAGGGATCGACGTTGAGATTCCATCTGTGAGCTGAACAAACAAAATATCTTTCCAGCTCATTTGTGCTATCACGACTGATTCATATAGATAGATTTTGATTTTCTTACATAATATAGGGAGCAAGACCATCAACTTAGCCATTTGCTTGATTTGTGGTTGGCCAGCATCATCGTCGTGGATGTGCTATATATGGGTCAGGGTTGTTGTCACAGCAACTTGATAACGGAACAGTGGTTTATGATCTTTTCATACCTCTTGTAGATATCGAAGGTTCGAGATGTAGCGGGATCGATCAAATGAGGGCAGCAATGGTACGGGGAGATCAAGAGTGGCAAAGTATCGTCGATCTGATTTCGTACTGTAGCATTTGATACAAGGAGAAGTAATGGGGGAAGCGAGAAGAAAAAAGATGAGCAAGATTGGCAGGAATGGAAGAAACAATTTACGGTGATATTATAGCAGAGGTTCTGAATGGTATCTGTATAGGAGGCATTGGAGAAAAAGCATACGGAAAGGAAAACTGATACGTGTGGTTGTTTTCCAAGACTGTAGATCTGGACGAAAACCTTACACCGTGATTGAGAAAACAAAGTTATATTTCACTATAGTTGATGGCCCCTGAATACGACTATCTCACAGCTACAGTATCGACTACAGTATTGATATGTGACCAAAGATCTGCTCACCAATCTAAGTATAAAGATCAAGCCTATCATGCAATCTCATCGTGATACTAATTCATCATCAACTAGGCTCGAAAGTGTCAAAAATGTAATAACCAATATTTCCAAATGAACCAATACGTAAAAACTACAACAGACGATCAGAAATCGTCTATCTCTGCAATACTCCCTCCCTATGCGCAACAAAGCAAGGTATATAAAGACGCACATCCGCAAAACCCCTCGCCATTAATATGCCAGTTCCCTAACCACCTTGATAGAGCAATCAGGTCACTAAGCCTCCATCTCACTTTCTAGTTCTCCACCTCATCTAATCTCTTTCTAAAACCCACGCTTTAGGGGCGCTATCGCTGAAAAAAAGTATCACAGACCTCTTCTTTTCTCTCCCTCGCCCCAAGGCGCCCGCCACACGTAATGCTTCTTAAGTTGCATACACTCCTTTGGTAGCCGCTCATGTCGTCGTGTATGGAGGTAAGCAACAATGGCCATCTTGCTGCCGCTCTCTATGAATGGCTAGTAAAATAATAGGTTACAGAAATGCACAGTTGCTTTTGGAAACAAAAATTTGGCCACGGAGATAGCCTATGATAGAGGTTTTCATGGACGTCGTTTTCTTATGGAAAGTATTGTGCATTTATATGGCTATCTTGTAAGAGTCTGTTGTATACGGAGATCATCGCTGCATGTGGATTGTGATGGTGGCCCCTGTGCTACATCGAAGCCCCTATCAAGGGCAAAGCACCTCTGTTTTCTATACAGCACAACTCCATGTCGCAAGGCTGGAAAACAGGTTCAAGATCTGTCACAGGAGATTTAGGCAAAGTGAGAGAGATATGTATATCTCTATTCAAAGAAGGTTCTGAAAAACAAAGGCATCGTTTCAAGAAAGATCGAAGAGGTCCCTCGCTATGCTCGCGCCGTCGATCTGATCTTTCCCTGTCTGTCCTCTATAGCTCCCTCCATAACTCACTTATCACCATCCTGACCATGTGCTCCATGTTCAATGAAAGTCAAAATCTTTCGTCACGCACCATCCACGAGAACGGTATCAAGATAAAACAGCGTCAACGACTCAATTGAAAATACTGCTACGCGTGTCCTCAGTGACCTGGTTGACCTTGTAAAGATGCTGGGTGGCATCGAGCACAGTCTTGATGTGCTTATGAGCAAGAGATTCGGCCTTACGATTAGCCAACAACTGAGCCGTCTTGAGCATATTCTTGATTTGACGACCGTTGATTTTGATCAGCGAAAGCTGGCGAATCTCTTGCGTGGTGATGGCATGAGGCTGAGTCAAGGCCTCGTGCTTGGCCTTAGTGGCTTCATCATCCTTGTCTTCAATGGCTTCGGAGGCTGATTTGATCGACGAGGTGGGGTTCTTGGGCGGCGTAAGGCGGGCAGCGGCTTGGGCGTCGTTGTGGCGGCCGAGGAAGTTCTCCCAGATCTTACGACGGCTCTCGGGCGACAGTTCTGGATAGTCGATGCTGACATGGATACGTGATTGGAAAGCCGGGTCAAAGGTCGAGACGCGGTTGGTGGTCAGGAACATAATACCCTCATGGTATTCAAGCACACGCAAGAAGATGCTGACAAGCTTGTTGCGCTCAACTTCATGACGACTGCGCTCCTCCAAGAAGATGTCGGCCTCGTCCAAGAGTAAGATGGCGTTCCAGCGTGTACACATGCCCAGGACAGAAAGTAAACGGGCCTCGATGTGCTTCGAGTCCATGCCCAAATCACCCGCGGACATGACGAACAATGGAACCTCCATATGCTCAGCCACACTCTCAGCGGTGAGAGTCTTGCCCACTCCAGGAGGTCCGCATAGCAGCAGTATTATACCACGACCTTTCCCNTGGATGACATCGTCGTAGGCCATACGTGTAGCTTGCTGCGTGCAGGTGAAACCGAGGATGAGCTCCTTTGTGTCTTCAGGCAAAACAAGTGAGTCGAAGGCTCCCTTGTTGAAAGTGACATCTTGCACAGAGCCGACAAAGAGGTTGAGCCACAGCTTCTCCTTTAGGGCATAGCCGCGAATCAAGTGAGTACAGAGAATCTTTTGCTCATCAGTGAGGGGTGGGAGCTTCTTCAGGTCTTCCTCTTCACCAAAATGACCGTCAAGTGGCATGCCACCACCACAACCTTCATCGAGCGGCTCTCCGAATGCTGGGAGGAACAACTGTCGGGAGTTGTGGATTGTTCTGTCTGTGTCTTTGGTGCCCAAAGCTGAGACGTAGACAGCCTGATTAGGCATGTAGCGATTCCAGCCTACCGTGTCGACGATGATCCTGCCCTTGACACTGTGACGCTCCTTCTGGCCGTACATGTCCAGCTTATGGCCAATCCCATCATACGCACGGTAGTGAGTGCTGACGAGGGCCTCGATAGCGGAGCCTCTGTTGATAAGCGTCTTCAGCAGAGTGGCTTCGTCAGCATGGTATTCAATAGGATACGCGGCAAGAGAGGCAATGGGGCAAGTGCCTTGGAACTCGGGGATGTTGATCCTGGCGTTTGTCCAGCCGAATTTGGTGCCGTCGAAGTCAATGAAGCGGATCTTGAGCGAGAAGACTGGCTTGTTGTCTTTGTCAACGCCATACTTGCTCGATATCATATTGAAGACGCGGTCTTGGCCTTCCTCGCGAACATAAACCATGGTGCCCGGCTCGTAGATTGTCCAGAGAGCTTCGTACGTCATGACACCTTGTGCTTTCATGTCGCGTGAAGACTCGATCAAGACCTGGAATTCGTCGTACAAAAGGTCACGGAGGATCTGTGTGTGCTTCAAGCTCAGCTCTGTTTCGCTAGGCTGAGGTGAGGAAGCGGTGTCGTCATCAGGGTTCTTCCCATTGGCTTCAGCAGGTGTTTCGGACGTTTGATCCAAGTCCTCGTTGTTGGTTGCTGTATTCTCTTGGACCAGAGACTTAGCATTGGATAAAGCATCGTTTTTCTCCGGGTGTTGTGCGAAGACTCCGTTGGTAGGTGAGGGCTTATCGGAGTCTTTGGTAGATGAGTCCAGGCGCTCCGTACCTTCCCCTTCATGCTTGAGCAATGCTTGGAGCTTCTCAATGGTAGAGTCGAGCTCGGGGAAGCGATGAATCAGGCACTCGAACTTGCCACTGAACTCCAGTCTTTGCAGGCCCACAGTGACGTTTGGGTAATCAGCAAGCACTTCTTCGAGCACTTTCTTGAGCAGTGGTGACTGGATGACTATAGAGTGTAATGCCAGCGTACGACGAGGGTCGCCGTAGACCTTGACGTATCTGGCAATGAAGGCCCACTTCTGAGTTTCGGCGTTCTCGGCGGGAGGTACAAGATCTTCGGGTATCGTCTCCTGCCACTGGAAGCGTCCTCTACGATCCTCCTTACCGGCATAGAGATTCTTGAAACCAACAGACATGCCCACCAACTTTGGGTCGAGCTTCTCTTCCTTTGGCTTGGCTGGTCTTGCGGCGTCTGGAACCGCCAAAAGATCAAGCATCGAGGTGCGGTGTGCGAGAGGATTGGGTTCGGATCGTTCAGAGTTGTAGCTTTCCTCATCTTCGCTGTCTCCAGGAGGCATTGACTCAAGACGTTCGGCTAATCTTCTAGCATAGCGATCTGCTGTTGTCCTTCTCATGGCAATGTGGTGGGCCAATTCAGAACGTCTGGAATTTTCGAGCGGGTCCGGAGCACAGGGAGGAAGACCGTAACGAATTGGTGAGCTTTGTGGTGCAGTTGGAGGACTGTGCTGAATAGTAGAATAGGAGGTAGAAGATAGTTGGACGGAGTGGAACTTATGGCGATTGCGGAGAAGCGAGGAGGTTGTATCGTTTGTGGGTTGTTGACCACAAGAACGTCTTGTCAAAACCAAGTCGGAGCCTGACCGAGTGCGAGTGGTAGTGAAAGTGGAATGTCAATGTTGATAGCGCTGTAAGAGGTTGGCCCCGCAGTTGCCTGGTGCCACGCTCGTGCCGAGTTGGATGTGAAATATGTGAAGGCGACGCGTGAGCCTGGCGTTTGTCGTGGAGTCTTCATGAAACAACTCCACGGTTGTTGAGACCAGTAGCAAGACAAAGTGCAGTTCGTAAGAATGTGTCTTCCGAGTGGACAGTCAAGTGGCTCGGAGAACGGGCAATGGCTGGACTAAAATGCTTTGTATGGAGATGTCCGAGATGTCAAAGCTTACGAGAGGCGGTGCATCTGCCTGATTTTGATAGAGCAGAAATCCTGGAAAGAGTGAAGATGTAAGAATGGAAGGTACGAACGGTATCACATGCGGCCGACTTAGCTTGACATGCGGGTTGATGCAGGCGACAGCGCATGCTTGCTCTTGCCGCAGAACTGACCTCTCATATGCAGCCTGGGCGCCTATCGACATTCTACTCACCACTTTTGCAGTTCTTTCGGAACTTCTACAGCAATTGTTTGCTAGACAGTCGTATTCACCATCTGCGAACACAAAATCTCTATCGTAGTCTGCTGCTGCAGTACTGTATGAACCTATTATCTTCGGTATGCCGAAATCCCGGGTTTGCATAGAGACTTGCAGATCAATACCGCAAGATCGACGCTGAAGAACACCCAAGACACATGCACCTAACCAGAATGCTGTGACCAAAATCGTAGTCATCGACAGGGCGACATCTGGGTCGTGTCAGGAAACGTGACAGGCACTGGACAGATTGAGCGGTTCGCATCAAAAGTCGCCAAACTGGCTCAACTGTATCTCTTCGCCAGCCAAAGACTCGAGATCGGCGAGACTAATGCCGTGGGCGCCCGGTGGCACAGTCATTCGTGCCGCAGCACTCGTAGGCGAAGGACGTTTTGTAGGTATCATGGGCGGCAGCATCAACTTTCGGTCAATGTCGCGGCCTGGTTCGTCCTTCTCTTTGTCCTTTCCATTCAACCAAGATCTCATGTCGCCATTCTTGCTGACCTGTTGCGGCGGCACTTGTGGTAGAGGCGCGTTGTTCTGATGTAGATTGTCCACCGACCAGTCCAACTCTTCGAGGTCATCGGCGGAGAGATCAAAGTCGGCGGATGTGAAAGATGGTATACGGTCGAACGAGCGCGTCGCAGGTGATGTAGGCTTCTGAGGGATGGAGAGGTCGCGGGCTATCTGGGAGCTGCGCTCGAGAAAGTCGTCCCAGTCGCTAAACTCTTCGGTGTTCGATGGAGATATCAACTTGGGCTCGCCATGAGATTTACTGGGCGTCTGTTGTGACGGTACCTGGGTAGGTGGTCTCTTGAGTGTTGTGACGGGCGACTCTCCAGCCAAGTCTAGCAGAGTGTCGTCGTCTACGCCGTCGTCCTCCCAAGGCTCTGCCCCCGACTCTTCCTCTTGCAATGCTGACAATGGTGCAGGGGCAGGGGTAGGGGCAGGAGCGAGAGCAGGTTTGGGCTTCAGAAAGGCACCGAGATGGAACTGGCTTCTCTGGTAGCCAAACTTGTCATTGACACGCTGCGTGCCCAGGAGGCAGGTCTTTGTTGCTTTTGTGTCTTGGAGGGATTTCTTCTTGAGCACTTCCTTCCGGCGTGCCTCGGACTCCTTGATGCGCTCAGCACGTTGCAGCAGGATGGCGCCACGCTCGAGTTGGCGCTTTTCCGTGTCTGTAACAAAGGTCGACCCGCGCGCCTTGAAAGCTGCCTTTGCCTGCTTCAGCGTCTGCTTTCCATCATGCACCTCCTTCTTCTTCTGACCCATCACAAGTCATGATAGTTGTGTTGTTTGGACAGCAACAGCAACATGCATAATTTGTTGGCAATCGCCTCCTGTCGGCAACTCGGGCCAACATTGCGTGCAGCCAGCGAGAGAGTCACGTGCGCTTGACTTCTTCACCGGCCGTCTCGATCATTTCCAGAATCGCATCAGGTTGCTTCCATTCCTCCGCATGCAAGCCACACCGATGTCGCATACGTGCGATCGTCTGTACATCACGCAGAAACCATGACCACTTGTATTTTGTTATGCTATGCGATTTGGAGAGATCGCCCAAACACCCCGTTGTCACGCACGCCAGCTGACCTGTACCGAGGCTGATCGCAACGACTCTCCACCACGTAGCAGTATCCCAATTGGCCATTCGAGCTGTTGAAGCTCTCACCTTGTCCAGATGCTACACACCACTGTTTTGTCCCCGGAGATGCTCGCTATATCATCTTTGCCATTCACGTCAGTGGTTGCTGTACGTTTTCTCTTGTACAGTTGAGCGTTGTGTCGGCAATGCAGTCATCAAGGATCAACGCCCTCAATCCTTCTCTGTCATGTTCACCTAGCGGCACTTGGTTTGCTTGGAGTGTAGCACTGCAGTATTAGCATCCGAAATACGTGCGTACATCTGATTGGCAACCACGAGAACAGTCGGCAACCCTCAATCCTATTCTCCTCGCGCCGAAGCACCATCCTCCGAGCTCGTCTGTCGCCTCTGATTCATGACTGTGAGTCGCAGCAAGGTCACACGGCACGTGAAGGTCGTTGGAGATGTTCAACCGAGGCGGTGCGAGAGTCAGAGACCTGGCCCACTCTGGCTAAAGCCTAAGCGCGTTTGAATCGTGGAGAAAGCTGTGGAGAAAAGCTTGATCCGTGACGTATCTCGAAGGCTATTTGACAAAATCCAAGTCAGAAGCTCACTTTTCTGCGACAATCTTTCCTTACGGGACTCAGGCAGCTTCTTTTTGATGCGGTCAGATTCGTGCCGAGCATGCCTTGTGACACTACTCGCCTTGCCTCCGGCCCGCGCGCCTTCTCGCGCTCCCTATCCCACAAGCCACTTCCGCGTGAGCTCCCGTGAGCTCTCTTGACTTTTCGAACTTGACCATTCACGATGCGTGCCTGGCTCTCCACACCGTCATCCCTGCTCAAGCTGTGGACCCTGGGGTTGCGGGGTGACCAATCGCCGTTGCTATACAGCTTTTTGGCCTTACTAAACAGCAGGCCGCAGAGAAAAAAAGTGTAGAGTGGAGATGATCGCTCTCGTCATCTTGACTGTTGGCCGAATACTGACCGCTCACTTGCTGCAACACTGGTCTCGTGGTCTGGTGTTGCACTTATGGAGTCATGGCCTGTGGATGATCTTTACTGAGCTGATTTACGTTAATTGCAACGGTCAGAGCTGTAGCAGTAGCAAGGTAAGACATACAAAAGGTAGAAAGCTCCCGGTTCTTGAGCTCGTATCTCTTTGCGCATCAAGAACATCTTTATCTTCTGCCAATCCTCTGGCAGATCACCTTCTCATCTCGTATTCAATCTACAATATGTTGTCCAAGACATTACTATCCTCAGCCCTTGCGGCACTCTCTTTGTTGCCATCTACTACTGTAGCAGCACCTCTGTAAGACACCGAGCTCAGCTCTCCTGCTACTCCCCTTGTTAACACTCCCACTAGTGAGCAATTCAACAAACGCGATCTCAAATTCAACTATGGCGGCGAGAAAGTCCGAGGAGTCAACCTTGGTGGTTGGTTTGTCCTCGAGCCTTGGATCACTCCCAGCATCTTCGAGGCAACACCCGACAATGTAGTGGACGGTATGTTGCAGTAGACCTTGAGGGAAAGCTGGCAAGTACTAACAGTTGCAANNGAATACACCTACTGCCAAACACTTGGCTCCACCGAAGCATACAACAGACTCTCAAACCATTGGGACACTTGGATCACCGAAGACGACTTGCACCAAATCGCAGCCGCAGGCATGAATCACGTCCGCATTCCCATCGGCTACTGGTCAATCATCAAAGACGACAACGCACCATACGTACAAGGCGCATACGAATTCCTCGGTCGAGCATTGGACTGGGCAAGCGGCGCTGGTCTCAAAGTCATGATTGACCTTCACGGAGGTTCGTTGCCTCTCTTTCCATACCAAACACCAACACCAACACTGACACAACCACAGNCACCCTACTCGCAAAACGGCTTCGACAACTCTGGACAGAGAGGCGGTGTTGGCTGGGGCCAAGGCGACTCGATCAGCAGAACCATCTCTGCACTCAACAAGATCCGCGATGACATGGGCAGCCACCCTGCCGTTTCGACCATTGAGCTTTTGAACGAGCCAATGGGTTCGTCGATTGGTATGGACAAGGTTCGCCAGTTCTACATGGATGGTTGGGGTAACCTCAAGTCCACCAACCTGGTCGTCACTTTCCACGATGCCTTTGCTGGTGTCAATGCTTGGAATGACTGGGGTAGTGGCATGTGGAACTTGTTGCTTGATACTGTAAGTTCTCCCCATCCTCTCTTTCGACTCTCCTTGGACGCTGCGGTGGTTCTCAAAACCATTGTGCCTTTCTTTGGCTGCATCCCATCCACCCTGGCACACGGAGAGCTTGAAAGTTGCGTTCATCTCGTAGACCATGCTGACATTGCTCGAACAGNNCATCACTACGAGGTCTTTGACAGTGGTGTCTTGAAGAACGACATCGGTACCCATATCTCAAGCGCTTGCGCATTCGGCGCATCCATGGCAACCAACAACAAGTGGACTATTTCTGGCGAGTGGACAGGCGCAATGTCCGACTGTGCTCAATGTTAGTACACAATGGTACAAATTCGACATTCAAGAAACATGCTAACTGTCTGCAAGNGGCTCAATGGTAGAGGAGTTGGAGCAAGATACGACGGAACATACAACTACAACGGCCAATCATCATCCTACATTGGAAGCTGCGATGGCAAATACCACGGCACAGTCGCTGGCCTCGACGCCACCTACAGAGACAACATTGGCAAGTTCATCGAAGCTCAACTCGACGGCTACGAGAAGGCTGCCGGCTGGATCTTCTGGACTTGGAAGACTGGTATGTGGCTCGAAATCTATTTTGGACTTCTTGAAGCGATGCTAATAAGAATGCAGNAGGGCGCTCCCGAATGGGACATGCAGGCACTGCTGCAGAACGGAGTATTCCCCAACCCCGTCACCAACCGAAACCGTAAGTCTATTTTTGATGTATCTTCCTGGGGCGAAGCAACAGCTTTGGCTAACCACATTTTTGGACAGACCCTGGTCAATGCAACTAGAAGCGTTCTCGAGTCACGTCCACTCGATACACTCACGACACCTCATGTGCATACAAATTCTGCCAGGCGAGAACGGAGACATCCAGCTTTCCTAATCCATGGCTACACTCGTCACGACTATCACGATGAAACGCAACCTATCTTTACATCTTTTTCATGTTTGCATCTCTTCCCGCCGGAAGAAACGAAACGACATGCTTTTATGACGACCTTAACGCCAATACATACATCGCATCCTCTTCTTGACTCAGCCTGGTGCTGAAGAGCCCCAAATATAGGGCACACGAAAGTTGTTATCATCGAATTGGATATTTCGATCAGCGAGCGTTTGGGAATTGTATCTTATTTCCGCAGCGAAGGATTGAAAGGGGTATCTCAAGCGCGAAGGATGTATGCATGTAGTCATACAATTACCTGTGTTTACCTACATGAGCTTCTGTTGTATACATCTCCAGCGGGTACATGTCTTGTGCTGTTGGTGTAAAAGGAGCCAATTTCCTGTGCGTCAATGGCGCAGAGCTGTCAGGTGTTTTGAAGTGCCATCGCGGGTCATCACGTACGCATTCGGCTGCAGATTTGCTTGTCACGATGTCTGGTTCGCTTGCAAGTTTTGCTGAATCCTTCGCACACAAGCAGCAATTCAGGCTCTTTGAGAGGCGGAGCGCGTAGAGTGCAAAGGGTGTGAGATGGAGGCGGCAGCGAGCGTTCATGAGTCGAGGGTTTGCTCGGCTTCGGCTGAAATTGCGCCCAGCCACGGGTCAGCAACCGAGGGGTCACGCCTTCCCTTTTGCTGTCTAGAAGCTCATCTCGGGCGCATATCAACACTGTCCGATTGGAGGTCAACCACGGAACCGACGTTATTCGGGGTTAGAGGAAGGGTCTGCTATGGGCGCCATGAAACCCGAGCCAGCCGGGAGCTGCGACGATGGTCGACCGTCCGGCTTGATTGTCACGCTGGGTAATAGACTCTAGGCTTCCTGCATGGCCTTCATACGCTGTTGCTGCCTTCTTCGTGTAAGTCGATAGTGCTGCAACATAGTCAAGAGGTTTAGATCCCGTTGATCACTTACTCTCTTTTCATCCGTTTCTATAACTTCCCATCGTCGCGACATCACGCTCCTTCCCACGCTCGTTTCATCCACAAGGGCTATCACCGCCTATCCGTCACTCGTTTCACCAACAACCAGTCAATCTTTTCCAGTAGACCCCGTCGCTCTCTGTCTCTCTTCGTGTTTTATACCTCCTAAGGCCACACAAGCATCACATCCATACCTCTGAAAGAGAAGAACTTGTACTACGATAATGTCTTTCCGCGCCCTCTTCACTGCCGGCCTCGCTGCCTTTGCTCCCCTGGCCTCGGCCTACACCACTCCCCAGGGCGACCCCACTGGTAATGCCATCTACGAGCCCGGTCTCAACAGCATTGTCCCCGTCGGCAAGCCTTTTACAATCACATGGGAACCCGACACCAAGGGCAAGATCTCGCTTGTTCTGCTCCACGGCCCATCCACCAATGTGCAGCCCATCCAGACCATTGTCGAATCTATCGACAACACTGGCAGCTACGACTGGACCCCCGATACCCATCTCGCGCCCAACAAGACCTACTACGGCATTGAGTTGATCGTCGAGGGCACCGGACAATACCAATGTATGCAGCATGAGGCTATGTCAATGCAATGAGGTGGATGCTAACACATATCACAACAGACTCGACTCAATTCGGCATCTCGAACGACAACTACAAGGCAGACAGCTCTAGTGCTGGCACAGTGTCTACTGCCTCTGCCACCACCACCCCCATCGTAAACATCAAGACTCCCATCTCCGCACAAGCAGTCAGCGCATCCGACGCCGTCTCCTCTGCCGCACCCTCCTTCTCTTCCGCCGCTGCCAGCGCTTCCAGCTCCGTCGTCTCGCAGATCTCGTCTGCCTCTTCTGCTCTCGCCTCCAGTGCTTCTGGCTCCATGAGCTCTGCTTCCGTAAGCTGACAACTTTACCCTTTGCACCACCATCGATTTCACGTTTCTGACTGTTGCTTTGTTAGGGTTCCATGTCTTCGGCTGCCTCTGCACACCACAGTTCTGCCACTGGCGCTGTGAGCAGTGCTGCTAGCTCCATGAGCACGGCTACCAAGTCTGCTGCCAGCTCTGCTGGTTCGGCTTCGAAGAGTGCTTCTAGCGCTCTCGCTAGCTCTACTGGCGGTGCCGTTGCTCTTGGTGCTGGATTTGGCGGTTTTGCTTTTGCTGCTGCTGGAGCTGTTGCCATGGTTCTGTAAGAAGATGATCTTTGAAAAGCTCGGATTGGGCATAATTGTATGTATGTGCTTCTTGAGAGCGAAGGTCTATTGTATGGGATCTTAATGTGTTTGGATGTCTGCTTTTCTTGTTTTCTTTTTCTTCTGCATTCGTGTGGGTATGGGCTTGATGTCTGTTTCTGCCTTGCAAGACTTTTTATATCCCAGATTCACGCTTCACGGCTACAATTTTTGTTCTTGCGTTGCGTCTTCTACTGTGTGCATTCAAAACGCTTGCTTCTCCTCATCATCATCGTCATTATCATCATCTTTCTTCTCAATCTCCCAGCTTTTCATTCTCGCCACTGCTGCTAAACCCTTGTACCTTGAGCTCTTCGTGTCATTGCAGCATAACCACTGTGTATTGTGTAAGCTCACCAGGCGCGCCTTTGCTGTCTTCCAACACAACTTTGATGATTTTCACGAGACGCGCTTTGTGGCTTTCAGGAGGGGTAGAAAGAGACACAAGGCGCGAACTGTCATAACGGTATATGTCCCTGTGGCTTGCAGCACAGTGCAACAAGACAACGGTTTCTACTATCAAGGTCACATGAGGTGTTCCTACCAAACGGCGAGTTGGGGGTGAACCTCTAACTAAGCTTGCCGTAGGACAGAATGGTGTTCTTTATTCCCTCGCTCATAGCCGGGATTATGCAAGCAGAATGTTTAATGAACCAGTATCAGTTGATTCTCTTCTCGAAAGCAATTGACCAACAAGATGAAGAAAAGGGTGTGTTGTGTGTTCTGTGTGATAATCTTTTGTAATTTCCTCTAGCTTTCGACAGAAACACTGTTTCTGTACGAAGGCTTTTGTGTGTGGGTGTGTTCTACATACTTGTCGGTATAATCTATATACATATCTTTGCATGCATGCAGTAGTGAATGCTATCCTTCCCAATTTTCCTCCCATTGACCCAAAAAGAAACAAAAAGAAAGACATCGCAAGTGGATGCATCTGGGGTGGTCCTTTCCCAGATGCTTGCCATGGTGTAGAAGAAGAAAACGAAACAAATAAAACGCCGATATGCTCGAACCATCAACCGATGACAGGAATTTCGCAGACGATACCGTAGAAGCCATGACAAGGCCTCACAGCATACCCAGACGAACGATGGTGCCCTCCGCTCTACGAAGAAGCAACCAACACGCCGTTACTGCAAGTGGTCCCCGAAGCAGTACCTCCCATACCAAACCACACAAGATCATTACACATATTGAAGCCACCAGTGCCTACACACTGCAAATCTCCGTTTTCGGGACACGCGCCAGCGCCAGTGGGATAAGCAATGCGGTCGTCGCGGTAGAAGCCTGCAGGCGAGTCTGCTTGCTGTGCATATTGTTTTGTGGCAGAGGCATAGGGNGAAAAGGAGGGTACGCAGGTGGCGCCGTTGCCGAGAGTGCGTGCGTCGCGGTAGACCCAGGAGGTGCTGCCGTCAGAGTACATGGTGCTGTCGCAGGTTACCCAGGTGGTGGCGGATGTGCAGATGTAGGTGCCGGGTACGCAGGGCAGGTAGGTGCTGAGGTCTGCGGTGGCGTATTCAGTGTCTGGGTCAATGGGGGCTGACGAGGCCGAGGCCGAGGCGGACGCAGAGGCTGAGGAGGAACCGACAGTGGTCTTTAGTGTGGCTGTGGCGCCGGCGGTGGTGTAGACGGTGAGGGTGACGTCTGAGGGGCAGTCGTCTGTGGCAGAAGAAGAGGACGAGGGCAAGGGTGTGTTGGCTACCGATGTCTTGCCAGCGTTCTTGACGGAGGAGAGAGTGACCGCGGTCGACGCGGTGCTCTTGCTGCTGACACTGCTCTGGGCAGGGACAACAGCGACACTGGTAGATAGCTTGACGCTGGAAGCAGAAGTCTTGGCCGTCGTCTTCAAAGTGGTGGGGACTTGAGTTGACGACGAGGAAGCAGCGGACTTGGCAGTCGAGGACGAAGATCCAGAGCCTCCACCAACAGTCGCTGTCTGAGGCTCAGCAGTGTCATCAAGAAACTTGTAAGTCTCTCCGAAAGGTGTCGGTGCGTCACAGACGCCAGGCTGTGAGTCTGCAGCGCTCGAACTGCTCTTACTGCCGCCATAGAGAACATCTGGGCCAGGCATAGGATAAACCGGATCCTCGCCTTCGGTAGTAGTGCAAGTGTTGACTCCAGGAATATTTGCCTTCCAGATGAACGGCAGAGCCTCGAAGCTCTCAGTATCGCGTTTGGATGCTGAAGATCCTTCGATCGAGACGGTTGCGCAGTTCATGTAGTACTCGCGGTTTCCCATCTCGTTCTGCCAGGTCCAAGCAAAGAGAGCGTTTCCGTCAGGCGCATAGGAAGGAATGGTAAAGTCGTACGTCGAGGTCAAAGGACATCCTCCAATCATGGACTTGATGACCCTGAAAGTGGCGCCATTGTCGTACGACAGGGAAAGTTGACATGAGCCACCACCGTGGACAGCACTGCCCGCGACAGTCATGTTGTAAGTCGAACCGGCAGAAAATGTAGTGACAGGAACGAAAGGTCGATCATTCTGATAGCCTTTGCAAGGAAAGTTGGAGCCATCGGCGAGGAGTGGCGAAGTCATGCTGTAGTCAATGATTGTGTAGCTGTTTGCAGGGTTGTATTTGCTGCGAAGGGGATAAGGCCAGCTCATCTCCATGTGTCCCAGCACCTGCGATGCAAGCGATAGAAGCGTGCCCGTCACCAGGACGGCTCGCGTTGATCTCGAACCAGGCATGATTGATGCGATTGACGATGTGTGTTTTGCGCGTCGTGCCCAAGAGAAGAAGTGAGTGAATGTGTTGTCAACTAAATGAACAAGCGAACGTGTATAGTATGAGTGAGTGAGTAGTTGGAGAAACAAGCAGAGAGTGGATGGACGACCAAACAAAAGGGCCAAGAATTGCGATGGCTGGATGCTTTACTTATACCATTGTATCGAACTCCTTATTGAATCCAGCCACTTTTTCCTCTTCCCTTCACACGTTCGCTCAAGCAAGGTACGTTAAAGGGTCACGGAAAAACGGCTTTCCCAATACGCAACCGATGGTTGTCAGAGGAGACAGGTCGAAGCCGTGACCAACGCCGCCGTTGCTTGCGGCTCTTGCATTGACATCCAATCAACCACCAACACCAGTCTCGTGAGACATGTTGCTTGATCATCTTCCTATGCGTCCGCATACTGAATTGTTTCTGCTGTAATCTGCAAGACAATGAAGAAAAAGAGGCGTGTTTCAAAGGGGGTGGATGATGTTCTCAGGAGCAAGACCCGGTCAGAAGTTTCAACGGTCGACCCTATGCTGTGCAACCGTTGCGCGATACTTGCTGCAAGGAGTGGATTTTATGCGCTTTGACGCGTATAGGAGCAAAGGTAAAACATGAATAGAAAGCATGAACATGAGGGAATCAAGAAGTCGAGTGACAATCGCAATGCGCAATCGATAGTCAAGCGAGTCTCGCGACAGAAGCAGAGTTATCAGGCGACTTACGTGTAATGCACACCAGTCCCTAGTGAGCATCTGCAGCATTGAGCATGTTGACGATCTCATGCCGGACATGCTTCTTTGCCGCCTATTGTCTCCCTCCTGACCTGGACGTCGCTCTGGACTCGGTGCCTTGGCTTCGTCATGTTCTGCAGACCCCATCCCATGTCCGCCGAATCCCTTGCTCTCAGATATCGGACAACCTGTCTCTGTTTGCACCTTGTGCTCTTCGTCAATGCGACGATTGTTCTCTTTGTATGCATCGGCACATTGTACCTCGGTAGTGAAAGCGCATCGATAAGCTTCGACTCAAAGCTTGCCTGGACAATCGACAAGAACGGCTTTACAACAACAAGAATGACGAGGTTTCTGGACGGCGGTGACGACAGGAGACGATAGGGACTCGGTGTATCACAGGCGACAGCAAGGTCGATGCTTCGATAGACGGTTGATTTCGGTCGTTGTCCAGCCACGGCATGGGCGTCTTCATTGCCAACTGTTATCGTCGAAGGCCAAACGGTCCGACTCTTTCGAGTCGCAATGGGGCAATTTTGTCTTCTGTCGTCGCGGAGATGCAAACTTGTGTTCGTCTAGATTGCCAATAGGTAAGGCGACACGAGGAGATGGTATGTGTTGAAGAGGTGATAGAAGAGCTCTTTGGTGAGACACTGGTCCGTGCTGCCCGAATTGTTCAACCTCCATCGCTCTTTCAATTTCTCTACCTTCCAATTTTGTGCTCAGGCCTGTCACAATCTCGCAGTCGACATTTCTTCATCACGGACAGCGCGATGCTAGGTTTCCAGAAGTACGCAAATGTCTTGATGCAAGAGGTGTGTCCGAAGGTGAGTCATCCGAATACCGTCTCTCCATCAATACCTACTTCTCCTCTTGACATTGTTATGTATACCTGAAGCTACCTTGTGATAAACAGTAGCTTTTGAGGTGAGCTCCGCACGGCATGACTACTCTCGATCAGAGCTTCGAAGCAGCAGATTTATGTCAGGGGACAAATCAACTTCAAGCGTCAACGAAGACAGGATTTCCGTCACTTTCCATGACCGAAAGGCACTACATGTCTATCTTTAATGACCCAATGCAGAAGACAGCTTTCGAACGGGGTGCGTACACATTCGTCCTGGAGTAACTCGAAAGTCAGACACTCACAAGTCGTTCTCACCGGTTTGTTTTTCCGAAGGGATGAGTGATCTTCACAAGCGATCATCGCCTGAGTTTGATTTGACTTTCCCCTTCAAAGAGAATGATATGTCAACGTCTTCTAAAGACTTTACAGTACCGCAGTACCCACATGCACAGTAGGGACAAGAGGAGCCATACTACCCAGGTTTTGCTCCTCATGGAAGCTAGGACAGCACAGGCGTCATTTCCCTTCGAGCGTCCCGCAACACAACAAGGACAGGGGTTCATAAAACCGATCTATCGATCAGCATCTCCAGAATAGCAAGCGAAAAGTTGCAGTACATCAAGACTTCATTCGGAGATTACACGCTGCTGAGACTGCGGAGATGAGACTTAGAGTCACAAACCCACCCTTCCTTGCTCTTGTCCTTGGTCCTACTACCGGCTCTAAAGATTTTCTTTCAGCTGTTATCGATGCCGGCAGCAAAGCCAAGCGTGGTCTGTGTCAGGGCTGTTGGGGTTTCGAGTTGTCCTGAACCCCAGCTTCCTTCTCCTTCTCCTTGACAATCTCACATACCATCTCCTCGTCCAAACCAGCTTGCAAACAGCTTTAAGACAGGTTCATATCCAGCTCCGATTATGGGGCTCCATGTGTTTCGTCATCTCAGCGAGTAATTGGTTTTGTTATATATGGCACGATGAAGCCAGAATTGTTTAAGATCTCTGTCGCATCAGGTACGCCTGGGGCTGGCAGTGCTCCCGTCACATTGTGTCGCCGCAGCAGTTCCATATCCAGGTAGCATCACCCAGCATTGTTCTGGGGCTAGCACGGGCGTGCAGCCCATTTGACTTGCCAACCGTCGGTCTGTCTGTTTTAGCCTTGTGCCAATAGATCTACTGCACATACATTCCATCACAACCCCGTACTCGCATCAGCTAACCAACAGATATCGTTAGCCATCACGGGCGTGAGGCCAAAGGTTTCTCCACAACTCACTCGATATGGATTCACAGATCGATATCGATGTCGTCTATCGACAAATCTTTCGCAATCGTCTTGGGTTTTCCATAGAACAGCGTAGTGAGAAGGAGCAAAGAGAGCAAGGAGGTCTACGATTTCCGTATGCAGATACCCATCTCCGAACTTACTTGCCCTTTCCAGCATGTTGTCTGAAGGAGGAACTTCGATATCAGACAACCCTCTAACAGCTGGTCCTGAGACGATGGCTCCTCATTTGGATTTGCGGACCCTCCGTTGGTGTCTTGTTGTTGCTTGGTCGGCTATTCCAGACAAAGAAACCTGTGTGATGCGGTCGACGACTGTATATGTAATTCACTGTTTCCGTTTAAAGGTGCCTGTGGTCAGGCAACCTTGCTTCTTCATGCATTGAGAAGTGTCTTCATTCACTTTTTGACTCGAGGAATGTATACAAACCCGTCTCATGTGAAGATCACATAGGATGTCAGAGAGTCGAACACGCGCTGTATGATAAGAAGACTTGACACAGGTTTATTGGAGGGGTTTCACTCGTATATTCAGTGCTCTGTTCGTTCGCAGTCTCCAAAGATGTTCATGAACACCGCGTAAAGGTGGCTCGGTGTATTTATACTTGCAATGCGCTAGCATCTCTTTCGCCCCGACTACCCTTAGAGCGCTGGTAGTGCACTCGTCATTATGTATCGCCATGAGGGCTCAACGTTCAGATACGCAGACAGTCAGATCATTATCTTCCAACCTGAACCGTCAGCTATAGCGCTTGAGTCACGGAAGAACAGGCAAGAGGCAGAAAAGATGATCAGGTCAATGATCCTTCTCATTCCCTTACTTGATGCATGTAGCCCCGACAGTCACTGTTCGTTTTCTTCTGTCAGACGTCGCAGTGATTTGGGAGACAGTGCCAACTCTCAGATTCACTGACCTCGTTGTCTTGTCTACAGGGGTGTATGGTCTACACTCCCGAGGTTTGGAAGGATAGAGGCTGAAACTGACGCAGCTGGCCTAGGTATGTCTCCACTAGGAGCTCGTGTTACCTGAATCCAGAGCTAAATAATTGATGACCAATCCTAGCAGTTAATATTGTTCGATAGTTTCATAGCACGAGAGGATGGGTACGCAATCATGGGAGCCCAAATGACTGAGCATGGCGGTAAATCGAGAAAGTGCAATGTTCGCACGAGTCGCCTTAACGTAAAGCACCCTCAAAGCCGCATTAGACCATGTTGATCGATTTGATCATATCAGGTGCATGGAAAAGGACATGTGACGTACGCGAAAATGTGGCTGTGGACGTGACAGAAATCCAGTCGGTGCATCGTTGGATGTTGTTCAGGATAAGGGGTATTTCTGCCCAAGGCGGTCAAAGACTCGGCCATGTTGTCTGCAGAGCGACCCTGCTCCAAGCCATCAGCTCGACAGATCACCTTCCGTTATCATGCTCGTACGGATATTGAACAGCTTCAAAACTATGCTTTGAACGGACTACCAAAACGTCTCGGGTGAGGCAGGTTGCTTGGTCTCATTTGACAGATAAGTCGAACTCACCATTATCCACAACCTGCAGAAGACGCAACGCTTTCCTCCTCACAGACACAACTTCGAAGAGATATCAGTCACGGGCAGATGAGATGGAAGAACAAATCGGAACATGCCAAGGTTGATATGCGTAGAATGCTGATACAGATGCTGACCACATTGTGACTGTCGACCATGTGACAGACGTCCACCTCGGAGTCCGAAGGGGTCCCGAGACATAGTCAAGACCGGCATCAATATTCCTATTCTGCACCTGCTTCCGATGCCTTGAACCATGGAGATGGAAAGCGGGGTAGAGACGAGCAAGGAAATATATCAAGTCGATAATCAGCTCTCTGGATATGAAACACATACCCTCGCTGCCCTTTACCTTTTATCACAAATATCAAGCCTCACCTTCGCTTCGAAGCACAACATGTCTTCCAAACAATCCCAAATCTCAGACTTACCAGCAATAACCACATACCTAACCGGGCACAACGAGTCTGGCAAAGCGATCGTCGAGCAATCCCGACCAGCAAACTGGACAGTCTACGACAACAAAGAGATGGCCTTCAATGTCGCTTACACAACCTCCCAATTTCCAGCAAACTTAAACGAAAATGCCGACATCAAGACCCACGACAAAGTCGCCTCGTCAGGAAAACTCGGGCTCGTGAATCCATGTGGAACAGTGTGTCGCACAGTGGACTTTGCACCTGGGTTTGAGTGCATGATGCACAGAACGCAGTCTTTGGATTATGGCATTGTGGTTGCTGGGGAGATAGAACTGGTGTTGGATTCTGGAGAGAGGCAGTTGATGCGGGCGGGAGATATTGCGGTGCAGAGGGCGACGATGCATTCGTGGAAGAATCCTAGTGAGAGCAAGTGGGCGAGGATGACGTTTGTGTTGCAGGACTGTGAGAAGTTGGTGGTGGGTGGTGAGGTGTTGGGAGAGGATCACGGAAGGGGCACGAAGGGACTGCCTATGAGTGGAAATTGAGAGATGAGATATATGCGAGTTCATCTTTAGGTTGTTGCCAGGCGAAGAGTGAATGTCAAGTCAGTCAAGGGTGCAAGCAGGAAAGTGAGTGGCTTGGCGTGCGTCGGGCATCTCTCTCGTGCTTTCATGCGCGAACTTATGTCACTCTCTCAACTTGAACTGCATCAGATCTGACAACTAGATTATTCGTTACTCAAGTTGCAGGCTTCTCTACATTCACCTCTTGTATCTTCACCTCGACACCTCTCGACCTTGTTTCACATCTCGGTCTTCACAACGTGTTCCAGAGCTTAAACTGGTTACCCCGCCTGTTCGCGCATCGCTGCAGCTCCCTCAACATGCCGCCTCGCTACTTCAAGAACGATGAGGCCCTCAGCAGCAGAGATCCGCACAAGCAGCTCATAGCCTCACTCACTCGTCTGGTCGTCCAATATCCTCCCGCCGAGGTACGCGCCGGCGGTGGTATCTACTATGGCCCAACCAGCGTCGCCTACCTGTTCCTCATCCTGCAACAGCTCTACTCGGACTTGCTTATCGAAGGCATCCAACTCGGAACCTGGTCGGCCACCTACCTCAAACAGTCGCAAGATCACATCAAGTCCTTCCCTGGCCCTCGCGTCGGCAAATGTGGTGTCGCCGACGATATCCTAGCCCTACTGGCCATCGGAGCCGCCAGTTCGAAAGATGCAGACATGGCAGCAGCCCTCTGCGACTATGCTGCCGAGGTCCTAGACGATGATACTGAGAACGAGTGGCTTTATGGAAGAGCAGGTTACCTGTACTACCTTCGTCTGGTCAAGGCAGCCTTTGTCGACGACGACAAGGTGTCGCACATGATATCCGACACTCAGGAAGACGTCGTCGAAGCTATTCTGAGGTCCGAAAGGCCCTGGAAGTGGCACGGCAAGAGCTACGTCGGCGCTGTCCACGGCCTCATCGGCATCATCACTCAAGTCACCTTGACCAATCCCGAGCGCTACGCAAGAGCCGTCGAGGCCGATCTCTCTGTCTTGCTGACATACCAATTCGATACCGGAAATTGGCCCAGCAGCCTCCCACCTACAAAAGACAAGCTGGTTCAGGTGTGCCATGGTGCTCCAGGAGTCATCAACTCTTTGCTCTCCATCAAGGACCACTTCCCCAAGCTTCAGAGCAGGATCGACAGCGCCATTCGCAAGGGCAGAGAATGCATCTTGGAACGCGGTCTTCTGACCAAAGAGCCATGCTTGTGTCACGGCATCTCTGGCAATGCACTTGCGCTGGATGACGAACAATGCCAGCACTTCCTTACCTACACGACTGGCCACGAGATGAAGGGGCTGGAGAAAGATGGCTTGGTCGAGAAGTCAGACAATGCAGAGGCACTGTGGTGCGGAGAGGCAGGACGTGCATGGGCATGGGCGGTGATGGACAAGGGCTTGCCTAAGAGGCTGCTTGGCTACAATGACATTTGAGGAAGTGATGCAATGATATGTTCGAAATTGGGATGGTCGGCGGAGCAAATCTTGGACTCATGTCACAACGGGTTTGCGTTTGCCAGCGAGCAGCACGATGCACAAGACATTTTGCTACAGGGCTGCAGGGGGCCTTGACTAGCGGTTTTACGACATAACGAATGATGCATAGCAGAGGCAGGAAGAAGGCTGGAGCTTGAGCAAGGCATGCCGGGATGNAGTTTGAAGATCAAACAGAGAGGCACGACGACATGAGGGTTGCTGGGTATATATATCACANNAAGCAAGACAGCAATGACGAGGTTGTTCACAGTGGTGAAATTGACGTGTTTACGCAAGTCGCGCGTCGTTCATGTTTGGCTCNNCGCATCATTTCCTTCTCCAACGTGATTGGCNGTTACGGCAACGCACGGGCCGCGCTCGTCGTCTCGGGCGGACTCCTGTCGGCTTGTGTTTCTGGCGGGCGTTGGTTGGGGNGCAGCGCATTCCACGCTCTTTGACCAGCACCAGCTTTGCCTTGTCTCAGTTCTTTCCCAGACGACGACCGCNGAGACAGACGGCGGCCACCAGGGGCGCAATCCATAGCCAGCAGCACGCATTCTAACTGCAGTCATTCTTTCACCTTTTCCTTTCTAGAATTCATCCGTAGAATTCAAGCCACCCACGAGATCGTCCCAAAACGTGATCCCGACGCTCGCACAACATCGCACCTGCATCCTATCCTGGCCCGCACCTGCCTCGTAGCAATCACCGACGACTTCACTTCATTCAGCTACGACTTGGACTGCGACCATCTCTTTTTCGACCACCATCAACGCGCATTCTTCCATCGCCACCGTGTCCGCTCGTCCGCCGCCGACGTCCTAGACCGAGCGACGGAGAGCTGCGCACAACATGAGGCCCTCAGCATGCTCGTCGCGCCCGCTCGCCTTTGGCTCCACCCTCGCTATTCTGCTTTCTTCTGCATCCGCCCGCAATTTCACCCAATCTCCGTCACCAAACATTGATCTCTCTGGCCTCGGCCGTGTCGCACTAGCTGGCGATTTCGACTCAATATCTCTTTACACCTACGAAGGACAAAATCAAAACGCAAACTTCGGCAATGGCAGTCAATACCTCTTCTCCGAGTATCCTGATGGGTCTTTTCAAAGTCTGGCCCTCGCCGATGCATACATCACTACCATGTGTCCGTTCGTCAGCCATGGTGCTCTACAAGGTGTCGTCGTAGGAGGAAACTTCACCAGTCTGGGCGGCGTCCCCGCTCAAGGCATCGCTCTATGGAACCCAAACACCACTAAAATCACCCCTCTGGACGGCCTCTCCGGCTCTGTGTCTGCCGTGTATTGCGACGATGAATCCTCCACAGTCTATGTTGGAGGTACTTTTACCGGAGGCAATTCATCGAACGCCATTGCCTGGACCACTGGTTGGACAAATCTTCCTTTTGCTGGCTTCAACGGTCCCGTCACATCCATCGTCAAGAGCTCTAATGGCTCCATCATCTTTGGCGGTTCTTTCGAAGGTCTAGGCAACACAACCACCCCCACAAACAGAGACGTTCAGGTTATCAATCTTTCTGCTGGAAACATTACCTCTGGCGCCTCGACTTCGACCTCTGGTTTCAGCGATCCCCGCAACATTATTTGCCAAACTGGTGACGATTCTGCTGGAAACGCATGGCTTCTCGAGGACAACACTCCTGGTTTCTGGAAAGGTTCATTCGGCTTTGGTTTCAATCCCACCAAGTTGCGCTTGTACAACACCAACCAGGATGGCCGTGGAACCAAAACCTGGCGCTTCACTGCTTTCCCTATCAACGGTATTATGAACTTCACCTACACGGACGAGAGCGGTAGCCTTGCCTCTTGCACTGCCGACTGCCCTCTGCCTCAAGGCAATACTTCATACCAGGATTTCCACTTTGTCAACTCTGTCGGCATGAACGATTTCCGCATCGATATCTCTGCTTGGTACGGCGCTGGTGGTGGTTTGAGTGGTATCGAGTTGTTCCAAGACGACATTTATGCATTCGCAATCTCCGACTTCAACGAGCCCCGTTGCGACAGTGTTAGTACCACTGGTGCCAACTCGACTGCTACCGGACCTTGGGTGCAGACTCCCTCTGGTCTTAGTACGTCCGATTATCTTACCGCCTCGTTGAACAGCAGCGTCACCGCCAATGCTGCACAGGTCGTCTTCATGCCCGACATCAAGCAATCTGGAAACTACTCGGTCACTCTGTACACTCCAGGCTGCCTCCAGGACGATACTTGTTCGTCCCGCGGTATTGTGAACATCACCGCATCTATGACCGCAGAGGAAAGTGCTGTCGCTACTACTCTGTACCAGACAAACTACTACGACAAGTACGATCAAATCTACTACGGCTACGTAGATGCTGCCTCCGACTCTTTCCGTCCAGAGGTCACTCTGACTCCAGTCGCTGGCCAGAACGCTCCTCTGACGGTCGTGGCACAGCGCGTTCGCTTCGAGCTGGTCACCTCGACCGGCGGTCTGAATGGGCTTTACGAGTACGACCCCAATGTCGCCACTGTCAACACCGACTTTTCCGCTTCCAAGGTTGACTCTGCTGCCTTGTCACTGGAAATGGGCGCTAAGATCAACGCTCTTGCCGTTTACAAAGATGTAACCTATGTCGCTGGCAACTTCTCGAACGGCGACATTCACAACATTTTCAGTATTGGCAGCGGGAATGCCACCTCGCTTCCTGGAGGTGGACTTAATTCTGTGGTGCGCACCATGTACCAGAACGAGTCTACCATCTACGTTGGTGGTAACTTTACCAACACTGTGACGGCTCAAACCTCTGGTCTCAACGGTATTGCTGCTTTCTCCGTTGATGACAACTCATGGAAGGCACTTGGCGCTGGTGTCAACGGTCCCGTGTGGGCAATTGTTCCTCTACAACTGAACATTACTGGCAAAGATCAAGAAACCGTTCTCGCTGTGAGCGGTGCCTTCACCAGCGTCAACGCTGTTGGTAGCAATGCCACCTACTCTGCCAAGGGTTTCGCTGCCTGGGTGCCTTCCCGGGGCAACTGGCTTCACAACTTGGCGAATGCAACTGTTGCCTTGAGCGGTGGTTTGCTGGCACAAACCGAAGTAGCGGACTATGGCCAACTTCTCGCCGGGTCCCTCGTTGCTTCGCAGATCGGCATGGGTGATGCAGTCGCCCTCAGTGGCTCTGGTCGTCCTAACCTTTCGCCGCTTGGTATCTCCATCTCTGCTTCGCAGCAGTCTTCCAACATGCGCAAGAGAGCCGCTGCCAGTCAGAATGTCACTGGTGTCGCTACTGGCTACTTTTACCTGGAGAACGGCAAANACATGACCATCCTTGGAGGTCACTTCACTGCCAACTCTTCTGCTGGAACCACCATTGACAACCTTCTCATCATCGATAACACTGACGGTCAGAACGTCATTGGTCTTCCCAACACTATTGATGCAGACTCGACTGTTCTTGCTCTCGAGGTTCGTGATACTAGTCTGTTCGCTGGCGGCTCGATCACCGGAACAGCTAATGGCGACAACATTAACGGTCTCCTCGTTTGGGATCTGTCGAAGAATGCGCTCGCCACCAGCCAGCCCGCAGCACTCGCCGGCAATTCTGCCACTGTCAACACTGTCGCAGCACAGCCGGGTTCCTCCAATGTCTACGTTGGAGGCAACTTTGAGAATGCCGGCTCCATGTCCTGTCCATCGTTCTGCATGTACGATACATCGAGCGGACAATGGATGCCACCCGCATCCGGTTTGAGTGGTACCATCAACGCCATGACCTGGAGATCTAACAATCAGCTGATCGTTGGTGGAGATTTCACTATTGGCGGCAACCACACCAGGCTGGCTCTCTACGACTCCAAGAAGCAGACTTTCACCGATTTGGGCGCTTCAGCCAACCTGCCCGGCGCTGTCACCTCCATGACACCGGCTAATCCCAACTACGATGCTTGGTGGGTCGCAGGTACTGCAAACAACGGATCCTCGTTCTTGCAANAGTATGATGGTACCAACTGGCACTCTGTCACTGGCCTCGGTTCCGCAACTAACATCAGAGGTCTTCAAATCATCTCCCTCACTCAAAAGCATCAGCTTAGCGATCTCGTTCCCTCGAACGAGGTCTTGCTGCTGACCGGCTCCATTGAGCTTCCCAACGACGGCAATGCCAGCGCTGTACTATTCAACGGAACCACTTTCCAACCTTTCGTCCTCACTACGTCTGCAAATGGTGGACAAGGAACTCTGAGCGGCATGTTTGTCCAGAACCCTAGCAACTTCTTGAGTTCTAAGTGTAAGTGATTCTCAATGCAATATCAATCAATATATACTGACAGCGCATAGNCCCACCATCTTGCCCTTGGCCTTGTAGTCCTGATTGGCCTTGCAATCGCTTGTGCCTTGACTTTCCTGCTGGTTGTCATCGGCATATTAGTCGAACGACACCGTCGCCGCAGACAGGGTTACGTGCCCATGCCTCAGTTGAGGCCGGATCAACATGCCAATCTGAACAGGATCCCACCAGAGAGTCTGTTCGGCACGTTAGAGAAACGTGACACTGCACCTCGGGTGTGAGGCCAAGCGCCCACAGATTCGGGATGGTGACTTCTTTCAAAAATGCAGCGTGGAGTTTGGGTGCTTTTATTCATTTCACGACCAATTCCTCTAGGAGGAATGTACATCAGCCAGCAGCTCGCGCGACTGGACTGGTGTGAAGCGCAAAACTGTTTATATATCGAGGATGCCTTGACCTTTATGGTTTTTCTTTCTTTGTTCGCTTCGTTGCGAGTTTTGGTTTACGGTCTTTGCTATTCCTTCACTTCTGTACTATACCTCTTCCATCACACGATGGGCTTTGGATTATTAGACGAGGATCATTGTTTCTTTCTTCCTTCTTTTTCTTTCTCATGCGATCGGCTAGCCGTTGTCTCTTGTTCGTTTTGGTCGGGCCCTCTTTTTCTCTCCTTGCTGCAGATTCTAATGTATAGCGAGCAACGGCTTTGCTTCTCTAGGGGTTGATTTCTATTTTCGTCCTTTTTCTCCTTGTGGGGGAGCAAATAATGATAAATGTTTACTTGTCTTATCTTGATGTTTGCAGTGAATCCTTCTTTGTGGTGTAGCATCTAGGTCCAAGGACTTTAGATGTATGTCTTCTGTTCAGATGATTTTGTTGCTTAGTTGATGATTGAACATTTCTCGAGTGGATGCCAAGCCTTTCTTCCGGCTGCAGTCACGTTGCGTGTTCGAACGCCGAACCCACTTGACCGTTTTATGTTCCATCCCTATCTTCAGGTGCTTTTCTAGTTCCCTTTCCTCTCTGCTAAAGCTAGCCATAGAGATGCACAGTGGTATCAAGAGACAGGGCAGTATCCTCTGAGAGTCGACATTTTAGCGGCTTTCTCTAGCTACCCCCGCTTTCGGCAAACAATTATGCCTTTTCATAGTATACTCTGCTCTTACGCTATAAGGGTGGAACTACAGAGTTTTGCACATGGGGGCAGGGTCTTGAGAGATGCGGTGGAAAATGTGGATCTGTCCTCTTCACACAACACATGTGATGGTTTTGCATGGAACTGTGATTGGCTCTAGTGTCTGGTTTTCGTAGCTTCGAGTCGATATGGAATCTTTCCAGGTAATTAGGTGGTCACAGAATTTGGCGTCCCAGGCAGAGAAGACCTAGGAAAATTTGAGGAATGAAGTATATACCGGTAAGTGTTTCCTCACTCCTTTGTTCCCCGAGTATGGGATTTCCGTTTCTCTGTTTCTCTTTTTGCGTTTTCTGTTGTCTCCTCTGCCTTTTTTTGTTTCAAACAACTCATTGTTTTCGTTTCTTTTTTCCTGCGCACGTCTTTACGGAAAGAGTTCAAAGCGATGTTTTTGAGGACAAGGAAGATAACTCATATTTGCATTTTTGTTTTCGTTGTTGTTGTTGTTTGGGTTGGGGTGTTGTATGAGGGAGGATCTAGGCGAGTGGTGGGTGTGGCTTCGGGCACGATTCACAGCTCGTAGAGACATGTTGCTACAAAGACATTGGTGGTGCATGAGGAGGAGGGTATAGGCAATGCAGAAATCAAGGCTATCGAAGAGGTATGTGTGATGGACAGCTGGGTCCCCTTACTATTGCTTCTCTTTTTGCTTTTTGAGATGGAAAGAAAGCAGAGTGGTGTCAGTACGTGTGCAGCAGATGCATTTGTTGAACAAAGATTGGTCGTCCTCGGTCAACTCCTTGGGAAATGGGGCATTATACTGCTCACCTCGCCACAGCAAAAGATTCCTCTACCCAACATGAAAAAGATAAATCACACAACACATGCACACATCATCACCACTTCTCTTCGCTAACGCTGCATCACAGACCCCTCCCTTCCCCTACACCTACGTCTTCTACGCAACAACCGACGCCTACGCCTGCTCAGTCCTCATAAACATCCACCTCCTGACCTCCCGCCACAAAACCNCCCACCGCATCTTCATCCTCTTGGCCTCTGACATTTCAGCTGTCTACATTTCTGCATTTCGCCAAGCAAACGTAACACTATCGTTCCAGTCACCACCTCCTCTACATAAAAGCTCGGAAGCTGGAAACTGCTATACCGATTGTTTGTTGAAACTTCAAGCGTTTAAGCTGCAAGAGGTGGATGAGACGCTAAGGAGGGTGATGGTGTTGGATGCTGATCAGTTGATCCTTCGCTCCCTCGACCATTTGATCTTTTCCCTCGACGACAACAATTTCAGTATAGCGGCACCACAAGCTTATTGGTTAGACCCCGGCATCTTTTCGACAGCATTGATGGTCATCAAGCTCTCGACATCCCTGAGCGAAAAGGTTGAGAAGGCGATTGAGGCTATAGAGAAAAATGAATATGACATGGACGTCGCTAACAGAGTGTTCGCAACAGAAGTGCAGTTGTTGAAGGGAAATTACGTGGCCCTGAACAGTCATTGGGAAGATTGGAATCTGCCCGTGTGGTACAAGAAAACACAACTCACAGCCAGAAGAACTCGGAAAAGAGGGATGATGATAGTGTACAAAATGGAGATTATGCAGAAACGGCAACACAGGGATGGTCGGACACAAAAACAGAAAAGAAGCCAGATTCCTCTCCACCAAACCCAAAAGTAAAAGATCTTGGATCAACAGCAAGAATATCCACACCCCTCAACCGGCATCCTCCCGCCTATCCTTCCCAACAGCCCCCAGCCCCAANAACCCAACACCCCATACCTTACCCCAGAAACCAGCAACAACGAAAACGACTTTACGCATCGCAGATACTACACCGAACTATTCGACCTCTACACTCAAATGGCAGTCCTGCATTTCACAGCAATGGGCAAGCCTTGGAATGTGAATGAGCAGAGGCTTGCTGCAGAAAGGCCAGACGCACATCCATTGTTCAAAGAACAATTCATGATGTGGAGAGAGATTGCTGCAGAGGTTTGTCCCGGGGATATCGTGGGTGACAATAACTGAAAAATCCTGCATCTGCGTTGGGACAAAGAGTCGTATCCTTCTGACATGCTTTGAAAAGAAAAAGAAAAAGAAAAAGTGTGCTATTTCATCCAAGCCTCAAAACACTATTGGTGTAAAGTTACTATATTAACTGCTGGATTAACCTTGCTTCTTCTTGAGTCCATCATCAACAACCATTGGAGGAGCAGGAATCTCTACATCCTCAACATACCACTCCATGCCGATATATCCATCACTAACAACCTTGACCGAAACCATTCTCTCACCATCTGCAGGAGGCAACCTGATCTTGCTTCTAGAAGTAGGCTTGGGGTTGGCCTGTGCAGCCTGTTTGCCGTGAGTAGCCACGTGCCATGAGATACGCTTGAGAGCAAGCACTTCATCGGTCTTGGTGTCGGCAACGATGAGGAAGAAGCCCTCAGATTGAGGCTTGGGNAAGCGCGGTGCGTACATGTGGAATTCACGATCGAGAGCAGGATTGAGACGGGCGACCGAGACGTTCAAACCGAGTGCTGTGACATCGGAAACATTGACACGCAGTTGAGGTAGAGCGGATAAGGCCTTGAAAGCGCGTGGCTGTTGAGGAGGTGCCAGTGAGAGCTGCTTGTGCAATACTGATTCCATCTCTTTGCGTGGCGTACTTGTCGCTTCAACCAGGTTCTTGGGCTTGGGGTTCTTCGAGGAGGAAAGACGTTGACGCTCTCTCGGAGGCTCAACTCCCGGGAGCATAGCCAAAGGACCATCTTCAGGCCAGCGAGCAGACTTGACACATTGGAGCAGGGTTATCATCATGCCGCAGCTCGAGTTGAAACCAAGCTCTGTGAGCACATCAATCGACGCTTGCAAGATACGAATTGCCTGATCAAGGACCGAGGTTTGATCGCCGACGTAATCCGAGATTGGAAGGTCAATGCGCGAGAAGTGAGCCTGTAACAGGAGGAACGCCTTGACATGAGGATCCCACATGGGCAATCCCGACATGGCATCTTCAGCCTTCAGTGGCAGGGCCGCAGAGAGTTCGGCATTGATCAGATCCTCATTGTGACGCACAGGCAATTCGTCGTATTCAGTTGCACTGCACATCCAGGCCAGAGCTTCTGCGAACGTGGCATTCGGTTTGGCGTGCTTGATTAGATGGCGGATGGTCTTGTGGGCGAGATAGTAGTAACTCATGATCTTACCCAGAGGGGTTGGATCAACGTCACCATTGCTGTGCATAGTGACACAACCAGAATCTGCAAGCTCTGCTAATGACTTGTCAACCATCTCAACCATGTACTCGTTAGCGAGTTGCTGAGCGGCCATTGTGTTGTGCTCCTCTGATGATATCTCAAGACCATAGTATGAAGGGTTCTTGTGAAGTCTTCTAAAGAAGAACGTCCAAGTAAGATAGTCAAGAGCATCTTGTTTGGTAGCAATTGTCTCCGCGGATACCTCAGCGCCCAAATGGTTGTCTAGAACATTGTGAAGCGAAGACTCGACTGGGAAACCAGTATGCAAGAAGTGCTTGTAGAATGCCTTTTTGGCGTCTTGTGTAAAGATGCGGGCGATACCTGAAGTGTCGAATTGGGGTCTTCCAGCACGACCGAGCATTTGCAAGACATCTGTGAGATCCATGTCTTTGTATGCCTCTGTCTTTGCATCGAAGAACTGCGTGCCTTTGACGACGACGAGATGAGCAGGCAAATTGACACCCCAAGCCAAAGTACTGGTGGCGACAAGTACCTGAATCTTGTTGTTTGCGAACAGCTCTTCCGCCAGCTGCCTGTCCGACTCGACGAGACCTGCATGATGCAGACCGATACCGAAACTCAACGATTCACGAAGGGCTTCGTCCTTGACTCGTGTAAGATTCACCGCGAGGTCATCTTCTGACATCTTTACAAAGCGGCGAGGGTTCTCCTCCATACCACAGAAGTTGATGAGATCGCGAGCTGTCAGTCTTGTCTGGCGACGAGAAGCAACAAAGACAATGACAGGTTTGTCTGGGGAGTGAGACTTGATTGCAAGGAACGTTGGTCGGTTCATTGACTGCATCAGTGGACAGAATCCCTTTTGCTCGGGGAAGCCGTCGATGTAAATCTCCAGAGGAACAGGTCGCACCGAGTGTCGGAAGTTGAACAAGCCTTCCTTGACACCCAGCCAATTACCCAGATCAGTGGCGTTGGCACACGCAGTGGACATACCAACGATTCGAACAGATCCTTTCTTCTGCGAAGCAATGTAGTTCATTCTTGAGACGATGATCTCCAGAATAGGACCTCTGTCTCCACCAAGCAGATGAATCTCGTCGATGATCACCAGACTGACTTGGCGTACATAGTCTCTGGTCTGCCAACTACGACTGATACCATCCCACTTTTCAGGAGTTGTGATGATAATGTCAGCGTCGCGGATTGTTCGAGTGTCTGGAGTGTTATCACCAGTCAACTCAACAAGCTTCAAGCCCATCTGCTTCGTCAAGCGCTTGCCCCAGTCTTGAACTCTCTCACGGACCAAAGCTTTCATGGGTGCAATGTAAACGACCTTTGAGCCTGGCTTTTCACGGAAAGCCCACCACATTGCAAGCTCACACGCAACTGTTTTACCACTACCAGTGGGCGATCCCAGCAAGACATTAGCTGGTGTGTGGTACATGCAATGGAATAGCTGGGTTTGCATGGGGTTGAAGAACTGGAATCGCTGGCTGTAGATCTCCTCTAGAAGAGGGTTCTTGAGCGCAGCAATAGGCAAGGGCTGCAAGTTGAGAAGATCGGTATACACACTCTCGGTGTCGGGTCGGATGAGATGTTGGAATGAGACAGGTGTCACAGTCTCAGCTCCAAGCCATCGGTCAGAGACGGCACGAACATAGATCTGTGAAGGGAGTGGATCTGTGAGTGGGATGGTGAAGCTCAACTCATGTTCATCGTAGAGCTTTCTTCTCGAGAGAATGAAGTACTCGTGATGATATATCTCCGAAGTTTCGGAGTTCTCCACCCAAATCCAGTACGATTCGGACTTGCCATGGTGTTTCTCGTTCCATCTGAAGTCAGGTGTGATGTAAAGGTGGATACGCAGTACATCTCTGTTCAGAGGTGCAATCTCAGCTTCCACGGTCAGTGTAGGGAAATTGTCGAGCAGCTTAGCAATTGTGTATCCCATCTTCTGGTTATGAACAAGCGCTCCGATCTCTGCCGGTTCCATATCTCTGAGAGACTCGATCGAAGCACTCGAGCCTTTCTCGTCCAGGTTTCGCATAACTGCTTGAGGAAGGTCAAACTGCTGGAAAGGATGTTGGTATGCCCATACTCGCTTCTCGATGGACTTGCACATAGAGAGAAGAACGAGACATTGGTAGCCCCAGCGTCTGTTCAATGCAATCATGAACAAAGCTCTGCAAATACGGGCTGCGTTCTGGGCAACATATGATGAGTCCGACACCAGAGTGAAGTCCTCGAGACGCGCCCTGGAGATGTAGGACTGCAGCAGGACATTGGTTTTGCCAGATTGTGAGCCAATACCTCCTTCAATATCGCAAGGAGCAGCTTCGTCTTGGAGGCGCAACAGCTCTTTCTCTTCCGGCTCCTTGGACTGGATGTTGTCGAACTCACCACTCATACTGATCATCTTCAAGACATCTGCCTCTGTAGCCTGAGGTCGCATCATGGTGTTGAAGATCTCAACACTTGTCTGCAGGACGTAGTACTGACTTGCAATACGGCCTACATCCTTTGCGCGGAGCTCTTCGGTCGTCTCATTGAAAATGATCATCTGACTTTGCTGCAAGACTCTGGCAGCCTTGATGATCAACTCACGACGCCTCTGCACAAGTTGAGGATCGTCACGAATTTCAGCCCAGTCAATTCCATATGCCATGGGGTTTCGTTGCATGCGGACAAATAGGTATGAATATCCAAGCCATTGGACTGCCTCTGACACCGAAGTTACGGTGCCTAGGGAGATCTCGGCATTGAGGTTGTCAACCATCTTCTTGGAGAAGTTGGATTCGATAGGCTGTTGTTGAGTGACAGCAGTGAGATAGTGTTGGACCTTGTCCTGAGTGGTACAAATAAAGCCGATACCAGTGTCCTGGAATTGAGGACGACCGGCACGTCCGAAAATTTGGAGAACATCGAGGATACCAAGATCAACAAACTTACCTGCCTCTGCGCTATAGAGCTGGGTACCTTTGATGACGACTGCGGCAGCTGGCAAGTTGACACCCCAGGCCAAAGTGGCAGTACAGCACAACACCTTCAAAACTCCGTTGGCGAACAGACGTTCCATAAGATTCCTGTCCGAACGGGGCATACCGGCGTGATGAGTACCGAAGCCCTTGGGCACGAGCTCTCTAAGCTCACGGCCCTTAGAAGTCTTCAGATCACGCAAAGCTTGTTGGTAGTTCTCATGGAAGGAAGGATCAAAGAGATCGGTGCAACCTTCGTCCGTAGCCATCTCGTACATGGTTGTGGCAGTCTTCCAGGTATCTTTGCGAGAATGCACAAAAACCATGACTTGATGTCCTCTCTCCAACATATCACGTACTTTCTCAAAGGCGACAATCTCCAGGTTTTCTCGGGAAGTCTTGCTGCCAGCTTTGCCTTTGACACCAAGGAAATGTTGTTCGAGAGGTACTGGTCTGAAGGAGCCGTCAAAGTAGAACAATCCGGCCATTCGGTTGACCTTGAGGAAGTCGGCGACATCAACGTAGTTGGGAAGCGTGGCGGAAAGACCAACGATGCGGATCAAAGATTGGGTACTCTCGACTTGTCTCTCGGTTCTTGCGACAAGAGACTCGAGCACAGCACCTCGCTCGTCGTGAAGCATGTGGACCTCATCAATGATCAGAAGGCGGACTTTTTGAACAAGCTCCGTGTCTCCAGTGCTCTTTCTCGTGACCACGTCCCACTTCTCCGGTGTGGTCACAATGATCTGAGTAGCGACAATTTCGGCCTTGGTAAGGTGCATATCTCCGGTAAGCTCACGACATTGGACGCCGAGCCACGCGAGTCTCTTGCCCAGCTTTTCGGTGATTTCAGCAGCCAACGCCTTCATAGGAGCAACATAAACAACTTTGAAATCATTGAGGGCGACTGCAAGATCGGTAGCATCTGGATCGTCAGACAGACTTGGTGTGACGTTCTTGGCGATGGTATTGAGGATGGTCAACATGGCAGCGTCGGTTTTACCAGCACCAGTAGGTGCACAAATCAGCATGTTCTCACTGGTCTTGTAGGCGACTTGGTAGACCAGACTTTGCATACGGTTCAGAGACTTGTATCCTTTGAAAGTTCCTCGGCAAAGCGTGTCCATATCTTGGATCATGACGAGCGATTGACCAAGGCCAAGAGTACCAACCTTTGCAGGAGGGATAGAGTATTCTTCATATTTTTCGTGCTCGGTTCGCTCACTTCCGAGCGGTAGCATATATTTTCGACCGTGGGAGGAGAGCATGTTTCCGGCGTCGTGTGCTCGGTAGACATGAGGGTACTGGGTGGCGGAACGGTCTTGGGCGGCAGCAAGAGAGGCGGTTTTGTGTTGGAAGTCTTGTTGTACAAGAGCTTCCTCTCTTTCACGGCGCGTAAGAATTCTGCCATTAGATTCGCTCTTCACAGGAGCTTGCACGGCGGTGGTAATCTCTTTTCTGTGAGCGATGAAGTCGGCTACCAGATCGAGTTCGTCGAAGCCTAGGGTATCAGCAAGAAGCATCTGGAGCTCATCATCTNNGTCATGTGTCAGACGGGTTCATATTGAGGCAAAGGATATTGAGGCGAAGAAATTCAGCATACCACTACTGTCCGAGCCAAGTATAGCAACGATGTGGTCCTGCAGTTCATCCACACTCATACTAGACGAGACATATGTGAGCCTTTCGCGCAACCACGCGGCACCATATGCGGGAGTTGGTGTTTGGTCCGGCACAGGATATGAGGGCATGGGATACGAGGAGTCACTAAGGGAGGCTTGATCTTCATCGTCGTCGTCGACAAGGTCCCAAAGATCATCATCGCCGCTCATAGGTTCTGAAGAATCTTCCTCATCTGTCCAGACATCCTGGCCGTAAGCTGGCAGGTTTTCTGTTTCTGTGGGCAATTTGAGCTCGGCGATAGCGGCTCGCATGGCGCTGAGCTGAGCGAGCCATTGAGTCTCTGCGCTGTTAAGACTGGCCGACATGATGAGTCGATATAAGACGAGAGACGCTTCTAGTGTTAGTGAGGGCTATCGGGAAGGACTGCTGGATTAAAGACGCGACCGTGTAGTCGTCGTTCGCCGGCCACTTTTGGAGTGGATATCGAGAACAAGGATGACGCAGTCGATCGCGGTTACTATTCTGGGACTAGTTCCCGAGCACCTGCCGTCAACACCGCTGGTCGGCCAAGTCGGGCAAGACAGGTCCGAGCCTTGTTGGCCCAACTGCAGAACGTAAACACAGAGCCATCACTCAATCAACATGGTATGTTCTGCCTGTGAGAGGCATTGTAGTTTATCTTACTAAGGTCACGTAGGAAAGTCCTCATGAACACCAGCAGAACGTTCTGCTCTCCCGAATCATCACCAATGTGGTGCGTTGACACATACAATCACTGGACTTCACCAATGTTTACAGACTTCAGGAGAAACTAAACGAGGCCGTCATGATGTTGAACAAGAGTTTGCAGGTAAGCTGAAATTGTGGGACATGTCCAGCCACTAGTCTAACAGATCGAGCAGGAAATCAACATCAACAACATGGATGTTGAGCTTGTCGCCCAGATGTTTAAGAATTATCAGTCCAACGTTCTCTTCCATCTCGAAGGTAAGCTGGACACTGATGCCGAACTTCAAAGTCGTATAATGATCGTAGCAGCGACGGACAACCTCCGCGAGGCCTCGTGAAAGCAGTCGAGTTCAAGAATACGCGTCTCCCTTCAACAGTCTATGGACGTTTTATGAAGGCCAGGAACTCATATCCTTCTGGCAGTCTCCCAAAGGGCCACTTGATGCCCTTGCTCTGCGTTGTTTTCAACGCGGCATCAGGCTCTGCGTGGTCGACGAAGAATCTGGTATCTGCGCAAGAGGCTGTGCCATCGTCCACAGCGCTATCGAACAAAGAGCCGCGAAGTTCAGCAGTCCGGACGTAGTTGACAGGACACGAGGCCATAATGTCTCTTATCCGATCACTGATGGTACATTCTTTCGTTTGGTCAAGACCATCGCCAAGGGCGCGAAGAGCTGCCGATATTGCAAAAGGATGGGAGGTCAGAATGCCAAAACCATCATCATCGTTGTTTTCGCTTAGCTTGGCCAGAAGCNNTAGGGGAGACCAGTCAGCTCACTCTCCTGGCAGCACAGATCAGAAAGGAAGCTATAAAAATGCACAGTAGTGTTCGAATCCAAGAAGTGTCCATCGAGAGTCGTTCGGGATAGTGGCTCTCCGTGGAGACTGGCCTGTTCTTCCAAAGTATCGTGTATCAACTCAACTTACCTTTGTCGCCAATCCCTGGTGTCTGTACGCCATGCCAACACACAGCTGAGTGATCCAGCACAAGTTCATGCCTTCGGATATCCATCGAGTCGCGAGAACATGGCCAAGCAGAAGGTCCCCGTCTTTGGCTTGAACAAGAAAGTTGCGAGCAGGTGCTTCGGGTAAGCAGTCGGATCTGAGGCGCGTTGGACTTGAACGTATTCGTTGACCTTTCTTCTTGCCTTGAGCCGCAGAACTCCAGATACCGTAGTTCTCCGAAAACAGTGTGGCAATATCTTGGATTTTGTCGTCGGTGATATTGACATCTTGGTGAACGGTATAGCTGATCATCATTTGATAGAAGCTCGAAGTCTGAGTAATTAAGTGCAGAAGAATCGAAACCTCAACCCACACATGATTTTTTCTTGGAATCTCAAACACGTGGAAAACAGAAACAATTCACTCAAACGTAATGGACAACTGCCGAACGAGGTAAATAGTTGTCACGTAGGTTTAATTGGTAGAGGTTGAGACGGCGGATGCGGGACAGGGTTGTGGGGAAAGCATGAGCACAAGCAAGTCGGCCAACAACGCGAACCGTCCAAGCATCATGTAACAGACATCAGAGCACGATGGTCTATCGCATTTACGACATCAAGTCAGAGACACAGAGCGGTCGCAACACGCCGCCTGAACGACCAGCCCAGCCCTACCATGTCAGCGAGCCCCCGTACGAGGGCTACCATGCCGTCGAGCAGAGCGCATACCGCAGCAGCGCTCCCGACAGCGCCATAGTCATCGACAATGGTATGCTCTCGCTCCCTAGCACCTTCTATTCTGCCTGTCACTGATACTATCCGTCACCTANNGGCTCATACAACATCCGCGCCGGATGGCAATCCGACCGCAGTCCACGCCTCTCCCTACCGCCGCTCATGGCTCGATACACGGATCGCAAGCTGAATCGCAAGCTCAACTTCATCGGCTCCGAGATCTATTTCGACGGTACCGCTAGAGGTCAGGCCAAAAACTTGTATGAGCCGGGAAGCAACATTATCAACAACTGGGATGTCTTGGAGGGTGCTCTGGATTACCTCTTCATTAAACTGGGCATTGATGGCTCTAAGGGACACGTCGACCGCCCTGTCGTCATGACCGAGCCCTTGGCCAACCTGCAGTACTCCAAGCGCACCATGTCCGAAATCCTCTTCGAGCTGTACGGCGTTCCCGCAGCTGCATACGGCGTCGACTCACTCTTCTCCTACGCCTACAACGGCGGTAGTACTGGTCTCGTTGTCTCCTCTGCATACACATCAACCCACCTGATCCCTGTCGTCGACTCGAAGCCGCTTCTTGCACAGGCTACGCGCCTGGACTGGGGCCGCTCGCAATGTGCCGATTACCTCAACAAGCTTCTACGCGCAAAGTACCCTGCACTACCCGGCAAGATAAACGATACTCAGATCGAGGATCTGGTCCGTCAGCATTGCTATGTTTCCCAGGACTACAATCGAGAAATGGCAAACTATCTAGACTGGACTGGTCTCGAAGATCGCGACGTACTGGTTCAACTGCCCTTCACCGAGAAAGAGGTCGTTATGAAGACTGAGGAAGAACTTGCAAGAGCTGCTGAGAAGCGCAAAGAGAGTGGTCGTAGACTACAAGAGCAAGCTGCCAAGATGCGCCTCGAGAAGCTCATCCGCAAGGAACAAGAGTTGGAATACTATAAGGATCTTCAACAAAAGCTTGCCACCGCAACTAAGAAAGACGCCAAAACTATGCTCGAAGCCGAGGACTTCAACGATGAATCACAACTGGAGCGAAAGATCAAGGACATGGAACGCTCCATCCGAAAACAAAGGAACAAAGATGTTGGCGATGTCGACGAGCCCGAAGAAATCCCAACTTATCCTTTGCTTGACATTGCAGACGAAGAGCTCGACGAGGAAGGATTGAAGCAAAAGCGTCAGCAACGCTTGATGAAGTCCAACCACGACGCTCGCGCTCGCGCAAAGGCGGAGAAAGAACGCGAAAAGGCTAGAGTCGCCGAAGAGGAGCGTCTGGACTCTGAACGCCGAGAGAACGACACCGAGGGTTGGCTACAAGAAAGAAGAGTCGCTCGCCAGAACATGATTCAGCGCATCAAAGAACGTGATCGTCTCAAGGCGGACCTCGGAAATCGCAAGTCACTCGCGAGTCAGATCCGCATGAAGAATATTGCTAATTTGGCATCTGACAACCCCAAGAAGCGTCGCCGGGGTGGGGATGATGACACCTTCGGCGCTGACGATGCCGACTGGGGTATCTATCGTCAGATTGCCACTGGCGATCAGAGCGACGACGAAGAAGAGGAAGACCTTGGTGCCAATCTCAAGAATATCGAGGCTCAGCTTCTCAAGTATGATCCAACGTTCACAGAGCAGAGCACTCAAGAGGCACAGCAAGACTGGACTAAGAGTGTACTTCATTCATTCCTGCGCGGTCCTTGGCCTTTTGATCCAGAGAGTCAAAGAGAGCTCAATCAGATACACCTGAACGTCGAGCGCATCCGTGTGCCCGAGGTCATCTTCCAGCCCGGTATCGCAGGCATTGACCAAGCAGGCATTGTCGAGATCGCCGAAGACATTATCACACAGCGTCTTTCCGGCTCCTCGAGGCGCGACGACATGCTCAAGGATATATTCTTGACTGGTGGCTACACACACTTTCAAGGTTTCGAAGAGCGTCTGCGCAACGAGTTGCGCGCTGTATTGCCTGCGGACATCTCTCTCGGCGTACGCAAAGCCAAAGACCCCGTTCTCGACGCCTGGAGAGGTGCTGCGAAGTGGGCCGCTAGTCCGACTTCCAGACAGTCGTTCGTGTCACGAGCGGAATATCACGAAAAGGGAGCAGACTACATCAAGGAGCACAACCAGGGAAATGCAGCTTTTTGATAGTCGATGCAAGATGCAGGTGCGAGCAGTAGTTTATTTTAGATGGGCCTCGGCAAAAGTGGCGTTCTTGGGCGCAATATACGAAGTGGCATGGTGATACCCGTTTTTTCTCGTCTCAGACGAACGATTCATGGCACGCACGAAGTTTTTAGTTCTATTATTGATGCAACAAATATATGCATGCGACCAACAGTCTCGAAAAGCCCTAGTCTTGCAAGGTACCTAGTTTTCTAAATGAATCTAACACTGTCAATCACATGGACTGGAGTTTGGTGCCCAGACGGCCAGTCAGTGAGTGGTGTCAGAAGCCATCACAATTTCGTTGCCGAGAATCTTGATTCATCTGAAACGCCACGAAACCACTCGTGATTTCTCTTGACAGGCAATTCGCCAGGGCTCTGCGACGCGTTTGAGACGGCGCGCCTTTACTGGAGATCGTCAGGGCCTTCTTGTGACGGCGTGGACCAGGTCGTCCCTGTGGACGTGCTAATGTGCGCCCCGTGCCCATCGCCAGACACGAGTAAGCACAGATGGGGCGAGGCATAGATTATCTGACGCAGGTACCAATGCACTTTGATACTCGCGTGGGTCTGACAAGCTGCCGATGGCGAACAGCGGTAAGCGTGGGTATCTTCTGGTCGTGGACCTGCTTCCCTCTTCCTCGTCTTCGACAGAAACAATCGTGAGACGCTTCAGACGTCGTCTTTTCCCTCAAACTTCCCGCTCGCTTTCGCTCAGTCAAAACGACCTGCTGTCATTCCAGTTCGTTACTCTTCTTGAAGATCTCTCTCTCTCTGTCTTCTTCTGGTCTTTCCTTGGCGGGTGTTTAGAGCAGTACTTCCTGGCAGGTCCAAAGTCAGAAATTCTGGTGGTCCTTGTCTTTCAACCGGAGTTCTACTGTCGCAGGTCGCGTGTCACGAAGGATGGGCTTCTTGGAGAGATCAAGGTCATTACGCCGTAAAGAGACTCCTTTTATGCGCAAGAAGCTTGATGAAACAACTACTTCCCAAGAAGCAAAAGACGCCAATGTCGAGAGAGAGGCGCAGCGTCCTATCAAGAGTGCTCATGGCTACAAAGACTCAGCAATGAAAGGAACACAGACCCCATCAGAGGCGTTATCGAGGCCTCGCACTGCTAGCAAAGTGCCCATCTTGGAGAAGCACCCGGAGGTGCCCATGCCGAACTCTGCGAGAAACTTCGCGAGAAGAATGTCCATGACCCCATCACCACGATCAACCACGACCAAACTGACTTTACATGCCAACCATTCCACGCCCGGTGTCGCGTTCGAGAGCCGTCCGAGTAACCCTAAGCGATCTATGACTACACCTATCGAACCCCTTCCTACCTTGGCCAGGAAGGAGGAGAAATCGGTTGAAGTGGTTGTGCCTCTTGCTCCTCCCAAGGCTGAAGCACCTTCGGCTGCTCCACGCAAGGAGCCTCATCTGCGCAAATCAAAATCTGGTACCTGGAGGTCGTTCTTCTTGAGGAAACAATCGAAGCCACCGCTTCCTGACTTCAATCCAGCAGACGTTGCTCCTCCACCGGCACTCCCAAAACCGTCTATCAAGAGCTTTATGCCAGCGAGCTCGGCCAAAGAAGGAAAGAAGCTTCATCGCAACTCAATCTCGGTGGACAAGACAAGAGGAAACCAGACCGGTACTCGACAACAATTCACAAAGAGCATGGGTGACAGGTCTGCGCTGCCCCAACTGAAGGTAGCCAATCTTTCGACTTTGGAGCCTCCACCACGATCGACTGCACGAAGTCCGAGTGCAGAATCAGCCATGTCACAGTACTTCGATGCTGCATCATACAACAGCGGTCCCTCACTACCGGTGACTCCTCTAGGCGGTCCTAACAGGCTTAACGTCAATATTCCCGCTGTTGAGATGGAGCGCTACAGTGTCATGTTCGAAAAGCTGCTCCAACCTCAGACTTCAATCATGGATAGACGACAGACAATGGTGAAACAACTAAATCTTTCAGATCAGCCTTCAGGAAGGGTAAGTCGTAAACCACCCAGATACACAGAGGCCTACAAACTAACCGTCTACACAGNNCTCGCTCCCGAGTCTCCTACATTGCAACGCCGTGCCACTTCACCCAATCTTAGTTGCCGTACCCCCATGGCTGCCGAGATGAACGGAGATGGTTCTCAAGTGGCCACCCCAGTGCCCGTCTACCGCGACTCAAACACACCACGCCTGTTGCGTTCGCAAACCGCGCCACCAGGAGCACTTACAACCTCGCGCGAACACCAAAATCAGGCACCGAGCACGACCAACAACTCGTCTGCATGTTCCACAAGCTCACACATGTGGAGCGACGCATCTCGGCCGCAGACCCCAGCTTCTGATGCAGAATCCTTTGTCAGTTTCGATGTCAACGACGACGATGATGACAGTGGTGATGACGATGACGAACTCGATGATACGGGAGTGTACATACATGACGCCGTGGCCATGCAAGCGACTCCTCTGTTCAAAGACACCCACTGGAGGAACGACACACCCATCATGTCCTGCGCTCCACCAATCCCTCCCAAAGCACTAGGTCGCCAGAGTCCTCCCGTCTTCGAGCTGGAACAGCAAGCAGCCTCACTCGATCGCCCACACCCACCACGCACGAGCTCCCTCGATGACGTTGCTGCAAAACGCCAAACCCACATTGGCCCTCAGATCGGGATCGCGAGGAAGATTTCTGTGGTGCGCAGAGCTCCTGCTCCCAGCAGACTCAGTGTGCCTTCGCCCGCGCAGGTAAAGTCTCCTGCTGCTCTTGATCCGACTACTCCCATGCCCGTGTTCAGTAAGCAACCGCTGCGCCCGAAGCTTGTAGATGTGCGCAACCGCAAGAGTACTCTGGTTGTGCTTGATGAGGCTTCTCCTAGAGGGTTTTGATCACTGCTAGACCGCAAGCCTCCGTTGCAAGAGCGTGGCCGGGTACTTCTGATTCTTCTGGTGCTGGACGCTTGACTGGACATTCTGGCATCTGCCTCTAAGACACCGTCTCTTCATTTTTCGACGAAACATACGACGAAACATACACGCTTGATCCCTCATCTTGGACGTCTTTTCTTCTCCCTGCATCTTCTATCAACGTTATAATGGCTGTGCCTTTCTTCTCTTTCTTCCTTTTGTTTTATTCTACAGGCCATCACCATTGTCTCGAGGACACGGCCACTTCTTTCGATTCTTATACCCTTCGCTTTTTCGTCACGTCCTGCTTTCGTTCATCAGTCTTGTTTTACTCATTCCCTCACCAGGAGTGGTTCTTTTTTGTATGAGGCCATCTGAAATACACGTATATATAGAGACTATCTATCTGCTCAACTCAATCACATTCATGCCTTCGAGGCTTCCAATACAGATTCGAAGCTATTTGTTATTGTCCCGTGCAAGAGAAGAACGATCCACTCTACTTTTCTAGATCCTTGCTCTAGTAGAGACGCGGGACCCAAGACGTGGTGGAGTCCTCTCGCGTTTCGGCGCAGGAGTCTCTAGGTTCCAACACTGTTTCTGTGACATCAATGAAGCAATACTAATACTAGAAAGCAGCACATTTTCTACTCCCAAACCCTCCTCTTTTTAGCTTGTGGATCAAACGTGTCATCTATCTCATGGGCTGCAGTGGTACAGCCCTCTGCATCTCCACTCTAGTTACAGCATTCCCACACAAAGCCTTCGGGATAAGTTTCGAAAAGGCGAGTGTCGATTGTTCCATGACATCTTTGATCCCAGTCATTCCAGGTACTGCTTTGCCAATCAACTTCTAATTCGCCTGTANNTTTCACGAATCAGCACTGTTTACTGTATGAGAAGTAGATACATAACACACCATCATGGTATTGACAACTATCTTCGTCATTGTCAGTGACGTCGAATTCTTCTTTGCAGTTTTCGCACATGGCGTAGCGTTGCCTTTTNGCACCAGTGTTTGATTCAATTGGTGCTGAGTCGGTGTTATCGTCTGTGAGGTCGACGATGGCGGTTGGCGGGGCTAAAAGTTGTTCTTCGACAAGAGTTGCTGCTGCAGGGGAGGAGTCGCAGATTTGTTTTAATACACACTGGAGTCGTGAGAGGGTTGTATGGTCAATGGCATGGGTTAGTTCTGGGGAAGGCATGGTGGGTGGATGATGATTACAGTAGAGAAAGTGGTGGATAGATGGATGAATGGTTGAAGATGCGGAGGCGCGATGCGGCTCGTGGGGCTGTTCATCGGGCAAGTCGTCCCCAGAGCTTTGGCTTTTATATGAATACATCACCTTTTTCGAGTATGCTGCATATATGCACATGTCTGTCGCAATCAACCTGATAGAGAAGAAGCAAAATGTAAAGCAGCGAGTAGTTTGATCCACACTTGGGACAGTGTTCGAAGCATGCAAGAAAAAGAAAGAGGAAAAGAAAACACATGGGTATCATTAGGTGCGCTACATGACAATGCAGCACGAGTTCTGTTTCTTGGCCNNTAGTACAGTCAAAAAGGTCAGCATTTGGCATATCTCAAATCCAGAATATAGAAAACATACCTGAGTATAGAACATCTTGCTCTGAGCAGAAAGACCGTCGCTCTTGGCCACCAAGTTGTCAATCTTCTCACCACGCTCCAAGACACTCTCAATGGTCTTGTGCAGCACAATCTTGGTCTCGTCCAACTCCTTTTGGATCTTCATGATGCTGTCGGCGGCGTGCGGGTCCTGGTACTTGACAATGTACTCCTTGAGCTGAGGAAAAGGCAACTCGGCATTCGAGTTTGCAAAGGCAGAACGCGGGTAGCGCGACAGGAACTCGTCCAGGATCTTGGAGAGCAGCTGGTGGGCGACCAGGGCGGGGTACTCTTGGTCGCTGATGATGATGCCGGCGACGCCCTCGCTGCGGCCGTAGGCGTGGAAGGTGTAGGATTGCTCTTCGACGTCCTGGCGTTGGCCCGGCTTGGTGCGTTCGGCGACGGTCTTTGTGAACAGCGACATGAACTCGCCGACCGAGGAGCGGGTGAAGCGGGAGTAGCTGCTCAGGTCGCGTTCGGCGCACAGCTCGACGGCCGGCTTATCTTCATTCTTTAGGATCTGTGCCTGTGTCAGTGCCGTCTTCGCAACATTGGGAGTATTCGTACGCCAATATAGAGAATCTTCATGTCGGCGGCGAGGGTAGTGTGATGTTGAACGCTGCCTACTTTCGCTCTAGGGGCGTGTGATGCCAAAGGGTCCTGCCAAGCCTCGTCATCTCCCCCAGACGAGTCACCACCATGTCATCACCTGCTTCAAACATGAATTGGAAAAGGGTATAATAACATTTGTCCATCCGACCTTCCCAGTGCTACCAACGCTGCTTGTACAGCTTCTACATGTCTAAGCACCCTCGCTACCAAACTCTGCAGTCCACTCGGCATTGTGCTTGAGGTCTTCTTGACTGACCGTAGGCCTTGAAGCCTTGATTGCCTTGACAAAGTCCTTGACCATGAGTGGGGGCTCTAGAAGCTGATCCGTCTCGACGTCCATCCATGTCATTTCCGTTGCCCCCTGGTCGCCCGGTGAGCATGGCGTGAGCTTCTCTTGTCCATCAACCGTGACCTAAAGAATCGAGTCAGTACATAGCATGCCAAATCTGACAGACAGTGACGAACCTTCTTGTAGTGAGTTGCCGTCTGGATTTTCCGCACAGGTTGCATCAAAGCATCTTGCACTGCAATAGTGATATCGCTTCCAGAGTAGCCTTCGCTGAGCTGCGCCAAAGTCCGGAAGTCCTCTGCCTTCATCTCGCATGGTGTTGATCCTACCGCGAGCTCAAACATTCGTGTTCTGGCCGGCGTATCGGGTAAACTAATATGCACTCTTCGCTGGAATCGTCTGCGGATGGCAGAGTCGAGCTGCCATGGGATGTTGGTGGCGCCGAGGATGAGTACTCCCTTGGAATCACGTCCCACACCATCCATTTGCACCAGAAGTTCGGTCTTGATACGTCTTGAGGCTTCCGACTCGCCTTCGCCTCTGGGACCGCAGAGTGCGTCAATCTCGTCGATGAAGATGATTGAAGGTTTGTTCTCTCGCGCCATGCCGAACAGTTGCTTTACGAGACTTTTAGGTGTCAGTAAGTCGATGCATACTTGTCACAAGCTAACAGAAACGTACCGTTCACTCTCACCCATCCACTTGCTGACCAAGTCACTACTGCTGACACTGAAGAAAGTGCTGTTTGCCTCGGTGGCAACGGCTTTGGCAAGATATGATTTACCGGTTCCGGGAGGGCCGTAGAGCAGGATACCCTTCCAGGGCTGACGCTTGCCGGTAAACAGGTGGGGGAACTTGATGGGTAGAATGACAGCCTCTTTCAGAGCTTCCTTGGCTTGCTCTAGACCGGCCACGTCTTCCCACTTGATGTTGGGCTTGTCGGTCAGGATAGCACCAGCAAGGGCGCCTCGCAGCTTCTTAGACTCGGGGTCTTGATCGTCTCCCTCGTCTTCTCTGTTGACATGTGATTAGCGTGTGCGTTGGTGAGCTCTGTTGGAATGGAGAAGTGCGTACTTTCCCTTGCCGGCACCGTTCGAGGTCTTCCCATTGGAGCCTATAGCACTCGGTTTCTTTCGATTCGTATCTTGTTCGGCCAGATGGTTCTTGAGTTTCTCAGCTCTTTCCATGTACTCGGCAGCCTTTGCGCGGATCATCTCCTTGGACTTTGCATTCTTCTCCCCTGTAACTAGTGTGAGTTGTGTACCACGATGGAAGCGGCAGTTGTGGCATACATTTCAGGGCGAGCATGAACAATTCGACTAGGCGAGGGTTAGTGTCGGTGAGTTGAGATGGTTGGTGTGGCACGTACGGGCTTGGTAGTAGAGTTGGTAGGCCTTCTCGTACTCGCCCGCTGTGTCCTGCTCAATGGCCTTCTTGACCACATCGATGGCACGGCCCAAGAAGTCGGTGTTGCTCATGTCTCCAACAGTGCAGTGATGCGAGGAAGGTCTAGTGACGTGTGGCACTGCGTGTGCTCAAGTTGCGCTGGCTGGGGCTTGAGGTATCTGCGTGGGTCGCGAAGGGCGTCCCGTTGGATTGGCGAATGCGGCGACGCAGAAGACGGACGATGGATTGTGGCCGGTTCGTCGTCAGTAGATATGCAATAGAGAGACAATAGGGCAACACACGGTCATGGATCGATGTTCCCCGCCGTCTCGCCTTCCCCACACCGACGAACGCGCCGTTTCCAACACCAATCTTGCACGCCGACGACATTCCTTTTTGTGCTCAGTAAGCCACTAGAATCTCGCAACCCTTCGCAATGGCTACTCCCGACCAACAAAAGCAGCTGCAGGCCTTGTCAGACGAGTACACTGCTCTGCAAACCGGTACTACCAATCTTCCCACCACAGTCCTGGACATTAACATCTTGCTAACATGAGCATNNACAGAACTTCAAACCACCGTTGCAGCCAGACAAAAGCTCGAGTCTCAACAACAAGAAAACAAGGGTGTCAAAAGTGTATGTGTCACTACATACCTCCGTCGACCTTGTTCAATCTGACCCATGTTCATCAGGNAATTCGCAAATCTCGACGATGACGCCAACATCTACAAGCTCGTGGGCCCTATCCTGCTAAAGCAGGATGCATCCGAAGCAAAGAGCACTGTCGATGGCCGTCTAGAATTCATCGACAAGGAAATGTGTGTCTTTTTCTGCTCTTCCTCCTCTGCATGCCCTCCATAACCCAAATCACAGCNNAACCGTATCGAGAAGCAGATTTCAGACATCCAAGCAAAGAGCGAGGAGAAGAAGATGGCTGTAAGTTCTTATCAATATCCTCAAGCTTAGTACTCCAGATTTTAACTCCTCCAGGTCTTCCAACTGCAGACCGATATCCAGCAGAGCGGTCAACCGGCAACTTGAGAGATTATTATGCTTCCCTTCGCCAGAGTGCTCGTTGAAGCACTCTTCAGGACGTTCGAGTCCAGAACTCGATACATCAGCCGAGCTGCCGCCAGCATTCAGTGCATGTTTCGAGAGAAGCGTCTCTTGACTGTTCCAGTTAGGATCCGGGCCGATGCAACCGGTGCATGCCTTGATTACGTTCTTGACGACGATCTGCATAGACGTGATCTACAGATACCTTTAGGTAAAGGATCGCAGCAACAAAGTTTCTGGTCACCAAAGAGACAGTCCAGACAAAATTCAAGTCAGATCAAAAAGTTATCAAGTGTATTTCTATTGTGTGCCAATAGCTTTGAATCAATTGGAGACACCCTTTGTAATTAAGCCTCTTACTTTTTCCTTCTTCTTCTTCTTCTCCTCCTCTCCAGCACACGCACAAGAAAATCAGGACTAACACGTCCGTAACGTGAATGTCATTGTCGTTATCACGTCTGACCACTCCCCAAGTCCAATACCATCCCTCTTCCTCGAGGGCCACAAGACGCTGGGCTTTTAACCAAAGAAGGCGCGAACGGCGTGCTGAACCTCTGGCGACATCTCAGCCAGAAGCTGGTTGGCGTCCAAGTTGGCCATGGTGACGAGAGCCTTGGCCGACTGCACAACCTGTTGTGCGGTTCTGCCTTGCAAGGTCTCGGCCTCCAGAGCCAAAGCCACAAAGTGGAAGCAGCGAGCTGCTTGCTGAATGACAGCAGGGTTTTGCNNCTAGAATTATCGTTAGAAACAGGGTTCACAACTACATGTTTTCGGAACTTACTGGTCGATAAGCTGTGCCAGGAAAGAGTAGGCATAGGGAGCGGCCTCTTCATCGTTGACGACAGGCAACGTTCCTATCCAAGCCTCAACAACTTGCTGGCTGTTGGTGACCTTGCTGCTGTTGAAGTGGAGGATCTTGGCAATACTGGCACAAGCGTTCTCGGTTGCAAACACGTGGTCACCGGTACGGGCGTCCGGTCTTTGGGTTGCTTGGAACAACAGCGGCAGACTGGCATTGGCAAAGTCTGACCATGGTGCACCACCCTTGTGTGCTGCAACGCCAGCGCCGTATGTTGCAGCTTGTCTGTTGGCAGGGACATCGTCTTGCATACCATCAACCAGCGGCTGCACAATGTGGCTCTCAAACGCCCACGAATCGGGACCGCAGAACTCCAAAACATCGTCCATGATGCACAGTGCCCATTGTCTTTGTGTGGGGTCCTGGTTCACGAGTGCCTGGTCGAGGTAGGGCATAAGCTTTTGCCAGAAGGGTAGGAAAGTAGTACTGTGGTGCTTGAAGATGGTGTGGAAGGCTTTGTTCATGTCGGAGAGCAGGGTTTGGTCGTCCTCGATGGCGAAAAGAGTCTCCTCGCTAACCTCATCGCCGTCCTCGCGCTCATTGGCTTCCTCAAGTCGTTCGTTGACACGAGTTTGGTAATCCTTGAGGACGCCCTCGGCTGAGTTGATGAAGACTGCCATGTGGTCCGGGCTCAAGCAACCGTTGCCACAGACTTCGACGGATTCGTAGAAACACTGGTACATCTCGGCCAGAGTCTCGATAGCGGGCTCGGTCTCGAGGACCTCGAGCACCTTGGCGATGGTCGTTGTCCAGAGCTGGCGGAATTGTGGTGATTGGAGGCCGTGGGCGAGCTTGTAGCAGTTGAGGAGTTGAGGGACACACTTTGCAGCGGCCTGGCGAACAGGGTCGTGGAAGAAGAAGGCAAGACCAGGAATGGCAATGTTCTCCATGATATCCAGGACGTAGTTCTCGAAGCTTGCGGCCAAGTGCTGGGCATAGACGACAATGAGTTCAATAGCCATGTGCTTGTCATCGAGAGTGCTAGTCTTGATGCCAATGTACTTGCCCTTGAGAGGAACAAGCTCCCATCCCTCCTCCTGCTCGAGGTTGTCTTCGTCGTCAAGAAGCTGAATGTCGGCCTTTGCCTTGGCCAGCTCCAACAGCGGAGGCATGACAGCAGGCAAGTAGGGAAGGAAGTCTGCGCCCAAGATACGGCACATACGGCCCCAGCAGTGCAACAGGTATGAAGCTTGAGGGTCATCTGATTCTGTAATGCCTTGTTGAATGCTGCCAAGGATCTGGACAAGTTGAAGTGCGTCGTTGCCCATGCGCTCCTTACCAACAGCGAGTGCGATCAGAGTAGCACACTCCATGGCCTTGGCTCTGAGCAAGCGGTTCTCCTTGGACTGATCGGTCTGCAAGACATTAAACAGAAGAGGCATCAGATCGCTGTAGTACTTGGCAAACGCGGCTTCGGCAGAGTCGGCAACTGTGGCGATAGTTGACAAGGCTTGCTCCTGGACATAGCGGGTCTTGGTGTTGCGTAAGAGGTTGAAGAGGTTGGTGAAAAGACCATCAAGGTAGGGGGTCAGGATCTCACGCTCGGCCTCTTCGCAGAAGTTGACAAGCGCGGCGGCAGCGTGGGATGCGACACGAGGTTGGTCAGATTTCAGAGACTCGACTAGGGCAGGGAGTACGATCTGGTGGAAGTTGGTCTGCATAATGCCCTTGAAGTCGGTGCTCATCTGTCCCAGAGCATTGCAAGCAGCCCATCTGACTCGAGGGTGAGGGTCGTTGAGTCTGGGAAGGACAAGGTCAAGAACCTGCTGGAGTTCGCTCTCCATGAGTTCTTGACAACCCTCTGAAATGGCCGAGATGGCCATAAGGGCAGCGTGGCGGTCTCTCCAAGCACCCGACTCGATCATGCGGGGCAGCCATTGGAAGGTAGGAGGAAGGATGGCCTGACCACCCAACTTGTTTGCGAGGCGATCCATAGTCTGCTCACCAGCAACGTGATTCATGTCAGCCTCGTCCAAGTCGAGATCTTCTGTGGTGCACCAGTCTTCGGCGTCGTCGTCATCAGCGCCAACATCTGTCATGAGGGACAGGCACTGAGTGACCATATCAGGGGTGTAATTGGGGTCTTTGCGGCACATCTGGGGGCTGTAATCGGCGAAGGTGGCCATGAGTTCCAAAGCGTTCTGTCTGGTCTTGTCGTCAAGGTCCTTGTCCTGGATGACGGTGATACTGAACTTGACGAGTTCGTTGAACAGAGGCTTGAACATCTTGGGGGCGGCTTCGGCAAGATCGATCATGGCAACCAAGGCCTTGGTAAGGTCGTCCGAGTTTGACACGTCTTTGAGCGGAGGGAGGATGTTGAGGATGTCAGAAATCAAGGGGTAGTACTTGACTTGGGACTTCTTGTTGATTGAGTGGAAGAAAGATGCAAAGGCGTCCATGGCGGCCAGTCGAACCTGCAGGTGGGCAAGGTATACGTTAGTTGGTGGTAAGAAAAAGATGCATTTATAGCAACTTACAGCGACATCGTCGTCTTTGAAGCCTTTGGTGAAGGAGCTCAAGACAACCTCCTCATGTTGCTTCTCGATGATTCCAGGAGTAGTGGCAAAGATTCTGAAAGCTGTCTCACGCTGACCAGCATCAGGCGATTGGCTGGCCTGGAACAAAGCGGCCAGGAGATCGGCCCATGTGTCTCTGGAGCTATCGTCGTTGAAGACGTCTTCATCCGTGTATTGTCTGGCGATCTCGGCGACAGCATCACCGACCTTGTTGCGAAGTGAAGGATGTGCGACAACTGTGGGTGCGGCCATGCCTTGTAGCAGAAGGGTACGGATGGCATCTCGTTGAGGCTTTTGCAGAGTGAGGAACAGCTCGCGCGACTGGCCAGCAGAGTCCTTGGAGGTGCGCGATGACATGCGACGGAACAGGACAGCGGCGAATGATTGGGCCTAGACATGTCAGTCGGATGTCGTCAAAAGGTGTTTCGTTCGTACAGTGGGAGAGTCGGCCATCTGAATTTGCTCAACGAGGCCCATGAGCAGCACGTCGGGCTTGGACTGGGCCCATTCTGTCGACAGACGTTCCTCGGCCTGGCTTCTGATGTTGTTGTCGGCCGCTTGGAGACCTTGCAGCAGCTGGCTCAGTGCGCTGTGCGTCTCTGCGGGAAGAATCGACATGGTGTTTGTTTTCTGGAAGGGAGTGGGGGTTCAGGCGCCGCCGCGAGAGCGCCGCGTTACTCGGATTATGAAAAGTTGACAGGTGCAAAAGACTCGGCGTGTTCCGGTAAGACTCTTTTCGATTTGACGAGCACCAAAAAGGCCGTGGCGATGGTGACAGAAAGGCGGGATGGTGGTTGCAGGAGCTTGTTTGATGCGTCTCGAATGTTTTTTTGGCCATTATCTAGGGAGAAAGCCAGGGTCTGAGCAAGCCTGAGCCAAGAATCCGGCCGTGCTCCGCGACCTCCCTCCACATTTTACAGCTACACTTTCGATCCCATCCAAGCTAACACGACCTTGATGTTCCTTTCCGCAATGTGCCACCACGTACTACGTCTTTGCGATAGACTTGGCTCCGTAACAACTTGTCGCCAGTCGGTAAAAATGCCCGAACTGTTTGTATGAGTTCTGGCACAACGACAAAGGAATGTTCAATTAAACTAAACTACAGTCATGAGTGGTATCGCTGCCAAAAGAAATGTAACCCTGCCGCCGCTCAGGAATGCCCGTCATGCTCACGCCTTATTTGCTCGACATCCTTGAGATGGCAAACACTCCAATGATGGCCACAGCCAGCGTCACTATCGCTCCAGGCAGAAGGAGCTCGTTGGGAAGACCTGCAATCAGCTGCTCTTGTCCCACTGCCGGTGCTGCTTGACGTTCCTTTCTGCGAGGTCTGGTCATCTCGCTCTCCTCATCAGACTCGCTGTGCGCCACCTTTCGCTCACGCACAACACTCTCAGAGGGTGCCACGGTCACCAACGAGGGCTGCGGTGCAAGCGTTGCCGGGAGTGGTGCCGTCTCAGGGTCATGCACAAACAGATCAACCTTGTCTTGATGCGTCAGTTGCGCCAGTGAGATGGCGTCAAGTAGATCGCGGTCCGTTGTTATCGAGACTGTGTCGCCTTCGTTGTCAAGATAGCTCAATGCAAATCCGGTGCGGCTGAGTTTGCCATCCTCGAAGGTAGGCACTCCACCGATAGATTCAGCTTCGCTGCCCAGCTTCTCTGCGACAACACTGACCAGCTCGCTCATGCCAGCCGAGGGCACAATTTGCAGTCTGTGTACGCGACCACTTGGTGCCTTGAACTTGAATGGGAATGCAACGTCTTCATATGAGTTGGCAGCTCCAGTGAATGCGGATGGGTCAGGAGAATCACGACCTCCAGTGTGGGAGGCTGAGTCGGTGGGCATGACGCTATCACCCCGATCAACTCCAGGTCTCGACATCTCTGGTGAGAATTGTGATCTCCCATCTTCTGTCTGTGGGTGACGGCTGCCGCCTTCACCAGACATCATGGACTCGGTCTCGTTGTCGAAAGACATCCAGAACTTGTTCCAGGCAGGTCCCTCGCTATCTCCGGTTGACATACTGTTGATCNNTACAGAAGTTAGTTGATGCACAACTTTGACATCTGCCAGTCAAAAACGTACCTGATCCAGTGTGGCGTAGGTAAGCTTCAAGACATCAACCATACCAACAATCTCGCCTTCGGCACTCATAACTGGCAAGTTCAAGTAGTGGCCATCNTAGTAATTGTCAGCGAATTATCACTGTGCCGGACGCAGATATTCCATACCATGCATCTTGCGGAGTGCAGATTGAATGCTCATGTCGAGAGGCGCAAAGTCCGGGTGAGGAGTCATGACGCGGACAACACTGCAGTTGCTGGGATCCAAGCCAGCAGCGATAACGCGCAAAACGACATCTTTGCTGGTGAAGATTCCAGTGATAGATCCCTGGTCTGTCACCAAAACGGCAGTGGTGTGGTTGGCCTTCATCAATGCAGCAGCCTCCTTGACAGAGGTACGTACAGACACGGTAACGGGTGGCATGCCGTTCAGGACAGACTCGAGAGTAGGACCGGACATCTTGTGACGAATGGCCTCAACATATTGAATAATCTGCTGCGGCTGGCTGGAGCCCAACTCAGCCTGAACACCCTCGAGTGCATCGTAAAGCTTCCTTGAGGAGCTGTATGCGCGCTCCAACTTCTCCATAGCATCGTAGAAACATTTTGTGATGTCGAGAATACCAGAGATGTCGTGGTTCTCGTCCATGACGGGAAGGTGACGGAAGCCCTTGCGGACCATGAGGTCCAGAGCGTCGGTCGCGCTGGTGTCGGTTTTGGCGCACAGCGGATTCTTGGTCATGATCTCGGCAATGGTGATGCTGTTGGCCTTGATTCCCTCTCCAACAACGCGGAAGGCGAGATCCTTTGCAGTAAAGATACCTGCGATACGATCGTCGGCATCGGTAACAAGGACGCAGTCTTCGCGCTTTGCGGCCATGAGCTGGGCAGCTTCTGCGACGGTCGTGTTCGGCTTGATCTGGAGAGCCTGGCTGGGCCTGAGGGCGAGGACGGAACCAGGGGCTGCCTTTCGGGTCTGACGGGCGCGGGTAGGGTTGGCTCTCTTCTTGCTCAGGTCGGTTTCGATCTTGCGGCGGATGGCCTGGGAAGAGCTTTGTTAGATGGGCCAGACAGGATGCAATGCTTTGAGAATACACACCTCGTCCCTCTTGGACTGTTTGGCCCTGCTGACGCTGAGGGTTGACATGTCGCTGGGTGCGCTGCTGGCGGCAGTTTCTAGCTTTGGTCTGGGTATGCCCGAGGGGCTGTCAAGTGCTTGGAAAGGATTTTGGCCTCGGGGTTTGTCTTTGGGTGTGCCACGATATGTACCTGTTGCGGACATAGTGGTTCGTGCAGTTTAGAAGTCGGTGCGAGGGCGGTGAAGGGGGCTAGAGCTAACTATTTACGTTTCAAGCCTTGCACGACCCAGAGCTTGTCCCTGAGCCCGCGACTGTAAACACAGGATAATTAGGGAAACTTTGTCTGCCCCTATTCAAGGCATAACTTTTTGTGAACGCTTATGAATCTACTGTACTTTTGCATTCCTTGTCGTGTTCAAGCATCTCTACGGTCATTCTATCTATAAATACTTGCCTCGCGGCAAGCGGCTACTCGGAATATGAAAACTGCAGCATGTCTCCGATCTGGATATTGTCCACCACACTATGCGACCAGGCCAAGTGGTGTTCCAATTCATGCATCCATCTTGCACGTGTTCTAGCAGCATGCAAAAGCTCCATCGATGTGAGGGAGAAAATGTGCTAAAATCGTGATAGTCGTCTAACAGATATATGAATAGCACTGCCAACATCAAATCTTCGTACTGCTGTTCTCTTGTGATGTGCTGCAGTCAGACCATTAGGACATAGAATGGAAGAGTACCCATCCGTACAAGCTCCGTTACAGCACTGGTCTTGACAAGTTTCAGGAGACTATAACCGAGTGTTTGTAAGGCTCTCTAATATACACTTCGCTGTTGAGAAGCAACAGCAGTAGCAGCCATAGCACTGCACGATGTTGAGTCCACAATGTGGTTGACCAGTGAAGCCCTGCGTAAACAAGTCTGAGGCATGGTCGGGTAAAAGTCGGAGTCTTGCCGCGACTTCCTTGGCGAGGACGCACGAATTCGAGCAAGTGCGCCTCGCCAATTTCAGCCCACAAACGCGCCTTTTGGGATTTCTATACTCTTTCTGACAGTAGGAAGAGTTATCCGTCGCCAACACACGTCAAAATGGTCAAGAAGAGAGCCTCCAAGTACGAATCACTGGTCATGGATGCTCACTGGATGTCGCGCTGACATTGTTGTTACAGCGGTCGCAACAAGAAGGGTCGTGGCCACGTCAAGCCCGTCCGCTGCTCCAACTGCTCGCGATGCGTTCCTAAGGACAAGGCCGTCAAGAGATTCACCATCCGCAACATGGTAGAGTCCGCCGCTATCCGTACGTCGATCCCGCCAGACTCCCACTCCCTGCGAACACCTCCTGCGACATCTCGCTCCGTCAACCCGCTCCTGGTCTCCTTCGAATGCGACGACTGATATAACTCCTGCAGGTNNGATATCTCGGATGCCTCCGTCTTCGCCGAGTACGCCGTCCCCAAGATGTACCTGAAGCTCCAGTACTGCGTCTCGTGCGCCATCCACGGCAAGATCGTTCGGTATGCCTCACCCTGGACATACCACCCTACCCGGGCGCAATCCACAACAACCCGCTCGACACACACACGGCATACTAACACCGCACAGTNNGTCCGTTCCCGCGAGGGCCGTCGCAACCGTGCCCCTCCCNCGCGTGTTCGCTTCAACAAGGACGGCAAGAAGATCAACCCTCAGCAGGCCGCCAAGGTCGCTGCTGGTGCCCAGGCATAAATGATGAGTTTTTTCGGGATTTGACAAGGCGTCTGTCTTCCGATATTACTTGGCAGGCACGAGGTTGCATTCATGGCTTCACAAAGAAAAAATGGAGAACAGGTCGGGATGCCATCTCCAATGGAGATTATCAGCGGCAGCATGGAGCTACCTTTATGGGCACTGTTTTTCTCCTGCACAGCGGCTAGGTAGACTTCAAATGCACGCAAAAGCGATCGTGGCTGCTACGATTGTTGAACTTCCCAAAACACTGGACATCTTGCTCGTCTTTTTGTATGTGTCTCATCACTTGAACATGAACTATCGGTGCTCTAGTCGGATCGCTTTTCGGCGACGCTCCCATCTTGCCCAGTCTTGGTGTGTGTGCTCTCAGGCATTTGATCATCATCCCAGTCTTCGGCATTCTCATCCCAGTTGTCCAGCTCTTCAGTGACATTTGGTGGCTCGGAGCTGGACATGACACCAGTCTCTTGGTCGGCAGCATTCTCTCCCAGTTCAATGTCTTGCTCCTCGCCAGGCACCATCTGGTAGTTTCGTGCGGCGCGACGTCTCTCCAGCATACGTTTGTGGTACCAGCTGCACGCCAGCAAGGCAAGTAGCGAGCCAACAACGTTGGCAAGGATATCGTAGGGGTCAAACTCACGGCCATTCNNTGTGTGGATATTAGCTTGACGTCTCGTAGTGGGGGTTGGGAAGCAGCATGCCGGTAGCAGCCCTTGGACGATTTCGGAACCAATGCTCAGGCCAACAGTACAGGCCACGAGGGTAAAGTGAATGACGCGGCGACGGTTGGTTTCAATGATCCAGTAGAAGCAAAGCTAGCAGACGCAGAGCCTTAGTAAGAGCCGAGATAGGTAGAGGACAAGACATACGGTTATCAAGAAGAAGGTGACAAAGTGTAAGACCTTGTCGCTTTGCTTGTATTGGGGTAGGCGGTTCGGGGCGAGGCCTAATGAGGCTGCTATGAACAGCAGTACCACAAAGGCAGCTATGTACAAGCGTCAGTCGCATCGTATTTGGTGATGCTGGAGTGGGTTGTGTCTACCTGCAAATGGTTTTCTGATTCTCATGGCTCAAGCTACCGCCTCGTTGACCAGGTGTGCTATAAGCAAACGATTGGCAAGCGCAAGGTATCCTTGAAGCGGGACCCCAAGCGGTGGGAGTCGTTGAGGGAGGTGTTATTACTTAGTGCTCCTTCCTCGCCGGCCTCGACCAGATCTTTGGCGATACTACACCGTGATATACAATGTGTAAAGCTGGGTCTTGTTCCTGAAGGTGGCGGTCTGCAGGAATAAGTTAGACCATACAGAGATCTGTGAGGGTTGTGGTTCGCGACAGTGAATCGTCGGCGGCAGCAGGCGCGTGTCTCGTGGGCGTGTGCGTAACCGCTCTCTACCGACGCAGCGCGAGTCGGTCTCCGTCCACATAACCCCATCAGTGCATCCATCATCCACGCGAGAACCAGCGAGTTTCCATCGGGCTTTTTGCTTCTCCCATCTCCTGGACCTCTTCAGCTCTCGGCGCCATCAGATGATTGATACTCCTCTGCCACATCAGAGGTCTGCGTGAATGCGCAACATCAGCACTCGTCCCCGGCTTGGCCATGAACAATAAGGAGCGCTCGAGACCCGCGTCGGCCAGCAACTCCCTGACGAGACAGAAGTCCATCAATGGCCTCAGTCCTGCGCCGCTGCCTAGAGATGCATCAATTGCGCGCACCGCAAGAGCCGACTCCAACCCGAACGACGACCTTGACCATGACCCTGACCCTGACCATGACCGCGACCCCGATGACGACGATCCACTTCATATTTCTCTGAAGGCCTGCTACGATGCCTCGCAATCCAAGATCGCCCAGCTCTTCTCGCGCCATGCCCTACCGCTGTCTAACGAGGAATCTACATCACATCGTCCTGCTCACGACCAATCACCCTTCGACCACACCACCCCACCCATACCTCCCCCTCCGCTCAAAAGACCCGCGCGTACCATTGATGAAGACGACTATGGCGATGACGACGACGATGAAGAGGAGGAGGCCGACCAACAAACTCAACAATCACACCCCGCCGCCGAGTCTCCTTTGCGCTCAAAACAGACTGCCTCGCCATCCTTGTCACTCAAGCCCACCATCACCCGCACGAGCACTTCGTCTGGCTCCTCTGACNCATGCCAAGTCTTCGGAGGATGTGCGCAAAAACTCGAGCAAGACAAGAAGGCGGCCGAGGACGCGGCGCGAAAGAGTTTCCATATCATGTTCTATACTCTCGAGGCGGATCGAGACGCTATGATGGAGCAGCAGAAACTCGACGATCTGGACAGGCAAGTCGAGAACGAAATGTCTGGCGTATCCAACCCTGCTCCAACCTCTGATCCCTCGGGTATTCAACAAGGTTCTCTCAGCAATGCCGATCTTGGTGCATCAAGCTTAACCTTGAAGAATCTCATCGCCCGTATAGACGCTAAACGAACCATGGTCAACGCAAACGACACCCAACTGCGTACTCTTATTAGCGAAGTTCGCAAAGGACGTAGCAAATGGGCCAGTGAGGAAAAGATTGGTCAGGAAGAGTTGTATGAGGCTGCCGAGAAGGTCCTGATGGAGCTAAAAGCAATGACCGAATACTCGACTCCTTTCTTGCAGAGGGTGAACAAANGAGATGCTCCCGACTACTTTCACATCATCAAACAACCCATGGACATCGGCACCATGATANAAAAGCTCAAGAGCTTTTCGTACAGATCANAAAAGGAATTCGTCGGGGACCTGAATCTGATCTGGGCCAACTGTCTCACCTACAATGCCGATCCCGCTCATCCACTACGCAAAAAGGCCTTGTACATGCGCAAAGAAACCGATAAACTGGTTCCCCTAATCCCCGACATTGTCGTGAGAGATAGAGCAGAGGTTGAGGCAGAGGAGAGACGTCTACAAAATCTAGATGTTGATCTCGAGGGAGGAGAGGACAGTGACGATGGTAATTATGTGTTCTATCAAGCCCTCTGAACACCAACTTAACCTTTTACAGATCAACCTATAATGGCATCTCGTGGCCGTAAAGCACCAGGGAAAAGCAAGAAAGGACAGTCCAACACTACCCGACAAACGACTCCTGGTGCACCCGAAGGTACCCCGGCTGCCGAGTCTAAGCCTGCGATCCACGCATCAGCATCTAGTCTGCGTAATGAGTTTCTTCAGCCCGATTTGGATGTTCATGCTGAAGCCAGTTCGAATGGATTCTCCACACCACCTCCTCCTGGAACAGCGACTCCACTTGGCATGAACGGGTTGAGTCAAGCTGATTTGATGGAAGTGGACGGTGTCGGAAACTCAATTGCCGTCAGCTCACAGATTGAGGACCTGGATGACGATGACGCCGAGTTCAAGACCTGGAAGCAAGTCACCAAGAAAGATAGAGCTATGGCAGCTGCGGAGAGGAACCGTCTGTTCCGCGGTGATCATCTCAATCCCGACGAACCAGCGTTGCTACGCACGAAAGCAGGAATGCGAAGATGGCTTCGTCAACAGAAGCAAATCTTGATCGAACCGACCAGTGCGCAATCGAAGTCCGACGGCGACGAACCGGAGCCGGACGCGAGTACCACAGGTGAAACTCTGGCCGAGATTCAGAAAGACCAAGATCGAACACTTCCAGACTACTATGATGTTCTGGCAGCAATTCCAGATCTGAACGAACAACTGAGATGGACCGAAGATTCTGAAGGCAAAGTAATACCTCAGGTCGAGGAGTATCTGCGCGTCTTTCCAAAGGAACAATTCACATCCTCAGAGAGTGGCCTTACCAAACGGATGGAAGCGAACATGAGACAAATGCAAGAGACTCGAAAGATCTGCGCAAAGATTGGCATTGTCAAGCAAATGCAAATCCAGGCTCAGGTACGCAATTCTGGTTCTCATATCCAAGATCACAATGTGCTAATATGTTCTCGCNAGACCTATCAGAATCAATTTCAAAAGTACGATCCTCAGCCGTTTGTGGAGCAAGACATCGGCGCTGTTGCCGTCTCGGAAGATGGTCCTATCATGTCACCATGGGTCTGTCGTGCTGCTTTCCAAAGAGCGGTGGGGAAGATTTTCTACCATGCCGGTTTCGAGGATTTCCAGCCGTCCGCACTTGAAGCCGTCACAGACATTGCCAGCGATTTCTTTGGTAAGCTGATTCGTACTTTTACTCTGTACAATGAAGCACCCAAAGAAGAGCTCGAGACCCACAGTTTCGGTGCCGAAGAGCAGGTCCTTCACTGTCTTCACAAGAACGGCCTAGATTTGGAATCTCTCGAAACCTACGTCAAGGACGATGTCGAAAGATTGGGATCGAAATTGGGTGTAGTGCATGAACGCATGAAAGCGCATCTCGCCGACTTACTTGTGAGTTTCCATCGACATTCTGCTGATAAAGATACTAATCCATGCAGCNGACCTGCTTTGGGCGACAGTGTGGGTGCAGATGGCGTTGGTGCATTCAACGATGGCAGCGATCAGTTCACCAGTGGTGACTTTGCTGCCGATGTCGATGAGGATTTCTTCGGCTTCAAAGAACTTGGTCTGGCCGACGAATTCGGTCTGGAGAGTCTCAGCGTGCCCTTGCATCTGCTACAGAACCGCATGCACAGCGCTTACCAGGCAAACCATACCAGTTTGATCACTTCATCTGGTGTCGTGTTCCCTGTACCTACTCCTTACGATCCGATTTCGACAGACAACTTGCCCTCTCAGATCGGATTGGTTCAGGACTTCTTCGCAACCAAACTTGCGGCTAATCAGGGACGACCTTTGGTTGACGATGAAGATTTACCGACCAAGCAGCGCTTCNCTCGACCTCGTCTGCCACCTACTGGAAAGATCAGCAGTCCAAGAAAGCGACCCATTCGGGAGCAGCAACAAGCAGCAAAGAAGCGCAGAAAGCTCGAGGAGAACAGGGACGACAGTAAATTGGTGAAACCAATCGGACCCCTCAAGTTGGCGTTGCCAGGAGCCAAAGACAAGGATCCAGAACCGGAAAAAGATCACGAAGGAAAGAATGCCATGATGAGTCCGCCTGAAAGCATTACGGCGAGTTAGGGATCAAGGTTTTTGCACATAATGGAGAAGGAAGCCATGCTTTGATGTTTTGATACTTTTTCTTTTTGTTTCTTTTCTTTTGAGATGACTGGCGTCAACGGATCTTCCGAATGTTTATACCCAGGCGGTCTCCTTGCGATTTTTCTGGTATTGAATTTCTTGGTGGATGCTTTTGGTTGCCTTTGATGCTAGGAGAGGTTGAGTCAAAATTGAGAGATGGGAGGTCATATTAATATGTCGGCTGCTGTATATAGCAATGGGCCGTACAAGAGAAACTATAAAAGAACGACAAATGCGCAAGTTTGAATACGCTCACAAGCACATTCGAACATATGTCACAGCAATCGACCGTCACAACATTGATGTGGATAGATTCGGGAGTGAAATGTTGTCATTAAACTGTTACGGTTTTCGTAGCATCATGTGCATTGGCACTGAATCATCCTTAGGGAAAGAGGCGATTGGGTATCTAGTTCGAGACCTTGTCGGGAACGTTCTTGCCTGCAATGGAGAGTTAGCGTTGATGAACACTCGTGTGGTCTCGATATTCTTGCAACGTACCAGTGGCCTTCTCGAACATGCCGCGAGCAGTGTCGGTGACCTTCTCGTTGACGGAGCGGAGCTTGTTGGGGTCCTGGCCCTGCTTCTTCTCGAGGGAGTCGATGCCCTGTTGCGAGTGTGAGCTGCGGGTATACGTTGCAGACATGAGTGCACGAACCTTGTCGACGTAGTCCTCATTGCCGCCGGCCACGTTTCCTTGCTGAGGTGCAGACATGATGATTGATGTAGGATTGGGCTGGTGTTGAGTGTTTGATTGTGGTGTGTGTAGTGTAGTGAAGATGTAGCTTGCGTCCTTCCCACTGTTTATATACGGTGTTGTGTCGTCAGGAAACCTGTTCTCGACCCCGCCGACGTCACATATCTGGGGACCGAAACAGGTCCTGACCTTGATGATGGCTTGAGAGCTTCTTTGCGTCGGTGTTGATCCACAAAACTCAGAGATGCTCTCAGGCTTCAGCTTCCAACGATGATGGCTAGATCAGAAGATGTATGTGTACCTGTCGCTGGTCCTTCATAACATCAACCCAAGCATTTGTTTAGCAGCGAGACCCCGGAAACGATCTCCACTGCTAGACTCGAATAAGCTTTTTCGTCAAAGCTTGTGCTTGTTGCTGCTAGCATTCCTACACATAGCTATCGATGATATATGCGTGTCAAGCGACATAATCTACAGTCCTAGAGATCATGCCTGTTTCGAAAATTGCAGTCGTTATTCTCCGAATCGTCCTTTTTCCGCGTGAATGATAGCGATCTACGTGTAGGCGTGTGTTGAGAGCTACATTTTCATGTGTGTATCCAACATTCCACGTTGACAGGAAAAGAACGCTACATCCGGAGACCAACACACTTATATAATGGCTAACGATCCTTAGAGTACCTTATATAACCCATCTAGACAACCTTCACCCCTCACAATGCACCGCGGACACTCGAGTGGGCTTTCACATGACGCGCATGATATGAACAGGGTGTTACCGTCAGCGAGAGTGGAGCAAGATGAGCCGCTACACACTTCAAAGGCTCGTATGGAACGACAAGATCTGGACTGGGAGCAGGCATATAAGTGCCATATGTAAGTTCAAGATCTTTGCTTGTCTGCGAAAAGGCATCTCTAACAAAGGCTCTTCTCGTCGATTCACAATCGCAAGTTTTGTTGAGGATAGAGGCGCCGAGGTCTAGAACGGTTGCCTAGGCCTTCTCGGAACCTTCTCACCCCATGCTCTTCCCCACGTGTTTTGCTACCGACATCCTCCATTTCTGCCTGCTGGATGTGATCACATCCTTGCCATTGCCACACACTTGAATATTGCTATCTTCCTTCGTATTTCTTGCTCTCTCGCTGTATCGATCTATTTCACGACTCAGGCAGAGGTAGCCGAGTCCTTGCTTGCACTGCCCCATCAACGGCAGGCATCGACCAAGCGTTAACACAAGCGTTTCAAATTTCTGGTCATTGCAGAATAACCCCTTGCAGCGACAACAGTATGCATACGCCCACGTTAGCGAGCGAGAGCTCGCCAGCCTCGCCAGCTTTTACCGAGTTTCGAAAGCGCTCGTTACCTCCCCATATCATTGAATCGCAGAAGAAGGAAGCCCTAGCGATGGTCACCGAAAAGGATTCCGAGGATGAACAGCCACAACCAGCACCACTATCTTTCTTTGAACGATATTTCTATAAACTTACTCCACTGCCTGGTGCTGTTGCTGGGGACAGTGGAAGCGATGCAGAGCCAATTCGTCGTTTCTCGTTCTTATCTCGAGGATTTATCACGCTGGTGGCACTTGTTTCTCTGATCGCAATAGCCGTATTGTGTGCGGTACTAGCCACCACTCTTATACGGCATAAGAAACTAGACCAGGAGCTTCGTCGGTCTCCTGTTCATGAAGCAATATTTGCCAATTTTGCAGATCCAGTGGTGGTCAAGCACGAGGAATTATTCTATGCATTCGCCACAACCAATGCAGCAGGCAAGCAAACATTACTTCAGTACTTTGTTGTCCCAAGAAGAGGTAGCTGACTTGCTTCAGGCATTCTTGCACAATCAAACGATACAGCTGCTATCGCCCTGGGCAAGAGCAATGTACAGATGGCAACAAGCCCAAATTTCAAGGACTGGACTCTGATGAACCATACCCACGACCCACTTCCACAGTTGGGAGAGTGGTGCAGACGCGGGCTCACGGAGAATCTGAATCCAAAAGCGAACGTGTGGGCTCCAGCTGTCATCAAAAGACCCAGTGATGGCAAATTCGTCCTGTACTATTCTGCCGCGATAGAGAACGCAACGCGACCATCTCACTGCGTTGGTGCCGCGATCTCGGAGTCGTCGTCACCGGCTGGGCCATATATGCCACTGAATGCAACCATTGCTTGTCCAGTCGAAGAAGGTGGCGCTATCGACCCGTCACCTTTCATTGACACTGACGGATCATTCTTTGTTACTTACAAGGTTGATGGTAACAACGTTGGCCACGGCGGTGCTTGTAACAACATGAAGGCCCCTCAAGTATCAACGCCAATCAAGCTGCTGAAGATGCTGGCAGATGGAGTCACACCAGATGGTCAGGATATCACCATTCTCGACCGCATACAAGGAGACGGTCCTCTCGTGGAAGCGCCGGTCATTGCCAGAAGCGCAGAAGGAATCTACTTCCTCTTCTTCTCTTCCGGTTGCACACGAGATCCTTCTTACGACGTAAAGTACGCTTTTGCGAGAGACGTCCGCGGTCCCTACGAGAGAGCAAAGAAGCCTTTGTTAAGGACTGGCGACTTCAACTTGACCGCACCAGGATCTATTGGTCTTACAGACATGGAAGACGGGACCTTTGGAATGGTCTTCCACGCCCGAGTTCAGGCATCGTATGGGAGAGTGAGGGCAATGTATACGACGACCATTCGGTTCAACGGGACCGAAGTCTTATTGGTTAAGAAGGATTGATGAAGTTAAATCTACAACATAGAGCGAGTGATATTGCAAGCTATAGGAATTCAGAGTTGTCTTTCATCAGAAATGTGACCCACACAGATAACCTGAGATATCACTCCTCTCTACACAATATCGTGTATTCCGATGCAAGCTCTTGCTAGCTTTCACTTTCTCATCAATCAACGACTAACCCAGCCAATCATGAACTCTACAGGCTTGCGGTAAGCCAAAGCGTATAAGTCGAGGTTATCTCAAGGTAGCAAAACAAAAATGATGTTCTAGAGATTACTGGTTGAAGCCTCGCAATGTTCATACAATTCACAACTACGGAACATGTCACAACTCTACCGAATTGATAGCTATTACTTTGATGATTTCACACCTACTTGGCAACGCTATCTTGAGTTTTTATTACTATAGAGAGCTGGTCGAGGACTCCAAGTTTCCACACAAGATTAACAGAAACCAAACACACCATAACTTCGCCATCTTCACAGCCATTGCCCTGGTATCTTCACGCCTCCTTGGAAATATCGGTTTGTGTTTTACATGCTGGGAACAGGATCACAAACAGCCTGTAGTCATCCATACTTGCTGTTGCTCCATCAACCATTTTTCGTAGGGACAGATTTCTGATTTTGATTCGTTTGCCATATGCTCTACTCTATTACACCAGATAACCTGTCTCATTCTAGTTTCTTGACAATGAGTAACAGCAGTACTGAGCAACATCGGGCTTTGCATACCAAATAATATAGATCACCGAGTCTGACCAGGAAACTTGTCGTCAAAGTCTATGGCCATCCTAAAAGCACCTTTTGCTCTGTCATCTACCGACGATAGGGTTATCACGTGATACTATATGGCGCTAACTCGATACGAGCCATAGACAGCTCTCGCAGCTCTCGCAGTGCAATGGCAAAGCAATGTATATCCATCTCGCCCTGATTGTTATTGTTGAAGCAACGTTTGATTGCCTAGAGAACCTGTGTAGAGATAATGGATGCAGGGTTGGAAGGCTATAGAAGACTATGCTTCATAAGATACTTCCGATCAGCGACAAGACATTACTTACTATTTATAAAAATTTCCTATCTAAAATTAACGGTATAGCGAATGTTAGGCATTAGCCACTCACTATGTTTGTCCATTTTAAGCTAACAAATAGCTATAACATTGACAGCTAGTCGCTTACTCTTTGTTACTCTGACTTACTCTTCCACGATGATGGAAGAATATATGTTAAATATGTGAGGATTGCTTTCCAATCTGGGCACATTTGTTTGTTGCTATTGGGCAGGGTTGTGCAAAGACTCGAAGAGGACAGGAGAGAATCGTGAAGAGGAAGCATTTACTGCTCTGAAAGACTGAAGAAAGTCGACTTCAAATGCATATATTCATGTCGTTAGCTGAAGACAAGCACATAACGCCTAAAACGCCCCGCGCATGTGCAATTCCAAGAAAAGTAGTCTAGTAGGGTCCTCAAAGGTGTGTATGTAAGATGTGGTGTTAACCTCAAGCACCGGTCTCCTTGCTCTCTTCAAGGTGGTAGTCACCGTTTTGCAGACCGATGAGCACCTTCCTGCCCTCTTCAGTGAGCTCGGGGATGCCGGCGAGACCGTTGGCACCAGTGAAGAAGCGAGGAGACCATTCGGCATTCCTAGCCTTCCTATCAGCCGCTTTTTGACGTTGACGCTCCTCAAGCTCTTGTTTCTCTGTCGTGGCTCTGGAATATTGCTTGCTGAGAATGGCTTCGGTGACATTGTTCCAGAACTTGCGCGACTCGTTGGACAACTGTTGCTCGGCAGGAGGGACAATCTTCTGCACAGGGAACAGCGGGTTGACATCAATGAGGAGAACCTTATCAGGGTTCTTTGAAGCGGATCCAGAGCCTCTAGTGAAGTAGACCTTGTCGTGCCAGGCACCCTCGATGCGGCCAAGGATGGCCTTTTCGGGGACATCCTTAATTCTGGTGATGTTATCGTTGTCAACATCACACTTGTAGACAACACCTTCGACCTTATTCTGAGTCTTGCCCAGCCATCCTTCCTCGAGGTAATGAAGAATGACCTTGATGCCGGTCTTCTTGCATGTTACGAAACAAGTATCGGCGACGCTGACGTTGAGGTTGCCTNNGGCAGAATGTCAGCGGTTGGTATTGAATAAGAGAGCTCGGAGTGTAATACCTCGCAAGAAGCCGCCTAGGTAGGCAGCGGGATGAGTGAGATGATATGTCTCATTGCCCCAGTTGTGCAAAGTGACATAGATGCCTTCATTGTAAATGCCGGGNGTGACACGGATGCTGGTGCCGGTGAACTTTGCGCTGATCTGATCGAAGCCGCATGCAGAGATGCCTTTTTGTGGGCAGTCGACGTAGTAGGCGGAGACGGGAGGATGATGCGAGGTTTGCTCGGTAAGGTAGGAAACCTTGACAGGCTTGCCGGCAGAGTCGGACTTGACCTTGTTGCCTTGGAGAACAGGCACGTTGTCTTCGGTCTCCCATTGACANCTAAACAGACATCAGAGACGAGACATGATATGTGATGGAGGCGCATGACGTACTCTGAAGAACTCTCCGAGACTCGAGTTGTATGGTTTGCAAGGCTTGCCCTTGACGTACTTCAGGTCCTTGGTAAACCAGAAGCGCAAGCAGGCAAGCAGACGGCCAAGCTCATCGTCCGAGTCGCCAATGCTGGCAAAGATGTCGGGTCTGTCCAAGTAATGCCAGTACTCNTGCGCAGTTACGTGGTTAGAGATATTGTTGTTCAAGGCATAGAAAGTGAGCGAACGCGTACCGAGGTTGGGGATGGGCTCGAGCAGCTGGGCGGGCAAGGAGAAGCGAACAGCGGCAATGTCAGAAACGCCGATGAACCTGGGAAGGTGTCAGTGAATGGTATGCGGTGAGGCCTAGAGGACAGTGTCGTCTCACTTCTTCAGGATGCCGACAAATGTTTTGAGTTTGCTGCTGTCGTCAGGCGTCTTCTCGCCCTGGCCCATGGCAGCGGCGGGGCCGGGNGTGGATGCTCTGGACGACTGCTCGGAAGCCGGGGCGGAGAGACCTGAGGATGACGAAGCCATGGTTTGGTGCGATGTCGAAGTGCACAAGGCAGGGAGGGTTACAAGTGTTTTGCTATGCGTCTGTCGGTCAAGGATGTGAACGTCCCCCAATCTCAACTACATCGTGGGGCTTGCCTAAAGACGCTGCGCACGGCCATGATGAATGACGTTGACAAAGCCACAACTTGGCCGAGTGCATCAAAGAGACAGCCAGCCACTGCTGAGCGGTCGACAAGTCATACTGCCACCCTTCTCGTGCCTACACCAGCTACACTTCCGTAAGAATTCCGCTATCTTGCTCTTTGCTCTGCTCTGCAGCAAGCCATATGCCTACGCTGCTTGTGCCCGTCTGACCTGCGACCGTCTTGCAGTAGCGCCATGTGATGTTGAGTCTGCGTGCGACTACCAATCAAGTCTGCACGCTCTCTACCTGCCAAGTCCATCAACATCATGCGCTGTCGACTCCTTGCCTAAATCACTCGACAAAACCTTGAAGGCGCTTCAGCATGACCAGGGAACATGTTTGGATAAGATGCTGGCTTTGCATAGGCCTCGCTGTGTGTTGTCTCTACTATTAGCCAGACCATCCCCGAATATGTATAGTCTCTCTCAAAGCAGAGTGCTCAGCCAGCGACATGCATGGCGGTGAAATGCAAAACTCCCCTGTCCCTTACTCCCGCTATCCTGTTAACTCCATAACTTCACAATCATGCCTAGCAAACCCTTGTTGTCGTGACCTTAGATACCCTTGATGGCAACGGTTCTCTCCTTCTCGAGACGCTCGCGGTTTCGCTGCTTCTCTTCCTCCTTGCATGTCTCGAGTCCGGTGCATGCATGGCTCTCGAGCATACGGTGCTTACCACAGAAGTGGCCATTGCAGAAGCCGCAGTCTCCGACAATACGCTGAGCCGCGTCCTTGCAGTCTTTGAATTGGCAGCGAATCTTCTTGGGTGCTCCGCCTCGCAACGGAAGTGCCAAGTGAAGTGTGCTTTCTCGGCCGATGTTGTAGTCCGACAATGTGTTCGATGACAGATCAAGATGCTTGCCAGCAAACACCAGGCGCATATCTTGAGCGGGGAGATTCGTGCGGATGGCGAGAAGAGATGAGAGTGTCGCTATCGAAGTTGATTCGGGTATCTCAAGGGCGAANGGCTGTAGAGGGTAAGCACGTGCGCTGATGATTTGGCGTCCAGAGTACTTACTGTCGCCGGCAATGTTCTTGATGAAGATTTGCATGGTGGACTCGGGCTCCGCTGACGAGCAGCGCGATGACAGAGACGAGATGGATGAGATGCTGTTGGAGCGCATCATGGCCATGGCTGGGATGACGAGTAAGTGGCTGAAACGGTGATTGAGAGTGTGAGGAAACAAGAAGGTGGTGAGTGGCGGACGGCAATAAGGAAAGCACAGAAGTAACGAGTTGGAGTTCAAGGACGAGTTGGTCGAAGGTACGAGAATAGGAGGACGAAGACGAGGACGACGACGAGGAGGCAACGGAGAGTGACGCGATCAGGCGCACAGGGTTGGCCGGCGTTTAGTGAGATTGGCCCGATACTCCGAGCGTCTCGTCTCGTGAGAGCAAGACGCAGGCTAGAGTACTCCTATCTCAAATCACCTGCCATGCTAAATACTGTCACCTTGATTCTTTTGAGACGAACAGACCACAGCAGCATGTCGAGACCAGATAACTACTTCGTATGCTCTCCATGGGCATGACCTTGATCTGCAAACAACCGTGTCTCTCAGCAAGCCGGAAACGTCAAAGCTCAGCATACCAAGAGAGGCAATGCACAGCCTCTTAGCACTCTTGCAGTCACATCTGATTGCTTGTGAGATCGTCGTTCCCAATCTGCGACTCGAAGCCCCCTTCGGACTATTGGGGGTATGCACGGGTGTCCATCATGGTGATTGACCTACCTCCTTGGTCTTGGCCTTTCTGTCGACCGTCATGGAACCCTGCGGTGTCGTTAGGTGGTTACCCAAAACTCCGCACAGCCACCCGTCGGGTAAACGTTTTCAATGCCTTATCTTGCATGAGTCCGTGAGCCCTTCTGACGCTCCAACATCTGCTTTTCTTTCTACCGTCTGGCATTGGCATCTTGGTACTCTTGTACGTCCGTAACGACAACATGCCAATATTTGATCAACACTTATCTCATGTCAAAGCACCTTTTGATGGCGGCATTTGCAATCATATCAAAAGCTAAAGTTGTGACCCCAGCATTACTGCCCAGACCCCCAAATTCAAGCAAGCTGAAAAGTGTCCGGACTTGGTCGAGAGGGAACACAAAGCTTCTCAACGCATCTTGTTCTCGCTCGCCTCGTAAAAGCCTGCACCACCGGCTGCAACGCACAATAGATCTCCAAGCATAATGCACTACCCGAGAAGCATGCAAATGTGTATATCCACTCTCCACTTCCGCAGCAGTTGCAGGTGCTCAACCACTGGCTGCCAAGCCTCTCACAAACACTCAGCCCCCATCTCTCCGTACTCCAGACCAGCAGACCCACTCACCTTCTTCCCCGGATTGCACCTTTGCAGACTTGCGGAGGTCTTGTCATAACGACGCACTACCGGACAAACTTACTGCCATTACACATCGATCTGACCCAGGCATGTCTCATGCTCTTATCATGGTTGGACGCTGCTCATGCCAATCCACATTCCGATGGATGCCTACCAGAAGAGCCAAGCCTTGACATTGCAGACAGAGTTGTTTTCCCAGNNCGCTTCAACCTGTGAGCGGTCTGTAGCCTTTNNTGTGCCCTGCTTGGCGATTGTCTTTCATACTGATACCTAACGGGGCCTNCTAATCTTGGGCCGACTGGTTCTTCTTGATGCTTGTCGGCGGGATGGCTTGCTCTTGGCTGTTACATTCGAGGCCTTGGCCCGCATAAGAGATATGGACGATCACAATCGTCTCGCTGGTCCTGACGCGTCCTGATGTGCAAACAAACGTGCTCACGCAAATGGCAGTGCATGCGTGTGGGTTCCGGAGTTGTTGAACGTGTATAAAGGAGGCCATGTCTCTCGAAGGATTCTGGTATCATCCAGCAGCTCGCTCGGCCATCTTATACAGTTCTTCGTCGATAAGATCCGAGCAATCCTCTTCTTTAATCTTTCTTCTGCTTGTGTGACACACCAAGACTCCTTGATTGTTGAGAACATGACACACTCAACCGAAAACGCCCAGCCGGATGGGCAAAGGGCAGGATCGAACTCTTCTGAGAAGGAGCTTGACCAACCCTCAACCTTGGACTCGCTTCCTGTCTTGTCTTCGTCGCCTACTCCGGAAGATTTTGAGAGGGATTGGCCGACAGGATGGCGTCCGTACACGTCTTTGTTTGTATGTTACTGGAGGGTTTATGGTTAGCAGTAAGACATCGCTAACTGTCTTTAGGGATGCTTCTTACTCATGTATTGTAGCTGGGGCTTGGTGAATGCGTAGTAAGTTGTGTTCGTCCATGTTTAGCCTGCAAATCGTTCTAACATTTGCAGCGGGACATTTGCTTCCTACTACTCCGAGTCGCTCTTCCGTGGTGACGATCTTATGTTAAGCAACTTGATCGGCTCAACGCAATGCTTTGTCATTCTCTTCTTCTCATTTATCGTCGGTCGATTGCTGGATGCAAACCATAGCCGTGAGCTGCTGTTGGCTGGTTCGGTCATTGTCACCGTAGGCATGTTCATGCTGAGCATTTCCAATGGTAATGGAGGCTTGAACCAAGGTAACTATGGCTTGACATGGTTGACACAAGGTCTGGTGACTGGACTGGGCATGTCCTGCTTCTTCGTGTCAAGGTATGTCCTCATCAATTGCAATACATGAACAACGATGCTAACGGTCCGTATCAGTTCTCAAAGTATGCTTCCATAACTCCTACTTACCTGGACACAATACTGACCTCTTGAAGTTGCAGCGACGTGGTTCCAGAAGAGAAAGGGATTTGCTTTGGGCGTCGTAGCCTCTGGTGCCAGTATTGGTAAGTGATTCGTCCATCCTGATCGACGGCAAGTAATGCTGACTGTCTCTTAGCTGGACTTACCCTGCCGGTAATGCTTCGCTTCCTCATTACATCGCAAGGTTTCAACAACGCAGTACGATATGTCACTATCGTTATATCCGTTTCAAGCTTCGNCGGCAGTACTGCTGGCCCGACCAAACCCCGCACATCCCTTCAGATCGCCCAAGAAGTGGATGTCAAAGAGAACATGGGTCGATACATCAGCGTTCCGTGATGGTGCATTCTGCTGCTTCACGGCATCGATCTGTGCTCTCTTCCTGGGATTCTACTGCGTATTCTTCAGCCTCGAAGAGTGGGCCGCGACCAATGGAATCGCCTACAAAGGTACCTCACCTCCAGGAGACCGGATGGCTCTGTCGACATACTGGCTGTTGAGCATCATGAATGGCTGCAGTACCTTTGGTCGGCTCAGCTCTGCTTGGCTTTGTGATAGATTCGGAGCAGTGAACGTCCACATGACAGTGACGATTGTGTCCAGCATTCTTTGCTTGTTCCTGTGGACGTTCGCCAAGACGCTCGCACCGGCTTTGGTTTTTGCCATCCTGTTTGGAGCCTTTTCCGGTTCTGTGATTGGACTGCCTTCAGCATCAATGGCGGCCATCCTCGGGAAGAAGCCAGAAAGACAGGCCAGGCTTGGACATTGGGTAGGCATGATGTACACAGCGGCAGCGCCGTTTGCACTGGTCGGACCTGTGATTTCTGGGCACTTGGTCACGAAATACAACACTTACCTCGGAGTGCAGATTTGGAGCGGGATGTGTCTGCTTTTGAGTGCAATCTTCATGGCAGGAGCAGTGTTTTTCAAACGCAGAAACGAGATGAGCACTGGCAGTGACGAAAAGGTGTAATGGCCCGGAAGAGGGTGTGAAGGCTGTTGCTGTTAATGATTGGGATTGGGGGTTTGAAGCAGAGTTCACCACGCGAGGAGAGATTGGATGAATGTCAAATTTCCATGAGTACTGGCGTTCCGGAGGATTAGAACAAGGTTAGATACGATTAACGAATGTCACGAATCAGATCACAAGCAAATGACGGCCTGTGTAGAGTCACGATGGAGAAGTTCACTGCAAAGAACAAGAAGGAAATGGGAGTGCAAGGTGTAGACAGTGAAAGTGATAACGTGAAGGAGACGAAGGCAGGAGAAGGAAAAAAAGCAGAAAAGAAGAGGAGGTGACGATGGTGGTCGCCGAAGGATTGCAATTACGAGAGACCTGGTGACTTCTGGGTTGGCGGAGCGGGGCGGAGGTGGAGGACATGGGGCGGCGGACTCGACAGCGCTGGTCACAAGCTTGGGCATGTAGATTCAATCACACACGTCTCCAGCACAGTGATGAGTCTTGGATAGCCGGAGGCTTCTGCTGGGCGATTGGAAGCCAGCCAGAAGATGGGATCCGCTGCCGATGACGAGAGCGATTTCTGGCAGCGCCTGCACACGCTCCTCGACGTGCAATGCCACACGCACGAGCAGATTGACGACAGTCTGCGCGCCTTCCTCGACGCCTCGACCGACGGCTTCCTCGACACCGAGTACGACATTGCCCGCTGCTGCTACCGCCTGATCGACTCGCCGCTCTTTCAGCACAACAAGGACTACGTGCGCCGCCAATTCGTCTACTGCCTGCTGCAGGTACGCCTTCACTCCGTCCCGACACGTGCCTTCGAGCCTCTCTGTTGACAGCCCGCTGTAGNNGAGGAACATGCCCCGGTGCTACACATTGTCACGGCCGTGCTGCTGTACGACGGCCGTAGCGATGAGGCCGTCTTTGAGATGATGCAGATCGAGGGTGCCTTTGTCCGTCTGCTCGACCTGATCAAGGGCAACAAGGACGACAACACCGGCCTGCACCGCCTGCTGCTCGAGCTGCTCTGCGACATGTCTCGCATACAGCGCTTGTCCCTCGACGACCTCGGTGAGTCGCTTCGCTCTGCTTGCCGCCAAATTGCCTCGATCCATACTAATCCATACCATCACANNGCCACCGTCGATGATGCCTTTGTCATCTACCTGTTCGAGCTCATCGAGGAGCTGTCCAACGACGCCAACGATCCCTATCATTATCCCACAATCCGTGTCTTGCTCATACTCAACGAGCAATACATGTGCTACGCCGTTTCTCCCGAATCACATCCTACCCTGACCAATCGCATCATCAAGGTTCTCTCCAACCACGGCCCTGCCTATCGTACCTTTGGCGAGAACCTCATCTTGCTTTTGAATCGCGAGTCGGCTCTTGGTCCTCAACTGCTGATTCTCAAGCTTCTCTATCTCTTGTTCACCACCTCTTCTACCTTCGAGTATTTCTACACAAACGACTTGCATGTTCTCGTCGACGTCATTATCCGCAACCTCCTCGATCTCGACCCCGGCTCCGACGATGATGACAACACCGACCTGCCCCGGGACGGTGGTGGCCAGCGGGCCCTCCGTCATACATACCTGCGTGTTTTGTGTCCGCTCTTGAAAAATACCCAATTGGCCCACGACAACGCGCATTACAAGCGTGAAGAACTGCGCAAACTTTTCTGCTTGCTGGTCAATAGATCCTCGTTCCATTTCGCCCCTGTCGATGAGACCGTTGTACGCCTCGTCTCACGTTGCAAACAAGTCGCTTGGATAAGAGACGAGTCGGACCATGAGGACCCAATCAGCCCTCCCACGGATGCTCATGTAGCCAAGCGCTTGCTGGGAATGAACCTGGCTGAGGCGGGTGAAAGTAGTCTGAGCGTCCTTGAGGTCACTGCCAAAGTTGAGAAGGAAAAACCCATGGTTCCCGCTCCACGAAGGCGGAAGAGGCTACAGCAGCAACAATCGAAGGAGACCGTCCTGTTGCGTGTTTCGCCCGCCAGTGCTCAGAATGGCGATAGAAGCCCCTTTGATGACGATAATGATGAAGAGTGAAGCGGGCTTCTCTGTACATAACCACAAACGTAATTGTTTCTGCACCCACCCAGACCTTGCACATACCCTTTGCAGCCCAAGCCGTTTTGTTGAGCAAAGGAGAAACACTCGTCTGGTTTCTGGTCAAGCCAAGTCGACCTGTTTTCTGTGCAGGATTACACAAATGGCGAACGACACCTGCACCATGTATGCAGCTGATCGTTGTTCCTGCGTCAAGCTACTCTGTGTAACCCCAGTATATGGACAATCTCCACCCCTTCCTGCCACTTCCTACTTCTTTCCAGTTACACGACATCTTCGATTGATCTTTTATATGCATGACAATCTCTTGTTCAGCCAACCTTATGGTTCGCCAGCAAGGATCCCATCGGCGCCGCTAACCTGGGCGGCCCTGACATGACACAGCAAACAGCAATCAGCACAGGCAAGCTGCAGGTCGGAAAATCTGGGCCACTCTGAAGGAAGGGAACCTGCTTCGACTGTTGAAGTTTCCTACACCATTGTTTCCAAAGACATTGGCCAGGCAAGGAAGCAAGCCAACGGGAAGATGTATCGCCACTGCTTGCCCTTGCGATATACGACCTCTCGAGCTTGCTCTCGTGTATAAGTAGGTCACCACTCACTCGTTGGTAAGAATCATCCAGCACCAACAGTCTTTCGTTCATCTCCTACACAATCGTTCAAAATGTTCAGAACTCTTGTCTTCCTCCCTTGTGCTTTTGCGGCCGCTTTGGCCAACCCATCGCCCTTCTCGGATTGCTACGAACCATTCCCATACGGCAGCTTTCCTACCGGTGTACCTCGCCCAACAGGCTTGCCTTCAGGCTCATTCCCTGGACCGTTTCCCTTCCCCGGACCGTCTTACGGAGCACCTGCACCTTTCCCGACCTTCAACGTCAGCTCTGTAGTCGTCGGTCCTACTGGAACTGGAGTGTCATCTGCCTTCATCCCATCTTCCTCTGATGAAGGCAGAAGCGGGTCGCTATCATCAAGCGGCACTGCTTTTGTCCCCTCATCCTCTGACGAGGGAAGAAGCGGTTCTGCCGCCTCCACTCCATTGGGCTCAACCTCGCTTCCGTTCCCAGACACCCCAGCCTCTCCTGCTGAATCAGTCACCACCATCTACTCTGCCACCACTGCAGTCACCACTGTGATCACTACGGTCTTCCTGCCTGCACCAGGCCCTGAGTCATCCTCCAACGTGACACCTGTTGCTTCAGCCACGTCCATTTCTAACGCCAACGTAACCACCATCTCTTCATTCGTGACTGGCACGGTCACCTTGATTACCACTGTGACGCCTCCTGCTTCGTCATCAGACTCACCGGTAACAGCTGTCAACAGCACTCTGCTGCCTAACACCGCAACCTCAAACTCTGTGGGCACTGGTGGGTTCTCCGCAAGTGGCAACAGAACCTCTTCAGGTGCTCCCTTCACCTTCTCCCCTACGTCCCATTCATTCCTGGTACTGGAGTCTATGGTAGCTCCACGCCTTCGAGCTCTCCCAACTCGCCCATCACCGCATCTGTGTCTAACTCGACTTCGGCTGGCACTACTCATGTTACCATTCACCTCAACTCCTCGCTCACTCTTACGCTGCTTACCACCCGCACCATCCCATTGACTACTGGACCTGCCTCCACGTTCTCTGCATCGTCCTCTTCGGGTGGCCGCAATGGCACTCTTGTTTCTCCCATCGGCACCGGAATATCGAGCTTGCCTCCTTCCTCTTCGCCTAACAGCCCCGCTACTGGTTCAAACTCCACGGCCTCTACCGGTTTCTCTGCCTCGTCTACTGGTGGTAACCGTAGCGGCACCGCCAGTTCATCGCGAAGTGTGCCTTTCCCCACTGGCACTGCACCCTCGCAGTTGTCTTCCTTATTTACCAGCATTGTCAGTTCCAGTGCTGGAAGCTCGGAGGGTGGCGCTATCACTGACTCGCCATCTTCGACTCCCCGCACCTACCCTACTGCTCCCTTCTACGGTTCTTGGGGTGGTTATGGCTACGGCGGCGGTTATGGAGGTCTCCGTGGTGGATACAAGAGAAATGGCAAGGCTTAGATGATGACAGACTGAAGAGTATGATCAGAGATGATAGAGCATACATGGTAGTGATCGGATGCAAGAATGGTTAGACGATTTCTTTTTTCTTTTGTCGTTGGTGTTGTGCAGTTTTCCTTCTCTTCAGTTCTTGATCGCTGCAGTCTTGCGGTGATTCCTCTTTTGCGGTGATTTTTTTGTTTCTCTTTGGGGCTACGGTTGGTATTTAATGTCGACATATACAGAAGTTATCAAATATGTCTTTGTTTTGCTACTTGCTGTCTCTGCTCGCATTGTGACCATGGTGAGACTTGTAAAGAAGAGAGAATGATGCCAAACTGGTCTCATGCTCGAGTCGAACTATGCAACCTTTGACAACAATGTTCCATGAGCAGCCTTTTCATTTCTTCACGGAGTAGTTGCTGCCATTAGCGATCAATTTGCCTTGTTCCTCCAAGCCAGAAAGTAACCATCTGGTCTCGTCCTCGCCAAAGTTGTAACCGCCAGGGACGACCATCTTCATCATCATCGTAATACGTGCCGCATCCATGGCACCTCCATTCGTAAGCATGCCCATCATGAACATCTCATACATAGGCTTGTTGTCCTGAAGCACAGCATCTTGAGATTTGACTGCAGAGATAACGGTATCGGCCTGTATTGGTGCTGAAGTGCCAACAGCGGACTTTTTGTCAGCGGATGGCAGCTTCTCAAGGACAGTGAAGACGTCTGGTTCGTCCTCGACTAGAACTTGATGGCCTTTCCAGAATGCAAGCGCGTTGCGTACAAGCATCTCATCCATCTCGAGCGACTCTTCCAACTGTTGTACTGTTCTTGATGCTGGCATGTCTTGGTCGTCATCTTGGAACGCATAGATGACACTCGCTTGCCATGTCTGGACTCCTTCGAGCTTCACAGTACGATCCTCCAGCTCGAGCTCAACCGTAGCCTTTCCAAGCGCAGATAACCAGTGCAGCTTGCGCAGATTCTTGATACGTTCAAAGTCTTGCTCGAAGCTCTTCTGCAGGGTGGAGATAGGGGCGGGCACGGCAAATTCATCTTCCCGAAGACTTGGCCAAAAGAACGAAGACAGGATTTGAGTGTGGAAGGCTGCAGATAGCTCGGAATTGACACTGGACTCGAACATCGGCAGGTCGGGTGATGGATAGAGTATATCTGAGTCTTGTTCGGCAACGGCCACGGATTTGATCAGAGCGATGAACTTGTGGCCAGCCAAGTCTGTCCGTGGTACACGTGTGTTGAACTTGCCGATGAGTGCCTGGCTTTTGATACCAGAGTCAGGGATGGCAGCATGCACTTCCTGTGCTGTTGGGAAGTCGTCCTTTGGACGAAGGGTATTGTTGATGCGTCTCGAGTCTTGTATGTCGCGTAGCATGACTTCGCATGACTGCAAACGGTCGGCACCGAAACGTGTCTTGAAGAGCTCTACAAGACGAATCTGTGAGTTGAGTAAGTACAAGGCTACACGCGAGAGCATTTCTGATCAAATACCAACCTCCTTCTCGAGTTCAGTATCATCGTAGCCCACACTTAGCAATCGTTCTCCCAGTAGCGACTGAACTTCTTTGATAAAATCAGCTTGCTCGAAGAGAGTGAGCATAAACGACATGACATCCTCGCTTTTGGATTTCTTGTAGTCTNNGCAGATAAGCTGGTTAGCACGCTGCTGTTTTTCGAAGTAAGATAACTCACCAGGTCCTGCGTCAATAGGATCGGGCATCCATTCCATATCGTCCCAATCGAGGCCTTTGTGATCTACGTGCATCGCTTGGCCCTCCGAGAGATTAATTTCTCTAGCAAGGTCGATGCATATCTCTTCGGCCGAACTGTTGGTATAGTCATCGCCCTCGCCAACATCTGCCAGAAAACTGGCTGCGATGATTCTGACGGTGTCTTCGCGATGCCTCAGATAGGCACGTAAAGGTACAGCCACCTTATCCAGAAGCACACCCCGGGGGTCCAGGGTCTTGAACGCCATGATGACATTGATGTAGATGCTAAGTAGCTCTGATGTTGTCACACCAGCATGTAACATGCGACGACTTAGCTGACGTGTGAATGAGGTCGCAATCAGGACTTTTACTTCTGACGAGTGCATACATTCCCTCAGGTCCAGTATTGCTCCGGTAGAATGTGGCCATGCTTTGACATAATCGAGAAGGTGTCTGATCCTTTGCTTTGCCAGACGTTCAAGAGCCGTGTTTTCCCAGTCTGTCAATTCGTTCGGTGTTGAGAGGCCGACGGCAGGGACAAATCGATGTCTGATCCATTGGCGTAGTCGGTCAACAACGCTCTGACGCTGCGTCCAGTCCACTTTCATGGCAGTACTTTGAACGAACGTGTCCATGGCGGCATACATGCCTTGAGCCATCGCACGTTGTACATGGTAATCCATCATAGGCTCTCAGTGAGTGCTGTCTAGAATTTGCTAGCATTGTGCATCTTTGATAGCTAAACAAGACGACCACTGTTGATGAAAACAACAAGGAAACCCACACGCTTGGCGCGCTGTTCGAATGATGCCGCCGCCGCCAATTCTTTTTTTTTTCTCCTTTTGACAACACAACAGTCTATGTTATAGAAACAGAGTTGATCGGCTTGAACTAGGCTGCTTGGACATATCGCCCGAATTTGATCATGCCACAGTAACATTACTTTGGATATCTCCTAGCTATTGCAATACCTGTCTTCGCTATACCAGCTCCAACCCTCTATAGTAATCGAGGTTTACTACAGAGATGCAATCTTTGTTATTGCAGATTTGAAGTTATATCTGGAATCTTGACTTCTGAACTTGTTCTGACAATCTTCAATGGTAAATTTTGTGCAGCCACTCCTACAAGTGCTCTAACAACAATCGGAAGACAGATGCTTGGCGTCATCATGCGAGGCATACCTCCCTGCCAAACACTTTAGCAGAGCCACAAACTCTCAGCAACTTCGAACATCATACTGACTGACACTATTGCGGGACCTGTTGTGTCAGAGAAAGCATGAAGATCCAACGTGTTCTTGTGACCGTAGGTTGGCTTGTTTACGCGCCATCGGCACTGGCCTCTCGCGACCAAGTCGTTCTACGCGATTCAGCCGCCACTTCGAACATCACAAAGAATGTCGCTATCATAGGTAAATAATACAACTCAGTATGCTACATGCCTGTCTCTGATGCCACTGTTANNGGTGCTGGAAGTGCTGGCTCGTCAACAGCATATTTCTTGCGGAAATACAGCCAGGAGCGAGGCATCTCACTCAACATCACAGTCTACGAGCGTGACGGCCACATTGGCGGTCGTTCGACAACAGTAGGCGTATATGGAGACGAGCAGAACTCGGTCGAGCTTGGTGCATCCATCTTTGTTGAGGTAAACCACAATCTCGTTGATGCTGCTAAAGAGTTCAATCTCTCGACATCCGGCATCCGTGAAGTCAGCACAGAAGGGCCAGTATTGGGTATATGGAACGGCAGAGACTTCGTATACACACAATCTTCTGGTGGAAGCTGGTGGGACACTGCAAAACTCTTCTGGAAATACGGTCTCGCACCTCTAAAGACGGTGAAGTTAATGAAGGCCACCGTTGGAAAGTTCCTCAAGATGTACGAGGAGCCATATTTTCCTTGGAAGTCGTTGTCACATGTTGCCTATGAGCTTGGTCTGACGACTGCTACTGCTTCTACTGGTGAACAGTTTCTTGACCAGAATGGCATCGGCAAGCTATTCGCCCAAGACATCATACAAGCCAGCACACGGGTCAACTACGCACAGAATCTTCCGTTGATACACGGACTGGAGGCAATGGTCTGCATGGCGACCGACGGAGCACAAGCAATCGAAGGAGGCAACTGGCAGATCTTCTCGAACATGCTTACAGCCTCACATGCGACAGTTCATCTCAACCACACAGTCAGCAAGGTCGAGAAACTCAAGGATGCTACGTACGTCATATCGACAAGAGGAACAGAGTCATCAGAAACATTTAACCAGCAGACGTTTGATGAGGTTGTGCTGGCAGGACCATACCAATACTCGAATATCGATTTTGACCCAAAGCCTCGCCACATACCGGACTCCATCCCTTACGTACAGCTGCATGTCACATTATTCACGTCGAAACACAAGCTTTCACCACGAGCCTTCAATCTATCGTCGGAGGAAGTGGTTCCTCAGGTGGTTCTGACCACTCTCNCCCCTGGCGAACATTACGGCAGCAATCCGAAAGGAGTGGGATCACCTGGTTTCTTCAGCATCTCGGTTTTGCGTCCCAGCATGGACACTCGTGGAGGCAAGGACGAGCTTGAATACTTGTACAAAATCTTCTCGCCCGCTCCACTCAACGAGACATTCATGGCGAATATCCTGGGTCTACCTGCAGACAAGGCAATCAGCAAAGACGATGTCAGCTGGATGTACCGGAAAGTATGGAACAGCTATCCATACGAGTATCCACGAGTGACGTTTGAGGAACTTCAGCTGGACGATGGACTCTGGTATACGGCGGGTATCGAAAGTTTCATAAGTACGATGGAAACAAGCAGCCTGATGGGCAAGAACATTGCCAGGTTGATGGTGGATGCTTGGGAAAGCTAGGCGGCGTACAGACTCGTACAAAGCCATTAGTCAAGTACAAGATATTTCACACAGGAAACAGTATGCATATCAAGAATTATGAAAATGTTGTTAGTAGATGAAAGTGCTTGGAGTGTCTCTGCATGAGGGGTTGACCGAGTCGGATGTGGGGCACAGGCTGAATGTTTGTTTGCTCTGTTTGCCGAGCGGCTACATGAACAAGCAACAATATTGCTGGAGGCCTCGATTTGCGACAACAACATTAGGACAAGACACCATGTCGGCGGCATCACCACGACAGGGCCGGCGGACCGCCGCGTCGAGACGCAGGATCGTCGATTCGGATGATGACATGGACATGGACATGGGCGACGACGTAGCTCAAGGAAACGACACTAACAATACACATCAAGACGACGAAGACGAAGAAGAATACACTCCGGCCCCAGCCCGCTCTACACGCCACAAGTCTTCTGTACCGCCTACACCGCAGACAGCCTCGCGCACTCGCCGCAAGCCTGTCGACGACGACGAAGTCCTCGAAGATGCGACTTCGCCCGTCAAGCCCAAGCGCCGTACCGCCAAAACTGCCCGTACTGTACGCAAGAGCCGCATCTCTACATCCGTTGCTTCTGAGATCGATGCATCCACAATGCAGCCTCCTCAGCGCTCGGCTCCGCCACCTGCACAGAAGCAAGCCACGCCGCTTGCCGACATCACAGAGACAGCTGTGAACGACCAGACTCCGCGTGCACAGAAGAGACCTCCACCCTCGAGTCAGGTCCACAAGGTCGACACAAACACCACTCTACTGGAAAAACCAATGGATATCGTCGTGCGTACCAGAACTGCCGCTACTATGCCTGTTAGCCAGGCTCCCGACGAGCCTCGATCCCGTACCGTTATTACCCACCTCGTTTTGAAGAACTTCAAGAGTTATGCTGGCCGTCAGGAGGTCGGTCCTTTCCATGCTTCATTCTCCTCGGTCGTCGGTCCCAACGGCTCAGGCAAATCCAATGTCATTGACTCTTTACTCTTCGTCTTTGGATTCCGCGCCAGCAAAATGCGCCAGGGAAAGATTTCCGCTTTGATTCACAATTCGGCAGCCTATCCCGACCTGGACCACTGCGAGGTTGAAGTCCACTTCCAACAGGTCATGGATCTGCCAGCTGGTGGCAGCGAGGTCATTCCAGACTCACAGCTTGTCATCTCGAGACGTGCCTTCAAAAACAATGCAAGCAAATACTACATCAATGGCCGAGAGTCAAATTTCACCGCCGTCACTACTCTGCTGCGCGATCGCGGTGTCGATCTTGACCACAAGCGTTTCTTGATCTTGCAGGGTGAGGTCGAATCGATTGCTCAGATGAAACCGAAAGCTGCTAGCGAGCATGATGACGGTCTTCTAGAATATCTCGAGGACATCATCGGCACCTCCAAATACAAGACGCCCATCGACGAAGCTGCCACCGAGACAGAAGCCCTCAATGAAGTTTGCGCTGAGAAGAATACAAGAGTACAACATGTCGAGAAGGAAAGAAATGCTCTTGAGGACAAGAAGGACAAAGCACTGGCTTTCATCCGAGACGAGAATGAGCTGGCTACCAAGCAATCCTCTCTGTACCAAATATACATCAGCGAGTGTTCCGACAACGTCACCGTGACTGAAGAAGCCGTCCAGCAACTCCAGCAGCAACTCGACGAGGAACTGGAAAAGCACAAAGGTAACCAAGAAGGAATCAAGCGACTGCAGAAACAACACAGCGCGACAGCCAAGGAGTACGAGCGCATGTCTGAGAGCACACAATCTGTTCTAAAAGAGATGGCAAAGCTCGACAAGGAAACCGTGAAGCATGCAGAGAAAAAGAAGTTCCTCGCCAACAAGGCTAAGAAGCTTGCAAAATCGGCAGAAGACAGCAGATTCGCCATCTCTGGAGCCACAACACAGGCCACACAAGCTGAAGACGATATAAACAGAAACGCACAATCCATATCCGAACTAGAAGCAGAGATGCAACAAGAAGAGGCACAATTGACTCAAATCCGAGAGAGCCTCAAAGGCAAGACTCAGGGTATTTCAAACGAGATCGCAGCCAAGCAAAAGACTCTGGAGCCCTGGCAAGCCAAAGTCAACGAAAAGCAGTCCTCAATATCTGTTGCGAAGAGCGAGCTCGACATCCTTAGAGAGCGAGGTAATGCCGGAGCAAATGCTATCCAGGACATCGAATCAAAGATCACGGCACTCTTTGAAACTCGAGAAGCCAAAGCGGTAGAATACAAGGAATGTAGGCGTGAACGAAAGGAGGTAGAGCGGTCTGTACAAGAAGCTCACGCCGAGGTCGATCGTCTCGTTTCACAAGAACCTGCCTTGCGCTCCAATCTCTCAGGGGCACGACAAAAAGCCGACGAGGCAAGAGCAAGCTTGGCAGCTACGCAGACCCAAGGAAACGTTCTCACTGGTCTTATGCGCCTCAAAGAGTCTGGCAGAATCGACGGGTTTCACGGACGTCTCGGCAACCTTGGAGCTATCGACGCGAGATTCGATGTCGCGATCTCTACCGCATGTCCTTCTCTCGACAATCTGGTAGTCGACTCTGTTGAGGTCGGTCAACAATGTATTGAGTACCTTCGCAAAAACGACCTGGGTCGTGCCAACTTCATCCTTCTCGATCGCCTGCCACAGAGAGATTTGTCGGCCATACAAACACCAGAAAATGTACCGCGACTGTATGATCTTGTCAAGCCAAAGCATGACAGTTACAGGCCTGCCTTCTACAGCGTGCTCCAAAACACACTTGTTGCCAAGGACCTCGAGCAGGCCAACCGCATCGCTTATGGTGCAAAACGTTGGAGAGTTGTCACGCTTGATGGTCAATTGATCGACAAGTCAGGTACTATGAGCGGTGGTGGCACAAGAGTCGCCAAGGGTGCTATGTCTTCCAAGGTTGTGGCCGATGTGACTAAGGATCAGGTCGCCAAACTCGAGGTTGATCGTGATGCACTAGAGGAGACCTTCAAACAGTTTCAGCAAAGGTCGCAGCAGCTCGAGACTCACCTCAGGGAGCTGCAAGATCGCATGCCACAACTCGATACGCAAGCCGAGAAGCTGAAGTTGGAGGTCCAGAGTTTGGACCGTAACATTGCTGACGCTGAGAAAAGAGTCGAAGAACTCCAGGCTGAGAGTCAACCTTCACAATCAGACAACAAGCGCGTCTCTGAGCTCGAGAAGACCATCAAGACTCTTGAGAAGGAGACTGAGAAGCTACAGTCAGAGACTGCTGGTATCGAAGAGGAGATCAAAGCACTGCAAGACAAGATCATGGAAGTCGGTGGTGTACAGCTCCGTACACAGAAGGCCAAGGTTGATGGACTCAAGGAGCAAATCGATCACCGCACCGAGGAAATGTCCAATGCAGAGATCAACAAGGCCAAAGCCGAGAAGCAAAAGTCCAAACACGAAAAGACCTTCAACGATGCACAGTCTGAGCTGGAGAAGATAACAGCCGATGCGGAAAAAGTCGAGGATGAGATCAAAGAGCAGACCAGAAACACTGCAGGCTTCCGTAAAGAGGCGGAGGAAGCTCAAGAGGCCTTGGACACCAAGAAAGAAGAACTCGAAACACTTAAGAGCGAGCTTGATGCCCAGACGGCCATCTTGAACGAGACTCGAGGAATCGAAATCGAGATGCGGAACAAACTCGAAGAGAACCAGAAGATCATGGCTGAGAACCAGAAGCGCCTACGATACTGGCAAGAGAAGCTGAACAAGCTTACTGTCCAGAATATCGGAGACGATGGCGAAGAGCTTGAGCCTCTGCCTATGGCGCAATACACCAAAGACGAGCTCGAGGACATGTCCAAAGACGAGCTCAAAGCCTCGATAGCGCTCCTTGAAGAGTCGACATCTCAGGCGGTCGAGCTTTCCGTTCTTGCCGAGTACCGTCGTCGTGTATCTGAACACACGTCGCGCATGTCTGATCTCAACGAAGCTCTGGCTGGTCGCGACTCGGCAAAGAAACGACTGGACGATCTTAGACGAATGCGTCTCGAGGGATTTATGGAAGGGTTCTCCACCATCTCCATGCGACTCAAGGAAATGTATCAGATGATCACCATGGGCGGTAACGCAGAGCTCGAGCTCGTTGACAGTCTCGACCCCTTCAGCGAAGGCATTCTCTTCAGTGTCATGCCACCAAAGAAGAGTTGGAAGAACATCAGCAACTTGTCCGGTGGAGAAAAGACGCTCAGCTCTTTGGCGCTAGTGTTTGCTCTGCACCACTACAAGCCAACTCNNCCCCTGTATGTCATGGACGAAATCGATGCCGCTCTCGACTTCCGCAATGTTTCAATCGTTGCCAGTTACATCAAGGAGAGGACCAAGAACGCTCAGTTCATCGTCATTTCTTTGAGAAACAACATGTTCGAGTTGGCTGCGAGATTGGTCGGTGTTTACAAGGTCAACCACATGGTAAGTGATTCTCGTGTTCCGCTCAAGATACATTGCTGACTATCGAGTAGANCCAAGAGTGTTACTATTGAGAACAAGGACTACATCCAAGCTGCAGCATGATAGTCTTATTGGATATTGGGTTGGACGCAGGAGGGATTGTATGTTTTTGTCAGGACTGTGGCGTTTGTGAAATATGTTATGATACCACGGCTGATTGCAGTTGGAGCTATGGAATATGAACAAGGATGTGATCAACTTTGCTTCGTCCATCGTGTGTAAAACACTGACTTGAAGATATAAGCAATTTCGTATTTGGTTTTGTCACGCACCTGAGAACGTACGTGGAAGGGCAGTGCTTGAGGATTGTACTGTGCTGCTGTAGAGCGTTGACATACCGGAGATCTATGTATTGATCGTGGAAAGGTATCGGGGCTACTTACGAATACCTCGAGACGCCATCTTATTATCAGTTCATGGTTTAGACAAAATACTGTACCTATAAGAGCGTCTGACACTCACAGGCACCATAATACATCGGTGTCACACAAGGAGATGGTGCATTTACTTGGACATAAGACTAAACCAGAATAGGTGCTTCAATTAAGGCTACAAACGCCTGATCATCAAAGTGGACGCCTTTTGGTTGACCTGTATCAACATCATATCTCCTTCCTCGGAAGATGCTTCAAAACAATCAGACCCAAGTAAACATGGTGAGTTTCTAGAGCCCAAGAGGCACAACGCTCCATCGACCAAACCGAAGAGCTCGACTGCGAAACTATCAAACAAAGTTGAAGAGCGAAGCAGCAAGGACTGCCACGATGCAAGTCATGCCAACCATGCTAGTGATCGTGGCGTCGTTGGAAGGACTGTGGTGGAAGTGGCAGTGGCAGAAGTACGGCTGCTCACCGAGGTAGAGGTATGGCCGGTCTCAGAGGCAGAGGCCGTCTTCCACGAAGTGCTGAAGTCAGATGAAGCAGTGTCGGGAGAGACCAGATCGGATGAGGTGACGGCAGTAGTGAGAAGACTGGTCTGGATGGAAGTGGCGCTGGAAACACCGATGAGGGGAGGGGTGACACTCTCGAGGACAATGGAGATAGTGCCAGTGGGAGAGATGACATCGATGGTAGTGCCAGTAGCAGAGACGATGAGAGTAGAGGTGGCACTCTCGCCGATGGAGCTGAAGACACTCTCGCTGACGGGACCGATGGGAGTGGGAAGGATGCTCTCGGTGGCAGAGTCGGTGATGGTTCTGATGGAGGTGCTGAAGATGCCGGCGCCCTCAGAACCCGAGGTGCCGCAGTCGGTGACAGTGACGGTGACGGTGACAGCCTCCTGAGAGGTAGCAATGGCGCCCATGGCAGCTGGGTGCATGTCAGTAGAGCTCGAGTGGGATTGGAAGGCATGAATGTGCTCACCGGCGGCGACAAAGGCCATGGTAGTAAGGATGAACTTCATTTTGATAATGGGAGATGGATAATCTTGATGAATGCTTGTTGTTGATGGATGCTTTGGTGATGGTTTGGTGCGAAGAGGAGAAAGAAAAGGCGAGCGGTGGCAGAAGTAAAGCAATCAATGTTTGTTGCGTTTGTCGACGAGCCATGTTCCGGAAGGTGCTACCATGTAGGAAGCCGGTTCTCTGAAGTTCACTCCCGTTCGAGCAACACCTGCCGATGTGAAACCACTCAAGATGCACGAAGCCGTCTGGAAGAGCCAGGCTACGATGACCTTGTGAGCTCTCATTGATCTGACCTGTTTTATTTTCTCCAAACTCTTTGCGTCTCTCTAGGTTATGACCACGTAGAGTTCTCATGCATGTGGTTATGCATGACCTTGAGCTTCGGCTGCGTCCATCGTTTCCCGTGTGATTGTGCCATCCTCCGTTCCTGCGATAAGCACTATAGTTTGGCACCTCGTCTGGAGAGTGCCATACTCTATGATGACTCGACCGCTGATCAAACTTGCGAAGGAACCAACCAATACATCGTCACCAGTTCGCGTTCTTAGTGGTGTTGATTGTGTTGGTCTCTGCCTTTTCAGTGTTCATTCAGGGGCACAATTCATGTTCATTGAGAATTCGACTAAACCAGATTGCAAGTACGTCTGCGAAATGTTAGTCGTTCTTGGTTCGCATGCACGCGTGGATCTTGAGAATCTGATCAGGATACATGCACTCGAGGTGCGAGCAATTGCCTGTCACGGGCTTGACAGTAGACATAGTCAATGCAATCTTGCTGCTCAGCCATATGCATATACCAATCTACCGGATTGAACGCGAGCCCAGCATGATTCCAGAATTGCACACGCTGACTCAACCTCTCGAAAGACTCAAGCCAATTCGGAAGGAGCTTTTGCATCGCGACAGCCTTGAGTTCGTTTATAGACACGCGTCTGTTGCGGTGCAGTGCAATGAGGATGACGAAACGAACGAACAGCACCTACCTGTTACGGTTTGTTGGGAGTTTCTCTACAGCGCCTTCCCACTCACTTCTCACCACGAACCCTGCCGTGCTCACCTCTTTATAAACCTCTCCCAGACCTCGACCAACTGAATCCTGAACATCCCACTCTCTCGTGCATTCAATCTTTTACCACCCATCCCCTCTCATCCCATCCTCTCCGATCAAGAAATCATCAAGACACCATCACCACGATGAAGCTCTCTACCGTCTTCTCTGCCGCCATGGCTCTGATGATGCCCGCCGCCGTCTTCGGCCAGAACATCGGAGACCCTGTCACCACCAGCGTCTTGGTCGTCGAGTACGTTCCAGCTGTCTCGACCTCGACCGTGTACCAGACCACCCAGTTCACCGTCTGGAGCTGTCCACCCGACATTCTCAACTGCCCACTTCGTTCTGCTACATCTTTGGCCATGGTCACGGCCATCGTCGGCATGTCTACCACCATCTGTCCAGTCACCTTTGTCAGCACTCGTGTCAGCTCTTACACCACACCTGCTACGACCAGCTATGCATCGTCTTCGCCTGGTGCCACTGTCAGCTCGGCTTCCGTCATCTCCACTACCTACTCGACTGGCAGTTCCACCATCACCATCGGCTCATCGACCACCAGCTGGAGCTTCTGGTCAACCATCAGCTACAGCGCCACCTCGACTGAGTCTGTCGTCACCAGCCAAGCCACTCTCTACTCTGGCGGACCCTCTCTCCCAACTGGTGTGACCATCAGCTCCACCTCGGCAAGCGGCTCGGCTGCATCATCAGGCTCTGCTGGTACCGGTCAGGCATCGACCTCTGCATCGACCACCGCTTCGGCATCATCTGGCATCGCTTCGGCATCATCTGGCATCGCTTCGGCTTCATCTGGCATCCCATCAGCATCATCCATCTCGTCGGCTTCAGCATCCGTCTTTAACCCAGCAGGAGCATCATCATCATCGTCGGCAGCCTCATCTCCATCGGCAGTCGGCATCACAGCTTCTGCCAGCGCCGTCGTCACCACCAGCGTCGCTGCCAACGGTAGCTCGTACACCTTCTCTTACTCTCCATTGGGCACCGGCAGCCTCACCTCGGTCATCAGCGGTCCAGGATCCACCAACAACATCTCTGTTCCATCCGGCCCATCTGGCTCAGGCCCATTGTCTACCTACACTGGAATGGCAGGTCGTGAGGCTGTCATGACTGCCTTGTCTGCTCTTGCCTTGGGCATGGTGGCAGCTCTGGTCTTTGTTTGAAGTTGAGATGGAGTGTTGATATCACTATCATTGGCGGTTGATGCAGAACGATGGTTGTAATGCTTGTTTGGGTTGACACTTGTTTGTCTCGTCGCGTTTGAGTTTTGTTTTTCCTTTGTCCACACCACTGAGCAGCTTTACCATACCGATGACAGCATCAGGGGTTCCATCTCCATCTTACAAACAGCAACACATAAAGACAGCTTTTTACAATGATCAGACATACAGCAATTTGCATGACCTTCTCTCTTCCGATGTGCAATGTACGTGACTGTTGTCGAGCGGCTCTTTCTTCTGGTGTCGAGGGAAAGAACAGCTTGCAATACGTAATGACGAAATCGCAAGGCGCCTGTTGAGCGAAGATGTGTCGTTCTCGATGTGATGTTGTCCTACGTCGCTGGTTTCATCAAGCATGCATGAAGTGCGTGTCACAGAGCTTCGATATCAGGATACTGCTGCAGACGTTGCAACAGGACACTTCGCAAGAGGGCTTCAGTGTTGGTGGGGTCGAGCTTTTCTTGCCTCTCTCTCCATATACGCCACAACTCGAAGCCAACCTCAATACTAATAAGGAATATAATGAGCCATTCCAAGCCTGTCGAGTGCTTCTCACTCAGTCTCTCTCGCAGCACGCTAGCAATCTCTCCGGCATAGTCCATTCTCTCATTCAGAACTTTGATACGCACACCGACATCCAAGGCACGTCCAACCTCGTCATAGTAGGCACTCAAGCCGAGAGAAGAGGGACTGTCCCAAAAGATGTCTGGCAGGCTGTCAGTGAGTTCAGAATAGAGGTTCAACTGTGCTCGGATGGACAGAAGCTCGCCCGTCTTGCGCAGTATGAATGATCTCGAGAAGCGCAAGGGCGAACCGCGTGAGAGAATGGTGGGTATGGAGCGAGTACTGGAGAAATACGAGGATAACAGGTCTTCGAGTACAGCAAGTTTGGTGGAGCGGGCTAGACCCGAGGAGAAGGCGACTTTGGCAAGGACGGTATCTATGTCCGGCGAAGGAGGAGGGTCTGAAGAAGCAGCACAGGCTTCATTTGAGGTCTTTGTACCAAGAATGATGGTGTCGCCTATTATTTCACTAGTATGATGCGAAGAGTCCTCGATGTATGCAAGGTCCTCGATCTCAATACGGTCCAAGTGTGGGTTCTCAGCAGCGGGGAGGAGAACGCGATGGACTAGATCAAGCTGGACAGGTTCAGGGACGTTCCAGCATACGAGCGACCCCGAAGGGAAGACAAAGATATCGCCAGGCCCTTCTGAGCGCTCTTGGTTGGGCTCGTTCTGGGTGACATGGTTTGGGATCTGGAAATGGACAACTTGGGGGTACAGTCCAGTGGTAAAAGGATCAACATGATAGCCTTGACGCTGGATCAAGCGGGTTGCAGTAAAGATGTTGTATTGTTCAGCAGCACAATAAGCTGTGACTTGGTTTGTATAGACATTGGGATCTACGAAGCGGTGCTTTCCGCTGCGACGGATCAACGACTCGCGAGAACGCTGGGCTTCGAGAGCAACGCGGCGAAGAGAGGTCGTGGCAGCCTGTGAACGGGACGAGAGACGCTTGGGAGGGGTGGGCGGATCTGGTTTTGAGGTGGGAGTATCAGAGTGTTTGAGCCGGGCGCTGGTTAAGGAGAGGGGAGCAGCTGGTGCAGACGGACGGCATGGCGAAGAGAGAGGAGAGCGGTTCTCGGGACGCAAGAGTCGGAGTAGACGTGTGGTGCTTCCGGACATTGTCGCAGCTATACAAAGTGGTGGTTGACGGGCTTCACAAAGGCGTTTCATGACACAGCTTGGCATGACGGGGGTGTGCAGCTCCTCCGCAGTACTCTATACCGGGATTCCACCTTGAGCCCAGTCCTTGATTCTCATGCCTCTTGCGCTATGTCTGCTGCGCAAAAGGCGACTCGGCACAATGAGCTCGATCATGATCAATCCCACGTAGCCACCGACCGCCCTCACACCCCCGAGCCCACCCCCGGTCGACAAGACAACTCACGCGCCGACGACGACAAGGCCAGCCATGTGCCCTCGGACCCTAGTGACGCCGAAGATGAAGACGACGATGATGGGGAAGAGGACGAGCCACATCTCAAGTACGACAAGCTGACGGCTGCCCTGGTCAGCGTCTACCGCAATGGCGATGCCACCAGCTCGCTATTCGTTGCTGGCGACAAGATGATCCTCGGCACTCACAATGGAAACATACACACTCTCGCCCTGCCCTCGCTGCAGTCCCTGCGTCTCTATCATGCCCACTCGGCCTCAATCACTGCTATCGATGTCTCTCCTATCCCACAGCCCTTTTCCAACCACCCTCGTCTAGACCGCTTGAACTCAAATGCCTGGCGAGCCCCTCCTCTACCCATACCTTCGTCGCGAACTCCTAAGCAGTCTCCGAATCTGCCTCCGACGCCTTCCAATCTCATTCACATCGCCACTGCTTCCATCGACGGCCATGTTTGTGTCTCGTCACTCGTCGATCCCAAGGATGTTAGTCTTCGCAACTTCGCCCGTCCCATCAATGCAGTCGCTCTATCGCCAGAGTACAAGACCGATCGTACATATCTCTCTGGTGGTCTTGCCGGGAATCTCATCATGACTGCTGGCGCCAAATCTGGTGTGAGCGCCGACGCCAACACGAATAGCGCTGCAGCAGCTGCCTCAGGCTGGCTGGGCTCTATAGGTCTGGGACAAAATACAGGCAAGGACACCGTCTTACACTCTGGCGAGGGTGCCATCAGTACCATTTCCTTCTCCAACAGTGGTCGTTTTGTAGTCTGGGTCAATGAGCACGGCATAAAGATCATGCGCTCGCATCTCAAGCTCGAATCTCATGAATCAGAGTCGGCCTGGAAGCGTATTGCTCATATCGATCGACCAAATCGTAATTCTTGGCCCGATATGGCTTCCGTATGGAAAGCTCGTGTGCAGTGGATCAATGACGACGCTCTCGAAGCAGACCTGGACGAGCCTAGAGCTCCAAACGGCTCTGCTGCTCAGGACTCAAGCAAGTCTTCTAAGAAAGCTCCTCCGGAAAAGCTGCTTGTTGGTTGGGGTGATACTGCGTGGTTGATTCATGTCTATGCCGCGCGCGTTGCTGCCGGCAAGAACGGTGTACAGCGACTACCAGGGCGCGCTGACATTCTCCACAAATTAACCTTTGAAGATTGTGTTGTTTCTGGATTGTCACTCTATACCCCTTCCTTGCTTGCTATCCTTGCGTATCGCACGCGTGACGACCAAGACAATCCTGTTCCTTCATCTGTACAAGACACTCCGAAGCGAGGCAGGCATCATCGACAAACAGGTCTACAACCCGAGCTTCGCCTGATCAATTTTGCAACTGGCGAAGAGGTTGATGTCGACACTCTCAACATAAACAGATTCGAATCACTATCTGCTGCTGACTATCAACTGACATCGCTCTATGTGCCTCCGCCGCCTCGTCTTGCTCCCGCGCAGAAAGGTGCTCTGGAGAACTTTGGTGCTGGCTTGTGGGACGCAGGTGCGAGCGCGACGCGTCTTTTCAGTTCTGGTGTCAGCATGAAAAGTCCGCCAGCTAGCGAAAGTGGAAGAACTGCCATCAGATCCCCAGCAGGATCCGTTGGTGGCTCTCAGATTGGTGTATCACCTCAATCGGCCCCTGATGCGAACCCTTTCCTCGCACGAACAGGCCTCAAGCTTTTTGTCCACAGTCCCTATGATTGTGTTTTGGCTATCAGGCGTGAGCTTTCAGACCATCTCAGCTGGTTGATGGAGCGTAAGCAATACGGAAAAGCTTGGAGTCTAATTGATGACCATCCAGAGATTGTCGGCATACCAAGTGATCGACAATCCATCCCTTCTTCGCCGAGTGGACCTACACGTGCGCAAGACAGTCTGGCAGACTTCTTTGCTGACGAGGACGTATCCCAGATTACCATGTCTCCTGAGAAAATTCAGAACTCTATCGCCGTCAAGGAGAAACAGCGGGTAGGAGACTTGTGGCTACAGCAGCTTGTTGCAAATGATGAGTGGTCGATGGCAGGAAAAATAGCTGGTCAGGTCCTCGGCACTTCTTCTAGGTGGGAGAAATGGGTTTTGGCATTCGCACAGGACGGCCACTTTGACCAGATCACACCCTATATTCCCAGTACCGACATGAAGCCTGCCTTGCCTTCATTTGTATACGAGGTTGTCCTCGGCCACTATATCGGTCATGATCGACCACGATTCCGCGAACTCCTGGATCGTTGGGATCCTGAGTTGTTCGATATCACAAGTGTGAAGACAGCCATTCAGAACAAGCTCGATTCGAGTGATGTCAATGAGGAGTCTGTTGAAGGCGGCGAGCGAGGGAGGGATTGGCGCATTCTGCTGGACGGACTGGCAAAGCTTCACCTCGCCGAAGGCTGTACGACAGACGCCTTACGCTGCTACGTTCGTCTCCAGAATGGTGACGCGGCCATGGCGTTGATCCGTGACTACCATCTAGCGGATGCTGTCTCTGACGATGTTCCTGCTCTGTTGATGCTTCGTGTTCCCAAAAAGCAGATGAAGACAGCGTCCTTGGAAGAGCTTGAAGAAGAATCGGCCGAAGTCGTTCGCTTACTGGTAGACGAAGCCTTCTCAGGAAATGTCCGACCTGAAGTCGTCGTGTCGCAGCTCGAGCAGCGTGGTCCAACCTACCAACCTTTCCTCTTCTTCTACCTCCGTGCTCTCTGGACAGGACGGACGACAGATGAAGAAGTTCTAATGAGCCGAGCCGAGCGTATGAAGCTTCAACAACAGATAGAAGAAGGCAGATTGTTGGTTGAACAATACGGCGATCTGGCCGTGACGCTCTTCGCACAATACAACCGCGATCTACTCATGGACTTCCTGCGATCCTCGACATCATACACATATGAGAAAGCATCGCATGTATGTGAAGAGAAACACTACATCCCGGAGCTTGTTTATCTTCTGAGTAAGACTGGACAAACAAAGCGAGCGTTGTTCCTGATTATCGGAGAGCTTGGCGACGTCAGTCAAGCCATTTCGTTCACCAAGGAGAATCCTGATCTTTGGGATGACTTGCTAGATTACAGCATGGATAAGCCAAAGTTCATTCGTGCGTTGTTAGAAGAAGTTGGCACATCTATCAATCCCATCACAGTGGTTAGGCGGATACCGAACGGGCTCGAGGTTGAAGGCTTGAGAGAAGGCATTGGCAAGATGATACGCGAGTATGAGATTCAACACAGCATTAGTGACGGTGTCGCCAAAGTGCTCAGGGGTGAAGTGACATCGGGCATGGATGTTCTTCGGGCAGGACAGAAGAAGGCGGTCAAATTCGAAGTGACACATGAAAAGCTTGATGAGGTTGAGGTGCACGCTGACCCGGTTCCGATCATCAACAATGGTTATGACATGGAAGATGATGGCGCCGATCAGAAGCCCAAGCCAGGACACTGTGTGGGTTGTAAAGATGTGTTCCATCAAGATGGTAAGATTTGCCAACTACCAAAAATCCGTCCACGTACTAACAAGCACGGCANNGAGAGGGAAACCCTCATCGGATTCAACTGTGGCCACGTCTTCCACTTGTCTTGTCTGTTGAAGCTCAACACCAAAGCGGATGAAGCCGATGTCAAAAGGCTACAAGGTCAAAGACTTTCAGAGGATGAGGAGCCCGTTGACACTGGTAGAAGTGTGCGGGCCAAAGTCGAGCACGCGCATCAAATCAAAAGAGCTGTTCAAGGTGGGTGCCCGGTGTGCACGCTGCCGGATGACACTGACTAGCTCGTGTTTGATTATCACAGGAGAGGGCACGTTTGCGAATAGATGGCGAGTTGAGACGGAATGTGTATGATAATACCCTTTTGATGTAGGAATATGTGCAACTAGTTGGCCTTGAAAAGAGAAATGAGCACAAGGTATGCAATTGTAATCCTCAAGTCTAGAATGAGAGAATGGTCTTGAGTTTGGATACATAATTTGAGTATCCATGTTTAGGACAAACTCAAGGCTTTGACGCTGGTATTAATCATCACAGCGGCGTTGCTTGTGCCTCATGTAGTGAGAGGCGCCTGAAGCGTTGACAACCAGTCATGGTTGGCAGTCCAGCGATGGCCACTCAGATGACGGCGAGGGCGATAGGAGCCTAGATGGCTACGACGGGAGACGTCCCTGTGGGTTGTCCGTGCAGCGGCATGGTAGTGGTGGCTGCTCGAGGTAACAGGTACCTGGTATTGGGCGGATAGCTGCGTGGGCGCAATCAAGGGCTCAAGCAGCGCCTTTGGGTGGGAAAGCACTCTCCTTCTTGCTGCCAGCCTTGTCGACTCGTACATATGTAAGAGGGCTCAGGGCAATCCACTCACCCTTCCAATTGCGTAGTTTGGTAAGGGTAGCCTCGTTCTGCATGTCAGGAATCCAAAGTCCGGACTCGTATTCTTTCTGTTCCTGGTCCTGTTGCTGCTCGAGTATATTCTGCTTGGTGTTCTTGGGGCGTCCTGGACGGCGTTCGGCCTTGAGAGCGGCCAGGGCCTCGTCTTCACGGCCCAGGTATCTGGCAATGACATCGTGCACCTCAGCGTCGGTCAGAGGACGTAGCGGGTCAGGAATCTCATCTTGGAAGAAGACGATACGGTTGACNTGAATTAGTGGTCAGTCAGGGTCGATTTTGTCGTCAAGGCAAGACATACGGTAAACATCATTCAGCTTCTCACGCACAGCGCCCAAACGTGCAACACGGTCATCTCTTGCAACAGCGCTACGCAGACGGAGAGCGTCGCGACTGTTCTCATGCAGAGCCAGGGCACCACCCTTCTTCTTGGACACTTGTTTCTGGACTTTTGCGAATTTAGACGGCATGATGTTGTTGGTCTTGAATGTGTGTACTTGGATGGATTATTTTTTATTTTCTTCGCTGCAAGTCTGCGATAGCGTTCAGGTGCCGCAAACCTGGAGAACTGGCGGGTCGGTCCGATGTTGTCAGGCAGAGGGACGCGTTCAGAACGCGCCTGCCATTATCCGAACTTCTGGACGCCACCTGCAGTCCTTGACATTGACTCCTTTAACTCATCCACAGCTCACTGACGCGTTTTCTGTTGGCTGCTTGTAGAGCATGGGTATCTAAGGTCGTCACTCGCCATGGGCATTCAAGGTCTCCTCCCTCTGCTCAAGTCAATCCATAAACCATGCCACCTTAAACAACACTTTTCTGGTCAAACTCTGGCTGTTGATGCATACGGTTGGCTTCACCGCGGCACCATCGCCTGTGCCATTGACCTCGCCCAAGGCAAGCCCACCAGGAAATGGCTCGACTTTGTCATGCACCGAGTCCGCATGCTTCAGCACTTCAATGTCACTCCGTATCTTGTCTTTGATGGCGATTATCTGCCCAGCAAATCCGGAACCGAAAAGGAACGCGCCGCTCGTCGCAGGNAGAGCAAAACCAAAGGTCTCGAGTCTCTGCGTCTAGGCAAGGCTTCCCAGGCTCAATCCGAGTTGCAANAGAGTATCGATGTGACGCCCGAAATGGCTCGTCAGCTGATCGACGAACTCAAGAAACTCAGCCTTCCTTACATCGTTGCTCCGTACGAAGCCGACTCGCAAATGGTCTACCTGGAACGTTGTGGTCTGGTTCATGGCATCATCTCCGAAGACTCCGACCTTCTGGTCTTTGGCGCTCGCTGTCTGCTCACAAAACTCGACCAATATGGAGAGTGCATTATGATTAAGCGAGATGACTTTACTGCCTGTCGCGAAATCAGTCTAGTTGGCTGGTCCGACACTGACTTCAGGCTCATGGCGATCTTGAACGGATGCGATTATCTTCCCGGTATCGAGGGAATGGGTCTCAAAACTGCATATCGTATGATCCGCAAGCACAAAACGCTTGAACGTATCATTCGCTCTGCACAATTCGAAGGCAAGATCAAGGTCCCTACAGGTTATCTTGAGGCCTTTGCTAGCGCAGAAGCCACCTTCCTATACCAATGGGTCTACTGTCCCAAATCTCGCGGTCTGGTCAACTTCAGCGAACCCGCTCCTGATGTGGATCTTACTCAGTTCCCTTGTATCGGCAAGCACGTCGAGGCCGAGATTGCATCTGCTGTAGCCGTTGGCGACCTGCATCCACATACGAAGCAGCCTCTCTGTCCACCCAAGATCTTGCGAAATGCATTTCAGCCAAGCTCTCGCCATCGTGCACAGGTTCTTCAAACACCAGATCTCAAGAAGCACAAGTCGATTGACAGCTTTTTCAAGCCTCAGCGCACCCCTCTGACAGAGCTTGATCCAAACAGCTTTACACCCTCGCCTAGTCAGCAGCGTCTTTTACAGCGCAGTCCAGCTTCTTGGTCAGCCGAGGCCCCTCGCCGTCTCTCTCTTCTCTCGCGTGCGGCCTCAACTACACATGCTTCACAACAGCCACAACGCTCCTCAGCAGATACGCCTCGAAACAAATCCAGTTCGCCGAAACGACAACGCTTGTGCTCCGATGGCTCTTATGCATCTCCTCTATCAACACCGACCGAGCGCATCGAATCTGGGACAAGCAAGTTCTTTAAGACCAGCAAGTCGCGCAAGAGTCTTACGCTTGAACGCACAGGTAGTACATCGAAAGACGAATTCAATCTCTGGTCTGACGATTCAGTCGAACAAGCCATGAGTCTATTGCCGGATACAGCAGAACGACGAAGTCCGGTCAAGTCAGCAAAAAAGCTTTCGATTTTTCAGGATGCTGGTAGCCCTGATGTGACTGGCGAGACTTCCAAACCAACAGTCGAGACACCCTTTACAGCTGGGTTGGCAAACGAGATACAGTCGTTGAGGACCAGATTTTCTTATCAACATGACGCCTCCGGCGATGATAGGACAGATGCGGCCACTATATGTGAGTCGAAGCGAAAAAGAAGCGAGACGGAAGGTGTGGTTCCATGCTCCTCGCCAGTGACGGATCGGAAGAGTGTTGAGACTCTGCATTGCGAAGGTACGAACGATGATATCAACGAGGCCGATTGGCTTTCTGCAGAATCTCAACCCCTGAGCCGGGCGTTGGGCGAAAACACACAATCCAGCGGTTCCAGCAAACCATGCTTCTCGCAAGGCAGTGAAGACCTTTTGATACCGGACAGCGAAGGGGAAGAAGATAATGAGGAAGAACAAGGTTTACACCGACGGCCCAGCTTTCCTCTGAATCTTGCGAGATTTGCATTCACGGGTTGATATCATTGTTTTTTGTTCTTGTTTGCTCTTTGATGCAGCGTGGAGCTTTCGGTGTTTGAGCGATGGCTTGTGGTATAGCATATGGCGTGGTTGCATGGTTAGCGTTGTACGAATTGAGTATGCATACGATCTGGAGTCCTTCAATGTCAGTCGCAGGACTGACAACTCATCGCGCTGGTCAATGAGATAGATCACGAAAACATATTGTCTGTTTTGTTCTCTATTGTCGCTGTGTCAAAGCATCTCACAGTTAGGGGCATCTCAGTAGCGAGATTGGTGCGTTTGGTTGTGCTATGACTCTAGGCCGACAACATCCTGGGATCATTCCACATACAAATCCACCTCACTATATCTACTCAGGTGATACATTTGGAGCTCCATATGGAATTTGAGCTCTCCGAACTGACACATCCAACAAAGAGGTGTCTGCGAACGGTCAGTGCTCTCCCTATTTCCCCATATGAGAGTTGGTTCGATATCACGCAGTCACAACAACAACACAGAAACAATGAACTAGCCCCCAATGAAGCCAGCACCCTGAGTACAGGAGTAACGATGAACCAATATAGAATACCATCCCAGCACGGCAATGGCATTGATTGTTATGAGACGTGAAGGCTCGCTTACAGTGTGACCCTGCTCTTGGGTGCTGAGATATCAAGATATCTCAAAGGCTCAACCACAGCACGACTTGACTCAGGCAGCTCATGAGGACATCAGCCAAGTTTCTCTTATACTTTAGATTCGAAAACGTAAAACAACGCAGTTTCGTGTCTCATTTCGTATAGTCATGCTAGTAAATGCGATCCTCTACCACAAAGCCACGACAATGGCAGCATCAAACATTTCATTTGCCGGATTCAAAATAAAACTTTCCCAGATCACCCCCTGANCCACGAGAAGCATCGGGTTTTTCGAGACCTCCTTGGACACCCTCGGGACCGAGGCGCTCGCGGATGATGCGTTCAGCGGTCTCGGTTCCAGTATCAAGAGTTCTGCGGTCGACCATCGAGACGTCCTGCTGTTCTGACTGAGCGTAAGAACTGACAGGAGTCAAACTAGAATCTCTCTGGAAAGGTTGTGACAGCGCCGAGGCGGTGGGAGTGGATTTCGTTACACTGGGACTTCCGATGGCGCTGTGACGCGCAGGAGTGCGAGCACCCTCCCCAAAGCCAACGAGGCTGTTCGTGTCGGAAGCAGCACCAACACTGGAGGTATCCATATCCATATCCTGACTCTCGCTCATCTTGTCGTGGTCGAAGACATCGCTGCCACTGGCCCAGGTAGTTGTGCGGCCGCCGACGCTACCAGTTGCCGAAGCTGAGCCAACAGTGCTGCGTTCACGGGCCAGAAGAGGGTTTCCCTGAGAATCAAAGTAGCCACTGGCGGCGGCCGAGTGGGGAGCGGCAGCGCCAGGGGTCAGGTTGGAGATGGGAGTGGGGTTGCGAGCAGTCGTCACACGCTCAAGACCAGCGAGGCGTGAGATACGATCGGCGCGTTCGGCGTCCAAAGTGCCGGATGTGGGAGCTTGTGAGTGGTGCGAGTGAGGCAGGTGACCCCGGTGGCCGTCCTTGATAGCAACACTGTTGGTCCATGTAAGCATGTTGTCAACTTCAATGCATGTGATTACTAACGTTGAGAGCTCCGACATGGAGGTTGTGGTGGAATTGGGGGTGCCAGGAGCATCTGAGGGCGTCATTGGGTCTGGAGGAGGAAGGTTGATCAGAGTCGGAGGTACTGTCGACATGGCGTGAGTGTGGGTGTGTGAGTTGATGGGGATATATGCGTATGCGCGTGCGAGATGGAGCGTTCGGTCGACGTTGGAGTGCTTGAAGGGGCTGAAAGACGTAGTGTATGAGTGAGGTCTGAAGACGATTTGTACTGAGGTCAGGTCAAGCAGAAATACAGGCGCAGCATCATCAGGTTGACAAGATTCGCGGCAGGAACCAGGGTTCGTTCCCCACATTATATTTGTTTCAGGGTCCCGTCTCCCCACACGTTGATGTCATGCCTGTCATACTCCAGCATTTCTTTTCTACCGCGTTCTTATCCAGATGTGAATACAGAGTATGGAAGACCAGTAGTGACTTACGACCAAGACACGACTGTTACATATATTCCCTTGAGACATGAGTCTGGTTGTGATTGTGCCACGCAGCTGTATGCTCACTTGTTCTGGCCAGTCAGAGCATGCACCTCCTTCTCTCAAGCGCTTTGTTGCATGTCTCAATCGTCGACAGGTTGCACATGTCGCCGTCAAGAAAAATCCTCACAACTTCGAGGAAACCAGTCTTGAGTGGAATAGTTGATTTCATTAAAAGTTCCCGCTTCTTGCAGCACACCTACGCCTTGTTCATATCACCATATTTCCTCTCTCAATAATGTACAAAATTCTCCTTTTTCTCGGGTCGTTTCTTACGAGACGAAGCTCTTCATGTCTGTGATTTTGTCAGCATACCGTACCAAACACTTGCGTTGGCTGGCAACTTACTGTTCAACCACCCAATGTACTCCTTCTGCTCCTTCAAGTCAATGTACTCAGGGATGAAGAGAGCCATCTGTGTGTTGATGCCTCTCTCCTCGAGGAATCGCTCCAAGAGCATCTGAAGGTCCTCGTCAAGCTGACCGAAGGGAGGGCCAGTGTAGAGACTTCTTCTTGCCCAGTCCTTCTCGGCAGTCTTGGCCTCAGCCAACTCGGCAGTGGGGAAGTGGTAGACGTTCTCAATGCTGATCTCGCCATCTTGAGCCAGGCACTCAATGGCGAGGGCTCCNCTGCCCTCGCGGGTCACGGTGACCTGGACACGAACGGGGAAACTTGCCGAGTTGTCCTCCTCATCTTGCAGCTCAGGTCTGTCGGCAGGGGCGATCTCGTCCTCGGGGGCAACGCGGATGTTACCACCAGCGGTGCGGCCCTGATTCACAGCGCCCTTGGTGTTGGCACCTCCAGACTGGCCATCCATGTCGAGGGCGCCATCCTCGTCGCCGTACAGAGCGGGGTCCTCGGCATCGGCCTCCTCGTCGTAAGTGTTGAAGTCGGCAATGGAGAAGGTAACCTTGACGCTGTAGGTTGCGTGTTAGCAAGTTGGTGGCGCACTTCAGGATAGCGTGACGGACTTCTCGTCGCCGTATGATCGGGTGAGGTGAACTTCCTCTGTACCGGCCTTGTCTTCAATCTTGAACTCGCTGTTGTCGATGTACTCTTGGCAGTTGTAGCGGTAGCTGTCATCTGCTTGCTGTTCCTTCTCGAGGGCGATTTCCGAGTTCAGCTTGGCGGCGAGTTCCTGAGTGGTGGCATCTNNGGATGAGAACAATGAGCAACGGACCAGATAGAGCGCGAAACAGCAGGACACACCTTGGCGGCGGAGCGGAGAGGTGGAAAAGTGAGCAGCGGTTCTGGCGGCGGCAAAGGCAGGAGTGCGCAGGGGCTGACGAACGGCGGTCGAGGTCAGACGGGCAACACCGCGAGGCAGCTGGCGAGAGAGTTGGCGCAAAGAAAGCATGGTGATGTGGATAGACGGTTTCGGATGGTCAAGCAAGACTGGATGGCGCGCTCAAAAAGGTCTTGGAGCTTTCGGCGAGGCTCGAGCACGGACAACGACACTCCCGGCCGCTGTCGCAATGACATAAGGTACCTTAGCGGCAGTGACATGGAATGCTTTCTTTCGCTCGGAGACTCTATCTATCCAACGACTCTGCTACCACGCGGCCGGTCCTTCACACACCATGAGCGCCGCTGCGCCCGTCGAGAAGAAAAAGAAGCCGTCGGCCCTGCGCTCCATCATCGCCGGCTCAAGCGCTGGTGCTGTTGAGATCGCCATCACCTATCCCGCCGAGTTCGCGAAGACCCGATCCCAGCTCAATCGTCGCCTCGTTGAAGGCAAGAAGCTGCCATGGCCGCCGTTCGGTAGTCAGTGGTATGCTGGATGCACTACTCTGATCATTGGAAACTCCATCAAGGCTGGCGTTCGCTTTGTCGCTTTCGATGCATACAAGAACATGCTCTCAAATCCCGACGGCACTATTAGCGGCCCTGCCACTGTCATTGCTGGCTTCGGCGCCGGTGTGACTGAGAGTTTGCTGGCTGTCACTCCTTTTGAGAGCATCAAGACTCAACTGATCGACGACCGCAAGGCTGCTCAACCCAGGATGAAGGGCTTCCTCCACGGCAGCAGACTCATTGCCCACGAACAGGGTGTACGTGGTTTCTTCAGAGGCTTTGTACCTACCACAGCAAGGCAGGCAGCAAACTCGGCTGTTAGATTCAGTAGTTATACCAGTTTGAAACAGTTGGCGCAAAGTTATGTTGCTCCAGGAGAGAAGCTCGGCGCCCTGAGCACTTTCGGTATCGGCGGTGTGGCTGGCATAATCACAGTGTATGTCTTCCGTGTCAAGCCTCGAGATTCAGCCACTGATCCTCTCCCAGATNACGTTACCATGCCTCTGGACACCGTCAAGACAAGAATGCAGTCAATCGAAGCAAAGACGGAATACAAGAACAGCTTCAACTGCGCAGCGCGTATAGTCAGGGAGGAAGGCTTCCTAACTCTTTGGTCTGGTGCTGTGCCTAGACTTGGTCGTCTCATCTTGAGCGGCGGCATAGTCTTTACCATGTATGTCTTTCGTGTTTCGTCCAAGTATTTGTTGCTGACAATTCCTTTAGGTNATGAAAAGACCATGGACTTGCTCGACAAGCTGGACCCAGAGAAGAAATATCTATGAGCAACTTTATGCACAAACATATGCCGCTCCCACTCTTTGTAAAGCCTTGCACATGTATAAGCTTAGAATAATAGGCCACCGTGAAGAACCATCGCACAACGGCCGCCAGCTCTCTTTCGGAAGCTCATTGTATCACCGTTGTGTCCATGTGGCTAAGACCAGCCTTCGTCGATGCGATTCGCCTGTTTCGTAAAGCTCGCTCTGGAGTAGCACTCTGTTGCTGCCAAGTTATGTCTGCTCAGACCCGAATAGGTGAAGGGCGAGCCCAACGCCCGGTCGCATGTCGCTACGGTGCGGGCCGTCCGAGCAGGGATTAGGTTCAATAGAGTACACAAAAGACAGCTACAGGTCTACAAGCAACTGCATACCTTGTAGGCATATGTAGTGGGTGTCAAGCGTGGGGAAAGGAGAGAGACGGCGAGACGAGCTGGTTCATCGCACGATGCATTATTCATGTTGTACGAACCATGATGATCGAGTAAGCAGTGGTGTCGGACCAGAGGAGAGCCAGCAGCGCTGATCATGGAGGTTCAACATGAGCAGAGCACGCTCCATCATGCAGAGAAACCAGTGAGCACGCTGTCTGGACTGGAACCGACTTAAGCCCAAGCGATTATAGTTTGAAAAACGACGTTGAACCGGCCGTCGTCCGTTTATCACCTGACCCGAGCTAACTCTTTTGTTTCTTTCTCTCCTCTCTGCGTTGTCTATCAGGGCCCTGTAGTGTGTATTACCAGCGACTGGCAGACTTGCATTCGGTATCTTGGTATTTCTGCGTGTTCAAGTATTAGGTGGCGTTAAAGAATGGCCGATGCCATCTATAATCAACCTTCGAAAGCTCCTACGGCCGAAAGAACCCGCCAGCCAAAGAACAGGCCCGCCGACCTCCCGCAAGGGCAGCAGAAAATACGCCGCCGCAATAGGACCATCGCATCATGTAAGGGACCAACTGTTCACGCCTCTGAATCACTAGACCTGACTCTTTTTAGGCNNTTGAGCTGTCGCCAGCGCAAATTGAAATGCGACAAACAAGTGCCGTGTGGTAACTGTCAGCGGTTTCAGAGAGATTGTTTGTACATTGCTCCAGCCCTAGATACTGCTGCTCAGCAGAAGCTGGCTGAGATAAAGGATCGACTTGGTGACCTCGAAGAGACACTTGAACGCGATGTCGCCCGCCGCGCTGCCGCGAAATCTGGATCCGATCGTTCTTCTGTGGTACTAAAGGTCGAAGCGGAAGACGATGATTATGACGGTCTGTCGGCGGACGATGACCAGGATCCTGAGCCCTCTCCCCTCGGCATGTTCGACCAGGTGTATGATAACGATGCCGATGATGGACTCATGGATCTTGGTATTCAGCTCGGCAAGTTGCGAATGTCTGATAGAGTAGGCGGTCTAGGTATGTGACTCTCAGAGGCTCATGGATCTGATCGAACAGTACTTACTAGCTCACAGNTGCGACCGAAAATGTCTGATGAGGTATGATGAGGCACTTCGATAATAACAATCTCTGACGTACTGACCATCCGTACAGNNCTCAATGCGAAGCTGCGCAGTGCTAACCACAAGAGTCAGAATCTTTATTGTCAACGCCACGGCTACACTGATCCGAATGTATCATGGCAACCTGGGACCGTTTCTCAAGAGGATTTCCTAAATCCTGGGCCAGACTTCATCGTCCCATCTTCGAATCTGTTCTTTCCAGACCCTGTCACGGCATACTTTCTCCCTCCTAGGCACGTCGCTGATCGACTCATCACACAATACCTTAATGCCGTTCATCCGGTCGCTCGTCTCGTTCATCAGCAGACTTTTGAGAGACAGTATGCTTTGTTCTGGAGCAACCTCAGTAACGGTACAATAACACCAGCTCCTATCCAAGCCATTCTCTTCGCAGCAATGTTCTCGGCGGCTGTCAGTCTGTCAGATGATGCTGCTGCTTCGTTCTCGGATATGCCTAAACATTCACTTGTCGACAAGCTTCGCGAAATGACCGAATTTATGCTCTCCAGAGCGAATCTTCTGAGAACGACGAAGATAGACACCATGCAAGCTTTCATTATGTATATGGTAAGAGTGTTCAGAACTCTGTCAGAATCTTGAGCTGATCTTTCTAGCNTTCCCCTGTGTCGAACAGAGATTTCTCGAGCACACTCCGCACTCGTTGGAACAGCTATTCGTCTTGCACAATGCATGGGACTCCATCGTGATGGAACTACCTTCGGTCTGAGTGCTGTAGATACACATGTCCGAAGATTGATCTGGTATCAAATCTGCTTCCTGGATGTCCGGACCTGCGAAGCTACTGGACCCCGTCCTCAGATTCGTAAAGAAGAATATGACACCAAGCTGCCTCTTAACGTCAACGACATAGACCTCCTGTCAGCCTCACCGCCAATTGATGATTTACCTTATTGGACCGATACGACCTTGTCCAAGCTCAAGTTTGAGTGTTACGAACTGATACGCCAACTCTGGGTTGATATGCAACGCATGGACCAGAAGAAGCTATCATTGACCTCCGTCCTCAACAGGATCAAGAAGTTCCGCGCGACCACGGAAGCCAAGTATTCACCCCTAGTCCAAGGCAACACGCCTAAGCAGATTCTTGCAAAGCAAATGTATCGCGCCTCTAGCAATCGAGCTCTGGTCGTCATCTTGCAACGATATGCTGTTGGGACGAATTATCCCATGCCCGAGAGACTTCGCAATCTACTTATCGAGGCCTGTATGGGCACTGTCGAAGCTGGTGTCGCCATGGAAACACGTCCAGAGCTGATGACTTGGGCTTGGTATCGTGGAGCCATTCTCCAATATCACGCAGCAGTGCTTCTAGTATTCGAAGTCTATGCCAGGCCTGAGATGCCCGGGGCCGCGCGGATTTGGAGCAGTCTCGATTACATCTTCGAGACACCGCCTCAATCTTCTCAGGTGGACAAGGCAGAGGGTATCATCATCACGCTTCGCGATCGTCTAGAAAAATACCATAGCGTACGAAAGTTGCGTGCAACAGCTGATGTCGAGAGCCAATCCAGCCCAGGACCATCAACAACCTCACAATTGACTACGCCTGTCACAGCTCCGCATATGACTCGCTCTGCCCAAACATTTACTACTCCGACAATGGTTTATTCTCAGCTACCTCATACCGAACAAGGGCCTGCCTCCGATGCCAGTGGAAGCCGTGCAGGACCAAACCGCGACTCCTCCGCTGATCCAGGCATGGAAGCCGTGGCCAATATGGATTGGGTATGTGAATTTCCAGCAAAATCTGATGATGGTATCGAAGTTGTTTTGCTAACCAATTGTACCAGANACGAATGGGACAAGTACTTTGCTCCGAATGCAGAACTGGGTACGATCGGGACGATGGGCGATTTCAGCCTCGGCAACTTCAACCCTCACCAAGCATACTTCTCGCTTCCAAGAGCTGATGCACATCAACGATGATCAACGACGATCAACTGACAACAACAATCGACTCGGTCGTGACAGGGAAAGTCTAACCGGCGATGAACACCGTGTGATGTATCTCACTGCCGACCGCATCGTTGAAATACTCGAGTCCCTTCTGAAAAGCAGCGGTCTCTTTGAATGCCATATGAGCAGATATCGATGACCATCCAATGGCTAGGAGGCAAGCTCTTCCCTCGACACCTGGACCAAAGCTCTCGTGCTCTACAGATTTCATTATCCAGGAGAATGTACATCCTAAGAACCCCTCTGCATGCTCATTCAGGATCTTTGCAAACGAGCCCAGGCTATCATCAAATGATGACTTTTGTTCCAGGAGGAAGAGGGTTGCCAGCTCGGTTACAGGAGCAGACACCGCGGAGGCAAGGTCGCTGGGACTCTTGAGCTCGAAGTGGGCGAGCTGTGGAGATCCACCAAGGATTGGTTCCAGACTCTTGAGCATCTGCTGGTAGATCGATAGGTTTTGGAACTTTTGATGATGCTCAATCGTACCCCAAACNTACACTTATCAACGGTCTAATCTTTCTCAATAACTGTCATGTGGCTCACCTATGAACAGTTGCGCCGTGTCTGGGCTTTCATGTTGCAGTCCAGAGTAGACATTCTGGCAGCCATCTTGTTGTGAGATGGTCGAGAGCATATCCTGCCAGATACGGGCTGCTTCGCTACCTCGCTCAAAGACATCGGACCCAGTAACGAGNGGAAGAGTCGCAACTTCGGTTACAGGCATCGTGTAGTGGAGAATGTACGTGTAAGTGGTGAGTTTGTGTGATGTGTTGATCTCCTAGACATGGAGTATCGTGCCGAGGTGTGTTGTCCAAGGGTAGAACGTCCAGGCGAGACTCACGGGCCGAATTGATGATCAACATGAGGCCTCGGTTGCGTCAACATCCGAAATCTGATCTACTTCGCTTGGATGCCATCGATTCCAAATCTAAGGACTTGCAAGTCTCACATCTGTAAACGGAAGCTTTTGGAAGAGCAGAGTCTTGAGTCGTGTGATCAGGGGCAGTCCTGACACGGATATTGTGAACCATATGAATGGAATTGAATACCATGGCTGGGCCGATTCAGGGGTTTTGTCATTGCATTGCATCGATCTCACTTATTGACACCAGAAGGACAGACTCACAATGCATAATGGCCTTCCAAGTGACTCAAAAACTGTCATGATCAAGATTTGATACGAGGTCGTTCGCTCCCTATGATCATGTTCCGGGTGATCGTGGATTGGCTGGATCTTATCACACGTGCTCTGCCTAGCCCAAACCGGCTAAGGGGCTGCCAGACGAGAGCTCACGAGAGGCAAGCGAGAACTCGCAAGCTGCAAGATAGATTCTCTATTGAACACGCGTATATAAGACAACAGGCATGTCATGTTATGTAAAATATCCGCTAGCGACTTGATGTGTCGTCTAATCTGGGAGGCATGGCCTCCCCTTCAGGGTCGTGGCAGCCATATCTTCATCCTCGGCCGAAGACAGGGTTGGTGCCTCGGCAATGTATGTTCAAGCCGGCCGTGATCGCTTAGAAGATAGAGCAGACTGTGATCGTTGCTTAGGAACGGCAAGACAAGAAAGACCGCTGATGGTTTTGGGTCATGCTCGTTTATTCAAAAACCAGTATGTTCGTGCTACAGACAGACGTTTATTCCGGTCGTTGAAAGAGCGTATCTTGACTGAGACAGGCATGTAAGGAAGCTTTTGCGATGAGTCTGGTGGACCTGGTAGTGTGGCAAGAAGACCATTGAGATGGTTGCTAAGAAGCGCATAATTACAGGGGGTATCATAGAGATCCACAGAGCGAATGGTATAGCATTGGTGTAGGGCGGGCGATGTTAGTGTATGATCCAGCCCTTCGAAAAGTCAGGGGCCGATCAGGTTGAGTTTGTGTGACTACGATGAGTCTTGTTGCACGGTTTGCTGTCAAGTATATCAGTATTATGAGCAGACCGGACAACGCCGCAGTGCGACAGCAACAGCAGCAATGAGTTGAAACTTACGACCATCCAGTCCATGCCTTCTGAAACACCTCTGCCATCGATAGCACTGCATGCCACGATGGTCCAATTCCTGTCCTTGAGCTCGCCCAAGCGAAGAGCTTCGCTGATGTCTCCAGCACCCTTGGCACCCGGTTGATCTTGCTTGTTTGCAAAGACTAGCAGTGCAGCATCACGCAGTTCCTCCTCGTTCAACATGGCAGATAGCTCGTCCGCAGCGGTGGAAAGGCGATCGACGTCAGTCGAGTCGATGACGAAGATGACAGCGGCTGTGTTGGCGTAATAGCATCTCCAGTAAGGGCGGATAGATGTTTGACCTCCGAGATCCNNTGTTCACATGTCAGACGGCGAGCCACTTGTGACGGAGATAGTTGTAGCGACGCATACCCAGACATTGAAATTCAGGTTTTTGTAGTTCACAGACTCAACGTTGAAGCCTATCGTTGGAATGGTGGTAACGACCTCGCCAATCNNTGTCGGATGATACTGGTTAGAATGCTACCAGGTCCTGAGAATCGGGGTTTGACGCACCTTGAGCCTGTAAAGGAGGGTTGTCTTTCCGGCGTTATCCTAGTGAGGCAAGACGGTCAGCTTGCTTCGAGCAGCTTGTCGACGGAGCCATGTACCAAGCCCNAGAATCAATATCCTAATCTCTTTCTTTGCCCATACAAGTTTGGACAGTGATGACAGGTAGCCTCCCATGGTGTGCGGTCGTGTGTACTCGTGGTTGTGGATGGTCCGCCTTTGAGTCGTGCTTCGCGTGCTCTTTCGTCGCCTGCTTCCGGTGAGTCACGCGCAATCTTCTTGGATTCGTGAGATTTGGAGAGTAAGTCGATATGCTGGTTACGAAAAGGCGACGACAGTCGATGCGAAGGGTCGGGCAGGTGGTTTGTTGTTTACAGGTGGACAGACGTGCTCCAACGTCTCCGTGGACCGAAACTAATCTGGCACACTGACATCACTGCTTCTCAAACAAAACAAACGCTTTGTCCGTCTGCATATTTATTTCAAGGACAAATAATTCTTCTACACGACCAAGTTCGACGCATTTGCTTGCATACATTATCTACACTGACTCTTCATTTGGGTCGCGTCTCGACTCCGGCGTACTCTCTGCCTGCAATGTAATCCAACGTCCGCTGGAAGTGTCTTCTTGGGTTGTCTAGACTCGAGCTGTTCTCGTTTGTATTGAGATTTGAATGAATCAATTCGATTAATCCATTCAGGTACTTCGTCGTCACNCTGTATTCTTGTCAGCATGGCGTGTCCGAAGCTCGGTACAACCAACTTACAGCATCGTTCTCCTGGTCAAAGTAGTAGACGTAGCGGTTGAGAATCTCGACAAATAGCTCGACCGACACTGCTGTGTCCATGCAAGCATCAGCGACGCGCAGGGCGCGCTGCAAACATTCGAGTACTCTCTTGCCGTCGCGATAGAGCTGTTGAAAAAGATTAGCTGTTATCATAATCATGTATTCANNTCCACCACATACCTCTTTGCCTTCTTTAGTCTCCTTGTTCTCTTCGTTTTCTTCTGCGTTCTTCTCGACAGACCACCACAAGTGACTAGCCAAATACACGGCACGACATTGATCGGGCTTCTTGAGCAGTTTGCTGCCGTGAAGCGCGCATTTTGTGATGAGAGTATCGTAGTTCTCTCTGCTGAAGTTGCGCGCGCTACTAAGACTCTGTGCAATGACACAGATTGCTTGGAATTGAGCCCTCGAGTCGCTGATGCTCTCTTCGTAAACGGTGAATGCCTGTGCGAAGAACTCATAGGCGACCTCCTCGAATCCGCATTGGTCGGCAACAGAACCGCAAGAGATGAAGAGCCTTAGTGCGAGATCAGGAACACCGGGAGTGGAAACTCTAGTGTATAACGTGGAGATCAGTGTATGACAGAACTTGTAAAGAGCAGAAGACTGGCTTGACCAGTCATCTTGCAGGTGTTCGCGAGCCTTGAACCGGCGGGCAAGCTTGAGCGAGGCAGTAATCAATGCAGGTGTGGTGTACTTGATGCGCTCATTGCCTTGAGCGTATGCATCACGGGCTAGTTGGAGCAACTTGAACTGAGTGTTACAGTCCTCGCCACGAATAAGATGCACGATGCGTGCAAGCCATCCTTGTTCTTCGACGGTCTCGTCGGTCTCCGCTGCAGCTCTTCGCACCGGTCCACCAGGGTATCCGGAAGGTTGCTGCATTCCCTCCTTGATCAGGACCTTAAGAATCTCCAGAACGCCCTGCAGGTTTTCAGAGGTTGAAATCCTGGTCTCGTTGCGCAACAAGCTTCGTGCAACCTCTCCAGCCACTGATCGTCGAGTAGGATATGGTTGGGCATGAAGAAGAGGGATGAAACTAGGGATGGCAAGAGCTGTGAAGAGGGAGAAGTAAGTCTTGACCGGCGCAAGAAGCAGGTTCAGAAGGTTGGCCTGTGAAGCTTGCGAGTGAAGGTCGGCCGAGTTTGCAAACCTTGAGACTTCCTTGTTTGCGTATTGGAAGACCTGATCAACGTATTCAAGTCGGTCAGGGTAAATGTTCAAGGCAAGATTGATTAACGAGACAAGAAGCGCTGTGATGTCCTGGATTGGCAGCCTCTGCATGCTCACAAGGTGGATGACCTGCTCGTGGAACACTTCGAAGAGTCGCACGTTATCAGGGATTCCTCTTTGCTTCTTGGCATCGCCATTGGTCTCGACTGGATCTGTCTTAGTCGTATCCTCGGTGGAGGACTCAGCAGCGGTCTCGGTGGTAACGTCATCTTCGGTCTTTGAGTCTCCGTTCTGATGAGTCGCTTCGTCGTTGGCAGGAGCTGCAGCGGACTCTGAAGCGATCTTCATCTTCTCTAGCAACCTTGTGGTTGCTTCAGTCTCGGCCTTCTCGCGATCTTCGGGGGCATCAGACTCGGATTCACGAGCGGCGTAGGCGGACAAGCGATCCATGAGACCTATGACGATAGCTTTGACATTGACGTGAGGGTTGAGACGGGCAGTGGCTGAGAGGAACTGGTCGAGGGTGTGTAAATGAAACTCATCAGGGAAGACCTGGGTGATGACTTCGAGCAGATACTCTTGAGCGAGCACATCGCGACACTGGACGACCTGCTCAAGCAATGGCTGGAGAATGGACGACTTGTAGGCTTCAAGATCGACGAGTTGGCTGAGACGGACGAGGTTGCTGCCAACAAGCAGTTGCAGTTCCTGACGTTCTTTTGTGCGCTGCTCACGCTCTCTCGAATGGCCCTGATGTTGCAGTCTGACCCAGAGCTTATTCATTTCGACAAAGTTGGTAAGGACAAAGTTGACGGAATCCTGGAGGTTGCCTTCGGGACCTTGACCCTGACCGGTTGGCAAATAGTCTCTAGCTTGACCACTGAGGTAGTAGCGGAGGAAGAGACCGCGAGTGGGATGTTGGACACCTCTGCTCATCTCCATCATATCCTTCATTATCTCCTTGACAGGAGCGTCCTCGATGCCCATGTAGACAGTGCCAACGGTGATCATGAGGTAGAGGCGCGGGACGATGTTGCCGGCATATTGAACAAGCTCGTAGAGGTCGGCAAGGTGATTGGTAGGGTGGGATTCGCGCAGGTAGACGGCGAGATGGCGCAAGGCATCGAAGACGGACATGTACAACTCGTAGTACTGTTTGGGGCCGAGGCTGGAGGTGCGTAGTTCGGACACGAGGGTAGAGCTGNNCGAGACTGGTCAGCCGTGTGGATTGATGTGCGCAGAGACGGCTGGTACGTGCCTGCATTTGAGAGCGTCCATGAGCTTGCCGGGCGTGTCCAGGCACCGGCGCATCAGGACCGTCTGCTGGCGCACGACAGTCAGGGCATCTTCAAGCAGGCGTGCCTGGTCCTCGACCAGCGGCGGTGATGCCATGTTTGAGAAGAAGTGGTGTGAGAGAATGTGAGCGACGGCGCAATGGCTTCTACTCTGGTCGCATGACGACGGTATGCACCCACGACCTCCACGTTCAAGGGTGTTGGTGCTCGGCCCGAGCTTCCAAGTTCCGCTGCCTCCAGCCGTCCCTCCACATTATCGGCGCTCTCAGCATTGCATTACAATCACCACCATCTGACTTTACTTCTTGCACTCACACTGACATTCAGAAACATCTGTATGTGAATTTGCTCGTGTCATTACTATGTATTATTACTCTATACTATGTCTTCGCCACACGACTGCCAGCAGTCGTTGGTACTTTATCCTCCATATCGTAATTATCCACATCTTCCTGACAAACCTCACTATCGCCCGAACTCTAGGCTCAGTGCGAGGTACTGTTCCAGTGATGTCCTGCAGCACTTGGTGCAAGTGTAGGGAAGTTCTTGACAACGTACGACGTGTGCCACATTCCATTGTCGTAGTACGAAGCCGAGTTGGTTGTTGCGACTGCCGGAACCACAGTCTGTGTCTGCACCACAATTATCGTCGAGGCCGGTGAGTCGGACGACGAAGACAAACTCATGCTGGTCGCCGAGCTTGTGGCTTGGGCACTGCCAGACAATGTGATCGTCACGTAGTCTGTGCTAAGTGCTCCGCCAGGCACTTCGTATACAATCGAGTTGATTGATACTGATGGTGTCGTTGTGCTGCTACGCGTTGAGGACGCGGCGCTTGTGATTTTGCTGCTCTTGGAAGTAGAGGATGCAGAGGATGCAGAGGATCCTGAAGATGGCAGTGGTGTGTTTATCGACGATGAATCGGCAGACGATGTAGGCAATGATGATGCCGATACGAGCGATATCGTGCTCGTTGCTGACGATGGCGATGCAGATGCAGATGAAAGTGATGGTGATGATGAAGGGGTTTCCAAAACCTGTGTTGATGTCGAAGGGGCAGCAGAGTGTATGCTGGTCGATGTAGGAATAGCACTTGGTGTTTCCGTCACGGTCTTGACAGAGACGGTAGTTGCTGTGGCCGACGAGTCGGTCACAGTCTTGTACACAATCTCCGAGACAGTCGTAGGCGCCTCTGACTCGACGACAGTAGAGATCACTGTCGTTTGTGCTGCCTGAGTGCTCGTTGGTGCAGAATCGCCATCTACGTTGACCACAGCATAGCTCACTGCTGGTCTGGGGAGAGCGTGGATGCCAGTGACAAGGTACGCAAGAGCAAGTGCAACCGAACGCATTGTTGCTTTTCGGAAGGTTGTGGTAGAGGATGTGATGAGAGTGAAGGATGAAGGATGGTGGTCTTGAGTGTGGATTGATCGTGCAGAAGACGATAGTGGAGGAGGCAGGTAAGTGACTTGAAAGTGAAAACTTAGCTTGGATGCGGTGTGTGAGCAAGTGGGTATGAATCCTAGCCTGCTGATGACTGCTTTTAATATCTTGGTTGGCACAAAGATGGCTGGTATATCGGTGGCTGGGAGGAGGTTGGGTGGCCGTTGGAGACAAATGCCATGGAAACCGAGCAACATTCCAACTGGCTTGAGCCTTCAATATTCTATCAACGGTCTAACGTGCGGTATACGGCAACATCATTGATAGAATAGGATACACGATGAAGATAGGTGACGTGGATAGAAGTAGTAGAGCTTTGGAGGTTGTACCTGGGACGCAACAGATTGCGTCCGAACTCAAGCCGCGGAAGCAGTAAGGACACCCGCTGTTCCGGTACTAACGTGCGGTAGTCCAAGGCCCAAAGTACCGTGCAAGCGACAAGGCACTGAACACGCTTCTTGAAGCTTTTATTGCAGATGATCGGATCAATATAGGGTCTCGCTCTCTATAATGCACGTTTCCTTCGTTCTTTGCGTTACATCTGATGGACCGCAGACGCATCACACAAGTCCTTGACACCTGAGACAATCGAATGTATCTCCGTGTCTGTCTTTTATCTGTCCGGGGCTCCCGCCGTCTAGCCCACTGGGGCCTTGAACCTTACTAGCTCGATGCGGATCGTTGTGTTTTTTCACTCTAGAGTGTCTGATTTGTCTGCGGCAGAGAAAAGCGTAGTAATTCGATAAGTACCGCATCTTGGTGTTTGCCTTCGTTCTTGATCGACTTTCTTATTTTCTCTCGCTCGATGAGTGGATGAGTCGCCCATTCGATTCCTTGCAACCTTTCCCGGCAACTCTCGGTCACAGTCGTCCATAGGCATCCATTGCATTTCATAGCCATGGCCTCTAACGATCCCGGTCTTGCACAGTTAGGTGCAGAGGCCAACGAGCCCATCAAAGGAGCAGTCCACAGATCAATCGACCTCGAGGGAGCCGAATGTTCAGTGGCACCCGACCAGTTAGACGAACGCTACGAGACTTCGCGTTGGGAGATCTGGTCTTGGTATTTATACTACGTTGGAGGTGAGAAAGATCGATCCGAAAATGTTGAATCAACGAACTAATCAGCACGAACTAATAAGNCAAACGGTCTTTCGTTGTTCAACTTTAGTCCATCTGCCTTCCAATCTCTACTATACCAGAAAGCTGGAGATAGCGAGATCTTGTACTTCCTTGGGTCCGATCGCACAATCAACTCCATTGTGCTACTCAGCAACGGAATATCCTTTGCCATACAGGTTGTTCTGTTCTTGATCTTGGGAGCTTACGCAGACTTTGGTACACTACGTTCCAAGATTTTGATCGGACTTTCCGTTATTGCCTATGCCATTGGCTTCGCATGGCTCGGCGTACATACACCAGAAAAGTGGCAGATCGGAACTGGCTTATACATCGTAGGACTGATCGGATACCGTAAGTAGATCTATGTTCAGTACAAGGCGAAATTGAGGTTCGCTAAAGGTGCCATCGCAGAACTCACGCTTAGCTTTTGGGCAGCTAGTTTTCCACTTTTGGCTAGAAACACCAAGGAAATCCGAGAAAAGGCACGGGATTGTGCAGACGGTATTATCACTCGTGAAGAGTACGATCATGCAGACAGCATGAAAAGGAACGAGTTAAGCAATGTAAGTCGATGAGTGCATTTATCACGGATCTACATGCTGGGAGATTCCTCTTCTGACAAACACTCGTCTGACGAGGATCGCATATCTGGAACCACCAGGACCGTGTGCTATCTTGGGGTAGACTCGTGATGTACAAACCTGCAGTTATGCTGACAATATCAGGTCGCCTTTTACGTCCAATCATGCGGTGAAATGATCATTCNNTTGTAAGAAAAATCTTGTATCGCGGTTGCTGTTCTGGAACTAACCACAATTGTGAAGGCTATTATCGTTGGGATCATGTTTGCAATGCGTGTAGATGAGTCTACCGCAAACAACAACTATGGATTTTCTGTCCTGATTGCCTTCAGCAGTGGCGTATGGCTGCTCCTGTCGATTCCCTGGTTCTTCATGGAGAAGAAAAGACCTGGCATGCAAATAGACTCGTCGATCTTGGCTGCTGGTGTCTCACAACTCTGGTACGCTGTCACCCAGATCTGGCAGCTCCGACAATCTTTCTGTTACCTCATTGGATATTTCCTACTAGGAGACTCGCTGAACACCATTGTGACGGTCATTGGCACTCTTCAGAATGCTGTGGTCACTTACAATACGCTCGAGTTGACATATCTTCTCCTCGTCGGTATTGCCGCTCAGGCAGTGGGAATTGGCGGTTTCTGTAAGCGAAACTGGATCTGTCTTTTATATGTTTTTGCTAAATATGTTAGGGNNTTTGTACAAAGGCGCTATGGACTTTCTACAAAGACAATGTTCAACGCTGTTGCTATTGGAATCATTCTGCTGGCCGCCTGGGGCATGATTGGTATTTTTACTCAGGTATGAGCAATGGTCCGATCTTCTGTGCAATCAGCTAATGCCGTAACAGAAAGTTGGATACAAGGTCCGGATTGAGTTTTGGTTCTATGTAATGTCTCTGTTCGAGTTTGGTGGCAATCACAGCTAACAACTTTGTAGCAAGTCTTCTATGGCCTTTTCGTCTGTCCATGGTACTCCTACAGTTTGGTCATGATCTCAGAGGTTACTCCACGTGGCAAGGAGTATCTGTTCTTCTCCTTGTTCTCCATGGTTGGCAAGACGTCGGCCTTCATTGNNGGTAAGCACATTGAGGGTGTAGATTTTTATAAGAACTTGCTAACTCTGCCTCCTAGTCCTCTTGTTTCGTCGGCAATCATTGATGCAAGTCCTTCGCACAACAACAGCACACCCTTCTACTTCCTGCTCGCTCTCAGCTTGGTCAGCTTCTTGTTCATCTTCTTCTTCGTTGACTTGAGCAAGAGTCAAGTCGAGCAGGCTGAGTTTTTGCGCAAGGAGAAAGAGGCTCGCGGCAAGGATGTCTAGTTACTTCGCACACTATGCAACTACGAATGGTCGGCATGAACGTTTCGCAGGGCGCCCTATCAGAGGACATGTGGTAGACTGTAGAGAATATGTGGTCAACTTCGATAAGTAGCCCCTCTTCCCGGTCAGCAGATGGTGCTATAGTATGCTATAGAAATGCACAATACTTCTTGAAACTAGACATCGTCCAAGGAGAGATAACATCTCAAGGCTGCTTCACTGGATAGACTTCTGATTCGATAAGTAATTGTGCATCTCTATAGCATACTATAGCACCATCTGCTGACTGTGAAGAGATGAATCTCTGCCTCGTCTCTGCTGCGGAGCCAGTCGTCAAGACTGGTCGATTTCGTCCAATATTTGTTATCGACGCCCCAGAGCTCGTGTTTTGTCGCTAGGGCCCTCGTCCAGGCTTCATCGTCCGATTGAGTGTCATCACTGCAGTCAGAGGAAAAACAACTATCGTCATCAGAGGCATCAGTCTCTGCGTCTAAATCCAGAACTGAAGCATCCGAATAGTCATCCGCATCGGAGCATAGCTGATCTGAACTATATCAGTCAACATCCTCTTCGGGGTCGAGTTCAGAACCAAGCATTTCGATGTCTTGGTCCCGGTCTGGTTCATCGAAGTCATCGTCTGGTTGGATAGTGCTTGGGGTGGTCAAACTCGATGGCAGAGCTGAGGACCGGGGTCAAGGTCAACTTGCTTGATTCAGAAGTGACGGAGCGGGAAGCGACTAAGGTTCTTCTAGACGGAATTGCAGATGGGAGGGGAACAGGTTTGAGGGCCTGAGGCTGAGGCCGAAGCTGCCCCTGGACATAAGTTTGCTGCTACTGCTGAGGATGGAGAGGAGGTTGAGGATTAGCAAGATTTTGTTAAACCTAAACGTCTTGTCTCCCTATGTGTATTGCAGTCTGTGATATATGGCTATGAAAATGCACAGCACTTTCTGGAATTATGTAGCATCCATCGAGAGTCCTCTATCCATTACCTCTCCGTGGACATGTCTCTGAACTGGACGAAATCGTGCATTTTGATAGCCCACATATTGCTCAACGATGAAACTGGGAGCAAGAGAGGATTTGATCCAATGCTGCATTGCATATATCTTCCCTCAATATGGACTATAGCCATTTATGTGTACCTATCAGAATACACAGTGATTTGCGAACCAGAGCAGCCTCCACAGAGAGTTTTGAATTGGACGATTCTCTCATCGAGGGCTTAGACTGCGTGTCTTCCCATTCGAAGACATTAGGGTCGTCGAAATAAGCAAGCTTGAGGACCGGGGCCAAGACCGACTTGCTTGATCGAGAAGTGACGGAGCGGAGAGCTGGAATGGATACTGAGATCGATGGCTTGGAGTGAGAGTGGGTGTAGGTGTCTTCCCATTCAAAGACATTGAGGTCTTCGAAGTAAGATGGCTTGTTCAGCCCAGTCTGTTGGGTAATCAGCAGCAGGAAAGGCTCCAGAACGAGATCACATACTCTTTGTGACCTCTCCGTCATTGAGTCCACGCCTTGATGGATACCGTCCAGATGGCCAAGTGGTTGTGGAAAGGATGCAACGGGTCCGAGTCAGAAGAACCGAACGGAGACATGACCACGTCAACTGCTGTTCAACAAGAAGGTGCGAAGATGGAAGGAACCCAATGTGCACCTTCCGTGACAAGTACGCCCTCATCACGCCTCTGCGAAGTTGGATCAACCCCGTGTCCTCTCACTGCATCCCGTACTTGATAACTATCCAGGATGGTCTCAACGTGTTCGTCGAAGATGATGTTGTAAAAAAGAGGAGAAGTACAAGGGGAAGCATATTTATAAATGCTTCGATGTCACATGCTTCGATGATATGGGACGCATTATTTTGAAGAAACTCAGCATTTTTGACTCTTTGAGCGACTAAATTCAGTTGCTCGCGATCTCGCTTTCCAATTCCGCATCTACGTGGAGCATTGCTGGCTTTTGTAAAACTGAATTCAGATGGCTACTCTGTCCCGTAAAGCTCTGTTGATTCTCTGGGCAACTAAACTTGGTTGGCCGCGCTTTCGCTTTAAACGCTGCCGAATATTACTGGTGAGTTTGCAGTCTTGTGCGTGGCCATGGCGAACAACAAACTCAAAGTCGAAGATGCCTATACTCGAGGTTGCTGGCGAAGCTAATGGCAGGCTTGTAATCGGTTGTAGGTTGAGCCTCTGGGCCTTGGATGGAGTCAAGGCCAAGCAGAGAGGTCGACGATGGTTGACATTGAATGTCAACCTGTGTCAAGGTCTGTAATTTCACTCTCTCCAACAGAGGAGAGAGCGGAATGTACACCATAAAAGGCACAATCCTTTTCACAAGCAGAGGCGTGGCCAAAGAGAGCCGCTGATATGATGGCTCTCAACGGACATCAACTTGTTCTCACATAACACTAGGCGTTTCCGTAGCTTTGGGACAGCCCGCCATTGACCTTAGAGGAAGGTGAAGCTCATGGTCATGTTGAGGCAAAAGCAGTACCCAAGACTCGACTTGCAAAGCCACGAACGAAAATGCCGAAGGCAAATCTCAAGTAGAAATGCACGGTGCTGTTCAAAACAGAGCGAGATCCACGGAGAGCCCCTAAGAAATCGGCTCTCGGTGGATACTCCCTGTTTCTCGGTAGCACTGTGCATTTCTATGGCTACCTGCGTTACGTAGCTCGGCGAGGAGATCCCCTTCAAACCATCGCACGATACTGACCACCCCCTGGCAGACCGTCTCGCATCCCCTCAAGGAGGGCTCACCACTTCGACTTGTGCTGTGCAACAAAGCGAGAATCGTGTGGTTGATAGATAGGCTTTAGCGTATGGATTGGAAAGATTCTGTTCGTTGTTTTGGGTGATCATACAAATACTGGTATCTAGAAATATAATTTTCTACTCTCTTACAATAAGAGAAGCCATTCCCATGCCTGTACCGATACACATAGAGATGACACCAATTTCTTGACCTTGTCTCTCCATCTCCGGCAGCAGGGTGGCAAGCTGTCTTGCTCCAGTAGCACCTAAGGGGTGGCCAAGGGCGATAGCACCACCCTTGGGGTTCACCTTGTCTTCTGAAATGCCAAGAGTTCGGACACAGTGGATGGCTTGACTGGCGAATGCTTCGTTGATCTCCCAGATGCCGACTTCGGCTGTGGAGATTCCAGTGTACTCGAGCAGCTTAGGGATGGCGATAGCAGGACCAATTCCCATCTCGTCGGGCTTACAACCAACGACCTGAGTACCTGCCCACTTGCCAATAATGTTCTTCTCGAGACCGAGCTGGGTGGCTGTGCTTCTTCTCATCATCAATGTGGCAGCTGCACCGTCAGAGACTTGACTGCTGTTTCCGGCAGTGGCGGCACCGTCAGGCTTGAAAGCAGGCTTCATTCCCTGGAGACTTTCCGAAGTACTCTTAGGTCGGATTCCGTCGTCCTTGCTCACAGTAATCTCCTCGGTGACCTCAGGAGTCTCCNNCGGGTTGGGGTGCCATCTTGTCTTGACAGGAACAATCTCCTTATCAAATAGTCCGTCTCTTTGCGCTTTGGCTGCCTTTTGGTGCGAGTTGGCGGCGAAGGCGTCCTGGTCTGCTCTTGAGACTCCGTATCGCTCGGCCACATTTTCGGCTGTGAGACCCATGGACATGATGCAGTCCTTGGCGTCCTTGACGGATGTGTTCTTGAGCTCGTCCCAGAGCTGCGTAGGAATGGCTCGGCTACCATAGTTTCTGGTCATGCTCTCCATACCACCACCAATGCCAATGTCGATGCTGCCGACAGCGATGGAATGAGCAATGCCGGTTATGGCTGCAAGGCCACTCGAACATGCTCTGTTGACAGTCTGGAACGAGGCCGTCTCTGGGTATCCCACATGCAATGCAGCCATTCTGCCAGCCTTGCTGCCACCAAGTTCCGAAAGAACATTGCCTATTTGGATGTCCTGGATCTTGGCGGGGTCTAGGTTGGGGTTGGCCTCGAGAGTGGCCTTGAGGACGTGTGCGAGCAATTCATGGTCGTAAGCGTCCTTGAATCCTCCCTTCTTTGCACGAGTGACTGGGGTTCGTAGTGCTGACAGGAAGACGACATCGTTCGGCTGCTTGGACAGAATGTTTTTGGCACCTTTCTGGATGAAGCCAGCCATGATGACGAAGGTATAGGGCGAATCAACCGTAAGCTGGGGGACCAGAGATGTAGTGGAAGAAAGGGAATCAGGAGAGCGCACCGCCATATTCGCCATGACGGCAAAGGTAACTACTTGAACCTGGGGCCTCTTTGCGGGGGGGAAGACGGATGTGTTCTTCGGCACTGGATCGGCTCCTTCGGCAGTCTTCCACGGCCTTGGACCGTCAGCTTCCCGAGAAGGCTATCCGTCCAGATATCGTAGCAGAACAATTACAAGTCCAGGTTTCTGTCCACTCGAGTGTCGAGAGTCAAGGAAAACTACTCGACTAGAAATACATAAGATGTTATATAGCCAGCTCAAATTTGGAGCATTACGACTCAATGTGCCCAACAACTTCTGGCAGCCACGCCTTGTTGCCGTTCTCTGAGTCCGGTTGTCGGCTATATGACGGGACAGAGCAAAGTAGTGGAACGTATCGTGTTTGTGAAGAACGAAAAAGAAATGGTCCCTTGATTCCACACTGACTGAGAGAAACGCGCTAGGTATATACAATCGACGGTGATTGACTGTCTGCAAATTAAACGCCGAAAGGGAACAATCCTCCCACTACAAAGCCACACCATCTGCCATTTAGATACCGAGAGAGAACTCGACACCGACGTCGATGTCACGGGCNTGTGAAGAGCATGTTAGCGACTTGAAGCTTGAAAAGAACAACTGACCAGACTTACCCATCTTGACGACCTTTGAGAACTGGACGGCCTTCTCGGCAGCGTTCTGGAGGTCATCGATGCTGAAAATCTTCATGCCGCTCTCGTTGATGAGCTTGTGGGCGGCTTCCATGTTGGTACCCTGGAGACGGGCAATGATGGGGATTCTGAGGTTCATGGACTGAACAACCTGGATGAGACCAGTGGCAATGGCGTCGCAACGGACGATACCACCGAAAATGTTGACAAAGATGGCAGTAACCTTGGGGTCGCTAGTGATGAGCTCAAAGGCACTTCTGATGGCAGCGGGAGTGGCACCACCACCAACGTCGAGGAAGTTGGCGGGTTGGCCTCCGTTGAGCTTGATGATGTCCATGGTGGCCATGGCAAGACCGGCACCGTTGACGAGGCAGCCAATGTCACCGTCGAGCTTGATGAAGTTCAAGCCAGACTCGGCAGCCTTGACCTCGTCGGCGTCCTCCTGGGTGGTGTCGCGCCACTCGAAGACCTGCTTCTGTCTGAAGTCGGCGTTGTCGTCGAAGTTGAGCTTGGCGTCCATGCAGAGAACCTGGTGGTCCGAGGTCTCGGAGAGGGGNTTGATCTCGATCTGGGTAGCGTCCTTCTCCATGAAGACCTTGTACAGCTTCTGGATGGTGTCGGCGGCATCTTCGATGCACTGGGAGGAGAAGCCGAGCTGGGTAGCAATGTTCTTGGCCATCTCGTCGGTAACGCCCTTGTGGATGTCAACCTTTGTGGTGATGATGGCGTCGGGGTTCTCCTTGGCGACGGCCTCAATGTCCATACCACCCTGCGAGGAAGCGACAATGACGGGGCCCTGGCTAGCTCTGTCCATAAGAACGGCGAGGTAGAACTCGCGGCGGGCGAACTTGCGCTCGACAATGTAGACCGAGTTGCAGATGCGACCCTTCTCGCCAGTCTGCTTGGTGATGAGCTTGTGTCCAATCATCTCGTTGGCGAGGATCGAGGCCTCCTTGGGCGAGTAGACGACTCTGACACCACCCTTGAAGCCGTTGTCGAAGTGACCCTTGCCTCTGCCTCCAGCAAGAACCTGGGCCTTGATGACCATGTCATCGCCANNGCTGCGAATAATCAGCACGGGGACGTGTGTTTGGTTTTGGTTGTGGAGCATACGGATGCCCTTGGCGACCTGCTCGGCCTCGGCGGCTGAGTGGGCGACATCACCCTTGGGGACGCCGATGCCGTAGGTCTCGAGGAGCTTAGCGGAGCGGTACTCGTGGATGGAGAGGTTGCGTCTCTGCTGCATAACAGGCGCATTCNNTGAATTGGGGCCTGTGTCAGTCGCAAAGGGGTCCTGATTGGAGATGGGGCTAGATGGGCCAACCTTGACGGCCTGGAGCGCAGAGGCGGCCTGCCTGCTGCGGGCGAGCTTGAACATGGCGGAGTTGTAGAGGGAGAGGGTGGATAGGGAGCTTTGGTGCAGTCAAGGCTCAGCAAAGAGATACAACAACTCTACGAACTCTCTCCCGACAATCTTCACGCCAAGTCTCGACGCCCGGTTATTACCGGCTTCCGCAGCCTCTCTCTTCCGCAGCCTGCTCTTACGCCCGAGGCCCGCAGTATCTACATATTCGATACCCACCAAAAATGCCCAAAGACGACGCACCCACGGAAGCCGATGTCATCTTCAATCGCGCAAACGTCGCTCTTGCGCGCAGCCAGCACTTGGTCCAGTCATGGCTCCCCACCAAAACTAGCCAAGAGACGCTCCCCAGAGAACGGACCAAGAGCTGCTGAAGGAAGATGAGGAATTATTCAAACCCACACCAGAGCTGTGAGCATTGTCGCTTCCTCTGCATCAGAAAGAGATGGACTGAGAGCGTCTAGCCTTGGAGTCGGCGCGTCCGCCCCCGACACCGATCAAGATCCGCTACTCAAGCAAAGATCTGGCGCAAACTACGACAGACTGCTGGAGCAATTGCTAGGCAAGAAAGCTGCTAGGGGCCACAGAGCTACTTCTAAGCCTCAGCCTACTCAGACAAAGCCTATATCGCAGAAGAACGCTTCGAATCAGGTAGACGCCGATGAAGATGACGATGAAGAGTCAAGAGCGACTATGGTTGCCTCCAATTCGGCCCTGAAGAGAAAGGGGCCTTCCCGCTCCACTATTCGCAACACCGGCACCACGTCTCAGGATCAGAAGAAAACTGAGCCATCATCAGACGATGATGCAGATACAAGGCCAAGCAAGAAGAGATCCGGAACATATCTTGATCAACTTCTTGCAGAGAAGGCTAGCAAGAAGAAAAGGAAGCAGCAGCAGAAAGGCTAGCGAATACATTGGTGTGCTAAGTACAACAAACGAAAACATGGCTCGAAGACCGTCTGAACTATATACCCTTTGACATTATCCAACTACAAGTTTTCAGAATTCTACTTGGACCAATGAATACCCCCAAAGCTAGAAGTGGCAGTCACTATGTACAGAAACAGTAAAATACCATACCCATTGCATTAAAGCGATACGGATAGAATGCGACGGTCTATGCAATAACAATTTAGTGCTTCCTGAATGCTCATAGATACTGGTCAGGGGGTGGACCCTGGCTGTGTCAACTCCGCAACAGCTGGCAGCTGGACAAGCTCCAACTGGCGCGACTGTTCTCCTTTCTGTCTACTTGTAAATCACAACAACTACCAATCTCATCAACATGGCTGTGCGTAACAAGTACTCGGTGCTGTTGCCCACCTACAATGAGCGACGCAATCTTCCCATCATCGCCTGGTTGCTGAACAGGACCTTCACCGAAAAGTACCACCCCGAGACAGCCCGGCGCAAATAACATGTGATGCTGACTGTGTATTGTAGCAACCTAGACTGGGAACTCATCATCATCGACGATGCCTCGCCCGACGGTACACAAGACATCGCTCAACAACTCATTAACGCCTACTCTCCTGAACGCATCAAGCTGAAGCCACGAGCTGGCAAGCTGGGTCTCGGCACTGCTTACGTCCACGGCCTGCAGTATGTTACCGGCAACTTCGTCATCATCATGGACGCCGACTTCAGCCATCACCCCAAGTTCATTCCCCGCATGATCAAGAAACAGAGTGAGAACGGCGCCGACTACGACATTGTCACTGGAACTCGCTACGCTGGAGACGGAGGCGTCTACGGCTGGGATCTCAAGAGAAAATTCGTCAGCAGAGGCGCCAACTTGTTCGCCGACACTCTGCTCAGACCCGGTGTCAGCGACTTGACTGGCTCCTTCAGACTCTACAAGAAGTCCGTTCTCCAAGAGGTCATTCGCAAGACCGAGAGCAAGGGCTACAGTTTCCAGATGGAGATGATGGTCAGAGCAAAGGCAATGGGCTTCAAGGTTGCAGAGGTACCTATCAGCTTTGTCGACCGCCTGTACGGAGACTCGAAGATTGGCTCCAACGAGATCACGGCTTATGCTAAGAGCGTTCTATCGCTTTGGGTCAAGGTTTGAGTGGGCGGCGAACCCCTCTTGTTTCCTCTGGCGTTTGCGGCGCTTAAAGCTGTATGGATATGGGCATACTAAGATCCAGCTTCTCCTCTACCTTTTTCTACCTCGTTGAAGGCTCACAGTCGATACTAATCATATATCAAAAGAAGTCTAAGCTTTCAAACACTGCTCATTCTGTAATGTCTGCATACGATGACACACTCATGGCACATTCAAGGGGTGGTAGTACATTGCTGACATACTGCTCTTCCTGATCTTACATCTCAAGCCCAGACACCAACGAACTCAACAAGCTGCAAATGCTCATGCCTTCTTGACCATGTTGTCCTTCAACCAGACTGCAAACGACCCGTCATCAACACTTGCTGAAAATTGAATGTATCGTGCCATTGCTGCGCTCCTAGGGAACGGGCTGTGTACCACGATAGATTCGACAGTGACGTTGTCCAGTCCCTTGACAGCAAGGAGCTCCTCTATCCACTCCATGCCTTCGGTTCCCTTGAGAGTGTCGAAATGCTCTGGCTTGTAAGCAGGAACCAAGTCCCAGCCATCTGGACCTGGCTTTCCAGCGACAATGCCCAAGGACAGCGACCTTAGACTGGGAAGTTTTGTGCACCACTCCATGGCAACAGCCCATTCTGCTTTCGAGTACTCTTTATCGTAGGGCAAGGCGCGCTTGACCAAACGGATCGATCGTATACAATTGCGCGCGAATGGCGTCAGATCGCCTAAGAACCCGACGAATGCCTCAATGTGCATGTCGAAGTCGAAAACATGGTTCGAGTACATGACCTCGATAGCCTCGGCATAGATTCGTGCGTTTGTTCGTAGCAAGGACGTATGGATACCCGAGTTGCTGATGCAGAAGTAGGTTGTGGGCACACATCCAGGGCGCAGACCGCCAGAGCGGACAAAGAAGGCGCTGCGCACATGTTCAGGAGCACGCGATTTGTAATTGGATGGATCTTCGGCACGGATGGAGAGGGTGACAGCGTTGGGCTCTACGTGGTTCGATGCGGTGTGGTGGCCTTCATGATAGTCTATGGAGGTGGGAAGAAGAGCAGGTTTGGTGCTTGCAAAGGTGCAATGCGGATCGTGAAGCAAGAGTTCCTTGTAAATGTCAAGCCTCAACTCAGGAGGTAATTTGAGGAACAAGGACGGGGGCTCGCAGACAGGCATAATGACAGAATCGGATCATGGAACGGGAACAGGTTGCTCAACAAAAAGGACGGGGTTTGTTTAAGTAGTGTACGGGTACATTGATAAGCGTATCTCGAATCTCGATGAGCAAAGGACAATCCAGTAGACTGACCCCTTACCGACAAAGGAAAAAATTGAGAACCTTGATGATAAACATCATCATCGTGATTTACCTCGGGTCGGCCCGTTGCATTGTGCATCATCTCGTCCACGTGCGTACTCCATGACGGAATGGAACCCACGTCCTTCGCTTTTCGAATCAACCAAGAAGGCCTGCCAGGCAATAATTTACGGAGGCAGCTCAAACTGGATATTCAAATCTGCTGGATAGATGTATATCTGTTCGTTAACTCCTCCCGCTCTCTCATTTCGGAGTATCGAGTCATGTCACCCGCTCTAGACTCATCGAAAAAGGTACATTGACACGATAGCCCCGAGTCGTTGAGATGGCTTTCTTATCACCATAAAATCCAAGCAAAGGATTGGGTGCCTCGCCGATATCTGGTCCAGCACTGCTCGAGAGATCTCTGAGCATGCAAGTATGCTCTTTCCACAGTCGGTGGTATCTGCATCATCTGTATCTTTAGGAGAGGGCCCAAAACTCGATGGGTGCTCGCCTGGATGCTGACAGTATTTGTTGTGATGTAGGGAGATGGCACTACACCAATTTGCCTGAACTAGCTACAGAAGTGGATGAGGACATCGGATTGCTCGAAGATATCAAGGTGAGAAACGTTGGAGTACGCTCGCGCTGACACCAGCTTGGATGAGACATGAAACATAACCAAGTATCCCGGATCTGCAAAACCAGCAGCAATGCGGCGTGCTGATGCCTTTTTCAGGAAGAAGTTTACTCTACTTAACTTTGCTCATCTCACAGTCCAGATACAGGGACGAGCAGAGGGCACCAATTCCTCGGCTACCACCCTACAGGACTTTTCAGCTCACTATCGATTGTACGACACCATCTCGTCTCTCATTGATCATATTCGCCGACAGCTGCGCTGTCGTGTGTTCTGGACCCATATTGCCAGAGCTAGGACAGTATATGAGTGCAATAACACTGATGCTAACGACAACTTGGAATATGAGTTTGCAAACCTCATGAATGACTTCTAGCAGTCCATCAAGTTTTTGCTGGAAGACGACTTGAACGATGACTTTGACTTTCGTATCGGTCAGGATCCGGTGCATGATCCCTGGCTATGTATGAAAGCTGTCTTTGCGGCCAGAAAACCTAGGCAACTGGGTGTGGATAGCATTAGTCAACAACCAATGAGTGATGAGAGAAATCAAGTCCATATCTTACATCTTGCTGGCCTCTACATCAGACTAGAACGATGTTACACCAGAGGTCGTTGCAACTTGCACCTGCTATCCAGCCAGTCCACAACGTCCACCATGTCGTTACATACCGCAAGACCTGCTCTTTCTCTTTTCGTGGTAACGCCACCCATCATTTCTGACAAGTGGTGTACTACCAATTCATGTCTCATGCCACCCTGAACAGCATAGTATATGAATTGTGAAACAGCCTCAAATGGCGTCTTGTCGAAGCCTGCGAATAGTGCAGGATTCTCCAGCAAGCCTCGAGCTGCCATGACGCCGTCTACACCGGTCTCCCTTGTGATTCGATGTGCGTCCTCCAGAGTGTACACGTCTCCGTTTGCGAGAACGGGTAGTGTAGTCTGCGCCCTCAACGTCTTGATGGCTCCAAAGTTGGGTGGTGTCGAAGAGCGTTGGTTACGTAGACGTCCGTGAATGGTGATATAGTCTACCCCTGCTGCCTCCACGATCTTGATGAACTTAATTGTCTCACTGTGAGATAAGTCAGCAGAAGAAACCCGAAACCACAGTCATGGATAATAATACTTCAAGTCTTGGTGGATGCGAATTTTGCATGACACAGTTTTACCAGGTCCAACCCGTTGTTTGGCTTCTTTGATCATGGCAGCGACCTTCTCTGGATTTGCCATCATGCTGCAACCGATTCCTTCTTTCATCGCCCATGACTGTGGACATCCACAATTCAAGTCAACGCCGTTGACCCAGGGACCGATCATCTCTGCAGCACGACCAAACTCGACTGGGTCATTCGAGGCGAATTGTGCGATAACTGGGCCTTCACTGTCATGTGTACTGAAATCTGAAGAGCGTGCAACCGGGTGGCGGATGAANCCTGCACAATGACATGAGTCCCTGTTTCCGAAAAATCTTGCGTGGAGATGTGATAGAGAGAGAGATGCGAGAGGAAGAAAAAGAGAAAGAAGCATGAACCAAGACATTGATAGTACCTACTCATGTGCAAGGATCATGGGCGTATAAGTCAGATCGACTTTATAGTCTTGGACTAGCAGTCTGAACGGAAGTTTACTGTAGNNCTGTGCAGAGCGGCGAATGGTTAGTAACATGACAGCGACTGAACCTCTTCCTTCTTACCGGACCATTGGACCAGAGACGTATAAAGGCCTACCTTCAGCCTTCGTTTTCTCGAAGAGACTAAGAGGACTAGGCATCATGTAATTAGTCACAGGAATGACAACTCTACGACATGATTGCGCTCACTGTATGTCTCGAGGCGAGCTCGTTTTACCGACGGTCATATTTGATATCCTCGGTGTCTCGTGAATAAAAGGATGGTATGCAAATGGAGGAAAAACGATGCGAAGCAAATCTTATCAATCTGATTTTACGCGATTAAGCATAGAGTCTGTCTGACTTGGACGTTCCCAACCGAGCGACAACAATGACTTCGGTGTTTCACTGCTATATCATCATATGGTAGATTTCGAGATTTCTTTGCGTCAAGTTTCTAAAGGTGAATTTGGGGTATCAAATCGTTATTGGCATGGGGAATCTAAAGTACAATATCCTCTTCTTGTGAGGCCTCAATTCCTGGTCTTTTGTGACCACTGCAAACCCGTGACGCCATCGCTCAATGCATATTCAGTAAAATCATGATAAGGTGCAAGATTTCTAGCCTTCAACCTCACCTTCCTCGCTGCCATGACTCTCGACGGTTCGCGAGGCCGCTGCATGATGAGGAACAGAAGTAGCAACACTAGCTGAATCAGAAGTACGTCTCTTCTTGGCGGCTCTATCGTCGTGGGGTGGATCAAGGTGATGTATCTTGCTCCCGTTCGAGGTGGTGTCTTGGTGTAGTATGGGAGCGGAGGGACTGGTAATGGCCTGTTCACTACTCAGCCTTGTGGCATCCCAGTCCGAATCTTGGCCATCGAGACGTACATAGATAGTTTGAGCGCCTTCGTGACCGGGTTTGATGGGGACATGTTCGTAATTGGCAGCCATGTAGTTGCAAGCCTTCAGGATATCCTCGAGTGAGACGTGCTGAACGTGCCACCACGGGCGGCCGTCGGGAGAATCAGGGAAGGCGACGTTGCAGTAGCGAGCGGCCGAGTACAGGGCAGCAGCAGCAATGGTGTGACTTGAACATAGTAGGCAGAGCTGGGTAATGTTGCTATCGGTGACGAAGGCCCAGGCGGCGTTGCGCAATTGCTTGTTGTGGTGGACGTGGTAGTACTTGAGCATTTCGTAGAGCTGTTTGTGGGGNGCTTCAATGGTGAGATCGAAGCACAGCATCTCGAGCAGGACATCTTCGTTCAGCAGGATGGTATCGCGCCATTTCCAGAAGTCCTTGCTTTGCTCGTCGATTAGCAGATTTGGGTTCTTTTGGGCGACACGACAGCAGGCGACGACCAGATCCTTCATCTTGCGGCATGACTCTTCAACCTTTGTAGCCAGGAAGAGGGCGGTCGCACCCAAGGTATAGTGATGCAATGCTTTTTGGTTTGGACGGTCGACGAGGCTGACGCGCATGAGGAAGCGGTTGAAGAAGATGGCAGCGGTCGATAGGGTGAGCTCGGGCAGCTTGAGCATGATGCCGACCTGACGGATGAAGTTGATGCCCTTTGCACGGATCTCCTTCTCCTTTTCGGGNGCCATGCCATCCTGGACCGACGGCGTGTGCAACAGTTCTTGCTCACTAAAGAGCCATTGCGCTTCGGCCTCGGCGAGTACACGGTCCGGCGACTTTGGGCGCTGGCGGGCGGCGGGCTGGTGTGGAGGAAGGTGGTCGGCAGACGACGATGGCGGCGGCATTTGGGCGAGGCGAAGGCGGTTGACCAGCCCCGAGATGTGTACGAGACTGCTGAGACTTTGGTGGACAGGACGAGTTGATCTTCTGCTGCGCTTCGGTCATGGCAAACTTGACTTCTCCATTCCAAGCGCGCGTCACGGCGGGCCGCCCCGCGCCAGGGCATGTTGCTTACCGACGTTCTCAACGCAGTCCAGCCCTTCTTGCCTATTCTGCCCCCGCAGTCACAATAATGATCTGTCGTGATTGTTCTTTTTCCTCCTCTCTTTCACCCCACCCTACCAACCACATACACAACCGCAATCATGCCTTCAGGAATGGGCAGTAAGTGTTCACATGTCGCTACTTTGCTTCTCTAGCTAACTTGCTTCCAGACGGCACCAAGCCGATCCACAGTGTGTACCGTCCTTGCCCCATTTCACGACCGAGTCACGACCCTTCATCGCCCATTCTAACCACTCTCTTAATCTAGACAAGAAGCCCAAGAAGGCTGCCAAGGACGAGGATGAGGATGATGTCGCCTTCAAGGCCAAGCAGGCTGCTGGTTCGTGCAACTCAGCTCCCACATACACCTAGCTCGTATCTGACTTCTTTTNNGCAGACAAGAAGGCTCGCGAGGAGATGGCCAAGAAGGCCGGCGGCAAGGGTCCCTTGAACACTGGTGGTCAGGGCATCAAGAAGAGTGGAAAGAAATAAGCTCAGCGTCCACATCTTTCTCCGGCGTTTGAAGGCTCGACACATACCCCTTGTTTTTCTTTGACATCGAGCAACGACAACTACATTTTCACCCGCTTTTCGCTCCTGTCTATGACTTCTCCATATTTCATTTTTGGTCACGTCAAGGAACGTCTTGCATACTGCACTTGTGAAAGGGTCTTTTACATTCTTCTGAAGACATGCATGCTCCTTTCAGTCTGTAACACGGCGGAGCCACAATCCTGTGCTTCCGTCTGCCTCTTCGGCCTTTGCCCTGGCTCTGCTCAGCAATCTTCCAACCTCGAACAGTTCCCTCTGCACTTCGTCCTGTCTGATCTTGACTTCGTCCATCTTCTTGCGGTTCTCACGTCGCATTCTTTCCGACACTTCAATCGGGCTAGCCGAGTCCACTCTCTCTAGTTCCTTGAACAATCTCTGCATGTTCGTCTTCTGCACTTCTAGTGATTCGACACGCGACTCCAGCTCGTCAATATGATCCACCGCCTGTCTCGTCTTTGGTGGTTGGGGNAGGGCTTTGTCGCATGTTGCTTGTTGCAGGTCCTGTACATCACCCATGCTATCGTGTCTTTTCGGTTGCGCTGGTTCTCTTCCCGGCACAGGGCGTCGTCGTGACATGATCGAGGTAGGATATGTGGGTGCTGGACTGTATGGTGTGTCCTGCTGATATGTCGCGTCTGTGTTTGTTGTCGTCCAACTAAAGCGGCTGTCTGGTTCCCTCACGATGCTTCTACTTTCCAAGTATGATGTGCTCGGCGAAACACTGCGCTCTGTCTCCGCATAAGTCGTCCAACTGAGATGACTCCTAGAAGGATCAATTTTCGACTGCTTGACGGTTCTCGTAGAGTCGTCGCTGTCAGTCGAGTTCCTTGCTGATTCGTCTTGTTCTTCCAGATTATGTTGATGATATGTGCTTGGTGTAAGGCCCAGGGATGAGGTGTCGGTCGTCGGGTAGAAAGGTGGCAGCTGCGGCACAGGGACCTTTTTGATGATGTTTAGAGGCGGTGTTGGATTTGTCGTTTCAGAATCATCGTAGATGCTTGATCCGACTGAATCACGCACGCTCCGTGTCTTGATACGAGCTGAGACTAGTGAACTCATGCTGATACTGGCACTGAGCCTCGAATCATCGCGATATAGGCCCGAAGTATTCTTCACTGCGGTATAATGGCTTGGTAGGGATGGTCGTCTCGAATTGTCTTGAGTGCCAGCAGACGCAGAACGACTTCCGAGTGCTTGTCGTCCGAATTTCGCTGCCATTTCGACCAGTGTTGACTTCTTCGGCTTGCCCGCTGTTATCGAAACTTCCACACCATATCTCGGATCATATGGCCTGTCGAAGGCGTTTTCAGGCCTGGTTGAGACATTATCGTCCGACCGTACAGCGAACTTCATTGTGTACAGGTGAGCCCGAGGGAACTAGTCTGAGTCAGTAAGTCATTACCTCAAATGTTTCCTCTGAGAATGTGTGATTCTGCAAGACTTGGTAGTTGACAAAGTGCATTCGATTTGCCAAGTCTGTCACGCGTGCACGAAGAAAAATAGAAGGATGGTGTATTCTTGCAGCTTACCTACCGCACTCTCCAGTCGTGAGAAATGGGATGGGGTGATGTGAAAAAGCATGTGGGAAGGCTACAAGCATGACCTTATTGACGAGTATATGAGAGAACTTACTTATGCAAAGAATTAAAAGTTGAAGTCGATCGGCCAGCGACGTTTGTGAGAAAGAAGGTGTGTAAAGAAACAAGCGTTTGTGATCAACAAGGCATGTAAACAGCAGCAACCGCGACGACAACGACAACAACACCAAAAACAAGAAGAAGAAGAAGAAGAAGAAGAAGAAGAAGAAAGCGCAAGCAAGTTTTGACCCTTCGAAAATCACACAGGTCTAGAAAGCTTGATAAATGGTTTCCAAAACATGCGACAACCGCCATGAACTCATGTCATGCAGGAGCTTCGTGTTTCATCTCGCGGCGTGTTTCAGCTTCCACTAGATCTGGCAGATGAACAGGACGTCTTGGACTTCCAAATTACCTCTGCGTGTTTGGAGCCATGGTAGCAGTTCGTGAAACAACCTGTCCAAGACCCTAATCGAGTGTGATGATCATTGCAACATAGCAAGCGTGTCGCAAGGGCTCCCAAGTCCTTTCGAGACTCGATTACAATTCAAGCGACAGCAACCACTCGTGCTGCGCTATATCATGGACCCGATTGACCGGACGAGTATAGAGCTATTGATAGCAATATATCGGTCTTGACCAAAGCCCTAATAGGCATTGAGCCAAGGAAGGATTCTTACTATGGCCTACTCGGGGTTGAGTTCATCTCCTCCCCATGTGCTAAAGTTTGTAACTCCACTCTTTCCCACGAAAGCGTAGAGCGAGTTGTGCACTATAGAAAGGCACAAATGTCTTCCGGAACAGAGGAGCGGCCAAAGAGAGCCACTAAGATGCTGGCTCTCAGTGGACATGGCCCTGTTGCCTGATATAATCGTGTATTTCTATAGTTATATGCGTTATAAACTTTAGCACACGGGGAGGCTAGATGATGCATTTCCTGGAAGCGACGATGAGCCTGAGCCCGCAGAGGCAAGGACGATCTCAGCCAGTAGCGATGGGCCGATGGCACCAAGCAAAATTGGCGTGCGAGCTCTGCCTGGCGGTAGCTGGGTGTTTTGAGAAACTGAGAGAGGGTCGAGAAGGAAGATCGGCCAACACGAAACAAGTGGTTCGCAAGCTCTCCGACCCCACAATCAGGTCATCAGTCAGCTTCTCGGTGACGCTCTTCCTTGCATCTTTCAGAACGGTCCTTTACCCGCCGACTACACAAAAGTATCTACCTGAAGTGATAAACAGAACAATCAGTATGGCCGACGGTAGGTTCTCTTTACCTAAGATCCTCACATGATACTGATAACAAACAGCAGTATCACGCCTCCGGCGACTGAAGTGTAGGTTCCGCACGCTGGTCCGATCAACGAATACTGAGAACAGATCAGTGCAACAATCGCAACACCCATCAACCTCATACTCATCACACTCTTTATGGTCCTGCTTTACTACCGCCTTACACCCAAGACGGCAGCGACTCTGCCAACCCCTCCAGCACCAACCGTTTTCAAGACCTTCACACCACCCGATCTCGAGCCCTACAATGGTCGCAACAACATGCCCGTCTATCTTGCGGTCCGTGGCAGAGTCTTTGACGTAACATCCGGACGCAACTTTTACGGCCCCGGAGGTCCCTATGCCAATTTCGCTGGACGTGACGCGAGTAGAGGCCTCGCTTGTGGCAGCTTCGACGAAGATATGTTGACCAAGGACCTGAAAGGCCCTCTCGACACTCTATCAGACCTGGGCGAGGAAGAGATGGAGGCTTTGAGAGGCTGGGAGGAGAGATTTTCCGAAAAGTATCTGGTTGTTGGCAAACTTGTTCCCGTGGGAAGTGATGAAGCCCAGGAGGCCACTCAGGCAGAGAAGCTGTGATTGAAGGAAGCAGGTTTCCTTGCTATGCAATAATGATGCTATGTATAGGCACAAAGAAACATGACATTGCGAATATAAAGACTTGTGTGACCACATTTGTTTTTGTGTTGAAGACTCTAGTTATCATCTTTATCACCATCCAAAATAAAAGTGGCAGTGATTCGATCAGAGATCAGAATACCGGGAAATGTGATGTTTTATGTATCAAGGCATTGGACCAAGAAAGCAGTCGGTCCGCCAAGACATGAATGGAGATGGAAGCGGACAACATTTCGAGACGAGCACTTGATACAGACCAGAAAACATTGTACGAACACCACACCATTCTCGACCATGTCATTGACTATGCGACCGACACTTCTACCACAATGCACATCATGCCTACGACGCATCAGCAACTTGGGCCTGCAAGAATGGCGTAGCGGCCAGCAAGTTCGCGGCAAGAAAAAGATGGCCCACGCACCCACCACAGTCACCGTACGCCTCACCAAGGATGTGCCGACTTTTGGTCGCAAGGGCACCTACATTCCGATTTCGATTGGCCGCATGCGTAACGAGTTCTTCCCGACGAGAACGGCCGAATATGTGACCAGCGCGCAATTGAAAGAGATGAAGGCAAAGAACATTACTGCCGAGCGAGACTTCCAGTTCGGTGTTCCTGACCCGGCCGCCGTGAGAGCCATTGAGCAACAGTCTCAGCGCTCAGCCACACGTGTCGTTGAAGTTGAGAAGTTGGCGGTAAGTTGAGAGTATATATCCATTGATCTCTCGAGCGTTGTACTGACGGATGCCCGCAACAGCNCCAAGCGCTCAATCGAACTTCTCTCCATGCTCCTCCCACCTGTCATGGACTTCCGACGCAGACCTCAAGAACCCGCTGCACCTGTCCCCGAAACCCCAGCCGCCCCTGTGAAAAAGGAACGAGGCTTCTCCAATGCCGCTGCAGACCTCCTCGCTGCACAAGCTGCTCCCGCTCCCGCTACAACTTTCTCTGGTTCCGCAACAGCTATCTTCGGCACCGTCTCAAATGCCGACGTTGTTAGCAGAATCACTCACCTCCTTTCTGAGAATCAAGAGGCCTCGCGAATCGTCCTAAGCGCAGAAGATGTCAAGTTTGTGAACCTTTCATCGCAAACAGCTGCCGAAGCCGACAGGATCAGACATCTCGGAGAATACAAGGTCGAGGTTAGAGTAAAAGGAGGAGAGAAACCTGTTGAGAGGCTTGTCCGCGTGGTCCCTATTGAGACCGAGATTACCACTGTTTAGTCCCATTCTTAGATCAAGTGCAGAACTTGAAACATGTTCGTAAGTTGAGGAGCATGCTGACATGAGAGAAGCCTGGGACTGGCGCATGCAAGAATATCACAGAACAGCAAGAGCAAAGAAAAATGAATTCAGACTAAGGAACTGAGTACTGTTACATACTGGCAGCAATAAAGACGCGCCAAAACCAGCCTGCTGTAGGCAGCTTTATTCAACTGTCTGCTCCGACCTAAACTGCGTTTAATGTTTGCCAACCGATCCACGTTGCGCACCGCCCCTTGTCCTTCCGATATATCCGAAATTCGACTTGTTGGTAGGTGGCGGTGATTGGTTGATCAAATCGGTGTGAATCTTAAGCACGAGTGAGTAATGGATTCTCCAGGACGAAAGTACGAGAGGCTCGTCTCCGTCGAATAGGCAAGGAGAAGAGGGTAATCACCAGTAAGGTCTACGGTCGTAGCCTGCGTCGTAGCCACGCTCGCGTCTTGGAGGAGGGCTGGGAGGGCGGCCGTAAGGCTCCCTGGGCTCTCTGGGCTCTCTGGGCTCCCTAGGTTCTCTAGGCTCTCTGCCATGACCGTTGGCGTAGGGGTCGGCTTCGTAGCGGCGAGCTGGNGGAGGCGCACCATAGCCGTCGTCAACAGGGTAAGCACGGCTTCTGGGTGGTGCGTAGTCATCGACGGGAGGGCCACGGGCGCGGGGTGGAGGAGAACGAGCATAAGGATCTCTGCGGTCATCATAGTAGCGAGGTGGAGGACTTCTGCGGCGGTAGCCGTCATCGCGACGAGGGCTGTAGCCACCAGCACCACCACGAGGAGGACCTCTACGGTCTCCATAGTAGTCATCCATAGGAGGAGCGCCGTAACCACCGCCGCCACGACGAGGGGGAGGCGAGCGCGAACGGTAGCGGTTGTCGCGAGGGGGTGGGGGTGGCATGCGAGGAATCTCGGACTGGGTCTGCATGGCAGTGTAAGAAAGTCATCAACCAATCACAACAAGAGCACTTACATCAGAGATACAGCGGACAGTGGCTCCCTTGAACTCCTGTCCGTCTAGTTTCTCCACAGCAGAAACCAAGTCGGCTGCGGTCTCGTATTCCACGAAACTAGGATATGTGATTAGCGCAAGACTTGCTGGGCATGGTAAGGGTACTCACCCTTTGCCATTGCCGCTGCCATCACGTTCACGTCCAACTTCAGAGTAGACAACGTCAAGGCCGGGCTGACGGGCAAAGTCCTTGAGGTCNCTAAAGGGCCAATGTGAGTCCAGGTCCAAGGTAGGCTGAGTGAGAACGTCCAAAGCAAGAAGAAAGATGATCCAACACCAGTGAAATCAGGGCGCGACACGGCCGACGCAAGACAAAAGACAAGGGAAAGAAGAAACGGCCGAGTGAAAGAAAGTGTGCATCGAAGGGACATTGCTAACCTGCCAGCTGGTTTCGAAAGGAAGGCCAGAGATGGACATGCGGTGGACAGTACGGCGCGGGCGGGGAGGAGCGCGCTGCTCGGGGTGGCCGTACTCGCGGGGACGGGTTGAGCCACGAGCGAACTGTACGACGAGACGCTCGCCCATGAAGTCGGAGCCATCTAGNCGGAGCGTCAGTAAGAGGACGGGCGGGCGGGAGGGCTGAGCTGGAGTTGCAGCCGCGGCAGGTTGTACGTACGGAAGGCTACCCAGAGGGCGAGTTAGCGGAGACAACAAGGTAGTGAGCAGGTGCGTACAAGAGACGAGAGACTCACCGGGAACGACGTCGCGGGCGTCCATGGCGTCCTTGTACTCGACGAAGCCGAAGCCGTTCATGAGCTTGATCTCGGTGATCTCACCAGTTCCATGGCTGGCGAAGTGATTCTCGACGTCGGCCTTGGTGGCNTAGAGCACGAATCCGATTAGCGGGATGCCAACATCCAGGACGGGCAAGCGCAGAGGTTGAAGGAGGAGTCCAGGTGGTATCCAGATCCTCAATGCTCAGGCCAGCTACACGAGCAGAAGCGTACCATTGCGCGGGAGATTTCCCAGATAGAGTCGGGTCGAAGACACGTCGCCCATGATGAAGAAGTGTATGAGACAAGAAGGACAATGGGACCAGATCCGTGACAAGAGGGCCGGGTGATGGCGCAGACTTGTCGAGAAGATGATGGGGTGGACGGAGCGATGGACGGCGCTGCTGCTGGCTGCTACGACGTTCACTGACAGACTCAGAGTGCTTGGCACGAGCGCGGGTGGCGGCGTCACAGCCAATCACATGCGCCGAGGTCAGCGACGGCTTTTTGAATGCCCATCATCGATGGGAAGGTGTAGACCGAGAGCATTTATTCCACTCAGCCGAGGCTCTCCTCAGCACTGTTGGACAAGGCGCGACCAAGCAGCTCGCCTTCAAATATCTGTCTTTCACACTCTCTGGCACCTGGCCCCCGTGTCGCCAACTATGCCGTCCGTCAGCAACCTACCCTCCGCCACCACTCTGGGCCGAGCATTGGTCCACGATGCTCGTCTGTTCCGACCCTCGTCCCTCCGACCCATCACTGCCACTTCCTTCGCCCCTCTCCGAAACAACACAACAACCTCCCGTCGCCCTGCAATCTTCCGCGCAGGACAGCGCCGCCCCTTCTCCCTCACATCACGCACACGTCTCGCCACGCCAGATGACTCATTCAACCCTGCCGACATTGAAAGAGAGAGCGACCAGGTCGATGTCTGCATCGTCGGAGGTGGTCCTGCTGGTCTCAGTGCTGCCATTCGTCTAAAGCAACTGGCCAACGATGCTGGCAATGAGGACTTCCGCGTCTTGTTACTGGAAAAGGCTGGCGAGCTGGGTGATCATATCGTATCTGGCAACGTTGTCGAGCCCTCCGCCCTGGACGAGCTGCTTCCCGACTGGAACTCTCCGGACAACCCCAACCGTTACGAGCATATCACAGCTGCTACCACAGATCGCATGCGCTTCCTTACAAAGTCGTACTCAATACCCATTCCTGCTCCACCTCAGATGAACAACCATGGCAACTACATTATTTCCCTTAACCAGTTCACCAAGTGGCTAGGAGAAAGAGCAGAAGAGATTGGCGTCGAGATCTACCCTGGATTTGCCGCCTCTGAGGTACTATACAACGCTGATGGTTCAGTAAAGGGTGTTGCCACGAATGACCTTGGTATCGGTCGCAACGGGAAGCCCAAGGATTCTTTCGAGCGTGGCATGGAGTTCCATGCTCGCGTTACCCTGCTTGGTGAGGGATGTCACGGTAGTCTGACCAAACAAGTCACAAAGAAGTTCGATCTTAGGCGGGATAGCCAGCCTCAAACCTATGGTCTTGGTATCAAGGAAGTCTGGGAGATCGATCCTGAGAAGTTCGAAAAGGGATTGGTCGTCCATTCCATGGGCTACCCTCTACCCGCTGATACATACGGTGGTGGCTGGATGTACCACTTCGGCGAGAATCTCGTCAGTATCGGTCTGGTTGTTGGCCTCGACTATCCTAACCCCTGGTTGGCCCCTTATGGCGAATTCCAGAAGATGAAGCACCACCCCATGTACAGCAAGTACCTGGAAGGCGGTAAGTGTATCTCCTATGGTGCTCGTACGCTTAATGAGGGTGGATTCCAGTCCATTCCGAAGTGCGCGTTCCCTGGTGGTGCTCTGATTGGCGACACTGCTGGCTTCCTCAACGTACCCAAAATTAAGGGTACTCACACCGCTATGCGTTCGGGTATGCTCGCTGCGGAGGCTGCTTTCTCTGCATTGCGTGAATCAGATGATTCGAGTCCTGTATTTTTATACGACTACGAAGATAAGCTACGTTCTTCATCGATCTGGAAAGAGTTGAAGGAGGTTCGCAACATGCGACCTTCATTCCACTCTCCTCTGAAGCTCTATGGTGGTATCATGTATTCTGGACTCGAAGCATATCTCTTCAAGGGCAGAGTGCCATGGACGATCAAGCATGCTGGTACCGATCATGGAGCTACTAAGCTGGCTGCGGACTGCCCGAAGATTGAATACCCCAAGCCAGATGGCAAGATCAGCTTCGACATCTTGACCAGTGTCAGCAGGACCGGCACGAATCACGAGGAGGACCAACCTTGTCACTTGCATGTAGAGGATTGGGACAAGCACGCTGAGCTTGAATATCCCAAATACCAAGGTGTCGAGAACAGATTCTGTCCTGCTGGTGTGTACGAATATATCGAGGACGACAGCAAACCGCTTGGTGTAAGATTCCAGATCAACTCACAGAAGTAAGTCCATTTCAAGAGCTCTATCTGAGATCCTGCTAATTTGGTGCTANGCTGCGTACATTGCAAGACCTGTGATATCAAGGTTCCGGACCAGGATATCACCTGGAGAACTCCTCAGGTAAGGATCAATTCTCGATCTTCCCAGAGTCCATACGCTAATCCGATGTCAANNCAGGGTGGTGAAGGTCCCAAATACGTTATGACTTGATCGATTTTAATAGCGTTCATGCATGCACGTCTACTTCCGCTTCTTGTACACAATTACATCTCGCTATTTCGTCTTCTCACAGCGATATGTCGAAATCTACTCAGGCTTTGGCTTGGCATATATCTGGCTGGTTTTCAACTTTCAAGCGAACTCATGGCAAATTCCAAATCTGCGAACAGTATCCGCGATTTTTTTAAACTCGGCGTCTTTCGTAATAGATGAGCTCGTGCGGAATCCCACGGGACCATGATGGACATTGTTCCCAGAGCAGCTTGGCGTTGCGTCGATCGTGAAGAGTCGAGTATCCCCAGACTCCGTACCTGATACCTGATATTTCCGGTCACCTTGCAATGCAGTCTCGACAATCTCACAACGAGTGATTGCACGCACAATGTAGAGCATCGTCTTTGTCTGTCGTCACTGATCAATGCGAGCCAACAGCCACGCTTCGTGACAGACAACCCTTCTCCGATTGGCAGCTCGACGAGGTCAGTGGTTGCTTTGGTACTTGCACGCTTCATGCGGAGAAAGCTCCAAAACAAAAACACAACATCCTCCTGGCAAGATCCTCGATTTTCGGTGCGAGCTCAAGGAAAAGAAAACGTGCAATAATATTGGTATCAACAATAAGTAACTCTTTCGTGGGAACGTCTCTATGCCTCGCCAGTCTTTGGTAGGACCAGCTACCGATTGCCACAGGCCAAACAAGCTTTTGTTGTATGCGCCAATGAAACTCCGCCTTCGTCACCAGGACGTGAAAATTCGAATCGGATTTGATCGATCGGTCGTCATCGTGTCAATGCGACTCGTTTACGAAGACTCCTGAGGCCTGCAGCATGTGTTAGTCAGGGATCATCCACGCACGAATCGATGCGACTTACCAGACATCGTAACCGAAGGTGTCCTTCATGTTTACGAAGCGAGTGTGACGGCCCTCGGCAACCTTGTTGACAGCCTCGAAGTCGGCGTCGGAGAGCTCGATGCTCTTGAAGTTGCTGTCGATTCTTGAGGGNGTAGAGCTCTTGGGGAGCACAACATATCCTCTTCTCAAACCCCATGCAATGAGGACCTGAGCAAGAGAGTTACCACCCTTCTCGGCGATCTCATTGAGGACGGGGTTGGTGTTGACCTTCTCACCAGTGGAAGGCACCTGGTTTTGCGAACCAAGAGGCGAGTATGCGGCGGGCATGATGTCCTGAGAGAAGCAGTAGTCGACCAACTCGGTGTTGGGCAGGAAGGGGTGAATCTCGATCTGGTTGACGGTGGGCTTGACCTTGGCGAAAGACAAGAGCTGCTTGAGGCCGTCGACGGTCCAGTTGGAAACACCAATGGCCTTGGCCTTGCCAGAAGAGTAGATCTCCTCCATGGCTCTCCAGGTAGGCTCGGGGTTCTTTGTCAACTCCTCCTTGATAACGTACTGGCCCTTCTCGTTCAGTTTGGGCATGTTCTTGTCATCCTTCTCGGCAGCAATGGGCCAGTGGACAAGGAACAAGTCAATGTAGTCCAGACCGAGGTTGTCGAGGGAGTTCTGGAAAGACCACTTGACCTCCTCAGGCTCGTGGAGGTGGTTCCAGACCTTTGTGCAAACGAAGATGTCCTCGCGCTTGACGCTCGAGTCCTCCTTGAGGAAATCGCGGACAGCGGCGCCAACCTCGTCCTCGTTCTGGTAGAACCAGGCACAGTCGAGGTGTCTGTAACCAGTCTTCAGTGCGTGCAAAGCGGCCTTGTAAGACTCGCCCTTGGAGCCCTCGTTGGCAAANGTGCCGAAGCCAACGGCTNNGTAGCTCATGGTTAGCGACTCAAGCTTGATTTCAGATGAGATTGAGCAGGACTTACCAGGGATCTTGACGCCATTGTTGAGAGTGCGAGTGAGTCCGGCAGACATGATGGTGGTGGATTTAATGTGTGGTAGTTGGAATATGGAACTGAACAGAATGTGCAATATGCAAAAGATGAAAAGAAAGATCTCATCCAATCCTCGACCATGAGGTATTATTTACTGGACATCTGTTGCGCCGACATCCTGCCACGACCTCGCTCCGAGCAAAGACGAGACACACGTCATACAACAAATTTCCATAGCGGTCAGGGGACTCAAAACAGTCGTTGGGGAGCTCAGTATCCACCACGGTGCTCACCGTGCACCAATCTCTGGAAATATTCGACCTCTGTGACGTCGACGCCGAGCCCGTCTCGAATGGTCAACAAAACCCTAAACTTTAAACAGCCTCACAAGAAGCGTTTCGGCACCAACGTCTTCCAGCCAAATGGCGCTTTTGCCTCAGAAAGAGGCGCTGCCGGGCGGCGCCAGGACTTTTGCTGCCTCGTGGTACCGGCGCAAGGGTCCTCTAGCTTGTTCCAACCTTCGTCATTGCTGAATGGTTGCGAGTCGAAAAAATTTGAAACATTTTTGTTGACACCGGCCGATGATGCCACAGGTGGATACCCCTTGTCAGAGCATTCTCGTCGCTGTACGGCCTCTGATTCAGCATTAATTTGGCCCCGGTCCAGAAATATACATAAGCAAACTCAAGGACCCCCAATTGGCACAGAACATACGATCATTCTTTCCCTCTCCTGCTGACTTAGCACATCTGTCCATCCTCCTCTTATCTGTCTTCTCCCTCCTCTTTATCAATTTTGAATCCTATCCGTCTACCCATACCATATCATACATCATACACTATGCCCGCCTTCGAAGACTCCGACCTCAACGTCCAGGCTCAGCCTGCCCAGCAGCAGAGAACAAACAGCCAGGCTGTCGGTTCCAGCTATGGTGGCAGCTTGCCTGTCCCCGGTATGGAGCCTGGCACTGACAGATCAGTCGAGGTTCCTGCCACTCGCAGCAGCATTGCCGACCCCTCTCCCTACATGCACCAGCTCTCCCTCTCTCCTTCGATGAAGGACCGCAGAGGATCCCGCAACTCTTTCGGTGCATCTCTCCCTATCCCTCGCTCCAAGAGACAGTCTCGTCTGTCATCAGTCCACTACCCTGATGCCAAGTCTGGCCGCCCTGGCATGCCCCCAATCCAGCCTACCCGCGAAATTCTTGCATCTCAGATTCAGGACCTCTCCGGCGAGAAGGTCAAGTTCGCCAAGAACATGGCCTTTGCTTTCGACATTGACGGTGTCCTCGTTCACGGTGACCGTTTGATCCCCGAGGGTAAGCGTGCCCTCGAGATCCTCAACGGTGACAACGAGCTCGGCATCAAGATTCCTCACATCTTCCTTACCAACGGTTCCGGTAAGCGCGAGATCCCTCGTTGCGAGCAGCTCTCCAAGATTCTGGGCAACCCCGTTGCTGTCGACCAGTTCATTCAGTCTCACACTCCCATGAGAGCTCTTTCTGAGTACTACAGCACCGTCCTCGTTGTTGGTGGTGAGGGCTACAAGTGCCGTGAGGTCGCTGAGGAGTACGGCTTCAAGGACATCGTCGTCCCCAACGACATCATCGCCTGGGATCCTACCATTGCTCCTTTCCGTGTCTTCACCGACGAGGAACGTGCCACCTCTCGCCCCCGCGACTTTTCCAAGATCAACATCGACGCCATCATGGTCTTCTCCGACTCTCGCGACTACGCTACCGACATGCAGATCATTGTCGACCTTCTGAAGTCTGAGAACGGTCGCTTCGGCACCGTCGCCAAGGATCCCGTCAGCCAGCGCATCCCCATCTACTTCTCCCAGGGTGATCTTTTGTGCCCCAGCGAGCACCCCTACCCTCGTATGTCCCAGGGTGCCTTCCGTATTGGCCTCGAGGCCATGTACAAGGCTCTTACCGGTGTTGATCTCGAGCGTGTTGTCTACGGCAAGCCCGAGTTGGCTACCTACAAGTACGCCGACGAGGTCATGACCAGCTGGATGGAGCAGATCCACGGCGAGGAGAAGCTTCCGNAGAACATCTACATGGTTGGTGACAACCCTGCCTCCGACATCATCGGTGGTAACATGTACGGCTGGAACACTTGCCTTGTCCGCACTGGTGTCTTCCAGGGTGGTGACAACGATGAGAACAACCCTGCCAGCTTCGGTGTCTTCGTCAACGTCCTCGAGGCCGTCAAGACTGCCATGCGCAAGGAACTTGGCCAGGACTTCAAGTTTGAGTGGAGCTCTGACAACGTCAACCCCGTCCTCGGCGGTGGTCAGGACTACTCTGCTATCGAGTAAGAGGTCTAATAAAGCATACTGGCGTTTTCCGATTTTCGTTTGATATCATGTCCACCCGGGAGGTGTTGACTTTGGCTTATGGAGTCCTTTTCCCTTTTCTTTACATACAGCTAGGAGCATGAAAGGCGCTCGAATAGACGGTGGGATACCAGCAATGAGCTTTTGAGCTTATCAAAATATTTATGAATGCTATGAGATTTTATCATCTACATTACGATTCTTCTATCTATACTTGCATGTGACATAAACTGCGAATATTGAGGAACAAGGGTGGTCAATTTGTGGTTGATCAGAAGGATTGGACGTTGACTCGCAGGTTCAGGCTTCACCGCGAGTCTGCGAGACAACTTCCAAGTTTCTTGCATCGATAGAACCATCTATCTGCCAATCATGTGAGCCTACCTGTTCATATGACTTGAAAGTTGGTAGGTTACGAGGTCGAGCTTCGTTTAGCACAAAAGACTGCCCAATAATCCACACTGACGTCGCATGGATCGAGAGAGAGCTTCGATAGACGACCAGCTCTCAACCATCAAAGGAACGCCGCGGACGGTGCAACACAGTCGGCTTCCCACGGGATAGCGTTCTCTGGATACTGAAGGAATGGCCAAAACAAGGATCGTCGAGCTGCCACGTTGTCTTGCTTGCTTCCGCCAATTCGCGAAACACTCAGCAAGGAGAAGTAACGCCGAGCCGAGTGCAACGATTCAAAGAGTGGATATGATGATAGGAAGACAGCGGCCGATTTGATCGCGGACAGCTTGCAGTCGAATCGATTGCAATCTTGCAGAGACGGGCGTGCACTCTTCTGCTACGCCGGACTGTTGGCAACTGAAGCTTGATGGGAAGCAGACTATCAACCCGATATGCTCCGATGCATTTCCGAGTTGGACTTCAGTGTTCACGAGTCGTGTGGTTCAGTGGTGATATTGTCCTGAGTGCTATATGCAGTGTTCAAGGTCTTCAACCCTCACAGGGGTGTCGACTGATCGTCGTGTTTCGAGTTGAATATTAGGCAGGAAGCAATTGTCGTGAGTGTATCCGATGTTTTGCTAAGAATCCATTTGAGCCTGGATACGGAAAAAATCATGAATATTGCCTGTGTCGATTCTGAAATGTACTTTACCTCTAGGTTCTATTGTTTCTGTAGAGATAGGTTCGTTAATTAGCTTCACCCATCTATTCAACTGGTCATCGCAGTACTTGCTTGCCAGATGCCATTGGCGTGGGTTGTCGACAAGATTGAAAGTTGGACAGGGTCATGGCCGGAGCTGTCTTCACTTGGCCTGGTCGTACCGACCTTCATCATGCCCTTTCTATTCAGAACGACCACTGCATTTGATATTTCTCTAATGCCGCCAATCATGGAGACGATGAAAGCCCGGTCAGATGGGATTATGAACATTTCTTCGCAACAACCTGTCCTATCATCCTGCTACCCGTATCACAACAACGCTTGAGACTTCTTCCAAGATCATCATTGGATTACTGCAGTTCACACGAGATCTGAGTACATATTCACCGAATTTCACGCAGCAGTATGACAGCGCCGGATAGAAGCACAGGACATGATAGCAATATTCACATATTGTGTTTCTTGAACGTATATAAGAGAACCTGATAGAGCAGGAAGTCAACGCGTCCCACAGCCGATGATGATAGAAGTCTCCTTGATCCTGATGATCCCGGGCGGTTGTAGCAAGCATCTGATGGAATATACACGAGACAATTTTTGTGATGAGGTACTGTCTAACGCCTGAGCTGTCCTACTTCAGGGGCGATCCTCCAAAATTGGGGTCCAGCAGGTAGTATTGCGAAGCTTGAATGTCACAACTCGAGACAAGATCCAACCGACATCAGAAGATATCGGATAGCCAGTCCAAGTCAAGCCTAAGTCTTTTCGTGCACAAGTCCATTGCGCGGATATACATCATCCTGGGCCAGAGGATCGGGATACTTGTATGCTATCGTAAGAGCGTATGTCGAGTATAAAGACGAACCGCATCGCATCCATGCGAAGGGTGACCCTGGAGCATATCGTCCTCTCGGCTTGCTCAGCGAGATCTGCCTACGGTCCACCACATGTGTTCCGCATAGCATTCTCTACTGGCGCGTGTTGTCATTGATTGGCGGGCTGTTGCCGTTGAGCACTCATCCAAATTCGGGCACTTTCCACTCAGGGAAAGTCGAGTGGGTAGAAGTAGTCTCTGATGTCTCTGAGACTTGAGAAGGTGCTGGCACAGCGGATGATTGTCTGCGTGGTGGCGCAAACTCCTCGGGGAATCTTTGCTGCATGAACTCCATTACCCATAGAGCATCATCAAAGCGTTGCTGCTTTTGCAAAAGCGTGACAGTATCGAAGAAGAAGGCGAAGACGGTAGACCTCTGAGATGCAGTAGATGGGCTCAAGAAAGGATGAGAAGCAAGAGGCCTGAGCTCCCGTATGAAGTCCAAGGCGGGGTCCGCTGAGGGTGTGGCGGGATGATGTAAGGTGAGATTTGCAATCCTGTAGATGGCCCTGTCTGGATGGTTTTTGGTCCAACGAGGAATGGAATCGATGAATTTATCGTACAGAGCAACGTCAGAATTTGAGCAGAGGCCGAGCTTGACCAAGGCTTGAGTTAGATAGACACCAGCATGGGTGATGGAAGCATGAGATGTCTGAGAAATCTCCAAGGCTCGGAAGAAGGCAGAGAGGGCAGATTCGAGAGACTGATCGGAGCCAGAGAGATGAGTCTTGACGATAGAGCTGAGCAACAGACCCTTGCGGATACTTGCTTCTTTGGCAGTGAGGTTGGGCGAAGTTGCGACAGGTGTGTCGATCAGCTCCCACAGAGCAGTTTCTTTGCCTTCGTGAACAAGGAAAAAGGCGAGGTGGCTACAGAAGCGGGCATCCAGAGCGAAGGAAAGAGAGCGGGTGTAGGCACTAGTCCAGAGCCATCTCAGCGCACGAGAACCTGCAGCGTAACGGGTGATCTGGTCCTTGACTTGTGCGGGAGGTAACGAAGAAAGAGAGTTGCGGAAGGCTTCAAGGCACAACCTGGCAGAAGGCAGGTTGGCACGTCCGGCGGCAACTTGGTCCTCGAATAGGGCAATTGGGTGCTTTGACTTTGACTTGAGTTGTTGGTGGACAGGCTTGGTGAGTAGAGGATTGGTCAAGATTGAAGCCAGGTGACGGTCGGTAGCTGTGATGGGCGATAGAGAGGGTTGAGTGGAAACCGAGGCAGAGGCAGCAGAAGCGGCAGCGTCATGGTTGTGGTGATGGTGTTCCAGCTGACTGCGGAAGGATGATGTGAGGGCGTTTAGCAGGCGCTGAGATTCGCGTTCGGACAGTGGCAGCTGTGGGTGGATGCGCGATGTCAGGCTCTTGAAGGCCTGCTGGACGGACGACGCCTTCATGTTGTGATGTGTCTTGTACGTTTCTAAGGAAGGCACTCGCAACCGCCTGCCTCATGACCGAATCGAGGGAGCGCGCCAAGCCGTCCTACGCGCTTGTCGCTGTCACATGGTAGAGAACGCCAGCAGCTTTTGATCTCACAAACATCAATTGAAGAGAGCTTTTCGTTTGGAATTCGAATCTTCAGTTGTGGTCGTGTATATCCAAATGCTATCTACGATGTGATATATTTGATAGCCAGGTCTCGCCGTTGTGACAGACTTGAGCATCTGAGGAGGCATGTGGACGGCAGACATGCTACAGCTGAGAGGCCATGCACAGTAGATAGTCAGACACAACAACGACATGGTTTGTGACTCTATCCGTCCATCTAAATGCTCGCCGCCGTCCAATGCTAGCAGTGAATCGTACCGTGCTGTCGAGTGGTCTCAGATGGCGAGTGAATGGATCCACGTGACCGACGGCGGCGCACAGACGAGAATGACGGAGGAGTGAAGCTCAGTCTGAAGGCCGCACATGGACAAGCAAGAGAGCGACCCTCTCTCTACTCCAAAGCCTGTCAAGAACAACCTCCCTCCTTCAATCTCCATACTGCGCCTTGTCCCTGCCAATCGCCGCAGTCTCCCTCCCGACACCCCTCCGTCTCGTTCCACTTACCACTTTCTGCCTGTCCGCACAGGACAGTCGCTCCCATACCATGTCGGATTTCGACCAAAGACCCGTGGCATCACGGGGCAGAAGCTCTACCAGAGGCGGCCGTGCCTCGCATCCCAGAGGTCCTCCTCGCCAATCTCAAACTTCCTCCAACGCAAACTCGTCGTCGGTGCAGTTCGACGATGCCTTCGACGAGCAGGGCGAGTTGGGTAACATGAAGAAAACTTACTCGACCCAATTGAGCTTTATGCGCGACATGTTCCCAGACTGGACCGACGACGATCTAGTCTTTGCCATTGCAGAGGCCGACGGTGATGTTCAGATTGTCATTGACAGAATTACTCAGGGTGCGTCGCTGCCCTCACACCTGTCCAAATCGCCCTGCTAACCGTCGCTCCCCCACANNGGCAACGTCTCGCAATTCGCCCAAGTCCCCAAGAAGGGCAAGGATAGAGCGCGCTCAAAGGCCAAGGAGTCCTCAGCCGCTGCCGGCGCAGATCAGGCCACCACCCCACTCCGTGGTGGCCGTGGAAGAGGTGGCTTCGAGAGCTCCAGAGGTGGCAGAGGTCGCGGCACCGATCGCGGTCGTGGAGGTTTCAGAGGCGCTCGCGGTGGCCATGCCGCTGTGACCGACTCTTTCCCCAAAGACACTCCCGCCGTGTCTGTTCCTACCACAGAGTCTCCTGCTTGGGACAACGTTGCCGCCGAACCCGCCGCTCCGCTCGCCTGGGACACCCCGGCTGTCACCGAAACAGGTGCATGGGGCAATGCTGCCGCCGCCGACTCTACCCCGACCACTGTTCCCGACCTCGCACAGGCCGCCGCCGCAATTCCTGAAAGCTCGGGCAAGAAGACATGGGCCAGTATGTTCGCCAAGCCCAAGCCTCCACCTGTACCTGTCGTCCCGAAGCAACCCACCCAAGCTGCAGCTCCTGCCGCCGCCGCTGTCGAATCCACACCTGCTTCTGCAGAATTGCCCGCGCAGGTCGAGTCTTCATCTGTTGCTCCTCAGGAGACCATTCCCGAACCGACACAGCAGCTCGAGCCCGAGGTCGCACCAGCAGCAATTGAGGAGCAGCCCACAGAGATCGAACAGACCGAGACGGCTCCTATTGCTTCTGAGCCTTCGACCGCAGCTGCCGAGCCCTCTGCTTTAGCCCAAGAGGCCGACCTTTCATCCGCACACGCTCCTCTGACTGAGGACAACCTTGAGCACCTTCCCGATACTTCGATCAAGCCCGCAACCCAGACTGTCGCCAGCACTGTTGGTTCGATCGACCCTCGTGTGGCCACCCCTGCCACTTCTCAACAAGCTCCCATCGGCCGCCCTCCCATGGGTGGCTACGCAGCCAGCGCGTACAGAGCAGCTGGCACACCTGGCCGCAACTCAAGCTACCAGCGTAGAGTGCTCGAGCAGCAAGAGGCTGTTGTCATGCCTGGTCACAACGCAGTCGACAGAGCTGCAGTACAGTTCGGTAGCATGGGCTTGAATGGCGAACCCGACAGCCTCGACGTGGATGAGGAAAGAGAGGAGCCCGAGACACGCNACTCAGCCTCCCCAACAATCTCCTCCCTCCCAGCCCAGAGCCTCGCTGCCTCCTGCCCCAGACAGGCTGCTCTTTCTCAAGAGTCTTCGATCCACGACAACCTGCCCACTCCCAAGCAGGCCCCTGGACTCCCTCCCGTCCCTCAGCAATCCTTCGGTGGTCACCAGGATGCTTCGCCTATTGGATCCCTTCCTCACGAGTCTTCGCAGTCCCAAGGATATGGCCAGTACAGCCGCTACGGCCAGAGTGGTATGCAACAACCCGACATGAGCGCACAGTCTCAGAAGTCGTTCGATCCCTTCAGCCACCAAGCTCCTTCCACTGCCTATGACCACTATGCTACCCAGCACTCGGCTCAACAGCACCAGCCTTTCGGTGGTTTCTCCTCTGCTCCTTCCGACTACTCCCAATACTACACTGCCGACCAACAGAGAAACGCTTACCAAAGCTACTACGGCGGCTCATACGGCCAGCAGGCTTCGCAATCGCAGGACAACACTGCCAACCAGCAGCGTTCAACCAGCGGCTTTGGATCTGCTCCCAGTGACTCGGCCTTCTCGGGCTCTCAAGCCCCTCAACAGGTGAGTCACGCTCAGTCCTTGTACTCTCAGGACCACGATTCTCATCTGCCTTCTCAGTCTCGCTATGGCGAAGCTCCTGGATCAGGCCACAACACCCCTGCTCCGTCCAACAGCCAGGCTCCTTCTGCCGCTCCTAGTGCAGCAATGCACCAGCAGCCCCACTCTGGCTACAACCCTGCTTATCCTTATGGCCATCCTTACTACCAGAGCCCCTATCATGCGGCCTACCAGAACCAATTCGGATACCAGCAGCCTGCATATGGCAGTCCCTTTGGAGGCAAGGGCGCCATGTACGGACAGCCTCACGGCTATGGCATGAACTCGGCTTCATCTTATGATCATTCGGCATCGCCCGCAAATGCTGGTGGTTTCAATGCACAGCCCTCGATGCAGTCTCGTGACACTGGCATCAGTAGCGGTCTCGGCGACTATGGTCGTACTTCCGCTCAGCCTTCGAACCTCAGCAGCGGCTTCGGTGGCATGTCGGAGCCCTTTGGCCGTAGCCAGTCTGGTTACCAGGGTCAATCTCAAGGCTACGGCCAGCAGCAGAGCACTGGTCAGGCTGACGACCTGAAGCCCTTCGGAGAATCAAAGACCAGCGGCCCAACCCCTGGACTCGGTCAACCCGGCAGACCCAGCTCGGCTGCCAACAGCGTCGGCGGACAAACTCCTTCGACCACATTGCCCCCTCCTCAGAGCCACCAGGCCGGCTTTGGCGGATACCCCGGCTTTAACAGCCAATACGGACTCGGTGGCCTCGGCGGACAGAGCCACCAGCAGCAGCAGCAGCAGCAACAGCAGCAACAGCAGCAGCAGCAAGGCGGATACGGCGGTTACGGTAGCGGATTTGGAAACTCTTACTACGGAGCACGTGGTGGTTGGGGCGGAAACTACGGTGGTCACTAAACCAAGGCGTTTTTTTTCATGAGCGGCAGGTTCGCCGTTCCGGAGGGGAACATTGTACTCTACGACAAGATTTTTCTTTCTGTTCTATGGCCTGTCCATCTCTCGTCCATCGCACTTAAGCGATTATGCGGCATTATCGGAAAAGAATTGAAATTTCTGGCACGATTGGCTCTGATGATCTACTTGCTCACTCCTTATTCTACTCTACTCTTCTCGTTGCATGCCCTCAGTGCTCATCATGATCCGTGACCCATGGAATGCTTGCATATATCCGGTGCTTCCAGTAGTTTGTTTCTAAATAGGAAGAGAGCTTGCTCAAAAGATTGATATGACGACTAAAAGGGGCACCGCTTGGTGGGGTCTATGAAACTTAGTAAGCCGTCGCATGCTCCCAGCCACTAATATTTACCAACCATACCGCACTCTCCGTTAACCGTAGCCAGCATCGTCATGGCTCGAACGACGTCGAAAAAGGCCACCAAGCCTCTGCAGGATCCGCGACTACCACCGCCACCTTTCCTGAAAGCACCTACAGCTCTAGAACCCTTTGTCGAAAGCCTGAACAAAGCCCACGTCTACATTGTCCATGTCGACCGATTCCCTGCGAGTTTCAAGAAGCGCATCTTTACCGTTCCCGTCCTCCTGAATGTCATAATCGCCGCGCTACTAGTATGGCGCATCTACGCCATTCTTCCAACCTATCTGGCAATCTTCACCTCAGTCATTGGCCTCGATTCGCCTGCTACGATTGACACGGCCAGCAAGACCAAGTCTCATCTGGCATGGGTCCTGACGAAGCGCGTGGCAATGTTCATGTTTGACTTTGTCCTCGGCCGCTTCATCGTACCATGGCCTGTGACCTTCTTCCTCGAAGCACCCGCCAACCCGTGCTACTGGCGCATCAAGGTCGGCTTCCACGATCAGGAAGTTGCGGTGCGCATCAGCCGTGATTGGGGCGCCGAGGAGCTTTTGGCAGGTGTCAAGACCGGAGGAGACAGTCCTTTCTTCACAACACGCATCCTACCGGCCATCGAACGCAACTACATGCGCCAAAAAACGGCATACCTCATGATGGGCAAGGACTGGGATCTGGATTTTGGCGCCATGGTTTATGCACACCGCCTCATCGACGACAAGAAGAACAGTCTCCAGGACTTTGAAAAGAGTGTACTTGCGTACAGTGAACAACATGGATGGCTATACTGGCCGGTACACAAGTTGGACGAAGAAGGCTCGGAAGAGGAGAACAGGAAGAAGATTGTCGCGCTCAAGGATCGCCTGACCGTTATGGGCAAGGAGAGTCTATTCTTCCGCTGGATCGAGATTGTGCAGTATGAGAGCAGTCGCCCTGGCGGTTTCACACAAGAGCGTCAGGTCGAGACATATAAGAAGGTGCAACAGGAGTTTGAGAAGCACGGTATCGATTTTAGAGAGCTGCTCGAGAAGGTCGGTGGCTTGGATGGCATGCCTGGCTTCTCCGACTCACAGGTCCCGGTCCAGCTATGAGACGGAAATTAAGCAACAGCAACAATGTCAACATGCCAACACAGGGAACATGAAGATACGTAAAAGTTTCTATAATTCTATACACAAGGAAGCAAATCGCAGCAATGGTATACAACTCGTGCTCGTCATCTCTCCAGGACCTAAAGACTCTCCCTGCCGGCAACTTGGAAGAGAGTGCTTCCACTACCAGGCTTACTTACGACAATGGCGTCCTGCAGCTTTGCGGGGTCCATGTCGGGGAATCGCTTCTTGTAATACTTTTCTTCCCATGCCTTCTTCACAGCCTCGACCTTGGCTTGGGGCACAAGATGCACACTGCAACCACCCCATCCAGCACCCGTCAGTCTGCTGCCATATGCACCAGCCGAGCGAGCAAGTTGGCACAGCTCGTCAAGCTCGGGACATGAGCATTCGTAAATGTCGCGGCATGATTCTTGTGTGTCATTCAATAGATTTCCAAGACTCTTGAGAAGCTCTTCACTCTCCTTGTCGTCAGATGGAGTAGGCGACTGCAGCAAGTCCATGAACTTCAGCACGCGCACAGCCTCGCCAAAGACGTGCATGGCTCTTTGCCTAAGCTTGAAGGTGTCGGCGCGTACAGGGAACTTGGTCATGTATCTCTTCTCCAGCTCGTCCACAGATGTGCCCATGAGCTCTGAGATCTGCTCACGGGTATATCCTTCTTCTTGTGGCAGGTAGTTGTCGACAATGTGAACAAGCTGATCGAGCTGCGATCTGAAGTCCTTGACGTCGTCTCCGACGGCACCCTTCTTCTTGAAGTAGCTGTCGTGGAAAGAGCGTAGACTGAAGCCTAGGGGAGACGAGTCATCGGGTAGGTTCTTCAGGCCGCAGATGCTGGCCAATACACGAGCAGCGAGGGTGCACTCAACGACACGGAGGTTGTAGCAGACGGGAGCGGTGACGTGCTTGTCGGCGGCGACAAAGGATTGCGCAATGACAAAGGTCAAAGGAGTGTGTGTCTGGGGGAACTCAATGGTGCGAGCGGAGAGTTCTGGCTGGAAACCGACGTAAAGAGCAGAGCCTCTCTGGGAGAAGACAGAAGCAGCCTGGTCCATACCGCCGGAGTTGACACCGACGGCTCTCTCNGAAACAACAGCCAGCTCGACGAGCTCTTTCTTGTCGACCGTCTCTTGACCGTGGGCTCTCATGACTGCCAAAGCACTGGCACAGACAAAGGCGGCACTGCTGGACAAACCGCCACCTGCAGGGACAGTGCCGTCAGCCAGGATGTCGATGTTCAATTGACCAATGCCGGAAACGCCGTGCTTCTTGAGCAGCTCGGTGGCACCACGAAGACCGGATTTGAAGTAGTTGGTCCACTCGTGCGATGTAGGATCAATGTCAACCCCTCCGTCTTGTGCGATGGTGAAGGAACGGGTAGCGAACTTGTCCGACTGGACGTTGGCGATGCGGACGGTAGGCGAGCCATTGGCGGGGGAGACGGCGACGGCGAGCAGCACATCGGCCGTCACGGCCATGGGGATAACCTCATACAGCGAGTAGTCGATGTGCTCGCCGATCAGGTTGACGCGACCGGGACTGCGTGACACGAACTCGGCGGGGCGGCCGTAGGCTTCCTTGAACGAGGACAGCAGGTTGCTCCATCTCTTGCGTTGGCCTTGGAGGGCATCCTCGGGGTAGATGTCGTCTAGCGACTGCGTGACGGGGACGTTGCCGGCCATTGCTGTTGGAGAGAAAAGGAAGGGGTCAGACAAGCAAACGACAGATGTGGGCACCGGAGAATATATACGAGTATCGCACGCCCTAATTATCCAGCCTGGGGGTCTCGTTGTGTGGAGCTCATGCTGCAGGGTCCTTGCCATCTTTTTCCCATTGCTCTCCCATCACTTCAACCTTGCATCTATCTCGCTTATACCTAGTTTCTTGACGACTAGATGGACTTCTAGGGAAGTTCGTCAATTTCTCTGGATCGCCTAGCTATCTATGCAAGACAACCATCCTCCTCATCCAGGTGCCGGGAGAATGCTTTCCCCATGAACCTTCCACAACACGTCTGTGCACGACATCCCACCTTCCTCGAACTTCGTCATCTCCACCAGCCTCCTGCTTTCCTAGTGTTATATCTCGAAGAATCACACTCACGAGCTTTACCTCATGTGTCAACAACCCACTGAGATATCATACAACACAGTAGTGTCAAGCAGCCTACTACTAAGTGAGGGCTCCATGGCTGGACTGGGTTGGAGACTCCTGTCCCTGGGTTCTCCAAACGTTGTCGAGAACATGGCAGAGTTCTATCCTCGTGCTATATAGGAATCGTCATAGAACAGAACGCTCGACCTGTCTCAAAACATATCTTCGGTATGTCGTTCTGGTTAACCCTCTGGTACTATCCTATTGTACCTTATAGATCTTTCATCGCATGTACAACGGAAGAGACAAAGTACGTTATATTGGTCATCTTCACTCTAAAAGCCAGAGTTCAAGAAGCTAGCTCCCGACCTCACTACTATCCTCTTCTCAGGAGGACTTTCTCACTCTATGCAATTTGAGCGCATGCAAATGGGTTGGGCCACCAATGGATGCGATCTCGCCTCCATCGTCCTTGGAAGCTCGAAATGATCTACTGGCACAAGGACGTGGACTCAACGAACAATGAAACAGATCATGCTCGGGGAAGGTCATCCAGATACTCAGACACTGCAGAGAAAGCTGGCCCTTGTTGTCGAAGCTATTCTTACTTTTCAACGATAATATCTTCAAGGTGCAGGCCTATTACACGATGGGTATAACGACGACCAGACAATCAGAAAAAGCTCTTGTCATAGCTCTTATCCCGGTCGCCGTCTTCTGCAAGATGGAAGCCGAAAGTCATGCTGAGATCAGTAACAAACCATGCAGTGTCACACTGTCGCTTCAGTGAATACAACACTCGACTGGGACAGCTTTAAACCTGCCGCTAAGCAGGAAAGCCTCCGTCCCGGACATGGCAGACTTCAGTTTCCGGAAGGGAGAAACCTCTTCCTAACAAGAGCTTGTCAAGAGGACGGTCTTGTCTCTAGCTACTTTAGAACTTTCACCTGGCTCTATGAGTCGACTAGTTGGTGGCTATCGATATCCCAGCAAGCGATTCAAGCCAAAAAGCTGCTGTCAAAATGCAAAACAGTAAGTGTTTCGTTGAGTGTCCATTGAGATCATGGATTGGTTCTTTGATGTACCTTAACAGCGGGTTCACGATTCATTCACATCCCGCTCAGTTAACTTCCACAACCACTTGACTGCATTTTCTCATCTCATTGTCACTCGCGCTCCTTTGTTGAGAGTAATCTCTGCTTCTTTCATTCCCGATTCTTTTCCCTTTCATCTTCCCCTTTCTCTCTTTGTACGCAATTGCCCACTCAAATTCCCACCACGGCCCCTGAAAGAAGACTCGACTCATCAAAGACGCGACTCTTTGTGCGCGCACATAGCGGTATGCATTGTTCCTCCCATTCATCTCTTCCCAGCTTCAATACTTAATCCACCTGTGATCCACACTCTCCTCTTTCCAGATCAAAACACAAAAACAAAACAACAGCAACCCAGCCCTCCCAAACCCAAAACTCAAAACTACCAAACGACTGGATCGTTTGAAAAACACAACAAAATGCTTCTTCTTACCTTTCTCCCGATCATCTTCATGATCTACAACATCCTTAACACTGCCTACACTGTACTGACTTCGGCTCCTAGCTTCCTTCTCAACCCCATCAAGCCTTACTCTAAGCCTTTCTTGAGAAAGAACCCCATAATGGCCTACTCTTTGATCACCTTCGCTCTTGCCTTGTTTGTTTACAGCATCTTGGACAGCTTCTCCAACCGCTACATGCTAACTTTCTTCCTGCTTAGTCTGTGCCGCTACCTCCGTCTGATCGTCAACATTGTCGCCTTTGCCAACCTCAAAGGTCACCCTATCAAGAAGAACCCTACTTTCAAGTCGACTGATGTGTCCGTCGTCGTTCCTACTGTCTTTGCCGACAAGGACGAGGTCATGGCCTGCCTCAAGCGCATTCGTGTCTGCAACCCTCTGCAAATCATCGTTGTCACTAAGGACGAGCTTGTCCCCCAGGTTTATGCTGCTTGCGCTGAGATCACTGCTGCTGCCGAAAGTGATGATGAAAAGCTCGACATGGTTCAAGTCATTGGAGTTGCCAAGCTCAACAAGAGAACTCAAATGGTTGCAGCTCTCCAACAGGCTGTTACTGGTTCAATTGTTGCCTTTGCTGACGATGATGTCTTCTGGCCTGGTAGTGACTTCATCACCGTCATGCTGGCATGCTTTGAAAATTCTGAGGTTGGTGCTTGCGGTCCTTCTCAAAGAGTCTGTCGCTCAACCGACCTTGACAAGATCACTTCCATCTGGAACTTCCTTGGTATCTGCTACCTTGAACGCCGCAACTTCAACACTGGTGCAACCAACCTTATTGACGGTGCCGTCTCTACTCTCTCTGGTCGTACCAGCTTCTACCGTGCCTCCCTCATCCAGAATGATGAGTTCAAGTCCTTCTTCCTCAATGCCGCCAACCATGACGATGATAAGAACCTGACCAGATGGGTCTATGACCAGGGCTACCAGATTACCCTAAACTTCAATCCCAGAACCCGCATAATGACTACCATGGAGACTGAACCCATGATGTTCATCAAGCAGTGCATGCGCTGGGCTCGTGGTCACTGGAGAGGTAACTTCCGTGTCATGGCAACTACAACTTACTGGTACGACACTCACATCTGGAGTTTCTATGCCATCTACATCGGCCAATTCCAAACTCCTGCCATTGTTATTGACACTGGTCTTCTCTGGTTGCTCAAACACGGCATGTCTGACTACGACACCTACACTCGCAAGTTTGCTTTGATCTCTCTCTGCTGCTGGATTTTCTTCACCAAGATTGTCAAGATCACTCCTCACTTCTGTGAATTCCCCCAGGACATCATGTTTATCCCTGGCATGGTCCTTTTCAGCTACTGCCACGGTTTCCTCAACGTCTTTGCCCTCATCACTAGAGACAACAAGGTCTGGGGCCGTTAAAGTACCTCCTTTTCACTTTTCCTACACTTTTCCTACACTTTCCTTACACTTACACGATACCCCTTGCATAGAACAAAGATTTAGAACTGGCTTCTTTTGGCGTTCTTGGGTTACATACACTCGTCTGCGGTTCCATCATTGGAAATACGACCGTAGCAACTAATAGTGAATGCTTGTTGGGATGGCATTCGGGATTGCTTCATAACATAAAATAAAAACAAAAAGCTTTTTCTACATGGATTTACCCCTGGCTTTTCTCCTGTTTTTTTCCAGCGTGAAATGTAGCAAGTTCCTGTTCTCCCTGGAGATGATCTTCATTGCGATAACACTGTGACTCTTGATAGCTATATTATCCCGTGCCTTTCCATCGAGAGCAGTAGTTTTGATTGCTCTCTCTGGGTGTAGCCTATCTCGTGACTACTTTTTGCATTTCTATAGCATCTTTTTACTAGGCCGACTCTACTGAAGGTGCTCAAAACAGCGGCTCTCCCTGGACATAGTCCTTCTCACAATACCACTGTGACTTTTTATAGCTATACTTTCGAGTATCCCTCCATTGAGAGCTGTGATTTTCGAAGCTTTCTCTGGTAGTAGGCTATTTCATGACTACTTCGTGTATTTTTATAGCATCTTATAATGCTGGTTAGTTCCACCGAGAGCGTGAACCAATGTTCTATCTAGCCCCCTGGCCCTCCCTGCAACCCCTCTTGTCATATCTCTCCTTGTGTCACTTCGGTTTATAGTATAGTATAACAATGCATAATACTTTTGGTTTACAGCAGTGTCCAAGGAGAAACGTTATCTAAGGAGCATTTCTGTGGTCTCTCATCTAATTAGTAAAGCAATCGTGCATTTATATAACACACTGTAGCACTAGTTGTTGTCGTGGGAGACATTGATGATGAAATTGTAACAGAAAAGAGCACTGGTTTTTGGTCCACACTTGAAGTATACCTCATTTACTTCGAGCTAATCTAATATTTCGGTCTGCATTTCGGCCGTGTAGTGTAGCTGGACACAAACATCTCGTAGTTCAGCAATCTTTTTGCGTAGTGAGATTCGCTCTTTCGCTTCAATAATCGTCACAAGGAGAATTAAGACTCGAGTTGTAAAGTCACCCTCGTCAAAAGATGCGTTCCTAGAGGTAACGAGTACGGAACTCCATGCTATGTCACTGATCTCAATGTGATTTGCGACTCTCAGTCGATAGAAAATGGCTGGCGGGTGGAGTGCCGGGAGAATCAGTCATTCAGTCGTGTCATCATTGTTGGATTCGACGTATAAAAAAGTCTTGTGTTTTGAATGCTCCCCAATAGAAGAACAGAATAACCTTGACTATTCTTATGGAAAAATGGATATATTTCGCATACAACACCAACGATTGAGCTTCGAGAACGAGCACCGAGCGACATGTAGAATCGGCCATTGCTGTCTTTGTATTTGTTATCCTTGTCATCCTAGTCTTGACTTTCAATAGTGTTGTTCACTCTTTGCATACTATCAGGAAACCCTGAGCAATTCTTGGTCGACGTACACAACAGTCTTCGTCAACATTTGAACTTTACACTGCAAGTACAAAGTTCCGTGAGATGTCAAGGACTCCAGCATAATTTGGTATAGCGACGGTCAGTAGCTGAAAGCAGGAAGCGCAAGTAGTGAGACCTTCCTTATTATGCATAGAGTAATTCCTGGACCGGAGTGCTTCTGAATAGAAGATGGGACAATTTTCAGACCTTTCTCTTCCATGTTGCTGCTGTATCAGTCAAATGGAGCTTTATCAACAAGTAGAGCACAAAGGGTTTTAGCAGACGCTCCAAAAACTGCTCATGAAAGCTGGATGTAGTCCCAAAATTGTGTTGCGAAGATGAGAGTATGGTCTATACGTCTTGTCGGATCGTGCCAGGAGCGGCAATAGGCAATTTTCGGGAACAAACCTATGGATTTTGTGTTTTGCATAGCAATCAATAGTCCCTGCTTTTTATGAACTGCATGAGTGTTTGCCCGTTGAGGCTGTATTGCACCGAGAGACAGAGTACAATCCCTCGGCGTGGTGTTGTAGCTTAACTCAGATAAAGATCATTCCCTGTGTGGCATTGAGAACTTGTCGAAATGCAAGTTTGGGAGCCTAGGTGCCTGATACTCGAACTACGCATGTCTAGGCTTGCATCCTGGTAAACGAAAGGTGGGAGCACAATTGGTAGCGTGATCCCGGTGACAAGATAATCTTCCTCTTACAGCCAGTACAGTATAAAGCTTCGGCCAGTTCGACGACTCTAATATGATTTCTGACTTAAGGTCCGTAGGAGATGGCGGCCAAGTGAAGGGGACAAACTGTTTAGTATGATGAAGAACAAGATGCCAATAACTTTAATGGTCACTTCTAATGGAGGTTTCTTGAGAACCAAAAGTAGCTTGCACTTCTGTAGCTTCACTTCTCTAAGTGGATGTCTACAAGACCTCGGCTTGCGCCCTGTGAAGTATTTGATCTCTGTTGACTGTTGATAGTGTAGTCGACACGTTATCCATGAGAGATGTCTTTGTGCTGCTGAAATCTGCTTGAGTTTAGAACAAAGAGACCTGAAGTTTGGTGGCTCGGTTTTCTGCTTAATCTGTGTGAAGGTCAAATGCAACAAAGGTTGCAATCTCCATGCTTTTTGGAGGAAGTTCCAAGCCAATGGTTGAAAGGATTCTGCCAAGATCCGCGAAGTTTGTCCATTTGTCGGTCTTCAGATACTCAGGAAAAACAAACATAACAATGCCATGCTGAAACTTCTTCTTTACGTGCGTACTTGTAGTGTTTCTTTGTCAATCCACCTCGAGAATCGTGTTGTTGAGGTCTGTACACCACGACATGTTGTTGTTGACTCATCCAGATTCCAGAAGCTGCAAGAGTCTTGACGATGACCAACAAAGCATTCTCATGTTTGGCATGTCTTTACCCACTACCATGCATGAACACACGGGATGCTGAATATCGACTGGGTTGACTGCGGAGTCCGGAAGCACGTCAATACCGGAGCAATGATAAGTATACAGTGGGGAGAGTGACGCCTGCTTGGTGCGGGACGCGCTCACCAATCAGCCTAAGCGGCCATGAGCGGTGTAGCATACCACAGGTGCGGTGTGAGCCCGAAAACTGTAAGCATTTTCAATTATCATGTGCCCCAGTGGCTATGATTGGAGTATCTATATGCGCTGTCCGGGGGCGCGCAGCCCTCAATTTGTTTGGTTGGCCATGACCGGTTCGAAACCACGAGAAATTCATGGGAAGCTATGGGTCGACTTCCGAGCTGCTTGCATGTCCTGCTGAGGTAAATGCTTTGTTGTAAAGACAATACAGGCATGGACAGGCCACCTCTAGATTGCACGTCGCTTGGAGCCGTGATCTGTATGACTTAAGACTGAGCCGACACCCAGGACCCAGGAATTGTCTTGCCTGCCTCTTTGTCTGACTAGTGCTGCTGCTGGCCGAGAAGAGCATCTCTCGCAATAGATAGCTTGCTCTGTTCGCCGCTCCATGCCTGTCGACTGCCTTCGGTTGACAGAGAACATCCTGCACACATAACGGGTACTGACATCGGGAGCGGCATATCATATTGGCTGTACCTAAGCGAGGGGGTCACGAACGCCAAATGTCTTCAAATTCGTTGGCCATCCAAGTTCTACACTGGATCACACCTATCGCGATCGGCACAACTTTCAGCGTCGCGCGGCTCGTTGCATTCTGCACACTTCAGAAGCCATCCAGATGTTCTCGTGGTTCGGCCAAAACCAGGCAGACTGTGTCAGTGGTACTGTCAGCAGCCGTTCTGCTGCTATTCGTATGTGAGTTTACGTCCTTCTTCAGACTCGACTAACAACCTCAAGATCGTGCAGGCTTTGGAATATGCGCTGCATCAATTCCAAGGGCTGGAGNNCAGCAAGGCGTGACGCAGGACACCCAGGTGAGCACTNTACTGAAACTAACTAAATCTGCGAGATCTAATTTGTCCAACCAGGTTTACATTGGAGGATCGATCTTCGTTTGGGGAACTGTGACGGTTAACCTACTAGGCAAGCCGAAGCGCATCTGGCATCCTTATCTTGCAACGTGGATTATAGGTGCATTGTTTGAGACCTGTGTTCTTCTGGTCAAGCATTTCTCCAGGACAAGCAAGCTTCACTTAGGCGCTGAAGCTGTTCTGCAAACCGGTCGCATCTCGTGTCTGTTGGTGCTGGTTGGCAGTGTGGCTTGTTTCTCCGTTCGCCGCAAGCCATCTCAGAACAGGGCCGATGATGAACATCGACCTTTGCTCGATGCTCATGGCAGGATACACGAAGACTACGCTTCGATCGAATCTGGGGATGAAGATGATGATCTGCTTATTGTTCAAGATGGGGATGATGGTCCCGATCAGACAAAAGAGTTAAGGGAAAAGCAAAGGAAGCGCTTGAAAGAGTGTGGCAGCTGGATGGCATATTTGAAAGATTTCAAAATGCTTGCAAAACTTGCCTGGCCTTCTGGAGATCGATATGCTAAAATCTGCCTCGCCATTCTGATTCTCGTGATACTCGCCGACAGAGCTTTGAATCTCTTGGTTCCAAGGCAACTAGGGATCATCACCGACAAGCTCTCTTCCGTGCATGAGACTGGTAAGAGAATGTATGGTCGAGCCAAGATTGAAGCTAACAAGNACCCAGGTGAAATTCCCATCAAGGAGATTGGACTATGGATGCTCTATGTGTGGCTCAGTTCTTATGCAGGCCTTCATGCGATTACACAATTCTGTCAGCTACCGATCGAACAGCATGCTTATCGAAAGATTGGAACGACAGCGTTCGGTCATATCATGAATCTGTCCATGGATTTTCACAGCAACAAACACTCAGGAGAGTTGATGGCAGCTATCGGGCAGGGTCAACACTTATATCGACTTTGTGATTTCATCTTTCTCGATGTGGGCCCAATGGCCTTCGATCTTGTCATAGCGCTGGTCTATGTCACTCTTCTCTTCGACGCA